TTTTCTCTGAAAAACTTGTTATGATTTGTAGATTTGGTAGGAAATAATTGAACTTGAGATATTTGTAGATGATAAATGTTAATTTTTTTTAAAATACAAAACTGCCCTATCAGAATGAGCACTGTAATTGCCTAGCTAACCAGGTTTTCATTCAGGGGCGGTTATAAAGGTACTGTTTATGGTGCAAGCCTACTTGAGGAAAAAAAATGGGGGGAGGGGGGGGGGGTGGAAATGGAAAATAAGTAGGGCTAACCCTCACCATGCTATTTTTCCCTTAGCCTTTCAAATAGGTACGTGTCGGGCTAGTCTGCCCCCGCCCTCTTTTATCCCTGCTGTTTTCCCCTTAGCTGAAAAAAATAGGGAGGGATAGCACCCCTCCCTCTCTTCTCCCCTCTTATATCTTATCCCTGCTGTATTCTCTTAGCTTAACAAATAGGTAGGGCTAGTACCCCCCCCCCCCTTCCTTTTTTACTTCTCTCTCTCCCTTTACCCTTGACTTTACAAATTATGCTAGTGTTAAAAGTGTATGATACTTCAAGAAGGCCTTTCTCTTTGGATTATGTTGGAAACATGACTGCATTCTTTTTATGGACGCACTTCAAATTGAGTGATTCTCTGGTCGTGTGAAAGCTGAGTAGTAACAGGTTTCCCCCAATGATACTTCAATGTATTGAGTCATGTTTGACCCTGTCCCCATGCTTAGTCTCAACAAGTAGTCATCATTGCGGATGAGTCAATGTCATTATCACATGACGTACTCCCAAGTCGAAGACTAGTACACGTACACGTGGAGCTATATCAGGGCTTGATACTAGGTGCCTGGGACACATGGGCACCCCAAAATCCGGGCCAACAAATTTCAAATTTTTACATTGGGCTCATGCATATATATACAGACTTTAAAACATTCAATCTGGACCCGATTAATTAGAACAAGTTAATATAAAAACATTGCTGCATATATGTATAAGAACTTTGTGAAGATATTTTAAAATTGATGAGGGTCTATCTATTGTTCTGAGGTCTTAAAATGGGGCCGTTAAGGAATCTCTCACGTTCTAAGTCACTATTTGATTTTAAATGATATTAAAAAATCGGTCCAAAGTGATATGCAAGTTAACAAAGAAAAGAATGTGTGAAATCATTTCCATAAATTATTTATAGTATCATCAGCTTATGTTTATAATTGTGCCAAATTTCAAGCTGTGCTTTCTATGTATGCATTGTCAAACAGACATTCAAAATAACATAAGTCATAAGGAGGAAAAGTTCTGTTTTAACACTTTTAAAGAAATATTAAGTTTGCTTCAATTATACATATGTTTTCATCAAAATATCATGATAAATTCCTATATAATTTCACCAATGTAAACAGCCTTTTTATTATAATGCCTTTGAGATGCCAAGGGGCCAGGGGCTTTAACTTGCTCCCTACTTACTATATGCACACTCTAAATGTCTAAGCATTCTCGGCCCATCATTTCATGTGCCATTTACTCTGAGTACAAACATGACGATAGTTTATCGAATGAGTCACTCGACTACCCCCATGTCTAGTTAGATGCTACCATCTATCTTACGCGACAATTATCATTCTCTGCCCGGAATGGCAAAGGGAAGCTGTCGAAAGCATTCGCTCAAGTCGAATGTATTGGTGATAAATGTTCAGATTAATGTGTATTGGCCAGTTACCCATACTTAAAAGGAAATACTCTGCAATGAGCTTCTGGTTTTGATCGGTATATGAGCTACATGTAAGGTGCTAAGATTATCAAACATATATATATATATATATATATATATATATATATATATATATATATACACATGTATTTAACCATTATTGTTACTATTTTGGACTAGGAACATACTTTCTTGACGAATAAACCGTGACAACATTTAGCCAAATGTAATGTGTCAAAATTTCTTATAAATAACATGTTTATTTGTAAGATTGCTTCACTTTATATCAATTTAGCGATCTTTGTCACTAATCCCATGAAATTAATATGAGTCTTCAACTTCCAGCGTATATGTTTCTTCATATGATGGAAGGTTGTAAATTTCTATTAAAGGGAAGAGCATTCCATAGGAATAGTCCATGGTAGATATAGTTGATTTCTGTAATAGTAGAGCCCACTGTTGACATATTTTCATTTTGATTGTTTGAGGGATAAGTGGAACCATTAATGCTTCATTTTGGTGCAATTTCATTTCACCCTACTCAAAACTACTCTTAACGAATGATTATGACAATTCCATACTCCCATATATATGCCTCTTCACTGAAGTAAAATCCTGTGATTGTACTTCCTTGTCCTTAAGAGAACAAAGAGTGCATTCGTATGAGAGCACAGTGATATCCTTCTCCTGCTTCACAAAATATGTATTTTTTGTGCTTCATTAGATGTGTGCTTTAACAAAAAACTATTCTCCACTTTTTCCATTTTTTCCATAATCCTGTTCAATGAAGGTACTTTGAATGCCGTTCTCCATCAGACATTGCAAATATAGCTGTATTAGTATGAGTGAACAGTTATATCCCTCCCTTGTATTACAAAATACATATTTGTTTATGCTCTATTTTATGTGACTATACTGAAAAATTACTCAAGGTAACTGATGAAAATTTCATTTCTTCATTATTGTTCATTGAAGTTAAATCCTTTGAATGTAATTCTCCAACGTTTTTTGCTCGCCGTGTAAATGCAGCTATTGTGTATTTAGTACAGCCATTAAGATTCTACATCTGATATTCGCTGTTTCCATGGCAACACGATAATCCCTCTTCAGATGTACACATTAATGCCCCATCATTGATGAAGATAAATAGTCAAAGCTATTCAGACGCAAATGGAGATAATACGTAATCTGATAATGGAGGCTCTCTTTTATTTATAAGCGTCTTATATTTTTCCAAATTAATCTTATCTCTCTCTCTCTCTCTCTCTTTCTTTCTCATCCAGTTGCAAAGTAATCCTCTTAGTCCTATTTTTGTGCCTTTGGGAATGGCATATTGTGGGTTAAACAAAATTATTGTTAAAACAACAATGTTTATAATATAAAGTCCTTTATATTTAATAAACACTTGTGTTTTAACTATTATTTTGTTTAACCGACAATGCCATTCCCAAAGACACAAAATTAATTTGCAGATATTTGCAGATAAATCAATCATGTTTGGATATTTGGGTAATCATTTATGAAACATTCATAATTGTATTTATCCAGGTATTCTTGACCAAACAAGGATATTTTCATGATTTTAAAACAAAGGTATAATCTTATTGAGAGCCTGTTGTAAAACTATAAAGAGTAGGCCTATATGCCATCAAGACTTATTAAGGCCATTCTGAGTCGGCCATTTGCCAGGCTCAACTATCCTATATATTTTCTGCTAAAGAGAATAGACTCAATTTGACTTCGCGCATAAAATTGTACTTGCAATAAGTGCATCGTTACGCGGAAAGCACTTTATATTAACCGTATAAAGGCATCCTGCATACATATACATACAGATGCCTATACGTTCATCCCTAGCTGCTATTGAAATAGTGCACTGTGTACACTACCGAGTGCATGTAGCATTACGGGAGTGCCTGTGTGTAATGGGGGTCTAATGTAAATGATATTCAGCGGACTTGGAAGGCAGAATGCCTGCTAGGGATATACAGTGTATACAGACATGAATATGCAACTGTGGATGCATGCAGCGGGGGAGCAAGCGAGTCACATGTGGGGAGTTTCCCCTCCTTCAGCTGTCAGCTAGTTCATAATGCAGAGCAAATACCATATATATGAGAAAGGGATCAATATGATATTCTCCCAGATTTTTCCTTTTTTAATCTCTTTTTTTTAACACCTTCTTTATTAAAGAATATATTAAAGGACATTAAAAGAACTCTCTATTTTGCATTTTGTTCATGAATGTATATCTACATTGTAGTAGTCCCCCCCCCCCCCCCCCCTAGGGAAAATATTCTTCATTTATTTCATATTAATGCATAAACTTGCAAAAGGAAAATGTTTGCAGTAAGTAGAGTACCACTTAAACATGCATTATTAAACAAATGTTTGTATCAGATCTGTACATGATTGATCGGAATATGATGTTTAAAGGTAAAGACCAGTATTGGAAACGCCCCAATTTCAAAAAATGAAATGGAAGCTCTCATTACCAATCATGTGAAAGAATATGTTTTGACTAATACATGATGATAAAAAATTTGCCGGGAAACCGCCTACTAATTCATATATTTGGTAAATTTGTTTCTCTCATGGTCTGTGAGAGATATAGGGTAGTCCCATATACATCTTTCTGTGTATAGTGCTTGTAACTTTACGAAGAATGGGCCAAATTTCTTATCATTTTGATGATTCCAGAACCTTGCAGATGCTAGATGCTAGATGATCAACCTTTTCTGATCGATTCCACAACGTTTCTTTCACAATGGAATCGCATGACCATAACTGGTCTTTACCTTTAAATGTTAAGAATGTCACAAGTACATGTAAATGTTGATGAAGCATCTCTTTTCATGTGTCAGGATGAATTTATTTTGACCTTTATCTGAAACTTATAAGAAGGAATGTGAATTTGGGCTTTTAATGATCGAGACTCAGGTTTAATCTTCTTTCTAACATTTAATTCCTCTCTCTCTCTCTTGCCCTGTATCTTTTTATATGTTGTAATGTTTGCATTTTTCTAAACTGAAATATTAAAGAGGCAATCCACTCTGATAATTTTCTGGGATTAGATACACATGTAAATGCAGGAGAAAAAAAGCAAAAAAATAAGAGAAACAAATCTGTGAAAGTTTGAGCAATATCCGACTAAAAAAAATTGTATTGGATTTTACTCATACTTTCATTGACCTGTCCTCTCATTTTTCTGTTTGTTTTAAAACCAATTTAAATTTAGGTTGGACTTCCCTTTAATTATTGAATTTTAATTCATTGTCTAATCATGATTTTATCTCTTTTCTTTGTCATTTTTACAGAGGGTATCCCTCAAGTGCATTACTTTGGGCCCTGCGGTAAATACAATGCCATGGTCATGGAATTATTGGGTCCTAGCCTTGAAGACCTCTTCGACCTGTGTAACAGGCAGTTCTCCCTCAAAACAGTCCTACTCTTGTCTACACAATTGGTAAGTTGACCGCACAGTTGCTTAATTTCAGTATGTTAAAGTTGCTCAAGCGTGGGAATATAGAGGGCAGCACACGGACGTACGCATGGGAACGTAATACCTGTTGGCTCAGTGTTATGTAGTGATCGCCAAGTTACCTACTTCATGAATGACGATATACCCACTCATGAACATCTTTAACAGCAAATGTTCAATGATGTGGTCATTGAGCTACTGGGTCCAAGCCTGTTTGGAATTGTTGGAAATGAAAAAAACAAAATGAAATGGAATGAAATGAAATGAAGCCCTGAAGACCTCTTTGAACTATATGTAACAGGCAGTTCTCCCTCAAGAACAGTCCTATACTCTTGTCTGTATAGTTGGTACGTTGACTGCACAGTTGCTTTGAGTAATGTATGTTAGCATTAAATGCATTAAGCTTTGGTTTCGGTTTCATACCTTGTGCAATTAAATGCGGATGATATGTGTCATTAGTTGGAAGCAAGTAGTCAATTTTTGAACATAGTTTCACTTTTGTCTGGCATCCTTTTAGGTAGAATAAATAAGAAAACGTTGTTATGAAGACTAAAGGGTGCACAATTAAAGTGATGGATTATTACATCAAAGATATTAGTCTTTCAATTGGTAATACTAAAAGCCAAAATGGCTGTTATTACTTGTATGATATCTTCAGCCTCAAGAAGTATATCTATTATTCTTCCAAAGTGAAATTATATTCCTGTGTGGAGGTTCTGAGAAATGTAGCTCCATAGTATCGGTTATACATACTGTAATCTTGAATAAGTTTCAGAAAGACCTTGAATATGGGTTCCTATTACATAGTAAGTAATACAATTTGACAATGGAGATTTCATTTATATCAACTCCAGTTCAAGAAGTATAAGCATGAAGATTTTTGGCTGCATTTGTACAGCAAATATGCATTTGTAAAATGTATGGCCTGAATTCACAAAGGATGTTTGACTTAACCCATGGTTTAAACCCTCATTCACATAACCCATGGTTTAAAAATTAGCGCAAAATAAGTGTACCTTGCCTTGCGCCCGTCTAATATTGGACCTCTGACTGTGTCGCGCTTATTTTGCGCTAATTTTAGACCATGGGTTATGTAAATGAAGATTTAAACCATGGGTTAAAATTAAACCTCCTTTGCAAATTTTAGCCTATCAGTGTAATAAATGACATTTTTTACTCTGTAATTTATTATTTTCTTCCGCACAGCTTCACAGAATAGAATATGTACATAGTAAGCACCTCATCTACCGCGACGTGAAGCCAGAAAACTTCCTGATCGGCAGGAGTTCGAGTAAGACGCAAAACACCATCCACATCATCGACTTTGGCCTGGCCAAGGAGTATATCGACCCGGAGACCAACAAACATATACCCTACAGAGAACACAAGAGTTTAACGGGCACGGCCAGGTATATGAGCATCAACACACATTTAGGGAAAGGTAAGAAGATTTTTTTTTGTGGAGTATAAAGTGTAAAGGTTTGTTCACATATGTTGCAGGAAAATATTGCCACTTTTAGAATGGCCTGGTTAGGAGAAGTGGTGGGTTAATGGTATGGTTAGGAGAAGTGGTGGGTTAATGGTATATTCTATAAACATTTTTCCAAATCGAAATCAAGACTTGGACAATTGCCGCAGGCCAGCGAGCTGTGTGGAGAACAGTCGTTAAGTGAAAGTGAAGGCGGACATTGTCGCTTTGCGACAGACAGCTACTACTACTACTATAAACATGTTTCCAAAAAAGACCCAGAAAGTAACAGAATCATGTACCAGAGATAAATTCAGCTGAAACGCTTGAAGTGAAGTGCAATAGACGTTTGGATGCGCATCTAACAGAATTTGCAGTGCATATCGGATGTCTAGAAAGTGGGTTTTGTGTGGGCGGGGCATGTAATGCACTGTGGTTCCCAAAAACACAACAGCATAAGTTACTAGTCCAATCTTTATATATGTTAGTTTTTTCTAAGGAAAGAGAAAAAGGATAGAATGAAGAGCCATATGTACTAATGCTCAAATATCAACCATTAATAGTAGTATTTGAAGTAGATCGAAGTACCAGTGGTAGTACTCTAAAATTGTGACTGTAGAAGAAGTGCAGCTTATGAATTAAAACCCATTCAATTCAAATAGAGATGCACATGTTGAGAGAAAGTTTTACATTCCTGGATAAAAACAAGACAACCTTCTGCTTTAAGATAGTAATATATATCTGTAAAGTGCTTTGAGAGGGCCTGCGGTCCTGAAATGCGCTATAAAAGTACAAACTATTATTATTATTAATAAATGTAAATGTAAATCTTCCTGTATGTGATTATCCAGCCATACACGCTTATTTGTACATATTTATATTTATTTTCTCATATCCTGTTTTTGTTTTGTCGTCTTTCAGAGCAAAGTCGACGAGACGACTTAGAAGCCTTAGGTCACATGTTCATGTATTTTCTACGAGGCAGCTTACCGTGGCAGGGATTAAAGGTGAGAGGATTTCTCCATGTTCAATGTCCCGATGTTGACTGTAAACTAATTATTAATAGCCACGTTTGCATAGAGCTTAAAGCTATTGTTTAACAATATTTCCAGTTTCACAAATCTGAGATGCATGGCCCTACGTGTTATCCGTGTCTGTGATATGGTGTAATACTGAAGCCCTAAAACAATTGCGCTTCAAAATGATTATGAAGCGCTTCAAAAAAGTAAAAAATCTTTGAGTGACCGGTTTTACCACAATATGTGGAGCTGTGAGGAAGAAAAAAATTCACAGAGTATAAAATGTAATTTATCAGACTGATACAGTTTACAATTTTTTTAGGGCTTCAGTATTACACCGTATCACAGATGCTGATAACACGTAGGGCCACGCATCTCAGATTTGGCATTGTTAAACAATGCCTTTAACACCTGGGTGGAGTGTGCTTGATGTAGATAAATGTCTTGCCAAAGGTTACTATTGCTGTGCTGGGGCTCAAACCCACGACCTTCTCTTTTCCAGTCGAATGATTAAACCACTGAATGATTGTCCAAGAATCGATACAAAAGAAAGAGCAATATATTTTGTCTTCAATTCAGTTGCATAAATATCTAGGTCATCGGCCATGAAGTGATCGTGACAACTACTTGTTTTTACTCAGATCATGTACGTGTTGTTTCACTTTCTTTTCTAAAAATATCTTAAAATCACTTTACTCTTTATTACTATTAAACATATGTTGTCCTCAAAGTGTGATCACTGTTTATTGTATGTACCAAACCTTTTTCTATGTATCTCTTTTAAAAAACCTGCATTATTATTTTTTTTCTTCAGGCTGACACGCTGAAAGAAAGGTATCAGAAGATTGGAGACACGAAACGAGCCACGCCTATCGAAGTTCTATGTGAAAACTACCCAGGTTTGTTACCGTTCTTCCGTTATTAGAAATTCTGCCTTGCGGGGACAAAAAAGACACTAGGTGTATTGGTATTACACCTCATTGAAACTATAATTTCCATGCAAAAATTCTATTAGTTGTCGTGGAACGATCTATCAAACCCTCATGGTCATGATCTTGAAGATTCCTGAAGTATTTTTCTTCAGGCCCGAAACTAGAAACTAGAACAGGGCAAAAGGGTGCAGACATTACACAAGAGGTGGAACTTGTTGAGGGAATGAAGCGACCTAGCACGGGAGGGGGGGGGGGTGTCCCCCTCCCAACTTTCTTTAGATCTTGAAACCTTCAATTTAAAAAAAGCAAACTTTTTTGTTCATATGATAGCAAATACATCGTCTGACATTTGCAAACAAAAGATATACCGATCAGTAAAAACCTATACTATACATGACATTTATGATGAAGCCCAAATTGTATATATTAAATTATGTTTACTGCTCATTCAAATTGCCCTAGTATAGAGTTATTTTATGCCCTTGATATTGGCGGCAATGCCAGGAAAGAAGCAATAGACAGGAATTATTCACAATGTTGTAGAGCTTCAGTGTCATATGTTTATCTATAACTGGAAGTGAAAGCGATAACATATTTTGGAATCAGAAGTCTACACAATACCCAGCAAATCTCAGTTGAATTCAATTCAATTCATATAAAATTAAAGTAGCACATCATACAGTGTAGATACTTGATTTTTCATTAAATTTATTAAAAATTGTCTGTTTTGGGATTTTTTTTTTTACATGGCATTTCCCCCACAATATCTTTTCTGTATGCATGTACATTATGTAATACTTTAGTTTCTATCAAATTTATATCTCTAAATGTAATGTCTCGAATTGGAATAGATCTTATTGTGTCCATGTTTTTCTTGCAACACAAATGGTCTTTTTCCAGACGGAAGAGCATGAACAATTATTGTTCGGTCAACTTCCTAAACTTTATAGTTTAATTGCTGAAGTAATAATACCACTGTTAACATGTTGGACAGTGTAGGGACTTCGGTGAGTTGCTTAAAGTTGGGATTGCATTTTTGTTGAAAGATATGTCCATTGTCCTTAATCCATTCTTACTGTACTGCTGGTGGTCACATGACAGATTATGCATTTCCTTCATTTGTTGACATTGATATATATTTTTTGGCAAATTATCGTTATGGGACACAGCCATAACAATAGCCCCTCTCCTGGTTGATATATCCACTAAAGTGAAATATACATCAGAAACCCATTTATTGAATGGAATACAACTTGTCTATTCATAGCCAGAAGGGTGTCAAAGTATATGCATAAACACCCTCCTGGCACCAAACAGACGATATATATGCTCTCTTTTCTCCGTTCAGTTTGAAAGATCAAAGTCTCTATAGAGTGGTGAAGTGTGACGTCATCAAAATCTATTTTTAGAATTTCTCGATTTTTTCTTCATTTTCCGAAATAACATCAAAAATAATGTCCAAATGTCGAAAAACAATAGAATATGTTAAGTTTGGCTGAGATATGACCATCTGAATAAATATACTCCCCATAGGAGCTTAGTGTTATTTGCTCTGGCTCCTAATATATAGATATATTCATTCAGATTGTCATGTCTCAGCCAAAACTTAACATATTCTATTGGTTTTCGACATTTGGACATTATTTTTGATGTTCTTAAGGAGAATGAAGAAAATATTTAGAAATTCTAAAAATAGATTTGTATGACGTCAGAGCTTCGGTACTGTATACCCCAAGTGAACACAGCATTCATTACTGTGTTGGTCTTCATAATCATTTTATCCTCTGAAAAATCCCTGGTTCACCCACATTACCACACTTCCTTCCATCAATAATGAAATTTTATGGGATCTTTCCTGATCTAATTAATTGGGCAGGTATAATTGTTTGCGTTGAGGCTGTTGCCTTAGCAACCATTATTAAATTGTTGCCAGTTTAATTGGGCTAATGTGCAAATTTGTAATTGTAATAACTTTTACAGCAGGGAAGCTGTGAAATTTTTCAATGATATTGATGTGATGTTTTAGAATGTTTTCTGTGCACTCATGGTAAATCAATATGTTTTCACACTGATCAAGGTCAGGTGGTCTAGACATATTTTTTTGATCTGTGATTTTGTGCAGGAAAATGACTCAAAAAAGAACAAGTCCAATGCAGTCTTTCATTTATGACCTCTACAATACCAAGTGTGTGGTATAGAATGATGGACATGAAATATTCTGCTTGATATTTGTTTGATCCCAGCTATAGAAGTGCGATCATCAAGTATACATAAAAATAGTCGTTGTCCTATTAAAGTCACATACAGTACAGGACAAAACACAATTTGCCCATATCATTGCATTGTGTTCCTCATTAGTGGCACTTAAAAGAAAAGTATGACGGGAATTTTATGTCTGAAAACCTAACATTTGACTTGATATTGACAAAAATGTCCTCTAGATTCTTCTGATATCTTGATCTGAAATATTTCCTTATACTCTAGTCAGAAAGTGCCAAAAAATTAGTCAAAATTTTAGCAAGAACAATGTTATTTTCACAAGAAAAGGTGGCTTTGTCATTTTCATTGCAGAAACAAAGATTCTAATGTCTGGGCACTTTATTCAGTTTACACACTTCAGGATTTTTAAATGTGAAAAATGTCATTTTGAGGGTTGCGAACAAATTTACTTCATTTTGACTTTTCTCAATAGCTTTTTCTCTTTTTTTTTCTTCATCAGGAATTTGTATCTCTATGATGAAGATAAAAAATTTTGTTGGTTGCACATTTTGTTTTATTGGAGTTACGCATGTGCACAGACATGGGCTCTCTAGCCATATATACCATTATACCAGGTATTCTATATTTTGTTGTTAGTTGGTTAGGAACAGGACAAAGTCCCTTTGACTTAGCTGACATTTCACATTTGGCTTCATTACTGGCTTCATTACCGGTGTGTTGGCTCAGTCAGTAGAGCGTCCGCCTCACAACCGGGAGGTCGTGGGTTCGAACCCCGGCCGCGTCATACCAAAAGAAGTTAAAAGACGGGAGTTGCTGCTACCTTGTTTGGCGTTTAACAATAAGGGATAGAGCAACGTTGATCTGGTGCTGATCAGTGGCTGCCGGGCTCAAGATCAATTGGGCAAAAAGAATTTCCATTTTTCGGTTTAACTTACCGGTAATAAAATTTGGAGTGGACTTTAAGATAATGCATTATTAGAGAATCTTTTTTAACAATGTGGATTTTTTCCTCTTTGTTTCTTTGCAGAGGAGATGGCAACGTATCTGAGGTATGTTAGAAGACTAGATTTCTTTGAGACGCCGGACTACAACTACTTAAGAAAGCTCTTTATGGACCTCTATGAGAAGAAGGGCTACACGAATCTACACGAGTTCGATTGGACTGGCAAAGAGACGGTAAGAGTACAGACTGAAAGAGAGACTTGAAAACCCACTAGTACACAGAACACAGCTTTGTCAAGGTGCCAATTTCAAACAACAACAACACTGCCGACTACGCGATCAATTGCCATCCAACTTTGGATAACATTTCCGTTTGCATTATAAATGATATCTAAACTTCCCAATTTAGTCATATGGACTTGAAATTTGAGGCACTGAAAAAGCATTCTAGCCAAAGAATAGATAAGAATGAGATAAGAAAGTGGACTGGTTGAATTAGGGCCTTTGTTGAATACTTTTAGATGTAAGCTTTTATACTTCACATTTTCATGAAACATAAATCAGGACAAATCAAATTATCACAAACTTCAAAAATTAGACAATTTGGTAAGGGTATGACTAATTAATAGTCTTAACTGGATATATGCAGTACTGAATTCAAAGTCTATTGGCATTACAGGCAATACTCTCATGCTTACAATGAAAATTATGAGTGATATTGAACGAGATTAAAAACAATCGACAACAATGAGCATATGAAGAGGAAGGAAAAGAAATGTGATTTGTAATATCCTGCCTCTCATAAATTATTTGTTTTTTGTCATTGTCAACTATAAGTGAAGATCTTGAATTGTCATTTGGCTCTGATAGAATGACAAATTTATATCTGAGCAATTATTGTTCTGAAGAAGAAGTACAATGACAATTTAAAGGGAAGAAGGAACATATAAAACTTAATGTAGATACTACAGCTTTAAGTGACTCGGTAACATTGCCTCAGATTCTTAAACAAAATCCTGGATTTAGCTCATGCTGCAATCATAATATAAACCCTTAGGTCAGTCAGGAATCCCATGACTTTTACAAGCCGATCACCTGTCTGATTATCAAGATATTTATTGGAATTTGAAATTTCAAAAACCATTTTCCCAACAGTTTTTATAACACTACAGTTTATTGGGGAAAAACAAGTATTGTAAAACCGGTCACTCAAAGATTTTTTTACTTTTTTGAGGCACTTCGTGATCATTTTGAAGCGCAATTTTTTTAGGTCTTCAATATTACACCATATTACAGACACTGATAACACGTAGGGCCATGCATCTCAGATTTAACTTTTAACGATGCCTTTAAGCCCTTTTAGATCTTTGTATGAAGCCATATAATATATGTCTGGGGAATTTGTTAACTTTTGTATGATGCTTCTATTCAATGAAATACAAGTTTGATTCAAATTAATTCTTCAAATTTTAATGCCACCTGTGAAGAGTCTACATGCACATGTGTGCAAAATTTACTTAGTTTTTTTACAGTAGATGCATACTTTTATTATCAGTCCATTTCAGGTATCATGCAAATATAAGTGTTTTTTTTTAATGGGGGGGGGGGGTGACAACAATTTTGAATGTTTGCTTATGACCAAAATGATCGTTTAATATTCAAATTGAGTAGTCGTATTACCATGCAATGTTTTGTTGTTGTGTTTCCACAGATATCACACGTACCAAGCTCGGCCAATGACGGCGGTCAAGCCACTCACGCCAAAGATGGGCGCAAAGATGATAATCCCAGGGTAAGTGCTTCAAAACCACCACCTCTCCAAGATTGCTCTCTACCTCTATCTAATAGAGGGTTTATCTCTATTGTTTGTTAGTTTGTTTGTTGTTTTGTGTTAACAATCTTGTCTCTCTTCTGATGTTGCTCTTGAATGTTTCTCTTGAATGTTTCTCTAAAAAGATGAAGATGGTTATAGAGAACGCTAGTCAGCCAATGAGAAGGATGGCTCAAACGATAATGAAATTTGAATATGGCTAATCCGGTTCAAATTATATGTCAAGGCCCCCTTTTTCACAATAAACTCCACAAATATTAAGTTCAAAGTGTTAAAAATGTCGACTAATTCTGTACTTATACCAGACAAAAAAGATGGTTCATCTAGTGACGGTTATAAAGAATGCTAGTCATACAATGAGAAGGATGACTCAAACGATAGTTAAATTTGAACATAGCTAATCCAGTTCAAAATATATATCAAGGACCGCTTTTTTGCAAAGACAAAATGCTTCACAATATACTCCACAAATATTATGTTCAATGTGGTAAAATGACAAGTAATTCTGTACTCTGGAATAACTTGCCATTTGAAGTCAGGAAATCCCATCTGTGAATATCTTTAAATAAAAACTGAAAGCACATCTCTTCAATTAACTTGTAACATCATGTAGCGCAGTAGAATATATACTTAATGTTGGATAGTTTCTGCGCTCTGTAAATGTATTATTATTATTATTATTATTATTATTATTATTATTATTATTACTTATTGCAGACAACGACAAACCAAAGGTGGGACGTACAACGGACGGGAGGGCTGGAGGCTCCGGGGGGCGGCAACCAGCCAGGGTCAATCCAGGTCATCAGTTCAACCAACGGAGAGGTAGCACCGGACGACTTCAACAAAGGTTCACAGGCACCTATCACCACACCTACAGGGGAAGTGGAAGTCGTAGAAGACACAAAGTGAGTAGTTATTGGATTCTTCTTCCTTCATATATATTGGTGGGTCTCTTCAATATGTTTGTACTGCCTTGCAAGAGAGAATATCAGCACACCACATACGCATACCTGCCAACCCTTACGAATAATCCGAAATATTCTGATTTTCTGGATTTCTAGAACCTGACAATCTGGAATATTATTTTGTTTTTGTATGTGCTTAAGCCAAATTAAGTTTGTCTTATCATGTGCCGCGATTTGATAGTTCACGTATTGAATGGCTGCATGATCGAGCAGCAAATTTGTATTCGCTTTTTGGTACAGATTTACCCGAAAAGCCAGTTTAACTGCCGCTGCAAGTGTGATTTCTTATTTTTTTAAGGCATACCGTGCTAAAAATTCCTAATTCTTATTTTCAAATGTTGGCAGGTATGCATACCCTCTGATCTTACTACAACCAAGTTTGGTCGAAATTGCATTTAGGGTTTGGTATGAAAATGTTCAGAATGTGAATCCTTCATGGCTTGTCTAAGAGTGCAAGGTTCTTTGAGCCTTCTACATGTATTTGAGGGGGAAAAGGCTCAGTCGATTCTACATAAGGGCACCGTGAGACCAGTTGCATAGCTATTCCTGATTTGTAACCTATTCTCCGCTGTCTCAAAAACTAACAGTGCCCCAACATTTGTATGTAGATATTCATTTAACTGTTCATTGATTATTTTTTTGATTGTGCTCAGAGATATTGGGGACATGTACGATATGAATGTACGTTCTTACGCTTTTGTTTTTCCTTCCTGTCTCTCTCTCTCTCTCTTTTCCAGGTGCTGTTGTTTCTTCAAGCGGAAAAAGAAGAAGGGTCTGGGAAGGCGGAAGTAGCTGTCCATGTCACATCCCTCTCTCTCCAATTGAATGGCCCTCTGACCATAATATGCTCTCTCGTCAAATCTCGGTGGCTAGTCTCTGAAGGGTTGTACCAAGGTTGAGACCAAGACAATTCCTCAGATCTTACATTTTGCCATCAAGCTTCAGTGGCACGTCTCTGAAGGATTGTATCAGGGTTTTACCAAAGTTGTACCAAGGTTGTACCAAAACAATTCCTCAGACCTTACATTTTGTCATCGAGCTTCAGTTGCACGTCTCTGAAGGGTTGTACCAAGGTTGTACCAAGGTTGTACCAAGACAATTCTTCAGACATTACATTTTGTCACCAAGTTTTAGTGGCAAGTCTCTGAACGGTTGTATCAAGGTTTTACCAACTTAAGGCAATTCCTTAGACCTTACATTCTGTCATCGAGCTTCAGTGGCACATCTCTGAAGGGTTGTATCAGGGTTGTACCAAAGTTGTACAAAGGAAAACCCTCAGACCTTGCATTTTCTTACCAAACTTTGGGGGCTAGTCTCTAAAGGGTTATATCAGGTTTGTACCAGGACTGTACCAAGGCCGTCCCTAAGACCATAAGCTATCTCATCAAACCTCAGTGGCTAGTCTCTGAAGGGTTGTGCAAGAGATTCAAAGGCCACTCTGCAGACTGCACACCCATCAAACCCCAGTGGCTAGACTCTGTAGGGTTGTTCAAAGACCATCATTTATCGTAGAGGTATAATCCTTGATGCCATGAAGATGCATGTGCTGTCGATGTCTTGGTTACATTCCCTGATTTGAACGCGCAGTTCTCAAACAGCCCTACAGTTGAACTATCATTGAGTAAAGAGCTATGGCTAGTCTTGATTACATTGTTAAAAATATACTTTTTTAAATAATTGTTATTGTTTACTTCAAAGTTTGTCGTACCTCTTGTTGCATTGTCACTTTTCCATAATAAATCTAACTCCAGAAATCACCAGTACAAGCTCAGTTTCATGGAAAATTGTGTGTCATGTATGAATGTAAATTTCAGGTTCATAACTTTACCCAGATATTTAGGAACTCTAAGGGACATCGTTATTGATGGAAACCCTTTTTGGTTTCGTGCTCAGCTTTTGCAAATATGTCAGAGAAAAAAAATCTGACACATTCAGATAACTTCATTATTAAGCTAACCCATTTTCAATAGCAAGTGAGAGGATTCCATCAAATTAAAGATTGAATTTTATGAATTTCACAATTTTGATTTCAAATACATGCTGATATTCAGCTATTTTATAGTATCAGTTTTCGTGATCAACACTTTTCAAGTAACATTTTGTAAGTATAGTAACGAATGTATAATTCCATGTGTCAAAATGTTTCTTGAGGCTTATCCAATCAAAGCTGGTTACAAATATTTAATCATCCATGAGGAATAACTTGAGGGTTTTTAAACATTCGCTGTATCTGTGTGTATAGAGAATGAAGTTCACGTGCAATTTGCTTAGAAATTCTTTTGCACTCTTATTAGTTTCTTTTATAAGCATAAGTGTTATGTCTTTTGTATAAATCAACATTATTTTTCTGCCCCATGGTATACAGGAGAATGCTATTTCTCGTATTGAAAGGAAATGCAACTAAAGTAGTTAAGTTGAAATAACAACAACAAGGCCACGTACATCTGACATGTTGAGATTTGACTTTTGAAATATCATTGCTTTACAGAGGTTTGGAACATTTGCTGTACATTAAAAAATGGATTAAATTGGTTTTAGTGTCTTTTTACAGTTGGAAGGAAAAAAAATGGAATTTTGCTGTAAAAAAAAAGCTTACCTCTAAATTGGAGGAGCAAAATGATGAATCCCGACTATTAAAATCATCGTAGCTCTTTCGATTCAGTATTTTATGGGAAAATGGACAAATGATGCTCAAAAATGAACAAGACATCTAAATCAAGTACATGTATTTGGAAAATGTCTGATTTGTGAGACAATTATTTTCATAATGACCTTGATGATAAATATTAGTTATCAAATCTAAGATGTCTTACCGTTTCATAAATTTCATTCGCAAATGACATCTTGATTGCTTCAGAAGTTCAGAAAGCAAATTAGATCTCTCCTTTTTTTTAAATAAAGCAAATTAACAAAAATTCTTTAAAAGCAATTAAGGTCTCAGGCCAAATTGTCATATTTTACTCAATCATTAATAGCTTCTGTAATGTAAAAGTCATAAATCCATTTATAAAAGTGCAAATAATTGACATAAAGGAACACATTTCAATCAATAAAATATATATGATTGGACTTTAATAACAGTGTTGCAATGTGGTATATCTGTTTTTGTTGAGACCCCAATGAAGAGGACAGTATCTGAACAATCAATAAGTTTTGTTTAAAAGCAACGTCCTTTGGAGGAGGAAATATATATTTTGGGGGGTAATGTCTCCTTATTAAAGTGTCATCTTATGCTTTCATGTCTTTTAATTGCTTATGTGTGTGTGTTTACCGGTAAGTTGTATTTTTCTTTTGTTGCTACTAAACAAAAAGAAGAATCTGCATCGTAACCAATCAAGCAGTCAACCACTTCTGATTAAGTCTGAGTAATGTAAATTCATAACATGGAATGCAGAGTGCAACTTGTAAAATAGTGTTACGTTATTTTTATAAATCAATTTGTAAATTGACTTGAACGAGGTGCTGAGAAACAGGAAAACCTCACAGCTGTTTTTCTGTTAATTCTTTCAAGTAGAGATAATATTCAGTCTGTGAAATTTCAAGGTTGCAATGAATAACGCAAGCATTTGGGATGGAGATTTTATGGTTTGGTTTCATACGCCGTTGTATTTATAAACGTTTCATTGTCACCCACTATTGCCTTATATAACTGTACATTTTTTCATTCGAGTAATTGTTGAGATACGATTGAAAGATGAAAAACAGCTCTCTGCTTTAATTTGTGGCAATGTCGTAGCTATAGTTTGTTTACCCTAGCACAATGGTATCCATAGGCAATGGAACAGAAGACAAGTCATCAAGTATTACGAGAATAAAACTAGATTCATATGTCGTTGCCATCACCACTTAATCTGTGTGTCATTTTATATATATTATATATAAATATACATATACTTTTTTCTTTTTTTCTTCAGATTTTGCAACTTTACAGATCATTTTTGCACCTTGCGTTTACATATACAGTGTAATAGAAATACAGGGGTGCATTTGTTCTGTCCTTTGAGCAGTGGTGTGGCAATAGGAACCTATTTAGTAAAATGCGAAGTAACTTTCTGTTTCAAACCATTAGCGCAAACTAATCAGTTTTCTCTTCTTTTGTCAGACTACTTCCTTAACTTGAATCTTTATCGTTCTTGCCTCGAGTCTTTGGTAATTTTTTTTTTTATCATAGTCATGTTTGACGCGTTGTTCTGAGCATCATTCCATTATAAATTGAGCGAGAGAGAGTGAGAGAGTGAGAGAGCCTGACACAATACGTTGTAATTGGTACTGCTAATGCAAAGTGAACAATAAGTTGGTATATTTGAAAACAATTTTTATTGTCTTGATGAAATCATTATTAAAAAAAAGAAAGCATAATATAACTGTACATTTTGTAAACTTCTTATCGATATGCTCTTGATTTCATTAGGATCACGTATACCTAAAATGCATTATCAGTTTTTAATTGTCTAATTCAGGTGAAAATGATTTGTTTCTTTCATGCAGTTCATAGTTTATTTCTTCACCTCTTTGTCCTCCCTGACGCGGCTCATACCAATGAGAATGAAAGCCATGTAGTCGTACTTGAAGTGTAGATATTTGAAGTTCCGCCATTTTTAAACAAAGTACACTATTATGAAACAGAAAAAACATGTTACGTGTGTTTGGATATCATGTTGTCTGTTGGTAACAACAAACGTACCTTGGAATGATATTGACATGAATTTTATTCCATTCACTTTGTGTTTTGTATGAAATGAAAAAAAGGGTGGAAAAATGATGCAAGGTGAGATGATATATGTCAAATGTATCTTTAAATGTGTTTTTTCTACGTGATTTAAAAACAAAGCTAATGGTAAGAAGAGAGGAATTATAACCGTGTTCCGTAGGAGATACATGCACAGTAGTTCTGTATTGATAGTCTCAACGTCCCTTTCCACACAGATATATGAGGCTTGATAGAATCACTCCCTTGGCCGGGGACGATGAATATTAGAAATTAGCATTTCGTCTTATGAGAGCGAGAAGGGCATTAGTTCAAACATTTTCAGACTTAACGCCCTTCCTGCTCCCAGTAGATGATTCGACCCCTAAAACCTGTAAACCATTTTAATATCGAGCCTGAAAATTGTCTGAAATGGGCCTTACTGTCAACTGTCAGCTAAGAAGTTATGAAATAAAAGCAAACTATATGTCAAATTATGAATCTACCTATGAAAGATCTCTGTTTGAGTAATACATGTATTAAAATTGAGTGTGTTGTCCTATTTTAAGACTGTAATTCCTGAATATGCCACGTCTCCCTTCATCAGTTTCATTTACTAATTTATGTGGCTGATATTCCCCCGACACTGTTAAATTCGGATTGATGTATCAGCATTACTACATGTATGTATATTAGAACTTTTATGCAGAACTAAACGGGAGACTATCTTTTCCCACGTGCATAGAACCTCCATACTGTCTAGTACCCAAATGTTAATTGATCAAAAGAATGATACCGTTTTATGCTGTATCTCTTGCTGTTCTCGTCTCTTCTTCTTAAAGCTATTTGTACACTATGAAATGTTTCTCACTAATCATTTCAAGATTATTGCTTGAGAGAAGGGAGGAGTCATGAAAGAAAATGTGAATAAAATATGTAGAAATTATAAATAGCTCCATGTGGTATGCCTGCTTTTTTGTGTGTGTTTTGTATATACTATGATTGATTAATTGACACATGAGTCTTTCATTCTTTATCTTATTCTCATCCAGTCTTTCTTTCTATCTCTCATTCTTCCGTTCTTCCTTTTTCTTATTTTATTGTTTTCTCTCTCTCTCTCTCTCCTTCCTTCTCTTTCTCTCAATTTCAATTTCAATTTCAATTTCAATTTCAATTTATTTATGTTTCCAACAAAACATTACAAATCCATCATAAACATTTACAACAAATGTAGAAATACATATTGGCAACAGAGGGTCCACTAAAAGGCAATGCTTGTACAAGTGTGAACACCTCAAATGGTACTCGGGAATAATGAGTAATTAAATCAACAAGTCCGTAACTACAAAAGGATCTACAAAATGGGGGGAAAGGGGGATGCCAACAGAGAAGAGACAAGGCAGTAGTTTACATGACAAAGATAGAAGAACACGGTCATAATACAAAGAGTCTACAATGCCAAAAAAGAAGTGAGGTCGGGGGTACAGAAATAAAACAAAATGATGAGCTGCATGTGGGGTTGAGAAGAAGATGAGGAAAGAGAAATGCGCATTAGAAAGGAGATAAGCATGAGAAGGCACAATATAATATATCAAATTACATGAGAGTCAGTGAGTAGAGAATGATCTTGTATTCAACAAAAACAACAACAACAACTTTTTTTTCTCTCTCTCTCTCTCCCCCTCTTCCTGTCTCATTCTTCTACCTCTTCTTTACACATGTTATCTGTCTTTCCCGGGCTCAGCTCATGTCCACCTCATACAAGAAACATAACTTCTTTTTTTTTTTCATCTCGTAAATCGTTCTAAAGCTGAAATAATAACATAAAATACATAGCTTACAACAAAGTGGTAGATAATCACATCATATGAACATTGCGATTGGAAGCTTTGTGTTGTGGTCGAGTGGATAAGTCACCGGACTGTGGATCACAAGGTCCGCGGTTCAAGTCCCGCCGCGGCACTAATGTCCTTTGGCAAGACATTGATCTACATTTGCCACTCTCCACCCAGGTGTTAAAATGGGTACCCGGTAGGATGCGAAAGCTAATGTGGTTTGATTAGCAAGTGGCGCTTGTAAAATGGCGACTGGCTGGAATGCTCCCCAGGGAGTGGAGAATGTGCATACCTTGTGTGCGGGTAAGCCTGAATCCGATGACCGGGGTAATAATAATATGTTGTAAAGCGCTGTGATACACATGTATGTCTGTAAGAGCGCTATATAAATGCCAATATTATTATTTTATTTGATTTGATTTTCTTCTGCATTCATGTAAGCATACAGTTTTTTGATAACAATAATGATATAAAGTACAATAAGTATTTTTCTGACAATGAATCATAAATAAGCAAATACATATATATATATATATATATATATATATAAATTGTTATTTTCAAAAACGAAATGATAAACTGTCATAAATACTAAATTTCCTCAAACATTATAAAACATAATAGTAGGTGTGAAGTGAAAGTCAAAGAAACCTTTGAAAGAAAAGCTTCTTGAGATAAATGAATAATAATAAATTCAATTTTTAAAGTACACTTAAATGTTCCTAGAATCCATGATGTTAAATAATAGGGGGTACACACTTGACAAATAAAGGAACTGTAAAACATGTTAGGTGCAACATTACAGACAGTGGTCATTTGTGAAGGGCATTTTCAATAGATTACTTAAAAATAAAAATAAAAATATTTTATGGCCAAAAACTATTCAAACATTTCACAGAAACAAATGAGGTATCGAGAGGAAATTGCCCATTTAGTTTGAATTCATTTTTGGAGCGATCATGGAAGAGAAGATAATTGATAACACCCCCCCCCCCCCCCCCCTCCACACACACTTATTTTACTGGTAAATATTTTCTGTTTGATAACTTCTTTATATAAAGTTACATTTCCCCCCAAATCGTATATGATCTCCTCGTCTTTATTAACATTCCACAATAGTGATCAATATTCCTTATGAATTACCCAATCACCCTTCCCAAACCATCTCAATTCAGTTTTAATTGATAGCAATATCAAGCGCCAAGAAAAACAATGTCACTCGGGGTGGGGCATTCCGTGTCCTTCAAAAGTTTATATATATTATATAATTATAAACATGTATTTCTACTGGCGTTCTGAGCCGGTGACCGTGGCCGGGTTTGATTCCAGGCAGGCGGCGCAGACATTTTTCAATCTTTTCAAAAAAATTGTTAAAGGGAGGTCAGTGGGGACAATTTACTTATGATACGCAATAATTATTCTCTCATTTCCTGTCCTTTCGCATTGTATTTATTTCCATGACAGTTGCCAAAGCTGTTGGACAAGTTATTTACTGACACATAATATATCGTATTTAATCCGAACATGATTTATATGAAATGTACAATAGGGTATTGAAGTTGCTCCTTAGTTGATTTATCGAAAATGATTGCAATTTATACATGTTCTTTTAGTTAATTTATTCATTTTAATTGAAGGAAACTGTAAACAAATCAATGCCACCTGCACTTACTTTAAGGACATGCCCTTTTGAATGACGCTCATTAATAAAGTCAATCATCCTTTTATTCTATACTCATTCATAATTTTGGGAAAATAATGAGTCATCCAACCAATCAAGCATATTTTTTCATTATATCAATTAATCTGCCTCACATACATCTACATTTCGGCTAAATATAGTGATGTAAAGAAAACGTGCAAACTAAATGTCCACCTATCAACTGTGGTTATTTCATTTTATTCGAGTATTCATTCTGTTTAGAAAAATTAAAAAATTAATGATAACAGTGAATAAATGTAATGTTTTAAAAGGCTCTTTCATGAATTTCATTTAGTCCATTTTATATTTATAAATGCGTTCTTATTTTAGCTTTTTTGAATTTATTTATATTTTTAACTTTGTATCAAAAAGTGGAAAGCGCATAAAACTCGAGTGTAAAAATGAAAGTTCGGTTTTCATTATCTTCTACCCCGCTTTACAATTGCTCTAGCGCCACCTTTTGGCACGAATAATCCAAGCGCTTACACAAAAATGGATGAAACAGAAGACAACGAAGGAAAGGAAGCTGGCGCGAATTCCTCAGTAAGTACTAATTTTATATGAATTTTAATTAAGAGTAGATATATGAAAGGAAACTATATAAATATAAGTAACTGTCAAACTGTTTGTTATATCATGAGGGAAAATAGCTTTATTTGGCTGCCTCTGAGCTGCCTCTGGCTTTGGCTTTGCTACACAATTTTGAGCAAGTGGGACTGTGATGGCCGATGGGTATGATTGTTCAATGAATGATATAGCCGAGGGGCAAAGTGGAAACTTTGTCTGATATGCAGATGCGAAGTCAAGAAATCATTGTTTCATATAATTTTAGTGCGGTGGCATTTTAGCCTACATTTTTTAGCAATATTCACCTTTTTTTTATAGCTTTGATTGTGTTGATAAGTAAATATCGTCAGATCCATCCTCTCATCTGACATTTGTCTGAAGTCTGCTTTTTGATTTTCATTCGCATAATTGCAAGGACAGGTCGTTCTCAAATGTCATTATCTACTCTTCATTTCATATTACTCTTGTCAGGTTTGTGAGGAATCAAAGGAGACAAATTCTTGTACCAACTCGGACCAGAATGATCCAAATGAGGAGCAACTTCAGGAAAACAATGCAGAAGAACCAGAGGCAGAGAAGCAGAAGGAACATGAATCTGAACATAATGAAGCGGGACCAAGTAAATGTAAAGATGACAAAGAGGATGACAGTGCCACTATTCAGCCAGAAGATGAAGCAAATGAAGAGCCTGCCCTCGTTGATGGAAAGGAGGGTGCTGACACTGCGGCGGATAAAGAGATTGAAAACAACGAAAACCAAAGCAAGAAAAACGATGATGAGGACGATGATGAGGACAATATGGAGGAAAGCAAGATAGAAATGGTAGATGAAAGTAGGACGAATGATAAGCCAGTGGATGAGGGTAGGGAGAATGGAGAGACGAAGGAGAAAGACTCAGAGATGGAGGCACCAGAAGAGATGGAGATGAAAGATGTCTCGGACTCTGAGTGTCCTGATGTTCTGGAGGATGGGGAGATTCTAGAGGAGAGTCAAGCCAGTACATCACAGGATGTTTCCGTCAGTCAGGAGGACGTTTCCTTGGAAGAACCTGATACCATTGAAGAGGCTGTGGAGGTGAAAACATTTGAGGAGGCAAAAGAGCGAATCGGGGTGTTGGAGAAGAGGATTGAGAGAGAAGTCGGGCACAGAACAGATCTTATGAAACAGGTATAATCAAGATTTGATTTGTATGTGCATATTTTTTACCTAGACAAGTTTTTTTTTACAATATTTTTCGTATGTATTCAAATCTGTGTATTAATCATCATAAGATAAACCATATTTATTTTTCTTCATGATAGTATAGAATTGATGTATATTGTACAAACTATTATTTTTTTAAATTGTTGATGCCATGACTAAAATGGTGAACATGTAGAACATGGTCACTTAACTACCTATAATCTAGACTTTCTGTCTATTGGACTAACTGTAGAAGCACAAATGAAACAATATGTACAGAATCAGAGGCGCATCTTAACATTATTGGCCAGAAGTTAAATGTTGATATTCAAATTGTTTGTGTTTTTTCTTAGGTGAGATCCCTAAGACTGGAGTTGCACAAGGTGAAGGGAGGGAGTGATCTTGAAACTCAGACAGTCGGGGTGCAGACGGATCCAGAGTGCATTCAGATCTACGATGAGCAACCTCCCACCCTGCAGGCTGAAGTCTACCAGGTTGTGGAGAGTTCAGGCACAGCTCAACAAGGACCCTCTGCAGCAGCTGGTGCAACTCAGTGGCCCACTAGGACACCGGCACAGGTATACAAGCTACAAGATACAAGATATTTTATTTGGTCTTTGCAAACAAGTTGCAAAGAAATATTGTTTCTACTGGCATTACAGTAATATTCAGGAAAATACATAGTTACAAGAAATATATACATCACGTTTATAGAAATAGATGAAATAATGAACAAATACATGCATTGGTACTTCAGATCATGAGTTTCAGAACTAAGCCTTGGTCATTGGTATGATATCACATCAGTAATCATGGCTCCGCATCAGCCTTTTTCTTATTTTCTTGGTGACCTAGATTAAGTATTAGGGGTCTGTTGGCATCAGGAACCCTGTTTACATTTGAAAAAATTGTGGGATCCTTGGTGAAATGGTCAGGTCTGTTTGAACTGGACCCCTGATAATATCAAACCTAGATTTGTTTTGCTCCTTTATTCAGTGATTTCTTTGTTTCTTCTTAATAATGTAGTTCACTTATTTTGAATATTTTGAATATTTTTTTATTTTTTACTTATGTCTCCTATTTATAAAAGATATAAATATAACTTTACTTTAAACGTTGAATGATCAAGATACATGAGATTGGAAGTTCTAGTACAAGTATATTTCCCAATAATAATCAATCATAAAACATGCATCAGGGAACTTTCACCTGACTGTAAAAATTGTACCGTATTCATTTTCATGGCAGATGCATAAGACACTAGCCAATTCACAATGTAAACGTTAGAAGCTAAAGGTGTGTGTGTGTGTGTGGGGGGGGGGGGAGGGGGTTAGGGACAGTCCAAAAGGTAAGTTAGGTGGCAAATAACGTCTTTCAAGCTTGTCAAGAAATTATAAAACAGAGTAAAGTTTGGGGAAGATACCTTTTATATTGTGTGCTGTTTTTTGCAGGCGTCATCTTCGACACAAGCCCAGTCTGTTGCAGAGAGTGTGAGAGCCACTGCTGAAGCCGCCTTGGCTCAATCTGGTGTGGTGCTAGATGAAGCTAGTGGCATGTACTACGATTACAACTCTGGCTACTACTATGATCCCGTGAGTACAAGCATTGATTGATTGAGAAGGGTTAAAATGTTGCCAATTTGCGTTTTGATCTTTTACCCCCCCCCCCCCAGAAAATTACCCCCGACGACAATTGCTGCAAAGTTCTACAGAATTTGATGTGGCTGCAAAACGGATACACTACCTTTAATCGGATTTTACTCAAAAAAACTTTCACCGACCTGTTCCTGTCATTTTTTCTTTGTTTTAAAACCAACTTAATATCAGGGTTGACTTCCACTTTAATCCCCTTTATGTTCATAAGTGGTACTTGAACACAAACTGAATTCAGTAATTCAGTCTCCTTGCCTTGGATTCATTATATACACCTCATAAAGAGGTTAGTGCAGGGATGCAAACTTTAAGGTTTTTTGTCTGATTTCAGACTCTGTCACTTCTCTCTCTTTCATGCTTTTTTTAGGCTTCACATTGTTCAGATCATATGGGTCTCTTGTACGACTGGAAGTATGAACAATATTTTCAAATTTGTTCATATTTTGTGGAACCAAGTAGAGCAAGGGTGTTGGTGTCCCTGCTCTTTTGCACTATACAATCATGGCAGATAAGATATTTTGCATACAAGGAGACAGCATTAATATTGAAACATGATTACATTATCTCAGAGTTAATTTAAGCCAAAGAACATTTGCTGAGCATTTGACACTCTGTATTTTACAATACATTGTAAACAACTTTAAACAATTACCGTATGTTTCAATGTTCATCTCCAGAACAACCACCTTTACTACGACCCGGCACGAGGAATGTACTACTTCTACGATGAGCAGACACAGTCCTACCAGTTTCATTCCAAGATTGACCTTCCAGAGGTCGTTGTCACGGGAACCAAGGGTAGCAGGAGCCAGTCGGATAGGAAGAGACATGAGAGAGAGAGGCAGAAAGGAGAGCGATCAAGGAAGGGAAGAAATCCTGATCAGAGCAGAGAGGAGGTGAGACTTATTGGTGTCTTTGAAGATATACTTAAGAGAACGTTGAGTTCTGGGAAGAGGGGACGAATAATTTGTGAGCGTTATCATTGTATTATGCATGTGTGGAAGAACATCAGAGAAAAAATGTACCCTGAAAAGCATTGCTCTTCAAATGCCCTAACATTCTAAACATGGCATGTAAGATCATAAAAATCGGGACGGATTTTCATGCCATATGTTTGTGTAGTCCCATCTTTCTATGTACAGTGCTTGTAACTTTACCAAGACTGGGCCGAATTTCTTATCAATTTGAAGATTCCAGAACCTTGCAGTACACACCAATACTTAAATGCTCACAATGCAATGCATGACCAGAACTCAACTTTATCTTTAATGAAAGATATATGCCTGTGGATGTCACAGTGGAGGAAACGGTGCTTTGGTGCACAGGAGAAAAGGCCATGAACATTTTGTAAGACGATCCTATGTTAAGTGAAGGTCTTGAACTGCGCTCAAACAACCAAACATGTACACAAAGGAGGATATTAAAACAGTTATAAATTTGGACATTATACGATGATGCAATTTGCTATCTCTTCTTGATTACTTGTTGCTGTAATCCGTGTAATCGGTTTTGTTCTACTAATGTTGTATGAGATAGAAAAATTGTTTGATGGGTGTCGGCTAAAATGTCATTTGTTATCAATTCTCTCATTCCTATAGGCTTAATACAGGAGCCACAGGGTTCAGTAGTGAATGGGTTGGGAATGGGTGAATTATGAGAGGAGATAAGCTTGTCATGTCATTGGTGTACCCACCTGCAATTGCAGAATATTGTAGGAGACCTTTTATGTTCACCATAGTAGCCAACAATATTGAATCGTTTTGCGGGAAAATTTGCACCACCTTATCAGGAATAAAGAGAATCCGTAAAAGTTTACTATTAAGTCTCAGAAGAAATAGGGTCATAGGAATTCCTTGAAGAAATAAAAAAAAAAGGTATTTGGTCTCAAAGGTAAAGACCAGTTTTGGAAACGTCCCCCTCTCAAAATATGAAGTGGAAGCTCTTATTACCAATCATGTGAAAGAATATGTTTTGACTAATACGTGATGATACAAATTTTGCCAGGAAACCACCTACTATACTAATTGCCTGGATAGATATCGCGTAGTCCTTTTGCTAAAATCATATCAATTCTAGAGGTGGTTAGATGTTTGGCACCTGTCCTAATGGCGTCCCTCTCTTCTGCATTCTCATTCTGCTACAGGAGGGTTATCTGATAGCTGGCATGACAAGCCTCTCCCTTAATGAGCAAGATCATACATACTATGGCCAACAAATAAACTACTTTTGCTGTCCTCAAAATACAGGTACTAGTTCGTTCTGAAATTTTAATTAATTCTTGTCTTTTCTTGTTTTGCCTCCTTCTCATGCTTGCACTTCACTCTACTGTCTGTCCGTCTGTCTGTCGGTATCGTATTCTCTGTATGATCCTTACTTCATGTTTCTGTTTTCTTTATCTGTTTCTGTTCTTTTCTCTCACATATTTCTATTTCTCTGAATTTTCATTCTTTATTGCCTGATGCCATCTCCATTCCTTTCTACTGTTCTCTTGTGTCTGACCTCTTTCCTCTATATCCTGTTCTTCTATCCATCATTATCACTGTCTTTCACCGTCCCTTCCTTCAACATTGCCCTTCACCGATTGTCTGGGGAAATGCAATGTCCTCACAATGAAATAACCTTGGATCGCACCGTACTTGGGCAGCAGTCTGAAACCAGTGACAAGCCATCCACCTCAAGATCTAGAACAGCAAACCCAGATTGCGAAGTCATCGATATCACCAGCCCTTCTGAAGACTCTCCTGAAAATGGTATGGACGCAACCTCCGCCACCACCACCTCCGCCACAACCTCCGCCACAACCGCCAAACCTCAGGACCAGGACCGAAACCAGGATGGCATCGATGTCGTTGAGATCGTGGACGATGACGACCCGTCGAAACATCATCGTCACAAGCGACGGTTGAAGTACTCTCATTCTAGAAGAAAGCGGAGGAAGACCGAGGATGAAGAGGAACGGAAGGAGAACGGAGAAGAAGAGTTGCCGGACGTGATTGTCATAGACTCTGATGATTCGGACATGGAAGAAGGGGAGTTGTCGGACAGCTCCTCTGAGAGTGGAGGGTCGTCTAAGGGGGAGTCGGGGGAGGATGGGGAAGGAGAGGACGTCAGTGAGGAGTCCATGGTCATCGATGATGACGATGATGTACAGAGTGTGGAAGGTTTGTTTGTCAGCTGTGGTGATGTTTGTTGTATTGTCCAAAAACAACGTATTGAAAGATTCTGATTGTTACAAGGAAAAATGTAAAAGAAAGATGTAATGTGTTGTACTGTAAGAAAATTTTGAGTTGATTGAATTTTTCAGATATAAACATGTTGATTTTGTCATATCATAAATGTTCTATTGATTCTGGATGTGTCAGGCATTTCATTGTGTATTTCTATACTCAATATTCAAATACTTAAACATGCTTATTCAAGATTTAAGAAATGATAAAAAATGTTTAATAGGTTATTTGTAACAAAAGGTATATAGTTTGTAGTACACTCTCTTAGTGAATGTATTCTTATGTTTTATTTATTTGTCCTTCTTTTCTTTAATTTACCCTCACAGCCACAAAAGTTGACTATCCACCCTGTATCCGTATGATCGTTGTGAGATCTGAATCCATGAAGCTTGGTTCTCTATCGATAGTCACCTGTACAGGGGGCACCATTGGCAGGTAAGAAACAAAATCACATCAGATTCCTGTACTACTACTCCTATGTTATACCGTAGCCCCTTCGAGCCTTTAGCTTCTCTCTCGCGCATTCACTCTTGCTACCCTCATTCCACCTTCTCAATTATCCATTCCGCAGGACATCTACCAACTTTGCCTGCGATAGTTGCCATTTCAACACTCTCCTCTTTATTCTTCGACCATTCCTTCCCTTTAAACATGGTACTTCAAGAAAATGCATATAGTTTGATAAGATATTATTTCCTCAAATGTGCTAATTTTCAATAGTTTAATTGGATTTATTTATAGAATATTAATTCATATTTTCATTCTCATTTTTATTAAATTATGGAAAGAATAAAAAAGTGGCGTTGAAATCTGCCCTTGAACCTTTTGATGTCTATTTGTGTTTATTTCACCTGACCTCCCCCTACTATGATTTTGATTACTATTAGATTTTCAATAAATCCTTTTTTTCATCCTAAACAGGGAAGGATCAAACCACATTCTGTTGGTTCCAGAGTTGGGTGTTAGCAAGACGCATGCCCAGATGTTATACGACACCGAGAGGAGATGTTACACAATCACCGACCTTGGTAGTCAGAATGGAACCGTTCTCAATGGAGTCCCTCTTACGCGCAAGGTGAGGGAGTCTGAAACACTTGACATTAGTGGATAAAGCCAGTTTAAAAAAAAAACCCATAAGAACGGTGGTTATGGTGTCATAGTCAATCTGTTATTCCTTTCCATATCAATTTGTTTTAGTGAGTGTAATGGCAATAGTGAATTTAAAGAATAGAATTGTCAATGGCAAGAATTGGGGATTAAGGATTTTCATATTAAGTTGTTTCTTTCTACATGGATTGTATACATGTATACCTGTTAATAAGCAATTCTTTGAATCCTTTCAGCATGTAAGTGGTTTCTCGGCTAAAGCCAGAGTATAATAACAATTGCTCCTTTATTGATTTTCTGTGCCAGCGATGTCATGAATGTTTTGTTTACTAGTATGAAAATGTGACTTTTGATTCGTAATGATTGTGTAATTTAACTTCTTATTAATTTTCTTTATTGTTTTAATTAAGGATCCTATTTTATGACCATGTTATCGTTTAAACAATGTGCAATTAGTCCCTGGACTACTACAGTCAAACTTGCTTTAGTGACCACCTACAAAGACAAAGTCTACAAAGACTGCTTTTTGTTTCCCTCGAAAATGGTTTCTCATTAAAACATGCACTGAAGGAACCTGTCTACAAAGACCACTTTTCGTGTTTCCCGTGGGCGGTCGCTATAGACAGGTTTGACTGTACTTTGTATTTTTAATAAACCACATTGAATTGAAGAAAAAAATTACATTTGTTCTTGCCGCTTCAGTCTCGTGTGAAGAGTGACCCTCAGCCTCTGAGTCACAAGGATTATCTGACCTTTGGTACTACCACACTGAGGATACACATCCACCGAGGGGACGAGACATGTGATGAGTGTGAACCAGGCCAGGTACAGGCTACATTCAGACATCAGCAGTCTACGGAAGGTAAGGGGCTTCTCATGGCCATGTTCACATTGACAGTGTGAAGGTGGTGGTTTACTTGAATCTGTCTACAAAGCCCACATTTTTTGTTTCCCTTGAAAAGGTTACACATTGAAACATGTACTAAAGAAACCTGTCTACAAAGACCAACTTTTTGTGTTTACCTTGAGCGGTCGCTCTAGACAGGTTTGACTGTAGTATGAAGTATTGATGAGACCAGGGACCCGTTTCACAAAGTATTTTTTTAATGACAAATTACAAAAATGAGTGACAAATCTGCTGATAACCAATCAGAAGCACGGATTTCACTACCTGTTAACAAAAACTGTCATTTGTCACTGATGACAAGTTTTGTGAAATGGGGCCCTGTTTAGTGAATTTCCTACTTATTTCTTATGAGCGATAATGAAGAACTGTCACCTTTCATGTTTGACGGTATGACTTGATGTTATGTTAGGCATTGTGATAACTTGTAGTTATTGAAGAAGAATTTTGTGTAAATTTTTATTGCATAAAATGTTGATACCTTTCTTAGCTGGTGTTTTGTAAAGAGCCTCATTGTAGTTTGTATGTCATCTGAAAAATATACAAGTTTCAGAAACACTTAGTCTGTAGAATTCATGAGCATTACTTTTTATGTGTTCATCAGCCAGTATTAGGAACAACAAATAAAACAGATTTAAAAAAAAAAAAAAAAATTCATCATTTCTTCTCTCATAGTCACGCCTGTACTGAGCCACGCAGACAAAGAGCAACAGAGGCGGAAAGAGCTACGCAAGATCAAGAAGAAGTACCTCTTAGCCGGTACAGGCTACAGTCAGCGGGAGCCCTCAAGGTCTCATCCTGGGTATAAGGATAGAGCTGGAGAGAGACGGGTTACAGTAGGCAGTGATAACCCATACCAGCCAAACGACATGCCTGCATCAGTCGATAGGTAACAATCTGTTCTTGCTTTAAAGGGCAATCCAACCCTTGGAATAAGTTGATTTGAATGAAACCAAAAAAATAACAGAAACAGAGTGGCAAAAGTTTGAAATGAATCGGACCAATACTAAGGAAGTTATGAATGTTTGAAATAAGAGATCACTAAATCTATGCGAATCTCAAATTGGTAGTTTCGTCAGTGGATTGTGACGTAGGACATGGATAACTCTCCCATTCTCCCATTAATTTCTGTTTTCCTTGTTTCTTGGGGCACTACTCAAATATATTATAGATAGCATATTACTATAGGTCCTCTAAATAGAATAGACCCTCCTGAGCCATGAATTTAGTAGTTTTCTATTTGGATTGGATTTCCTTTAATAGTAAGTTTTGGAGGTAGTGTAGGGATCTAGTAACACTAAAATTGAAATTCTTATCAAAGCTAACAAAACTTACACTGAATGTTCAATGCATTTATGAGAAAATTTATCATCAGATATTATCAGGTACAAATTTGTAAGTAAATGTTTACTACCAAGGAAATACATAAGTCCCATATATATGCATTTATGTGTTGATGTTTTCCATTGAATGTAATCTGTTTACAAGCTTTTACCTGTTTACTGCAATGATAAATTATATTCAAAGAGATGCAATTCATTTGAAAATGTTTTCCCATCGCTTTGCAATGGTGTATGAAAATGTATTTCAAATTTCAAATTTGAAATTTTAGCCCCTGAATTTTTCTTTCCCACATTTCCATTAAAATGTAAAACTTCAAATTTTGAATAAACCTTGCTAGCTTGTAGGGAATCATTTGTGGCCGTGCTTTATCAGAAGTAAAGAAGGATTATTGAATCGATGTGATGTTCATTGTGATAAGATGTGATGTTTTGTGGAGAGAGCCAAAGAATAATTGTATTGTGGTCTAGTGGATAAGTCACCCGACTGCAGATCACTAGGTACAGCGTTAGAGTCCCGCCGCAGCACTAATGTCCTTTGGCGAGACGTTAATCTCCATTTGCCACTCTCCACCCAGGTGTTAAATGAGTACTCGGTGGGATGCGAAAGTAAATGTAGTTTGCTCAGCATTGTGAGCGTCTGTAAAATGACGCCTGGCTGTAATGCTCCCCAGGGAGTAGAGAATGTGCATATCTGTAGAATGCTTAATACATCAATGATGTCTCTAAGCGCTTTACAGATATGTTATTACCCTGGTCATCGGATTCAGAGCTTTATAAAAGCGGAAGTTTATTGTTATTATAATTTTTGTATTCCATATTTTTTGTCTCTATCTACAGAGCTATATCTGGGAGTAACATGGGCCATAAGATGCTGAAGAAGATGGGATGGCAGGAAGGACAGTCGCTCGGCAAGAATGAAAGTGGCATCAAAGAACCAGTAAGTTCACAAAGACTTTATCAATAATATGGATATTTATATAGCGCCGGTATCTGCCAGACTCTGACGCTCATGGCGCTTTACACATATTACCCTGGTTATAGCCGAGCTGCCAAAGTAACTAGCGCTCAAGCTTTGATTTGGAAATAAGATGAATTTGCAGCTCTAGCATAATGTGTTGATAGAAGACGTGATGACTAAGTGATAGAGCAGTGGTCTCGTAACTGGGAGCCCCCGAGTTCGAAACCTAGTTGATGCGTTAAGGCATCAATCCTCATTACCAAGTCTCTTGGAGAGGACTTAAAGCTGTCTGTCCCCTTTTTGCTTAGAAGCATACACATGCTTTTTTAGCAGTCAGGTCAAATAATTATGAAACAAACAAACAAATCACTTTCGTGATCTTGGGTGTTAATGTGCTGTGATGTCTTGACAACTGTCTTAAATGTCTTAAACAATGTTCAATGGTGTCCATGAGAGACAGAAAGCAAGACAGCTACCCCCCCCCCCCCCCCCATGGATATTACATGACATACAGTACATATTGACTTTTATTGATTTGTTGAGGTTGATATTTCAAATTTTTGATCGAGTATGAATCATATAATTTCCAACATTTCCTCCAAATTTTCTGTATACACACACTAGAATTAGCGTCAAGGTACACAGGCGCGGATCCAGGGGGGGGGGCCGAGCGGGCCTTGGTCCCCCCCCCCCCCCCCGCAAAAAAAAAAAAAAAAAAAAAAAGAGAGAGAAGAAAGGAAAAGAAGGGAAAGGGAAAGAGGAGAGAAAGGGAAAGAAAGAAGAAGAAGAAGAAAGAAAAGGGGGAAGAAGGAAATCGGGGGGGGGGGGGGGGGGGGGGGGGGGGGGGAAAGGGCCTTGCTTCCCAGGCTGTTGACCCCCCCCCCCCCCCCCAATTAAAAAAATAGGAGAGAAGGAAGGAAAGGGAAAGAATGAAGGAAAAGAGGAGATACTGGCGTACTAATAGGGGGGGCTTTGGAGAAATCAAATTCAAACGTGGTTTATTTCTAATTCCACTAAGGCTGTGCACAACAGTGTAATGGGGTACCCGAGTACACTCCCATGCTTACAGGCGAATACTCGAGTATTCGGACGCCATGTTTTTTTTTATTTTTTGAATTTTTTTTTGAATTTTTTTTTTTTTTTTTTTTTTTTTGATTTTTTTTTTTTTGATTTTTTTTTTTTTTGCCACCACCATACATACCACTGGAGCAGTATCCCAGTTCTGTCGCCGAAAACGCATGCAATTTTACTTTGAGTTGCAGTTGAAGACGCCGATTTAATAATAATAACAGTGAACAATGCTGTTTTAAAAACCAAAGATGGCAGAATAATCCATTTTCCTCCAAGTCCAAGCAGAAATCCAGACATTTGGTCCCACTTTCTGAGTGGTGAGTTTGACAGTGCTTGAGTTGGGAAACATTTTTACCGACGGCACCATGCCAGAGGCCGCTGCTCACCCAGGCGGCCGAATATTCGGGTACGAGAAATCGTACCCGAGTAGTTGTCAACCGTGCGGTACTCGAGCATTCAACTTCTTTCTTTAATAGTTTAATGAAACGTCAAAGCTTCCGCGCTTCGCGCAGGAGGGGGAGGGGGGGGATTGAATTTAAACAAGGATTAAGAGCCGAAAACTCTACAACGAATCGCCTTCTTTCTCTAATAATTTAATAAATCGTAAAATTTTTCGCGCTTCGCGCGGGAGGGGCAAAACTAAATTCAGACGAAGATTTTGAGTCGAGAACGGTACAAGGAATCGTCTTCTTTCTCTAATAATTTAATGAAACGTCAAAGCTTCCGCGTTTTGTGGAGGAGGGTGGGGAAAACTCGCCCCTCCCTGCACCGACCCCCCCCCCCCCCCGCATTACGTCACTGTTGGTCACCATTACGTACCAATATTTGGCTCGCATAATTTCAAATTTGGGCCCCCCCCTAAGAAATCCTGGATCCGCGCCTGAAGGTACATGATGGTATGTACCGTGCTAATACCTGATGCAATGGTCACAATGTCATCACAGTTTTCACACTCCTAAACTTTCTTTTTAGGATGGGTGAAAACATGACTGACATGGCAACAACTATTGTCTTTTGAATTAATGTGAGTTACAAATAATAAGGCTCTGTAGATTTTACATGTTGTGTTATTTTCTTTCTCCTCCAGATTCAGGTTTTCGTCCACAGCAAGAAGTCTGGGCTTGGAACTGGCAACCAAAAGTCCATGGACAATCTGGGTCTCATCGGCAAGAGGAAGAGTGAGCACTGGGAGAGGGCAAGGGACCGGTACCACCACTTAGACCACGGGGCCAGCGGTAGTGCCAGCACTAGTAGCAGCAGACAACACACAAGACCGCAGGAGATGAAGTGGGTCAAGGGCACAACGCAGGTGCATGAACCGCCGGCGGACTCCGCCCCTCAGAAGGATGACGATGGAGACGTGGAGGTCGTCTCCGAGGTCGTTGCTATGGAGGACGGGGAGACGACGAGGAAAGATGCGGTCAATAAGGATACAGTTCATAATGTGTGTGATGTAGATATGGATCATGATGACAAGAAGAATGGAGGAGGAGGCGATGGCAAAAGGGCGGAGTCATCAAATGGAGAAGGGTCTTCAAAGAACGGTGTTGGTGTTGAGATAAAGGCGGCGGGTGAAATAGCCGAAGAAGTGCCATCAGTTTCTGGAGACGGTTCAAAGACTATACCTTCTTCCTCAAACAGTGTGACAATCAGTAATGATGTTACTGAAAATCAAAACAATGCAGAACCTGAATCAACATCCAATAGTGATTTGCAGAATCAAGTTGATGGGAGTAACGCAAGACAAACCCGGTTGGAGTCAACAAACAGTAAGGCTGATCCACAAGGGCCATCAAGAATGAGCAATTCGCTGAGCTCCAAAGATGAACAGAACTCTGTAGAAGTCCCTGCAGAGAGGGAAGCGGCAAAGAAACCGATCAGGTTTGTGATCCCACCTAGAATGAACTCTAAAGGGGATTTGGGAAAGACCCCCCTCACTGCATCAAGGTCCGTCTCCGACAGCAACGGGGAGGGACCCTCGACGAGGAGGACGCGTCAGTCCAGCAGGAGAGGAAAAGAAAAGAAGGATAATATAGATATGTTTGATGATGGATAACCAATAATAATCATTGTGTGTCGAATGATATTGTATACTGTTAATCTGTAACTTTGTATTATGGAACAAATTCAATGCATGTTTATACAAATTCCACCTCCCCTAACTGAAAACGAAACAAAATTAATGAACACCTGAATGGCACGCTGGCAATACAAGTCGACATTGCTACAACAGGTAAGTTATTTGACCATGAGGCAAATCTGTGCTTGTTTACTGCGTGTGTGTGCATATTCATTGTCTTCACCTATGAATGATTATAGCTTCAAACCTATAATAGCACGAGCAAGTGTGAACCATCTGCAAAATGTTTATTTGTTATACAAATTGCCAAAGCATATTGAAAACAAGTTAAAGCTATAGTCATTTTTCGTGTCCACCTACCCATAATAGAATATACAGATTTTCTAATATAGTTGTACATCTACATGTATATGTGTCACATTGTCACAAGATAGAAAAGGCATGAATATGAACTTATAGTCCCTTTAAATTTAATTTCTAGAGCTAATAATAATAATAATGTCAACTTATAAAGCGCACATATCCATTCTAAAAGACTGCCCAAGGCGCTCTGTACAATATCAAAATAATTATACAATATTAAAACTCCGACATAAACAAATGGTGCTTATTTTTCTTCTTAAATATTTCAATTGATGATGATTGTCTTATTTGTAATGGTATAGCGTTGCATAAATTGGGTGCAATGTTAGCAAAAGCCGTGTCGCCCCATTTCTTATTGGTTTTTTTAACATAACTGGAGCTGTGAACCTGAACGTAAATTCCGTTGTGGGGTGTTTGGTTTCAAAATCTGATACAAGTAATGGGGTGAAGAATGAAGAAGTGTTTTGTAAGTAATTAGTAACAGCTCATACATGATTTTCGTTAAAGACTGATAACCAATTAAGAGATTTGAATATATCTGAAATACTGTCTGATCTACTACGGAGAGTGACGAGCCGATCTGTCATGTTCTGAGCTCCTTGCAGACAGGCTATTTGATTTTGAAGAAGGCCAATATACAACGAATTACACATATCCAGTTGATATGTAATAAGATGCTTTACAATCTGCTCAAACAGCCAGAAACAGAGAAAATGTTAATCGTTATATATTCTCTTATATACACACAGTATGAAGCACATTCTGAATTTATCAATTTGTCGATCTGGCGCTGCTCAGTGGCTGCCGGGCTCACGATCAATTGGGCAAAAAGAATTCCCGTTTCGGTTTAATAAAATTAGGAGTGGACTAAAAGATTATTATTATTATTATTATTATTATTATTATTATTATTTAAATCACTGCCACTACCTTTTATAGTTTGATTTAAAGTATCAGAAAAAACACCCCTATTTTCATTTCCTGCAAGTGAATGAAAATTATTCTCAGTTCTGAGCTTGTAAATTGCCGTTATTCTAATAGGGGTAAATATTAAAGGGGTAAATATCAAAGAGTTATCCAATTTTATTTATTCTAAATTGATTTGTATGAAAGTGGAAAAATAAGAGAAACAAAATAGCCACAGTTTGAATTAAATCGGACCAATATTGAGAGAGGTATGAATGTTTAATATCACTAGATCTTTGCACATCTCAAATTTGCAACATGTTCATTGGATTTAAAAGTTCATTATGAATTGGTCCACTCAAAACAACATTTTGCCATTTGTATGCCTCCGCAACAAAGTAGCCAGAAGTATTATGTTTTGGGATTGTCCATCCGTCCGTCCGTATGTCCCGTTCTTGTGATTGCGTTATCTCAAGAACCCATAGATGGATTCCCGCCAAACTTGGGTCATGTATAGTATCTTGCAGAGCCAATAAACTGATTAGATTGTGGGATCACAAGTTCCAAGGTCACAGGGCTCGTTATGTATGCATAAATAGCTTTTGATCGCATTATCATTAGAACCGATATACAGATTACCATCAAACTCAAGACATGTATGTATCTGGTAGAACCAATGAACTGATTAAATTTTTGGGTCATGAGGTCAAAGGGTCATACATGTATATGAATAATAGCTTGTAATCATGATATTCTGAGGACCTGTTAATGGATTACTTGAATTTTAAAAATTGCATCTGTTTTGGTTTGTAAAATTGCTCTATGGCGGAGGCATCATTTTTGACTGCGTGCAGTCGAAGATCCATCTAGTTTGCTTCTGAAGCATTTAAATGTGTGTAATGAATGACTTGTACATAGCTGTGAATGGTCTATTGCTGGCACGTATGCCAAAAATCAATGAAAGTTTGTCTTGTGTGTTGTTACTGTGTAGCATGTTATGTACAATATTGTTTTGATAAGAAAATGTGAAATTAAATACATACCGGTAATATTCATGAACAAGATGATTTGTCTTGCTTTTATTTTCCACCGTGATACTGGTATTGGTAGATAAGTTAGTTTGACTGATCCTCCCCCCCCCCCTTCCAATAAAAAGAAGAGTACATTGTTGATGATATGGTCAGGAGTGAAATGCAATTTTTTGTGTGAAATCCAGGCCTGATGAAACCTACTTACATAATTATATACAGTGGAACCTTATCATAAAGACCACCTTTATAACAAACTTTCCTTGTCACAATAATGATAATAATATAATAATAAAAACGTTACTTATTAAGCGCTTACCACCGAAGTCTCTAAACGCTAAGGTGATTGTAATCTATTCTACTTTTTTTCTCTTTAGGCCTGATTTAACGGAGGTTCCATATTACAAGGAATTTTCCTTTGTCCCTACAGGGTTTGTTCTAATGAGGTTTCATTGCATTATATAAAATATTATTCTTTTTAAAGGAGTATCCTATTGGCTGAAAAGTTATCACGTGACACTCAACAATTTGTTATATGTGCACGAGCACACACAATTCCAAAGAGGCAAGGCATCAGATTGCAAATCCCCTCCATTATAATTATACAATAAATATTGCATTTTCGTTGTTCAATATAACATATAGCCACCTCCAAATGCAAAATATCCCTCTTGCCACCCGGATAACAGATGACAGATCAATATTGTTTTTATATTGCTCTGTCATCCGGGAACTTCCACTGTCGATACAATATTGCTTGATTATCTAAAATTTCTGTAATCAGAATGATATAGATAATAATATTGTATGTCCTTGTTTTTGTGTGATACAAGAATATAATGCTCTAGCTATGACAATATACTCTTGTTTCACACTCAAAGCCACTCAATATTATATAAATATACATTATATCATCTGCTGAGAAACTGAAAGACATATTGCATGTTTAATGTCCTTTTAATAATAATCTCAAATGAAATGAAATAGAAAAGCCTTCTTAACTTACTAAAAATCATATACAATGTTCATTAGAAACTTATCAAGATACAGGTAGAAAAGAAAGACACAAATGAGAGTGATGTAACACATAGAATGAAATTTATTATTACTTTCTCTCCTGTTTAACACTCGGCAGCTACATACACGATGTACATGACAATCTCCCTGCCAATTATTAAACATATATATATAACAACAATGCTTTCAGGCTTGAAACTCACAAAAATACACCTTTATAATCTTCTTTTTATTAAAAACATCCCGCACTTTTTGAGTCTGAATATTTGAATTCATAATATTTTATTCTTCTCTTAGTATCTATCACCGTAAATGTCTGAAACTTATTTTTTTTAATTTTATAACACGTTAAAATTTTAAATAATAAAAATGACCCCTACCGGTAAAGCCTTGTTCAAATATGAGTTGGTAAAATGCAGTGTTCTTCTTTATGATGATGATTACCGTAATTAACGGTGTATAAACCGCACTTTTTTGCCGCCGAAAAAAAGTCAAAGTCGGGGGTGCGGCTTATACACGAGGGCGGTTTATACACCGTTAATTACGGTACATAAAGTGAAATACGCTTCAGTTTATGTCCGCTTATAACACAGAGCTCAGTAAAATGACGTAGGACGTTTGTTTCAAGCAGATGCCGTTCACGTACATGTAACACCCAAAAATGTGGCTGTTTACCACGGCATATGATATCTGAACAAACTTTAAGCATGGCAAATATTGACATATTTACCACATCACCAGACCCAAAATGGCGAAATTCAGGATAAAAAATAAAATCACTGTAAGCATATTTTCAAATTCATCTATTGCTTTTGTCTATCTACATCCTTATATCACATCTCCTTGGTTTAATTTTTTTCTCTGTTTGCAAAAATGATCTCCATGAAATACCTGTACAATCCACGTAATATTTATCATTTTGAATTAACATCCAACATTAAACGACACAACAAAATGTAGAATGAATTACATGTACATGAATCTCAATTAAAGAAGACACCATTCTATATCGTCTATAGTATACATACATACAATTGTGGCAACTGATTGCATCAACAACACGTTACAAGCTCAATTACAATCGTTTGTTTGCAGGGTGTTTCTCTGTTCAGTTTTCTGTTTTAAAAATTGCTGTTTCTTTGAAACCCCTTTATCTCATTGCTATGCACTAGGATTTATCGGGGGGGGGGGGTGTTTCACAAAGATCCTAAGTAAAACTTAATAAGTTGGACTTAAACATTATGGAGAGCCATTTGTAGCCTAAAATAAAATATATTCAAATGCAAAAATTCAAGTATTTTAGACTTTTCATAAATTCCACATCAAGAACATGAAATCTCCTTGATGATAGAAAATATGATTGATTTGAATCATCAGTTTATGCCTTTTAAAATAAATTTACAGAATATTTCAAAGATGCTAACGGCTTTCCATAATTGTTAAGTCCAACTTGAAGATAAGTTCAACTTAGGATCTTTGTGAAACACCCCCAGGACTATGACACACAGCATCCTGGAACGTCACGTGTCATACAGATATGAATTGCAAAATTACTACAAGGCCTCCTAACTTGGTAATCATTGGAAAAGGTTAAAGGGTAGATATTTGAGAAGCGAGAATTTGAAAATCCAACTCGCAAAACCATTTATGGAGTATTTTCTGTACAGATGTGGTAGATCACTTAAACAGCTTTAATATCTCAAAGACATGTGACCTTTGTTTGACAATAACAAAAGAAACAGAAAATGAAACAAGGAATACATACATATCCAATTCCAACTATAAAATGAAATTAATGGTAAGGAAATAGACTCTTCTGTACTAGTATTCCCAACCACATAATGAAGGCTTTTACGGTTACCGTACTTCTGTTCAAGGCTTGTGGGTAAGCAAAAGAATTTGTTTCAGTTTGTTTTTCTTTTTCCCTTCACTTTTGCAGTCTTGTATTTGGCAGTCATGAGTTCCGGAAATGACTATAGAAACTGAGTTCTCTCACACTATCCCAACAATGAAAATAAAATGTAAAAAAAGATTCACATATAATCACATGCAAGTGAAAAATTTGAGAGAAATGCAGAATAGCTGAATTAAAAATTAGAAAAATGGGGGACTTTAATGAATATTATTATCCATGTGCATTTCCGAAATATATGTTTGTGTTTTCTAGTGTCAGTAGTCTTTTAGCGAGTTAAAAAAAATATTTGTACTTCCAGCTAGTTTCAAGCCCGGGTTTAAACACTCAAAAGAGGATTCCCATTTCCCACATCGTGTGATCAACTCTAGATTTAGACTTGTAAATATATCATCTTCTTCTGAATATACAGTGTACCCATTCATAAAAAAAACCAGTGGTGTCATTACCAATATTAAGTTTACCAACAATCAATTTTTTGACTATTTTAATTAAAAATTAAAAAGCAGTCCAGCATTATTTTTCTGGTTAAAGCCATGCACTCTTTATCAATGGATAATAAATAGGATATCCTACAATTTTTCATAAAAAAGAAAATTGTAAGACTCATGCAACTTCAAATACTATACATATTGTTAACATGCCACTAAAAAAAAAATGAGGAGAATTTTGTTATATCTACAACCGTACATACACAATACAAAATAAAGCAATTGTACATGTATATCATTGAACTGTTACAATACTGTTACTACATGACAGAATTAAGATTTAAATGATGCCAATGCACCAACACAAAAAAAGTTAGAAATAATTGGGAAAAGGGAGCAGAAAGTTGAAGAGGGGAGAATAAGTGTGAGAGAAAACAGAGATACAGAGAGAAGGGGAAGTTGAGGAAGAGAGGACAGAGGAAAGAGAGAGAAAGGGAGAGAGAATGAGAGAGAAAGAGAGAGATAGAGAGAGAGAGAGAGAGAGAGATAGAGAGAGAGAGAGAGAGAGAGAGAGAGTGTGTGTGTGGTACATCTCAGAAACAATTAAATATACAATCACTGTACATTACAGATTTACAAAGGGTTTTGGGATACAATAAAATATCAACTTCCTAAAAATACTACTACAGCCAAAATTCATTAAATCTCTGTACACTGTAATGCATTATTCTTTTATAATAAATACTATTTACACAAAAATTACATATGATGAAAATAGAGGACCAAAAGTTCTGCATATCCAGTTATTAACAAGTCTAAACACTGCAAGGTTCACATGACAAAGTTAAAATGAGGTACTTACAATTTATTGCAGTTCCATTCCTTTAATAATTCAAAAATAATAAATATTCCACCCACTACAAGTCATACTCTTTAAATGGTCTACATTGATACAGTCATGCTATTATAGATACAGCAGACTTAAAAAGGAATATAAGCATGTGGCTATTACATTCTTACTTTCTTGTTAACAGTTTTAAAAGAGTTCTGGCATGAAAATACAGGTCAATGATAATCACAAGAACATCAAATCTTGAAGAAGTTCATGATTACAAAAATAATAATAATAAGCAAACTTTTAATATAGCCCAGGAGGAAGAATCCTTTACTCATCATATTATAGTGGCTTTAAGCAATCAAAGACTTTACCATGTTATGTATAGCATTATCATATCAAAAGCTATTTAGGCAATCATCTCACAATAAAGGAAATACAAATGTGAACGGAAAATTTCTTTAAGTGTGTTTTCCTTTCTAAACAGTGATTTGTTTGCTTAGTTTTTTATATCACAAAAATGTCTATATCACTAAAATTGCACATTATGAGGTGAATCTTCATAAAATTGGCATAGCAAATAAGCTGTAAATACATAGTGAAACAAAAAAACAACAGAATCAATCAAATCAGAAATGGCATAAAATCATATTTTTGTTGCCATGGAAATACATCAATATTACTTTCTCATGACTTATGATTCATTTCTCATTCCATTAAAATCAATCCAGTCATTTTGATACGATTAAAAATATACTTATTTCCACTCGTATAATTTGATAAATCAAATCACACAGAATGTTTTTCCGCAAATGTCTAAGTGACAAAATTGCAACAAGTCTTTAAAACCGACTTGTCTTGAATAATATACACACCTAACATCCACCGACAGTATACCGGTACTGTCTCTATAATAGCATTGATTTTCACAAGTACATGTTAACAACCAAGCTAATACTTGCAGTAAAAACAACAAAATACAAGGCACGACAGCAACAACATAAAAAATGATGCACAAGGTACATGAGTTTTCAAGTACCATGAAATCAAAACATATCAATTTTTTTTTTTAATCTCATGCAGACCAACATAAAATATTGTCTGTTCTGTTTGCCAAATATCGATACTGAAACAATACCACTTTAAAGAATAAATGGTTGACTAAAATTAACATACACACAACTCTGTCCTCCCTAGATTTGTGTATTTACCACTATCAATATATAACACGATGTCAGCGGTGGGATATCTAAAGCTAGAAGGGCATTCACTCTGTGTTAAAGTATATGAGTTAACGCCCTTCTGGCTCCAAACAGAAGATATACATGGTACCATCTGTATACAATATGAAAATACATGATAATAGAAAGAAAGTTACTTTTTCTTCTTGACCATTATCAGTATCATGTACATATGTCAAAGTCACATCATCCAGTACATCATGCTGGCTTCTAATTTAAAAAAAAATGTTAACAGGAGAAATTTGTGCTAGGTATGCTATTGTTATGCTTTGGTTAGATCTAATGTGTCCATAATATCTTGGGCTGAGCTGAACTGGCGAATAATTTTAAATCCATGCTCATGATTTTTAAGTCTGGGATAGGTATGTAAGTATATAAGGACATCAAAATATTTCTCTACAGTAGTAAAATGTTCATTAAATGTTTCAGACATTCTGTATTATAAAGGCCAACAATACAAAAAATAATCTGTAAATGTTATACTGGAGAATACTGAAATTCAATTATCTATCCTGAAGTCCTAAAGTGACAGATCCAGGATATGGTGGTAGAGGGAGTGTATTCACATGATTCATGCATTCAATGAGAGTTGGCCAAAAAGATGGGATGCATACAGATTCTGGGCCCCTGTATATTCACTATGGCTGTAGTATATCCTTCCTGTCAGTTGTCCTGTTTACTTTGATTTAAAACAAAAAGGCTAGCTGCTTAAACTTTTCCGCATAAAACCCTTTCATGAAAGGCTCAAAGTTCAAGGGATAGCAGTTTGGTGGACTTGTGGTCCAGGTCTAGTCCAAAGGCATCATCAGGCGGTCCAATGCCATGACCGCTGCCTGTGCCACAGCCTCTGCTTGTCATAGAACAAGGGGTGTGTGGAGAGGTTCTGGTCCAGAACCATAGAGGAGCTTCAATGTCATGACCGTTGCCTGTTCTACCAGCTGTGCTCATGGTAGACGTGGGACTGTGGAGGGGATGTAGTCCAGAGGGTGTAGTCCAGAGGGGTCTAGTCCAGAGGGATAACATCTGGAGGTCCAATGCCATGACCGCTGCTTGTGCTACCAGCTCTGCTTGTTGTAGAACTGGTGGCCACGCTGCTGCTACGGCTCGCTCCTTGCTGATCAATGTAGTAGGGAGGGGGTGGGTACTAGGAAAGAATAAAATGATTGAAAAACAATTCAAAGTCTCATTAAATAATGTAATGGGCTATGAATAGCGGTGGCAGTTCTAGGGGTGCTCATTTCCCCCCCCCCCCCCCCAGTTTCTTCAAGCTACCCAAATTTTTTGTGAGGCAAATGTAGAGAATGAATGCAAGAACTCCCAAGCCCCCCCCCCCCCCTACACAAAAGTCCGGCCCGTATTGACTTTACACACCGGACTTGGGGAGGTGTTTTCAAAAGGAGGGAACATGAATTATGCGTACCCTAAATAACGCTGAGTGGGGGGCCGGGACAGCATTTAACTGTATTTCCACAAAAGTGCAATGAATGAAATGGGGTATGATGTAAAATGAGTATGATGTGATAGAGGCAAACAAAAATTCAATCCGGAGAGAATTTTGTTTTACTTTTTTGTTATTAAATATAAATCTTTTTTTTTGTCAGACCTATAAGAAACCAAAATATATAAATGGAAAATGAATTAAAACTGTTTTCTAATTCTTACCTGGATCCTGTCACTCTGAAGCAAAGAATAAAGGTCCAAGTCTGCTGAAATGAGACAAATATTTGTGGCAATTGATTAAAGTGACTCGGTGGAGTACAGTACCGATGATCGGGGTAATAAAATCCAGAATAATGTAGAACATGTACATATTGTTAACATGTATTAGATAAAAAAACAATACAGTAAGAACAGGTTAAACATCAGGTGATTTATTTCTACTTCACACATATTTTAGCCATTCAGCTCACCACATGTTTTCCAAAAGGTAAGCATGGTTTAAATATGGTATCGATTGTATGATAGAATTCCTTATCTTGTACATAATAATAATAATATTAATAATTGAACATTATTATATAGCGCATAACACATAGGCAAATCGCATGTCTCTATGCACTTTAAGAAAAAGAAAAAACAATGCACTGGGTTCATGATTCTGATTATTTATGAAGTGGTGAAGATATATAATTGATAAAGGTTTTAAAGGATCCTATACTTTCCAGTTGTTCCACAAAAAAGCGGCTGCATATGAAAAAGACCTTTCCTCGTATGATTTTGTCATTGTTTGTGGAACACAAAGCAGGGACTTGGAACTGGAACGTAGCATTCTATCTGGTTTACATGGAGTTAGCAATTCGGTAAGATAAAAAGGAGCTAGTTGATGTAAATATTGGTAGGTAAATAGAAGTATCATACCTTGATAGTCGGCAGAGTTAGTCGGGAGCGGATGCAGACCTAGGAGTGAGGTATAGTCAGGGAACAAGGAGAGAGGGCCTGGGGCTGGTAGATCTATACCAGGCAAAATCCGATGACCAATGGACGATACCGGAGGCACTAGGGAATGGGATACGCTCTCCAGGAACGTTGACCTGCAGAAGAAGAAGAAAGCGTTGGAAATACAATGAAACTCTCACATTGAGTACTATCATGATTTTCGTAGGTGGGTGATCTTTGTAAAGATTGCAAACACATTCTCTATTGGTAATCACAACACAGTAACTCATACTTGGAATCTTACACCATACATAACCCTATCACTCACCTTAAGCCAAATTGTTACCCTCACCCTACTATTAATCCTTGTAAGGTTTTTTTTTGTGCCTGAAAATTGCCAGTTTCTAGTTCACAAAAAGTTTCTGGCTTTACCTTAAACAATTCTTTTATAAGACAGGGCCCCCAAAACAGGAGATTAAATGAGACATTAATGGGAATGTGGACGAAGTACGAAATTTGTTCGTTCGTTTCATTTTCATAAAAAAACAAAGCAAAAGCAAATAAAAATATGAGTATATATATACATACTAAGGCAGAGAATGTTCAGTTTATACAATAACTTCAAATGAAATTGGAGAACAAAGGAAAAGCCCATGGTGGCCTTGTTTAAAAAGTCCCCCTGAATATTATAATTTACCGGTATATTACAGATATCACAAAAAACAGTGATAAACACATTATACAGACAATCAATTACAAAAACATGTGTGATATAATGTAAAATTGGAGGGGGTGAGAAGGTTTGGAAGGTAAATTCAAAGGTACTCAGAATACAAGGTCAGTTTTATTTGTTTTTTAAACATTGAACTGTTTTTATATAGGCGTACGACTTCAGGTACAGTGTTCCATGTTTGGCAAATTTAATCAAATAACCTTATTAAGAAAAGTGATATTCCATGTAACATATATTTTGATATTTGAACAGTGAACAATCTCTTCCACAACTACATGTACCGATGGAGATGAAACATGTTGGATATTTTGATATCCGAGAGGTGTGGAAAAAACCCAGTTGCACTTTCCTCCCTTCTTTAATATCACTCTCATGTACCTTTCTCTCTTTCACCCATCGATTCTTGTTTTCTTTTGTGAATGTTCCCTTTCTTTGTTTTCTCTCACTTCTCTCCTTCTATCTCTCTCTCTCTCTCTCTCTCTCTCTTTCTTACCCTCTCCCTGTAAGGAGTTCACTTATCAACTCTTTCAATCGAAAGTGAAAGAAATCCCCTAGTTCTCTATGCATCGACTGGGAAGTGCTCTACAATTCACATTGTTTGGTTGGTATTTCAGGACAACTGATTATCACTTCACATAAACATTCTTGGTACAAATTTGCAGACAATCCCTTTGAAATGTGTCCTAATTTGAATACCAGTACCCACGTTTCAATGGGATATTGCTGAACTTGTAGTAAGGACAGTTTTCATGAGACATTCCCTGATGGCTTAACTATACTCTTACAGCAGATTCACAGAATCATTAGAGAGGAATATTGGGCCTTTGGTATCCATTAGGACTACAGGCACCTTTCAGACACAAAGAAGTATACTGCTAGAAAACACTGCCACAGCTAAATAAACAAGATAAGCATATCGCCCTTCACATTTCTGTATCTTATAAGACACAAATCAGCGAGTATGCAATTCACTTGAGTAGGAGCCTCTGGCTTGTCATGATCACTCACGTAATCACGTTATCACGTGTTTATCTGCGAAGTGTAGGGTCGACAGACTCAACACTTTGTTTTTTTACAAGCCGGTAAATCAGAAATACTCATGCTTTTGCAGGTATGCGACAGAACTCTTTGCGTACTTAACCCAACATTTTACCACTTGAAAAAAAAATACAAGAGCTTGTTATTCAGACTAATCATGACATAGACATATATAGGAACAGCTATATAGTCTAGCCATATTCATGCATGGATCTTTTGTGTCTATTCTTAGTGACCATTTAGATTTACCGGTAGCTTGTTAACATCTGTATCAAGCACCATCACTGTTTGTGTTTTACAAATGTTCGGTCACATAACCCAACATTTTGTAGATCAGATTGGGTGTTCTACTAAAGTACTGACGTTATTACATGAGTGATCGTTAACAAGCCGGAGCCACTGTTGTGTAGAGTTAAAAAATGTCATTCCCCCAATCATTTACATGCTAAGTTTTGTTGCATGCAAATGTTTTGTTACGTAGTTTACTACATCAAGTCTGAATAGGGCCGGATATTTAGCAAGTGTTAGTTTGAAAACATGTGCACAAACTCATGCTGACACTACTCTACTCTCTCTACGCTTCACTAACACATGCAATGATGGATTGGTGAAAATGACAGACTGAAAGACAGAAAGACAAACATACACCACACACACACACACACACAAACACCAATAAACACAGCAAGGCAAACAGATAGTATTCATGCAGACATGGAGAACTTTTCCTGTTTTATTTAATCTCATTCTTACCGCAGTCTGATGTCGTCCAACAATGTGGTATACAACAGCAATCAAGAAATGCCAGGAAAAAAATAAAAATGATAAAAAGGCAACGATTACTTATCAAATATTTACAAACAAAATAATCACTTCAAGCGCACAAAAAAAAAATTTAAAAAAATCAAACTCCTAGATTATGCCCAAACCACTTGAACCTATTCTCATCTACATCAAAAATGATGAAAGACTACAATTTCCCCAAAAATAATTTTCAAACCAGAGACCAATAAATACAATTCTAATTTGTTGCATTATTTCTTGCGTGGTATTTAAAATGCTTAAAATCTTTAAACATCAAATGATGAAACACATATTAGGCTCAATACCCAAATCCCATGCTAGTCAAATTTGCTGTACATTTAATAATGTGAAATTCTCTACTTTGCACTTTTTTGGCCATGTGATTCTATCAAAGTTACTTTAGGATGTACCTCCCTTATGTTATGGTCACATTACCCAAAAGTAGCCTGCTCGGCGGCCGAGCGGCGATTTTTTAACCAATTCTGCCCGCCGGCTGCCCGGCCACCGAGCGGCGGCCGCCCAGGCACCGCTCGTTTTTAGGGCATCGCTCGGTCGCCGCTGAAGTTTTAGCGCGGAGTTAAAATTTGGGCGGCGCCTGCTCACTTTTCAATCGCCGCCCAAAATACGCTCGGTGCCTGGGCGGTCGCCGCCCGGGCACCGACCTAATCGCTGAGCGATGCCTAATTCCAGCAGCGACCGAGCAGGCTACTGATCGGTCGGTCGCTGCTCTGATTTGTGACCATAGCTTAAGAGGTTATTTCAATCATTTACCACTATTTTCAGAGAAAGTGAAAGTTAAAGTTAAAATTAGTATAATTTAGGACATATGGCCAATAGCCTTAAAGAAGCATTTTCCTCACCTATACAAGTAGCTTGATTTAAAGCAAACATTACACATACAGAAATCTTTACACTATTTATGTACTACATAATCATGTGTATAAACAATAGATCAATAATACAGTATTCTACCATATTTCTATGTCATTCAACATTTTTTATTTTTTTCATACTATGCAACCATACAAGATAATTGCTGTTGAAATGATACAAAATATACTTAATCTCTCTCTCCAAATTTATTTTTTGAGAGGACTATTTCACTTCTCGACTTTGCATCTATGCTATGTTGTAAAGCGCTTAGAGACATTTGTATTAAGTGTATATAAAAATTAAATATTATTATTATTTTTGAATTGTTTCTGTTTATTGTCCCTTTCATCGTTTGCGGACAGATTTGACACTAGCTTTGAAGCAATTTTGACGGCAATTCTACTTTGACAAATACCCCAGGTTTTGTTTGGGGAATTTTAAAAGTATGATTTAATATGTGTATATCCTGATACATAAAAGCACAACAAGTCAGTGTAGATTAAATAGCTTATGAATCTAAAATCAAACAGAACAGAAATGACAGATATACTATACAATATATACAAATATGGACGAAACAGATTTTTAGCTTTCTATATTTCTCTTACTAATTTGCCAATATCACAATACTGGTATATATATAACTTCCTCTCAAACTTGAGAAAATTTAATAAAATATTTCACTAAACACTATGCCAAAAAAGAGAAAGCTTTTCCTATTACTCACTATTTTTATATTTTTGTATACAACTCTTTATCAACAAATTCACATATACATATCATACAATTTTTTAGAAATAAAAGAAATTGTCCCAGATCTGTTTTGGAAATCAAGGACGCGTCAAAATATGCCAAATATGAGGAAATCAGAAATATTATTTTTGCAGTGCCAAACAAAAATGAAATTTGAAGGGAAAAAAAGGTAGCTTCATTCAATGGATTGTTTTAGAACAGGAAAAACCAATGCCCCAAGCATGACCAACAAACAAACAAACAAACAAACATACAAACAAACAACTACATCCTAACAACCCGAGCCAAAAAAACAAGCAGAATCACCTGACACAGAACAAACATACAAAAAAAGACAACTTAGGGAAAACAAAAATATCATACAAAGAAACACCACAGATACACACCAAGAAAACACTATCAAAATTTCAAAAGATAAACTGCTTATGAAAACATGTAACAACAGTCACAACACATTAGAGAGCACACACTATCTGATAATGGGTGGTATTCTCATAAGTTAAGCCGGGACTAAGTCCGGACTAAGTCCAGACTAAACAAGAATTTTAGTTCACACTTCTATGGAATGCTAGCTTTTATCTTCCTCCTTCAATATTCATGACAAAGATAATCTACCAAAGACTTTTTGGAAATTCAGTTCATACTCATATTATCTTTTTCTTCCCATTTCATTGCAAAATTATTTTTTTGGAGACTTTTCATTGAAGGATTAAAATAATCTGTACAGGATAAATGAGTTGACAACAGGCACTCCATAAAAGTGTGGACTAACTTAGTGCGCGCTAACTTAGTACGCACTACCAGAATACCACCCAATGTGGTTGAAAGATAAGAATGTGTAAATATTGATGAGCTATGTCAACATGAGTTATTCATATGTTATTTCATGTATCTAGATATAGTCGGTATAGAAAAGAGTTACCGTATTGAAGAAGAAAAAGGGAGGAAAGACACATATACTGACTGCATGGCGTTAATGTTTGGGTAAAAGAGACTTAAAAGCAAAACAAATACACAAAAAACACATACAAACACATATACATTGGTGAAAAAAGCCATATAGTAATAGATGAGAGTACATTGATATGTCCTTATAGTTACGAAAAGAAACTCAAACAAAAAAACTTCACACTAAGATATAGGTAACTTATTAAGCAAAAGCAAAAGCAAAATAAAGGTCACATTCAATTTTTTTTTTTAAATACACAAATAACACAAACAAAAAACTGACCCAAACAAGCAAACATGCAATCAAGCTATACATCTATCTACAAACATGCAAGAGGCATCAAGTTTCCTGACATTGACAAAGCTAATTGTTTGATTAAAGTGTGGTGTTAATGCTTTGTGACAGATTAATTATCGGGTGCAGTTAGTATGGCACTAATTAGAAGACCCTATCTAATGAAAATGCAACTCTGTATCAATGGAAAACTTAATGAATGTAGAATAAAAAAATAAAGGAATACTAAACATTTTCCCGTTCTGTATTGGGACTTTTCAGAGAGCTATTACTCCTCTGAAAGGCACTAAAATAGCATTTAATTGATATAATTTCAATCTATGGCTCATCAGCTTTCCGTCGATATAGAACTCCTCTTGTTCATTTTTCACTTCAGACAGGGTCTTTGATTGTTATGTTATTGTAGAAAATTAGTGTATTAAAATGGCTTTTTTAAGTTTAACTGCCCAATGTGATTAAGAGATGTTTCAAATTCAGTGGATTAGAGGGAGCGAACCCCCAAACCATAATCAGTTTTCATTCTGACACCAACAAAGGGTTAATGTTTTCTCAATTTTTTTGTTTAAGGGACAAATACAAACAATTCTAATAGGTAAATTAATTAATGCAGTTACACAAATATTGTTCCTTTGAAGGTATTCCTATTCCTGAGGAATATTTCTAATGCTTCAAGATACCATGTCCCCATGGACACTCACTAATCTACACACGAAACATCATGTTCAGTCAGTTATGATAAGGGCTATATCTATGTTCGTTATGAGACCTCTGTCTGTGAGGGGTGAAACTGAGTGAGAACTGATCGTCATAATTGCCACCGTCACTAAAATCCAACGAGTCTCCAAGGGAGAGCAGACCGGACGGTAACGGTGGTAAACCCCGTGCCGTCTCGTACTCATAGTGCCAGTTTCTAGATTGCTCTGACCTACTTGAAAGATCAAAAGGAAGATCAACGCACCCTTTGGACGTTGGCGTCGGCAGCATGGGCAAGGGAGGCATGTGCGGCGTCTCCCGGCCTCTCTCCACGCGACCGCTGGCCTGGTCCGTGCTCGACGACGACGACGTCACAGGTGCTTCCCTGATGTCGTCATCGTCGTCATCGTCTGGAATCTGCTGCTCCCGTGCGGTGGTGTAATCCTGTTCGATTGTCCCGTCATCGTCATCGTCCTCATCCTCTTCTTCCTCCTCCATCTCCTCCTCGATGTCCCCATCCTTGTCGCTGTCTATCTTCTGTGGCTCGGGCTCCTTGACCATGGCAGGTCTGAGTGGCATATCATCCTCCTCATCATCATCGTCATCGTCGTCATCATCGTCTTCTTCAGAGCTGCTCAATGTGAGGTCAATGACCACTTCTTTGGGTTTGGGACTGTCTGCTGATTGTGCTGTAAGAAAAACAAAACAATAATCTTTCAAAAATTGCTTGCACTTTTAGGTTACAAAGAATTTGTAGTTTTTCTATGGTATGCCACAACTTTGAATATCTCAAAACTACTCGAAATTCAAATGAAAAGTATGAAGAAAAAAAAAAGTGACCTCTATTTAAATTTGAACATCTTGAACATCTGTGCATGGGCTTTGAGAAATTTTCCACCAAAAATCATATCTGATAATTGATTTTAAAGATCGGTCTCCAGATAATACAGGGTTAGGATTTGGATTACTCCAGGAGGGTGTTTCACAAAGACTGAGATCGACTTTAAGTTGGATCTAACTATGGCAGGCCATTCATGCCACTAGTTGCTCTCAGCATTGGTCTCTCAATTATGATCTTAAGTTATTTTTTCAAATTTTAAAAAAATGTAAATTCTGTAGATTTGTGCCCACGATTTGTACCTCCCTTGAAAAACCAATGCCAGGAATGGTTAGAGGAACTGGTGGCATGAACGGCCTACTATAGTTAAGTCCAACTTAAAGTTGATTTTAGTCTTTGTGAAACACTCCCCAGGTATATGCCTGGTACACGTCTGTGTAAACCCAATTTAATATGTGAAATCAAATAAATATAGGACGGCGTGCTTACATGTGCTAGGTGGAGCTGCAGGAGCACTGGAGGGTGAGGACACTATTGCTGTAACAGATGAGGAGAGGACATGGGATGGTTTCTCTTGCTTGGGACCAAGAGGAGTCCAGGAACCATCCTCAACGAAGATGATCTCATTGCTCTCGGGAGGGTTGCGTAGAATCTCCAGGAAAAGGCTGGAGTGAGTGAGAAAAGAATTGAACAATGATATTGATACTGAATTACAATCACGACTTGAGTTGAGTAATTGATCATACTTATCTTGTAAATCAACATTTGTCCCTATATTATTATCATAAATGCTAAATATATTACTCATTGCGGGCCGGCTGGATGTCCAGCCGGCCCGCACCGAGCCAGCGGCCCGTTGATTGGTTGAGCACGCTATTGTCCGTTATTGATCAAATTATTTGACCGACGGTCCGCCCGTAGAGTACAAAACATGCTTGCTTACATTATATTTTATCACCTGACGAAGTGTTGCAGCGGCGCACGAAACGTTGTAATGTTTTAGATCCCTTGTTGACTATACATTGCGAGACAAACGAATATCACTAGCGATGTTATTATTATCAATCACACTTTTTTAAATGTGACCATCAGCCATACATACCCATCAATAACCAGTGAGTCGAATGGAGCCTTCTTGTCACATACAGGACATATCCAAGTAGGTTTCCTGAAAGAGAACAGAGCAAAAATTCTTTAGTACACAAGCATTGTTAACTTTCTTCTACTTTTTGGGTCAATTTATCTAAATTACAGTATTTCAATAATGTACATATAAAGTTTTAAATCTAATTATTCATACCCCTTTTAAATTTTTTTTCCTTTTTTTTCTTCCATAAAACTAAACAATGAAAGTTAGACTGGTTGAATTGCTTTTGTTTTGTAGATGAAACAATTTCAGCTCCTGAACTGCATGTTTCATGTATATTTTTATGTCTATAAAATAAACAACAAATAAAATTACGAACTTTTAAGATTGTTTCCTACATATCCATCCACATTGGGTCAATAGATAAAGATCTTTGTTATTCAAGATTCACATTGTTAGGGGTTGTATTTACCTTTCATTCATCTGGATATAGAGGGATGCATCGAAGCACTGGAGATGAGAGCAAGTAACGGGTCGGCATGGTACCGACATCCTCATCTTGCCTAGAGGACAGATGAGGGAGACTCGAAGACTGGTGGTCGCTATCTCGCTGTCTGGATCATGGGTTAGCTTCTCCTTGACTAGAAAAGATATGAGAACATTCCAAACTTGATTAAACCCTTTCAATCTAGACATGAGAGCAATTGCCAGGTTGGTATTGTACCAACGCTTCATCTTACCAAGGGAACAGGCTAGAGAGATTCTAAGACTGGTGCTGGCAATCTCACTGTCTGGATCATGGGTTAGCTTCTCCTTGACTAGAAAAGATATGAGAACATTTCAAACTTGATTAAAGGGGGTGAAGCATGACAATACTACGTCTTTCCCGTGGCCTACTGCAGTATTCACATGCATGCAACATACGTGAAACCGAAGGGTGAGGAGAACTTCTGTCTGTTTCGCGAACGCTAGTGCGTGCTGACCGTTAATCAAGGCCATTCCTTTTTGTGTGCAGTTGTTCAAAAGAAGACGTAGATGGCATTAACCAGTATTTGCCATGCTACACCCCTTTAAACCCTTTCAAACTAGACATGGGAGCTTGGACGGTTGGTTCAGCATGGTACCAACACTTCATCTTACCAAGGGAACAGGTGAGGCAAACTCGAAGACTGGTGGTAGCTATCTCATCATCTGATCATAGGTAAGCTTCTATTTGCCAATTTGAGAGCCACATGGATTTAGTGATCTCGTATTTCAAACATTCGCAACTCCCTTTATATTATTGGTCTGATTTATCTAAAACATTCAATCTGTTTCTCTTATTTTTCTGTTTCTATTCCAATGAAATTATTACAAGGGTTGAACTAACTACTTACTAAGTGCCCTTGAATGGTCTGGATTTCTGATGCTTCTGCTGCGTAACCTTGTGAGTAGAACCTCTGAATTGAGTTGACGGACCAGGTACACAGACAGGCAGTAGGACTAGATGAAGAGAAAATACAACATGAAATTGGGATTAAGGACACTGACTACAAGTCATTATTGTATAAATTCAGTGATGTAAATGACCTTACCTCCAGGGGCCCTGTCGTATAAAGAGTTGCGAACAATCCAATTCAATAGCAGGTCCTCTAATGATAATTGATTGCAAGTTTGCAATCAATTGCAAATAATTAATGAATAAAATTAATCGCAACTGTGTATAAGACGGAGGTCTTCATTTTTATTATGTTGCTTCTTATACATGAAAAACTAATATTTATGATCACTATTTTTCATTGTGTGCATTTTATATTTAATGTTCTCATATACTTTATATGTAATAAGGCACATGCACCTTTTATCAATACTTGTACTATAATGTAAACATGTTCATCTCAGCCCTTGGGCTGCCGACCATGCTTATTTTATGTCACTGAATATTTGAATATTGAAATGATCCTTGAACAGAACTTCAAAGTAAACTTGATGTCTTACCCTTCCTATTTCTGGTATCCATTGGACTTCAATGTAGTTGGGCATGGTTGCATTGAGTCTCGTCAGCTGAGTAATGTTGATAGGTCGGCCAGGTCGTTTCACCTCCACCCCAGGCTTGTTCTGTGGAAAGCACGGCTGAAAAATAAAAGAAGAGGAAGAACGGTTCTTGTTAAAGGCAGCGTTTAACAATGTTAAATCTGTGATGCATGGTCCTACGTGTTATCAGTGTTTGTGATATGGTGTGATATTGAAGCCCTAAAAAATTTGAGCTTCAAAATGATCAAGAAGTGCCTCAAAAAGGTACAAATCTTTGAGTGACCGGTTTTTCCATACTCATTTTCCCCAATAGACTGTAGTGTTATAAAAACTGTTAGGAAAACAAAAAATGAAATTTTGATTTCCAATCATAACTATCTTGATAATCAGACAGGCAATCGGCTTGTAAAAGTCATGGGATTCCTGACTGACCTAAAGGTTTATGATTATGATTGCAGCATGAGCTAAATCCAGGATTTTGTTTCAGAATCTGAGGCTATGTTACCGAGTCACTTTAAGAATGAACAAATCAGAAAAATACTAATATGCCTCTGCATGTTTCTTACTGAATGATTTTTAAAACATCAAAATCTGGCAGTAGCTTTCTTGTATAGAAGCTCAGCTACGTGAAAGTCTATGGGGAGAAATATATTGCCAAAATTTACATGTAAGCCGCTCTCAAATACATTCCCTCAGTGAAGGAAAAAATGAATGGGGGGCATAAAGGATTCAGAAATCTCTTGAAAGCTCTCAGAGTATATCATATCAATCACAATCTCATCTACACAAAACTATTTTTCCACATCTGCTGGTACTAGTAATTAAAACTTGAAAAAGTAAAGTTTCTGTTTATCAACATAAACGGGACATTGACATGTAAAACAGCTCTTGCAACATACACATGAATATATGCCTGAGCTAGTCCCCTAATTGAACACCCCTTTTTTAACCCTCTCTTTCTTTTTTCAAAGAAAAGCCCTAAAATAACCGGAACACTAGTTTTAAACAGCTTTCAATATGCTTGTAGTTCATGAAATTTTCTGTATGGAGCAAACTGAACAGGAGCCCGCATGTGCCAAATTATGTTTGATTTATCTCAACTTCTAAATTTGCTCAAACTTTCACTGATCTGTTGCCCTCATTTTTCTGCTTCTATCAAAACTAATTTAATATCAGGGTGGACTTCCCCTTTAAAAGGTACAATTTAATCTTTTGCCTGAAAAAACATCAGTCAAATTGTTCTAGCTAGGAAGCAAGATTGTGTTACTAAAATGATGACAATGGTACGGATATCCTATGAGATAACTGCTCTTCAAAGGTGATATCATTAATTTTAGGGAGTTACTGGTAGGTATTACAGTGTTTCTTAAAACTCTTATTTGAAATGAACACAATAACTTCCCCCTTTCTAGACAATAAGTAAAAAAAGAGGTGTTTGCCTACCACTACCACAAAAACTAAGCACACCTTGTTTAATAAATTTGAAAGATTTTATCATAATACACAATAATTCAGAGGTGTTTAAAATAAAAAAATTGTAGCGAACACCCCCAAATCGGACGCCAAGAGGTCCTTTTGACGAAAAATAGAATTTCGTGAATAATGTTTTAATGGAAACCTAAACCACCACAGGCATTAAATTTCAATACTTTTAGGGCAAGGCCACTTTTCTGTAGGGCACATTCCTATATTACAGCACAAATAGGAAGAATTGGAAAGGGCACAAAAAATCTCCAAGGCCAATGAGAGGGGCATTGAGGCCAATAAAAAGGGCATCCACGGCCATGGCCTTGGTGGCATTGATTTAATTTAAGCCCTGCCACCATGAATAATGTGTCATATGAAAGAGAATTAAATTATCTATATTTGAATAACAATTTCAACAGAATTAGGATTAATTAACATTGATATATTAAGTAAAAAACATTGGAGTAGTGCATCTTTTCATAACTTTACTGGAATTTGCCCATGTACAAGGACAATATACTATGCAAAGGAGAGGCTTACCGGTATACATGTACCGGTATATCTTTTCAATGAAAAGTTATAGCAAGTTTAGCAACCCAACGTTATTGATTATATTTGCACAAAAACAAAATTTTGCCCACATGCACTTTAACTGCATGCATATACATGTACATGTATTAGTGTATTGAGAATGTGTTTGGTGTGTTTACATCGAGTTTTAAAGATAACTTATAAGTAAAACCTCTAATCACCATGGATCTGGTGTCAAAAGATGAATAAAAAAAAATTCCTTCAAGTTAATATCAATTTCATTGAGTTATGTAGTGAGTGAAATATAAATTTGAGCCGAAAAGGTGCTTTGTTATCTTTTCCTTCTAATTTTGGTCAGTATCTTGGTATATTTTTAATATTAACTTGACAAAAGTGATTAGACATTCAGTATTGCAGAAAGTTCAAAGAATTTGGAGTGCTGAGTGCAATTGATAAGTACTTCTTCTGTACTCTGTGATGTTTCTGGAAATGTGGGCATCCAGCTGCTTATCATTATCTGGCCTATAATCTTGCCCATATTTTGAATTTCCTAAATTTTAAAAATTCAAGAACTTCCTGGGGCTCCGCCCCCAAGACTCCCGGGCAAAGGCTCTCCCACTGCACCACATCTGTAAAGATAGAAGTAGTTCCAATACAACCTTTTGTTGTATAAAATTGGAGAGGGTGGAGTTTTTATATTGTTAAGCCAGGCCTGGTTAAAGGTACTATGTCCCATTTGCAGGCCAAAAAAATGCAAAAGTTAAATTCCAACTGCATTTGAAAGATAATACTAATTTAGAACTTCCCTAAAAAAGGTGGGGCTTGAAAATGTCTTCAAGTGGGAAAATAACGACTATTAGTTGTCAAATCGACTTTAGGGCTATAGAGCCCAAAAGTAATAGTCTTGATTTTCAGACAATTGTACCAAATGTTCATACGTTTTATGCTGCGCAAAGATTCAATCAGTTTAATCCTGGCCATCACAAGAAGTGGGTTATTGATGTAGACAAATGCTCATGTACCCTTTACAACTCTTTTCATGTATGTTCTTACCAAAGAAGAAAAAAGGCCAGTCAGTCACTCAATAGTGTCTGACAGTGAAGTCTAGCAAGTAAACAGGTTTCCTTGCATAATTTGAATATGAGGACACTGCTAACGTTTAAATTTCACAGATAGGACATACATGACATATTCATAATTCCTGCAAAGTTCTACAGCATTTGAGGTTGGCTGCAAAAGGGACATAGTACCTTTAAAGCTTCTAACAATCACTCCTGTGGATCTTTTATTATTTGCACAGTTTCTTGCTGCCAGCTGCCTCGAGATCACTGGAGCGAAGTAAGGTAACCATCCCTATTCAGAGAAGAATTAGTCCTTTTTAAGCAGACAGATTCTTCTACCATCCTTGCAGAGCAGTTTTTTTTTTTTAAAGAGCACACAACAGGGGCAGTGCAATTTAAATTTCAAGGGATGGATTAGAGTTGTTATCGCTCATGACATAACTCAACTTAACTCATAACTTCACACACTATATAACTCCATGAAATTGATATTAACTTGCAAGTATTTTTTTCCCATCTTTTGACACCAAATCCATTGTTGATTAAGAGGATTTTTCCTAGTTTGTAAATTAAATGACATTGAACAATTCATCTACTTTAAAGACCCTATCATATCTTGAACAGCACCTTTAAATATTACCTGACCTTTCCCACTGAGGCATTCAGCATACCTGAACACATGCTACATGTATGTATGAATTGTATATTACAACTTCTTCAAATCATTATTGAGCATTATGCGTGGGTCTGACATTTTTTAAATTGATGGAAGTTGGATTTTCATAAAAATTACCCACAGCAATAAGGGGGGAAAAGATAGGGAGCCCTGAGCAAATAGATATCTCATGTATGTTGACAAGATTCTATTTATAGCATGTCCCATTGGTATGGGCTACAGGACGATAAAGATAGCAGGCCACATAAATTGCATTGGCATCCTATGTATACACACAGTGTGTATGTTTTGTGTGTAAGTTTGTGTGTACCTACACTATATTATATGTATGGTGTGGGTGTGTGTTTGTGTGTGTTTGTGTAAGTGTGTAAGGGGTTTGTGTGTGTGTAAGTTATGTGTCCTGTGTATTGTGTATGGTATGTTTGTGTGTGTAACAAGTATTGGCTTCAAAGGCCATTTGGATGGAAAATTTTCTTAAAGGGAGAGATGACTCAAAAGAAGGTCAATTAAATCTCACAGCAAAAGTCAAATTTAGCATTGACTGCAAGGCTATGATTACATCAATTAACTTGCAAATTTTTACTTAGTCATTATTTCATACATAAAGATTTTTTTGGACACATATATGCATATAAATCAAGTAGCCTAAACTAAAAAGTAGGCTATTATTCCTTTTATTACTTTTTATTTCATTCTTTTTCACTAAGACTTTTATATGAGCTTTCCTGATATTCGTGATCCCCCTTTTCAATGTAATATTTGCTTTAAACTGCAACTTTGTTTTTTAATAAAAAGAATACAATCCCAGATGTTCTGGAAAGAAATGTAGTAAGTATTCATGTACGTACGTGCAACGAATGACTGTATAATGGCTGGAACAATGCTACTCTGCTGTAAAAATGCAGATGTTTAACAAAACAACAGATATGTACGTCTTAATAGTAGACACAAGACACAGAACAGTGCACCCAGTTCATTTTTCATGTACAGGAAAAATGTTTCTTATCTACTATTATCATCTGCACTGAACTACAAAATGCATAGCATTGCTCTAGAGACCGAGAGATAACAAGGGAGAGAGAAAGCGAGATAGTAAGATAACCGGGAGAAAGAGAGAGGGACAATGAGAGTGAGAGAGAGAGAGAGAGAGAGAGAGACTGAAAGAGAGAGAGAGAGAGACTGAAATATAGAGGAAGAGAGAGAGACTGAAAGACAGAGAGAGAGAGACTGAAAGATAGAGAAAGAGAGAGAGACTGAAAGATAGAGATAGAGAGACAGATAGAGAGAAAGAAAAAGAGAGAAATAGAAAGAGAGAGAAAGAGAGATAGAGAGAGACTGAGAGAGAGAGAGAGACAGACAGATAGAGAGAAAGAGAGGGTGTGTGAGAGTGTATTCGGGTGCAGAATTGGTGCCAAGGATACTCATAAGAAAAGACCCTTCACTTGGATGATCACTCACAAAATGAGGACGTCCTCGATTGAAAGAACCTTGCAAAGTCATTGTTTAAAATTGGAGGGTCCTTCCATATCTATGGGGTTACGTCTATGTGTGTCCTCGATTTACTTCAGAAGCACGTAGGGGTGGGTGTGTGTGTGGGTGTGTTAATGAGAGAGAGAGACAGACAGACAGATTAATAGAGAGAGAAAAATGAGACAGTGAGAGAAAGTGAAAGAGAAAGAGAGAGAGAGAGAGAGAGAGAGAGAGAGACAAAGAGCAAGTGATTGAAAGAGGAGAGGAGGACATTGATACATACACAAACTCAATGGTACAAAATAAAAATTAAAAAAAGATTAATACAGGAAAGATGATCATGCATACATCTGTACATATATCACACAAACCGAACATGGTAGACGGCAGAGAACCTCATCTCTCAAGTAATGAATATTTCACTCCCTTTTTTGTGAACTCTATAGCTGGTGAACTCACATGAACAATTCAACACATACACTGTACGCCTGGGAGCTACATATGAATCTTTAAAAAGAAAACACAACCCCGAAACAAACATGCTGTATGTTTAATGCAGTATCACAAATTCAATACATAAGGAAATGAAAGGAAAAAGCTTTTACGAGAAAAAACATGATTGAAACTGTCGATAAAGAAGACAGAGCTTACATTTGGTAGAAAGCATATTACTTTCAATCCTATATATAGATGCTATCAAGAATCCACTTCTAATTTAAAGAAATGCAGAGAATCTGGCTTTATTTCAATGTGGTTCAAATTACTGGTTAATATAACAACCCATTAAGGTGTATACTTACAGGTAGGGTACACAGCTTGCCGTTGATTTTGACTGTAACGCTAGTTGGAATGCGATCATCTTGTTCACAGCTGGTTTCTGCTAAGCAAAATCTGTGAAAATCAAGAGAAATAATGATCGCTTGTTATAATTCAACTTTATATTAATAAAAGAATAGGCAATATAAAAACACTAAACATTGAAGAAGAAAAAAATTAATTAAAAGCATCCAATTCACAATATTATAAAACACCTTACAATCAATTAACAATGGATGAAATATTTACATAATTATATTCCAAAAGTGGAAATTCCCCCAAAAGGAGAGGCCTTGTAATGGGGAAAAAACTTTTACGGTATTCAAAAAAAATTAGGCCATATTGGGGGATGTATTTTCTTTTCGTTACCAAAACATAAAACATAAATGAAATGAAAGTTAATGCAATGTAAATTATGACATGTCAAATTGTCATACTACTAGAATTACACAAAATATGTATACGCTATTTTTTTCTTATGGATTCTAGAGTCGTGACTGAAGTTGCAAAATGAGCACATAAAAAGACATCAATGACATTATCATTCTATTAACTGCGTACTGTAGCATAGTACATGTTTATAATTATGCTTGCCCATGTAATCTCTCAGATTTTCTCATAATGATGAGGATTGGAAAATATCAATAACATTATAGTGACAACAGCAATTTGCCAGCCAGATATTCAGAATACTTATCTCATGAAATCATAACTTGCTCATTTTTATCTGATTTCACAAAACTCCACCACGCTATTGTGAGCATAACTGAAGTAATCATGGAGTGATATATTCCCATAAAAGACTATAAAATTGTGAGCCAATTACAACATTTTCCTATCAAAATTCCTATTGTACATGTACTTGGAAAATATAATAATAAAAGGAAAACAGCTAAGTTATAAACAATGATCCACTAACCAGTACAGTACGGTTCACACTAGATCGAAACAAGTATTCAAAATCAACTACAAAATAGGTATTCATTCATTTTTAACTACAAGCTGGTGTAACCTTAAAGTTAATTGCATGCAAAGAGCACTTAACTTCGAGTGAGGACACCTCCCCCCCACCCCCTCCCCTGCTCGTGGTTTGTGGTTTGTAACTTCAAGTTCACACATTTTTTGTAACCACGAGTGTGTCCCCACTACAAGATAACTTTGACGTTTATAACCACAACCTAACTTCACGTTAATGGACCGTCAAGTGAACTTTACCCTAATTATTTTTTTAATGTGCTTTCACTTTCATTTTCAAAAACAAAAATGTAGATGTGTACAATTATAGGCCTATATTGTATTTGCAATGTCCTTACAGGGACTTTCATTTTTCATTGTATTCCATTTCCAGGAAGATAAAAAAGTATAAATATAATTAACAAAGAATACGTGAAAGCAATAATAAATACAATTACAGATGGAGAAAAAAACACCATCAACTATTGCCTTGCCCTTGGGATTACCAAAAGAAACTTGGTCTGTATATAGAAAAGACCTTGGTCTGTATACAGAATATTGAAAAGAAAAAAATATGTACTGTATTCCAGCACAGCCCGATGAAAGCCCTTGAATAGTGTTGCTGCCACCATCACTATCGATAGCAGATTCAAACGCTGTTGTTGGTTTTGTTATTTCTGACTTGTTTCATATTATAAAGTGTATCACTGTGATATAATTTGATGATTGCTAATTCATTAATTCGTGTCCACTTTGAATTCAATCTGAAGACTTTGAATTCCAACTATTGTATTCAAAGCATTGATAGCTATGTACATGTAACACTAAGAGAATACATCTCCCCATAGATTTTTCATTCCAACTATTGCATTCAAAACATTGACATGCAAGGCTTAAATAAATAACAAAGAGGCATAATAACACAGTAAAGTACTGTACATACACATCTCGACATAATGTACACAGCACATTTGGCTCCATACAGGAAAGAACATGTACATAAACATTATATATCTAAATAAGTCCTTTAGTCTACATATCCATGTACCAGGGAATAATTTGCCTCAATTTTTTTGATTAGCAATTTCAGCTGATGGATAAATATTTCAAATGAAATTCTGTACATTTCAATGGAAGAAAACTGCTACACAAAAGAAACTTTGTATAGCAGTCATGCAAAAATGCATAGCAAATTGCGATGCGATACCAGGAAAATTATTCCCTGATGTACGTTATTAGGCATGGCTTTTCAAAGTCAGGACTGCACGGCATTCTAACCCGGACTGCCTAGGACAGAATCTTCAATTTCCATATTTTAAGAAAAATACAGAATTTTGAAAGTGTCAAGGAATTTTGACAGAAAATTGAAGAAAAATAAAGAAAAAGTCCAAACAAATGTAAGAAATACCGTATTTGCCGGCGATAAGGCTGCACCCCCAATTTTGATATTTAATTTTTTTTTTTAAATTATTAAAAAAAAAAAAAAAACTTTTGTCGGGATACGAACTCTTGCGTACAAATCTAGATCCGACCTGAACCACCACCTATAGAGGAACTCAGTGTTATTTTGCTCTGGTTCATTACATTACGAGCCAGAGCAAAATAACACTGAGTTCCTATAGGAAATCTATTTATTCAGATGGTTATATCTCAGCCAATACTTAACATATTCAATTGATTTTTAACATTTGGACATTATTTTTGATGCTCTTTCGGAAATGAAGTAAAAATTGAGAAATTCTATAAATAGATTTTTATGACGTCACAGCTTCGGTACTCTATTGTCATTGCCTGTACAATGTGCAAGAGCCCCCAGTTAAATTTTGAAATTTGGGGGCCTACATTGTAAGTGTGTTGAATGCCTTTGTGTCAACCCCTGCCAAATATTTCAAATTTTATATTTCAATGGCAAAATCATGTGTAATCTATGCATCACATTATGAAATGAAAAGCCATGGTAGTAATATAACATGATTTACTGTCCTACATGACACCTACTGTACATGTAAAGTTACAAAGGTATATACGTTACATGTACTGTACATGTATGTGTATGTAGAGTTATTTGTACTATTGTATTTTTACTGGAAGCTCATATTATAATGCATATATAACGCGATCTGAGTATATTTAAAATTGCAATTATTTTAAGTGCATTTCATCATCCCATTTTCCAATGCCCAGGAGCATTGCATATATGCTTGAGGCTCATCAATAAATACACATGTATGACCTCATTTCTTAATCTATATAATAGCCAACAAATAAAACACCTTTAACAAACATTCAATAACACATTGTGCCTGGCAAATTTGGCATTAAATAATATGATTAGTTCAAGAAATAGCCACACACTGGACCTCTTTTAGCCTTTATGTTTACAGAAACTCAATATTATCTCTTGGTGTACATTTATGTACAGTGATGTAATAATGAAACTGGGTCTTTTTTAGAACCACTTCCTTGCTGTGGGTGGCAAATATCACCCAAGTATACAAGTGCTGAAGTTGCTGAAACAATTATTCGGGACTATTAAAGAATTGCTACATCTTTTCCCCTATAAGTAAAACAGACACTGGTAGCATTCTTGTGAAGCCCATTCTGGTGACATAATCCATAACAATGAAACAGCTTGTATAATAATCAAAATTTACATAAAATTCTAAGACAATTGTTCAAAACCCAGTTGGCAAAGAATAAAGTTAAAACTTGGTAAAAAAAAAAAATCATCAATAGAAAATTGAAAATTTGTGAAGGTTTTTGTGCTCAATTCAAGGTCTCTTGGCTATTTGTCGGCCCTGATTTTCTTTTGTCTCTGGTGCTAAGTTATCTCGGATCCAACAAATTTAAGTAGAACAGATACTTATACATACGCATACAGAGTAGACAGCATAGTTCAAAACAAAGCAGCAAGCATAAAATCAAACTTCCTGGTGCAGTTTCGGAATTGCTTTTCTTTGACACTGCAATTGGACTGATATGTACCTGTGACTATATTATTTCACATGCACCTTCTTCACCTAATACCTTTTTCTTTTTTTTTGTTGATTTATATCACAAGTTTACTTTGTAATATAAAGCAACAACAACAACAAAATAACCAGAAGACAGGGTGGCTATATTATATTTTGGATTGATTGTCTTTTTCCTATTTCAATTACAGTGTTATTTTTTCTTTAAAAAAAAGAAATATATTAGAGAGAGAGCTGTACCTAAAATGTTTGTACTTGGAACAAACCATATTAACAAGCTCCACATACATACATGTATATTGTAAAGGAAAGGATATCTACAGTGTACATGTACATGTAATATTTTTACCCTTTGGCCTTTAACTGTAAACCTAAATCCTGGTCATGACAAGAAAATAAATTCTCATAGAATTAAAAATTTGCAATGTTATGCTCAAGATAACAAATAACTGATATTAGATATCACATGAACAATTCTGAATGACAGCTGAGTTTCCAGCAAAGTATGGTATCAGGACCAAATGGCCTATCCCTAAACACACATTCCTCCATATTCATTTGTGTGTTGGTGCTGTCCAGTGATAATAGATTTAAGCAAGTGTTGTTCAGAGCATATTTTATTGATGAATCTAAACAACACATTTACCGTGTTTGCTTGATAGATAGATAGATTCTATAGACAAATGGTATTATTGATTCATTTCTAACTATGTATCGCAGTTACAAATGACTGAATTGTACATGAATAAAACATATGGAAAAGACAAGTATACATGTACATGTACATTTCAAGAGATATCACAGAAACAAAATAATAGTATAATACAAATATACAGCTACAGGGTAATTTTTCTTGAACTCACGTTTAGCATAATAGTGTGCAAATGAACAATACTTATATAATATTGAATGGCTTTGAGTGGGATACAAGAATATATTGCTCAAGTTATTACGAAATTTTCTTGTATTACACGAAAACAAAGCCATATAATATTATTATTATTATCTATATTAGGCTGATTAGCGAAATAACAACATTTCGCCTCACCTTGGTAAATATGGCTTTGGCCCGAATTCACAAAGGAGGTTTACATGTACCTTTATAACCTATGGTTTAAACCCTCATTTACAAAACTCATTGTTTAACAAGGGAAATGCTCTCGGCGGTCTCGTCTGCATTACGCAATTCAATATGATGATAAATTGAGGTTGGGACATTATTCATAGGCAGGGTGGCCCATTAGCAGCCCCCCCCCCCCCCAATTAAATCCTCTGAATACAATCAGCATTTTGAAGTGAATATTGACCAAAAGTTATCGGAAGAATTAATTACTATAATTTGTAACAAGATTGATAACTTTAATGGAATATGAAAAAATAACAAAAAATGATTTTTCTTTTTTAAGATCCTCCCATACTGACCTAAAATGACCTTTGACCTTGACTTTGTGACCTTGAATTTGCGTCATAAGATTTGTGATACTTGATAACCCTTGTGTACAAGTTTCATGGAATTTGAACAAACACTTTTGAAATTATGCTAAAATTTCAAAATCTTGATGTTGATGCCACAAAAGGTTGACCTGAAATGACCTTTGATCTTAATTTATTGACCTGAAATTCTACTCACATGATTGGGGATACTTGATAACCCTTTAGCGTAAGTTTCATTGAATGAGAACTTATACTTTCAAAATTATACTAACATTTCGAAAACTTAACCTTAGGTTAAGTTTTTGATGTTGACGCCGCCGCCGTCACCGGAAAAGCGGTGCCTATGTCTCGCTTTTTGCTGAGCAGACGAGACAAAAATTAGCGCAAAATAAGCGTACCCTGCCTTGCGCGCGTCAGACTGTGTCGCGCTTATTTCGCGCTCAGTTGAAGTTCCCAGATGACTCAGCAATACAAAAACAATATTGGTCGGTCATCCGAGTACTGCGCTAAAGATATTGAATACACTGATTTATTGTACCCCTCGGAAGCCTCATATATACATGTAGATATTAACAATATCTATTATTGATAAAGTACATTTTAAAAAAAATTAAAGATTTTTTTTTCTTTCTTACGATCTTAGACAGACCGATATGTTTGATAACCAGTTCAACAACCTTCAAGCTGTGTAAAAGTGCTAAATTAACACCTGAATTCCTTAAAAATAACAAGGTAAATCAAATGCAAACAACTGCTGTAACAAAATATTCCAAAACATCCTGTTCATCATGAGTTGGTAGTGAATTAGGTTTCCTTCCTCTCTTTTTTACAGTACACATATCCTGGTACTTTACTCTTCTATTTTCTTCTTCTTTTTTATACTTCCGAGTAACGGGAGTATCACTTTCCAAAAAAAGGAAACTTGCTCTAGGATTTTAGAGTGTTTGTACACGTACTCATATATTTTTTCGTTCAAAGTCAGCACTGCTTAACAATTGCTTCACAAATTATACTACTACTACTACTAAAAAAAAAGTATTCAAAGGAAGTTTGGGGCCTGTAAAATAGTAATTGTAGCTAACTGCTAAAAAACTATTTATTTAACAGGAAAACAGTGCGATGGCCGATGGATGTGATCCACATCACACACAAAACGTAAGTGAAAACAAATACAGACTACTTAACATCATGGTACACTTAAAAGGAGTTGGCCGAAATAATTAAATAAATAAAATCTAATAACGATTATTTGTAAAGCGCCATATATACATTAAAGTTGATGTTCATTGATTTTAAAAACTAACTTAATTTCATTATTGCAAAGTTGAAACTGTGATTCGACAAGGTTATCAAACTTCAATGCTTGGAAACATTCGAGGTGATTATTATTATAAATTATAAAACGCTTAAATACAGCCCCGGCATAGCACCTGAAGAGCTCTCCGAACGCTCCTGAGATGTGTGAGATCACTGTATGGACACGATTTGCACAAGCAGACGATGTCCCATGACATCACACACATTTTCAGTGCCTGTGTTTACATCTTCTCTTGAGTTCTTTCTCTTACTTCACTACCGTCAGGCTAAAATTATAATCTATTGCCTCACTCTAAACCCCGCACACGGTTTTATTTTGATGACAAATGCAGCGATACAAAAATAAAGGAATTTGTCGCTTGTAAACAAAATAAGACGGTATTGAATATTCAGCTGCACACAGCGCGGTATGTTCGGCGTTTCAAGAGGGAACAAATGCCGTCCTGATATCATTCCGGGGGGTTTTCAATTTGAAAGTCTGGTTTCTTTGATCGTTAATTAACACATATCCTGTGTATTTACAAGCAAACGATTTTAGTTATCGGAATCGGGTCATATCCCCCTTTGAATGGTTTGACATGCCATTACATTTATATACACTAAACTCATTATAATTTGAGAAATAATAGCTTTGCAATTATGTTCATTCTCTATGGGATGTCGTCTGCTTGGGCAGTGTTGGTCCATATAGTGACGTCATTAAAAACATCGTTATTTTTCCGGCGAATCTCTCGCATATCTCAGCTGCTACTGGAGGTGGTTGTATTTGTATTTTTATAAATCACCCGATATGTAGTTGACCTAAAACTTGTACGATGGCTATCTGTTAGCTTACCAGTTTCTAGTGATACATTAGTTGACATATTTGTGATTTTCTTTGAAGTTCACCTTTAAATGCAAAATGCTCAATTCTCAAGGTACTTAGTGTTTAAAAAGTCAAGGTAGCACTTGTTGCCAGAGGATTTGTCTTAAAAAATGTCTTAAAAGAAAAGTGCTTTGCTCAGTTACGACGAAACGAGTAAGGCTGTTAACAAGAAACATTTAGTAAATAATATCCTTTTACAAATCTGGATTCCAAACACAGACTTACCTCAACTGAACTTGTACTGCAAAATTACGCGTTCTTGGGTCTTGCGACTCCAGGATCTGTTGGATTTGGGCGGGTGTGAGGTGGAAGAGGGTAGACTGCTGAGCATCTCGGTATTTCCCCGACACCACTGTAAAAATACAGAACATTGTCATTAGAACTTTATTTCCATGTCTCTTTCATGATGAAAATATAGGACTGAGTGGATGCAGCAGTTGCTTTTGATTTCTGATCTATGACAGATCTCAGAAAACTAAAAGAAACGTAAACAAGCATCTGCCTGTTGAACCATAGGTGGTGGGTTCGAATCAAACACAGGGCGGATGACTGACGCCAGCGTTGTGTGATAAGGTGGCCCCTCCCGTTTCATAGACACCGGCTATGTTATAGTACAGTGGAAAACACTCTATCCCTTGGATAGGACCTTAAATGACGGCCCTGTGTAGAGGAGAGTCGCCCCCTTTGCACGTTAAGAACCCACTGAGTTATTCTTATAAGAGTAAGGAGAAAGCCCGGTGTAGTGGTCTACCTGCACATCTTTACCTGACATCAGTGGTGAAATAAGGTACCAAATACCAATGAAAAGCTGAGGAGTTCCTTTCTCAGTTAAGCTACATATAAATTGTCAAAGTAAATTTGCTTTAAACATTAACCATCTGAATGTGGATTACCTATATTTTAATACAGCCCCTGTATGCATATTGAATATAAATTATTTATCATGAATGGAACAAAAAAAAATCTGCTTTAAGAGAATTTATGTGGTCATGGTTATACATGTAGCAACACTCAAACATATTGCCAGCTGGTCTTTGATCCTTCAAAGTCCGTAGCTGGCAAATCACAAGCTAAACTAAACCTTTGAATCCTAGGACAAACGACAGGATCAGGACTCTAAAGATTATTAAATGTATTTATGTCAACTGATTTTCTATGTTTTTATTTTTTTTATTTGTAAAACTTGATCTTATGATTTATAGGACCTATAAAGGTGAATGATGAAAAAGCCAGCTGTAATAAACAAATTATTAACATTAAAATTGTTTATGCTTAGAAAGCTGATGGGATAGTAATTATGGTAAAGTAAGGGTAAAATATGCTGAAACCTACAATGTTAATGATTTATCAAGCAGGATATCAATCTAGTTTATTATAGTACTAGTTTATTACACTATAAATTTGTTCTTCTCTTGAAGGTACATATATGCTTAATATGACATAAATATTATTTGCTTTTTCTTTTCATAAACCATTTTGATCTTTATTTACACTATGAATTTTTCTGAAATATCTACCAAAAGCCCATAATTATTCATGGTTAATGACGGTATCCATGATCACAACCTCCACAAAAACTTACTAAGTGCTGAAGGTTTGACAAGTTCTGCCAGAATGTCGAAGAAGGGTAGGATCTTGAGTTTCACATCAGGATGGTACGCTTGCGTTGCATGGACAGACGACCCCAACGGAGATACTGAACTGTGCGTACTGCTACTATGCGAGCTTCCATGTGAGCTAGTGTGCAAACTACTTTGCGAGCCTCCATGCGACGACGACGAATGTGAGCTGTGTGAGTTATGTGACGAGTGGGAAAGTCCATGAGAGGAGGTATGGTGGTGGCCGGATGACGGCGGAGAATGCTGAGCCTGTGAGTGTCCATGCTGCTGCTGCTGCGAGTACAAAGAACTCGAGTTTAACGAGTGGCTAGGCAGTTTTGTTTGCTGTTCGGATGCCGAGGAAAGATAAGGTGGTGGAGCGACGAGTCTGCGAGGAAACCTCCTGCGATACAAGTCCTTTATCTTGATTTGCACGGGGGTACTGCAGTTGTTTTTCAGGAGCGACAATGCTCGTGCCTGGAGTTCATGTTTTCGTCCACTTTTATTACGTCCTGCATAGCCTAGTAACACCTGGAGCTCCGTGACCCTGAAGCTCATCACCATATGCTGTGTACAAGGAAAGAAGAAATATGATATGAAGAAGCAGGTCATTATCAAAATGGACGTAAATAAGGAATAATTTAATACAAACAAGGCTAATGTGAGCCATAAAAATACTTTAGTAGAGCAGGAAAGATAATGAAACACTTTGAACAAGGTCTAACAAACCATACGATCATGTGTAATAAGTAAATATGAAGATTCTTTTTTTGTAGGTTACGCATCAGGGAATAATTTTCCTGGTATCGCATCGCAATTTGCTATGCATTTTTGCATGACTGCTATATAAAATATTGTTTGTGTAGCAGTTTTCTTCCATAGATATGTACAGAATTTCATTTGAAATATTTATCCATCAGCTGAAATTGCTAATCAAAATATTTGAGGAAAATTATTCCCTGCGCATTGATTGTAGTCATAATCATCCCCCCCCCCCCCCCTTTGAGTAAGAAAAATTGGGAAAAATAAAGAAGAATAGAGAAAATAAGGGGAAAATCTGGATAAAATCAGGAAGAAAAAAAAAAGTAAAAATATAAAAAAACAGGAAAAAAATCAAAAAAATTGGGTAACCGATGTAAATCAGGGTTTTACAGTCAAACCTGTCTGTAGCGATCACCCAAGGGAAACACAATATGTGGCCTTTGTAGACAGGTTTCTTCAGTACATGATTCAATGAGAAACCATTTTCAAGGGAAACAACAAATGTGGCCTTTGAAGACAGGTGGTCACTAAAGCAGGTTTGACTGTATCAGGCCTGTAAGCAGGGCTCAAATTAATTGTTTGTCCACGGGTGCTCTTCCCCCCCCCCAAAAAAAAAGAGCCCCCGTGAGCCTTCTCACGGGGGCTCTTTTATTACTGACGGGGGCTCTTTTTTATACAAATATCCATTGAATTGGTACCTATGATACTCCTCAATTATTTGCTATTTCTTCATTATCATTTCAATCAGCATTTTCCCTCTTACAAATTTACAAGCTACATAGCTGTTACTGGCCTGTGTATATACATGTAATATATACGCATACAACACTGATCTTTATGATGTCTTTAACGTGACATATCTTCTTCTCCCCTTGCAAACGAAAAAGAAAACAAGGTCATTAAAAGGGATTAAGCGACTAATAATGATTGTGATTCAAATTGATGCGAATATTTGTTTGAATAAGCACTGCTGTTCACCCGAGGGGGTTAAACCCCCTAACCCCTTTATTACGCGGAATTCGTTTTTCGCATTGCCAGCAGGCAGATCGGGAACCCAAAACCTGCAGAGCGCCAAAGAAATAAAAACCACCGCGATTTCTTAGGACGCATTTTGTCTGCGTATCGAGGATATCCAGGTTTATGCGGACTATCCTCATTCTCGGACCAGCGCCCCTTCCTTCTCACTAGTAATGGATGCAAATCTAGGACTTTGTTCCAACTCTATGTGTATTGAAACACTGGATGATCCATACTCTGTTAATATGTTATAGATCTAGACCTAGTCTACATTCATTTAGTCACTACCATTTTCTGTCGGTCTCACTGCAGCAGTCTACATGGTGTAGGCCTACGGCCGCGCCGCTCGCGCATCGCGCTCATACTAGACCTCGTCTTCACACTCTCTGCAAACAACAAACGAAAACGTAAACAATTGGAACACAAAATATTTGTATTAAAGAGTCTAAATGAATTGCAACAAAAGACATGAATACATTGGAAACTATATCTACCGTTTTATCATTAAGTGTATTAATAATTACTGCCTTTTAATACAAAAATATCACCTTTAAGTCGTCGTAGTCGGCCATTCTTGACTGAACAGTGAACGCACAGACTTGAGCCGGTCATAGGATCTGCGCATGCGTTAACAAAAATCCCACTTATCCTCATTCATGAACATTTAAATTATTATATTCAAAAATATTTTTTCGATATCAAGATATTGATTGTACATTTTAAAAAACAAATTTTAATCTTTAGTTATATTTGATGAACATTTATATTTCTTGTTTTTTTACTGGTTTTATTTTAAAAAATAACCCACACATTCTTTGCATCATAACTTTTTGTTAAACTAAGCAACGAGAGACGCAAATGTATGAAAATGTACAGTAGATTATATTATTTTGTTTGACTTATCGTCATTTTTGGAACCAGAAAGCAAGCAAAATGATGGAATCATTAAACTACGCAGCTATAAAGACATCAAGTCAAGTTAGAGAAGCAGTAAGTTACACTTTCTAGGACACAGTGAAACCAATCACTGAATCATTCGCGATAACACTGACAAAACACTGCACTGATTAACACACGTAGAGACACGTACAGTCACAGACTCAGCTCAGCTCAGCACAATAAAAAACAAATTTTTTCAAATTTCAAATGTAAGACCAATGATATGATTGGCGATAGTATGTGTGAATGTGGATGAAATGGATGGCTATTTGAGATGAATATAATGACATGTACATGTAAGTCTTAGACTCTTGAGTCTTATTGCCAATTTAGATTTGAAATGGCCTTAAAAAAAGTTGCTGTTGCCTGATTCCTGAACTGAAGTTAGGAACTTCAACTCCCGGGGGGGGGGGGGGTACTCACGTATATTGGGTATACGGGGATGTGCCGCTCGGAAGGGTGACTTTTTTAGGAAAGATCCTTAGACATGGGTCCCCTTTTCATGAAAAAAAATCCTTAGACATGGGTCCCTTTTTTCATTTATTCCTTTCCCCTCTTTTCTTCCTTATTTTCTCCGGGATTTTGGGATTTTCTCCTAGATCTACATTGCAAATGCATAAATCTCTCCCATCTCTAAATAGATCTAAATGAATCCTTCGGTGATTGCATTTCCAGTGTACGAGGTGTACGCACGAGCTAAGTCAGTGGGTGTACGTACGTAGCTCGTAAACTCAACTAGATCCCGGGGTACCACATATATCAGGACCCCATGGGCTCTATACCGGGTACTCATATGGCATAATGCGCGCGAGGTATGGTATCCGCCCGTATAGGGGTCGTACCCCCGGAAACTTGTAGCGCTTCGCTTATGATCATCAGCTATATCCTGCGTACCCTCTGTCCAGCAGCCGGGCAGCAGCGGGGCTCAAGCAGGGAGCTATATAGCCAATGCTTGAGAGCTCGTGTACGGGTACGTTAATTAAAACAGGAAAAGTCCTTCAATTAAAACGGATGCTAGAGGTGCTAGCACAGTATAATTATGTTGCATGGTGTTTTCATCTTTATGTGTGTAAACTACTTGTAAACTACATGTTGTATGGTACAGTTTACTAATAAAGAATTTTATCGAGAAACTGCAAAATTATTGGCCATTGTATTATTACACACATAGGTGCATTACTATCCTGGCTGTGTATTAAAAGCTGTGCTATTGATTCTCAACATTTCAAACACCACTGTATAAAACTCAATCAATTTCACTCAAAATCGATACTTTAGTGACAATCGATAAGATATTAATAGCAGTAAAATACATTTTTTTTAACTTTCCGATGTTAGAAAGAATAATTAAAAAAATCAAATTGTGAGTCCACTGTCGAACTTGCCGATCAGCCGCATCGGCATGATTGTGTGCATCTCTGTGTTATGAGTGTATTGACTATTCATGTATTTAAATGCTGCCTATTGACGCGTAGTGCAGTGCTAGAGGTCAATATGCATTAGCGTTGACTCTCCATATGCTTTGCTGGAGTGTATTATTACAGCTTAAAAAACGTAATATTTGAAGTTTGAAATCCTTAGACATGGGTCCATTTTTCACAAAAAATCCTTAGACATGGGTACCTATTTCAGCAAAAGGACCCTTGGATGTGGGTATGGGTTCGGAGGTCTCAGCCGCACACCCCCGTCCGACTATAATCTGAGTACCCCCCCCCCCCCCCCCCCCCCCCCCCGGGCTTCAACTTGGGGCTAGAAGAAGAAGACAATAATAATAATATTAATAATGAATATTAAATATGATATTGATATCACCCAGCCTTTATTGGCACCCCATACCAGGGCTGCGGAAAGAGCGATATAGACTAAACCAAACCTAAAATGCATTCGTAATCACTCATTCCCCCGTCCAACAAACCTTGCAGTTGCACACTGCACTGGCTTCAGAATTTGCTAGTCAGCTGGTAGTATGAAGGAGGGGGGGACCAAAGTTTGTAGAGAGATTTTGAAAATATTAGACAATGTGATATTCAATCTATGATTCTCATATTAAACACAAATGTATTTATTTCAATTAGAAAATATTACCAAACGGATGGCAAAGTTGTCAACTACAAATTGGTGCAACTAGAAAAGTTATCGTCAAAGGATTCCGGAGATATCGCTTTATGATAGGGAGGCCAATACCAAAATCTAAAATCTTAATTAGGCATTTCTGAATGTTAAAAATAGGTCTAATAGAAAGAAATTATCGTAACTAAGACTAAGAGTAAAACAACTCGCCCATCTCCCGACTCCAGAAGTGTCATAAAAAAGGAGATATTTAGTTCCAAAGTTGGGCATTCCTTCTACACTAATCCATTCAGAACTGATAGGAATATAGCCTTATAGATAAAAGATATGATGTGGTCAGTCATAAATATATTTTGTTCTGATGTTCTGTTTTAAATCTTTTTTACTTTTTATCACCAGGAGGAGCAAAAATCTGAGCAGCGGAAAAAGAATTTATTAATTCTGATGCTACATCACCTCCTAGGAGAAGGCTACTCAGAGTCAGCCAAGGCATTGGAATCAGAGAGCAATTTGTGTTTTAACAAGTTCGAAGTGTGTGACAATGTGGATTTGGAGACTATACTTATGGTGAGAAAAACAAACAATATTAAATGAAAGGTGACATTTCAGCTTTCATCCTTTAAAATACTAGAAACTTTGTGAAATAAACTTTAGGAAACTGTAATTCCAACTGTGTTCTTGGCTTTTACAAAATACTACAAAATACTGCAAATATTATATGTTATATACTTGTGATCAAATTTTATTTTTTATATTTGGCGGCACAACACTTTGTCAATCGTGAAATTTGCTAAATTTTCCTATGTACAATTTTCATGTTTTTTATTTGTGGAACAGTAGCAGACTTGACAACAATATTTTGCATAAAATTTTGCTTTAACAAAAATAATCAACCATGTTCAATATTTCAGCACGTTAAAATTTAATCTCTTTTGACTCTTCTTACTTTTTTAATAGGAATATGAGAGTTACTATTATGTAAAGTTTCAGAAATACCCCAAGGTGACTAAGAAGATATCTGCAGAAGGTGAGTGTTATTATTTTATTTGACAATGTGTGATATAAATTATCATTATTTAGGAACCATTCATAAGAAACATCCAGCTATTGTGGTATTTTAGAATAAAATATATATTGTAAATGAAGTTATGACTAATATCTATTTGAACCACCCCCCCCCCCCATTAAAAAATAGTTGTATGCAGTTTATGATCGATTAAATTGACATATGCAAAGATGGAGAAATTTCCTTCCATTGGATAGCTTCTTTTTTTTTGCCTGATAAATATTTTATTGTTTCTGTATTTAATAACAATATTATTTCTAGAAATCCCTCAAACTCTACCTTTTTTCATCTTACAGCTATCAACAATAAGAATGGCAAGAATAAAAAGTGAGTATGTTCCCTCTTGTCCATCTCTCTCTCTCTCTCTCTCTCTCTTCCTCTTGTTCTCCCTCACTTTATCCCTCCATCCTCTCTCCCTGTATTCCTCTTATCCTCTTTCCCTTCCTCTCTGTCCTTTTCTCTGCCATCTTCTGTCTTCTCTCTTCTCTCTTTCCTCTCTCACAATTTTTTCTTAAATCATGGCCATCTGTATTTCATCTATGTCATGTATATATTATTTAATACCTTTTCTTACTATTTGGGATGAGAGAGAGCTATGCTGCTTCTTAATATCATTTTACAATTCAGCTTTCTTCTACTTCTTTTTTCTTTCTTTCTTTTTTCTTTCTTTCTTTCTTTTCCCACTGTATTCTCTTTTACCTTCCTTCTTCTACTATAAAAAGAGACTTTAAAAAAAATGCCTGTGAATGAATAAACTACTGATTCATTGTAATTGTTCAGCACCAATGAAATAATTGTAGAAATCCTCGATGTAAAATTGTATGTATGTAATGTCTTGTGTACTTATTGTTTTTAATCTGTATGTTTGTACCCTATACTCTCTGTGTTTCTGTCATTGATGGGGAAGGAACCATATATGGGCAAGTTTAAGGTATTTAGTCATTTGGTGGCCATACTGTACGTTGAGTATTGTGGACTTCTGAATTTAAATTTACGTTAAATATGTGATGTCACTTCTGACCTAAGGTCTCCTAGGGTTCTTGATACCACGATAAGGGCCCTGTTGTATAAAACTTAGCATTGATGGTAGTTTGCCAAATAATGCTAACTTCCATGGAAACCTTGATTTGATTGGCTGTTGAGTGATGTTGCCATGGTACTTAACATTGACGGCTAAGTTACCATCAGTGGTATGTTTCATCACAGTAATTATCTACATGTACATGTTATCATGTATGTACATGTACATGCCTGTAATTGAAATTATTCACTTTCTTGATATGTTTTATCTCTATTTTGTGTGGATTACATGTATGTTGTAAGTCTTACTAATTTGACGTTCAAAAATGAACAAGGAATTTCCTAGTTAAAGATTTCACTGTACATATTAAATGAAAATAATCTACATTACAACATTTTGAAATGACACTGTTTGAATAATCTATCGTTCTTCCATTCTCTCCTATTTCAATCATTTAAATGTAAGTATAAATCAATAAATTTATTTAACATCTCTAATCATGATAATATTCATGTACTCAACGCATAGTATACTTTGTAGCTTAGGCAAATATGTGTCTTGTCATATTCATTGTGTCGTTTTGTCCTGTAAATTTCATTCGTATTATGTCGTGTTTATTTGTTAAATGTCTCATTGTCATTATTGTCAAGTTTTTCGTATACCGTTTCATTTATTCAGAGAAATGTGTGCAATCATTGTTTTTCATGTCTTGTCTGATGTACAAACCTAAAATAGTGATTTGGTGTATTTTTTAATGTTAACCTTCAAGTCTGCTACTAAAAGTAAATAATATGTCATGTAGCTTCTCAAATCTGAAAGCTGGAAGCTTATTGTCTTATTAAAATTTGTTAATTTCAAAAGATGCGCAATTCATTATTTTAAAAAGCTGTGATTTACCTCATCATAATATCTGTTTGGAGCCAGAAGGGTGTAAACATGTATAATGAAACACAGTTTTGCTTTCATCACAATTCTGTCTTTCCAATGTATAAGAAGTAAGAATCCAAAGGTCAATGGATTAGAAATAACATTAAACAATTTCATTTGCTTTGCTCGACAGGATTTCCAGAACGAGCAGCACTCCGATACTACCGAAGATACCCCATGCCCCGGACCATTCTGGTAACGCATCAGCAAATACATCAGGGAGGAAAAGACCCACCTCTAGTACGGTGGCCCAGAGGAGACAGTCAGGAAATGGACCCAGAAAGAGTACAGATGGCGCAAGACAAGTACGCTCTTTGCATTAATTATCTTTAAAGGCAACAGGTTGTAAACTTCTCAAAGTGTTTGCCCCCAAAAGCGCAGTTTCGATCTGCATCGATGGAAGTTTTAGAAAGTATTCAGGGCTGATAGTTTTTAGGATTCATATTCAGTATTGTCTTTTTTATACTTTTGCGCTCTGTAATGTCATATTTTTCTTGTTGTCTATGATGTTAATTAATCATTCACATTTGATTGTTATATTGATGTACTTTTTGTTTTGGATAATAAACTTCAAACTCAAACTCAACTCACTCAAACTCAAACTCAAACTCATAAATTAAATTCAGTTAAAAAATTATGATTTAATGTAGATATAATAATTTTTAATAATAGTTTTGCTTATATAGTGCTTAATACGTCGACAATGTCCGAGTTTATAAGCACTTTACATTATTACCCCGGTCATCAGATTCTGGCTTGCCCGCACACAATGTATGCACTTTCTCTACTCCCTGGGGAGCATTCCAACAAGAGCTACTAGGCTCAAATATAATGTTAACATTAATTCGCTTTCTTCCTCCTCAGTCACCACAGGTCAATGGGCATGGTGACCCCTTATCTGACCTCTCAGTGTCAGGGTCAATGGTCAGTAAGAGTCACGAGAATGGAACATCAGGCGGCAAGCTTCCCCCCAAGCGAGGCCCCATCATCGACATGAGGGCCATGTTGAATAATGCAGTCAAAGGAGCTACCCAGGAATACATGGGAGGAGCTGAGCAAGATAGTTCAGTAAGTCGTGAACCTCTGCAAAAGTCTTTAAAACTCCTTGGATAGAAGGAGGTGGGAAAATGAGTTTAATTATAGGTTATTGTAAAACCAGAAATTTTCATGAATTGATCTTTTTGAAAATGGTTAATGATAGCCATTTTCATGGTGTGTGTGTGCGAGAAAGAGAGAGAGAGAGATACAGAGATACAGAGAGAGAAGGGGGGGGGGGGAGAGAGAAAAGAAGAGAGAGAGAGAGGGTGGGGGGATCTAAAAGATAAACATCATGTAGGATACCAACATAACATTGGCACTACATAATGCCAATGAAATGGGTTTGTTCTTTCCCCTGCTGATTGCATCATTTAAATGATAAACATAGTTACATCGATGGATGTAATGTACTGCCTATAACAAATTTTGATTGGGAAAGTTTGTGCAATAGAAATCATTCACTTTGAAATTTTTCTCTAATCAATTGTATTTATTTATTTCATTTACTGGTCTATAACAAGTGACCAGCAGCATAGACTGAAGGGGTCAGATTACATTTAGAATAATACAATATTTACAATAAAATTGTATGTTAATTTCTTTCTCTATACAGGATAGATTACTAAAGCCACTAGGAGGCTATGCTGGTTACTCGTTGGAATGGAGAGAGTTGGCACAGAATATAAGTAAAGATATCTACCTACACAACCCTGATGTGAGGTGGGATGATATTATAGGTCTGGATGCTGCTAAGAGACTCGTCAAAGAAGCAGTAGTATATCCTATCAAGGTTGGTCTAAAATACAGTGAAACCTGTATATAAAGACCACCAAGAGAGACAAGAAAAGTGGTCTTTATAGACAGGCTCCTTTAGTACATGTTTCAATGAGAAACCATTTTTAAGGGAAACAAAAATGTGGTCTTTGTAGACAAGTGGTCTTTCTATACAGGTGGTCACTGAAGCAGGTTTGACTTTATATCAAAATCTAGAGAATCTTACCTTGGAATATGAGTAACATATAATATCATTGATTTTTTATTTTTTTTAAATTAAAAAAATGAAATTGAAATAGAAAGAAGATTTAACGAGAAATGTAATGTCAACCAAGCAAGTCCTTATTTTTATGCAGAATTAGCTTGAAACATTCTCTCTGGTGTAAATTTGAATAGGTTCTAAAATTTGGTTGGGATTTAACATTATTATGACTGAAGTTTACTTTTAAATTTCCAATTTTTGATTTCAATATTCAAGTGTATTTGCCATTTTATTGTGTACTGATACCGAATGTGTATATTCTTTATGTGTGATTTGCTGGGTTTTTTTTGGAAGGGGGGGGGGGGGTTGTTTTGTTTTAATTTTACATCATGGCTAGCTGAAAAAATTCACGGCAGGGCCTTCTGAGTTGTATTTATAAACTCTTAGTAAATAGTTCTGAAAAGCCCCAAAAGCTGATATGAATGAATCCACAAATTGCAGGGGCCCGTTGCTTAAAACTTACCATTGATGGTAACTTTGCCATCAATGGCAACTTCCATGGTAACAGGGCTCAACAGCCAATCAAAATCAAGGTTTCCATGGTAGGTAACATTGATGGCACAGTTACCGTCATTGGTGAGTTTTGTGCAACGGGCCCAGGTAAAGATATAAAGGGTCTTGTATAGTACCAGTACAGTTTCTTCTAAGGAAATGTATCATATTCATACAATTCTCCCTTTAATTATTCCATGTTGGCAGTACCCTCAACTATTCACCGGTATCCTCTCACCGTGGAAGGGACTTCTACTGTACGGACCACCAGGTACCGGCAAGACTCTACTGGCCAAGGCGGTAGCTACTGAATGCAATACAACCTTCTTCAATATCTCCGCTTCTAGTATAGTCAGCAAGTGGAGAGGAGACTCAGAGAAATTAGTCAGAGTAAGACTTTGATTTTGTTTTAAAGCCTGTCTGTACTAGTTTGGCCAGTGGGGATCAGACCTCCCTGCAAGGTCACTGACAGGTGGTTATCTCATCAAATCAGCTCTCAGTTAACATAAGAAAAAGGGCATCATGGGGGATCAACGGGTACCGCTTAGGCATTGTTGGCTGTATAGAGGGCGCAAGTAGCTATAAATAGTGCAGTGGGGCTTTAAAGGAAGTTTCATCATGCATCATGTGAATCATATATAGCACTCACTTTTTGCTGTTTGTGAATGTTTCTTGCAACAAAAAGGGCTTCTGACTCGCACAAGTTCTTGGTTTTACAGTATTCCAGTATTGGTAACATTCAACTTTTGTTTAGTGTGGCTCTTTTGTTTTGTATGTTTTTTGTTTTTTTGTTTTGTATGTTTTTGGATCTTAAGAAATGATGCGTGTATTTATCTTGAATTTTAGGCTAATTTGTCATTGCCTTGAATTTGTATGTTGGCAGTTGCAAATATAAAACAATACTACATCTTTCTACATTAAAGATAGCTTTCTATGCTTGTAATCCGAAAAGTTTGATTGTTTGGTCTTGATTATGTTAAGTCCGTTTGCTTCCAGATATTGTTTTTATATTTTGACAGCTATACAGTAATGAATAATGAGGGACTCTGTTTATTCAAAAACATCTGGAAGCTGTACATGCATTCTTTAAGGGAAATATATGAGAGTGAAATGTATGTGACTAATCACTAGAAACACATGTTACATTTGTTATGCTATCTATAAAAGTATATGATTGCTCATATCTTTATTTTTATTTCCCCGAAAGGTATTATTTGAGCTTGCAAGATTCCATGCACCATCCACGATATTCCTAGATGAGCTTGAATCGGTGATGGGACAAAGGGGTGGAGGAGGAAAGTGAGTTCAGTGTTTAATGCATGTTTTTCTTCTTCTTCTTTATTATTAGAATGTGTTTTGAGAGTTCTACTAAGTAATCTAGACTAAAAATTGTTTTAATAACTATGATAGAAACTCATGTAGTAGACTTATTATTTTGAAGTAAGAAGAATACAACTATCAAAAATTTATTTGATCATTATCTGAATGCTGTGTTTTTAAAGGGGCACAACAATGTTATGCTATAAAAAAATGGACTGTTATAACAAACAAATTGAGGTGATGCCCTGTACAATCATGGTGCAGTAGTGGAGCAGTGGTCTTGTAACTCTGCTAGCTAGGCTACCGATTTTGGTGCTCACAGCATTCAAGGAATTCCATCCTACTGATACCCATTTAACACCTTGGTGGCAATCGAGTAGCAAATGTAGATTAATTTCTTGCCAAAGGACATTAGTACATATAAAATTATAATCCTGTTAATCTTATTTTGTATATTATAGTGAACATGAAGGGAGTAGAAGAATGAAGACAGAGCTTCTAGTACAGATGGATGGACTTGCCAAAACAGACGATCTCGTCTTCTTGTTAGCAGCCTCAAATCTTCCATGGTGAGTTTGAGACCAGACTCATCTAGATCTGCCATGCGAGGGTGTATAAGTTCAATATCCGTTCTGAGCATATAGGCAGAATGAAAGAGGAAGTTATAAAATCAGCGATGAAAGAATCATCTTCTGAATCAATCAGAATTTTTAGTCCTCAAAATGCAATGCAACATTTTGGCCAAGAGTTTTATAACTCCCATCCATCATAGCAAAGTTAATGAAGGAAATTTATATGTACCATGTATACAAAAGACACAACATTTTAGTCACCTCACTGTTCAGTGAGTTTTACATTATTATGTGTACCTAGCTGTAAATTTCTTATGTTAGTTTAATAATCATACCCGTGCATTTGCCCAAACCAAGCTTAATTGTTCATCTGAACATAATCATTCTATGTATATGATTATTTACTGCCATAGAATGACTTTTTGAAGATGAGGTTTAAGCTTCAAATTTCTTATTACTCTTTTTTTTTCTTTCTGCCAGGGAATTGGACCATGCCATGTTGAGGAGATTGGAGAAGAGGATATTAGTAGACCTGCCCGTACTAGAAGCTAGGAAAGCAATGATTGAATACTACTTACCTAGCGTACTCAACCCAGATTGCGCCTTGTCCATCAATACAGATATTGAATATGATTTCTTAGCAGAGGTATGTCTAGAATATCATATGAACCATATTCTGCAATACATTATCAATGAGCATGTGAATATCTTGAATGAATGAATGGGTGATTTATCTTTAAAGCTGCTAACTATTTCAGTTTTGCAGGAATGATTCCTTTTTGGGGGGCCTTAAACAGATGATATTAGTCCTAGGTTTTGCTTCTTTTTTTGGCTCAAAATATGAACAAATGAAAATTACCATCTTCTTAATTTTGCCTTGATATTTTCTTCACCTTCGTAGCTGAAGATTGAAAGAATGTGTAAGACTGGAGAAAAGGATTTTGGTAGACTTGTCTGTCCTGGAAGCTAGGAAAGTAGTGATCATCAAATGTACCATGGTTTTATAGTCTATATGATATGAACCATGACAAATTTAAAAAGTCAACTTTGAGACAAATAATTTGGTATTAATTCCTAATGGGTTTGTTCAATTTACGTGACTGCTCTAAAAACATGTGTTTGCTTGTATGTAAGCAACCAAGGGACCAATGGTTTTAAGTCCTCTCAGAGGGACTTTGTAATGAGGATTAAAGCCTTATACTTAAGGGCACCTGCTCATCAAATTATTTTTGCACCTGGGACCTCGGTGACGAGACCACTGCTCTAGCTACCACCGATAACTCATGACTATTTAACTTGTTCGTGTTGTGTATGACATTCAGAAAACTGAAGGATACTCAGGGTCCGATCTGAGGCTGGTATGCAAGGAAGCTGCCATGAGACCAGTCAGAAAGATCTTTGATATCTTAGAATCAACATCAGGTGAGTAGCTGCTAGTCTACACTATCGATTATACCAAGCAATATTATTTCTAACAGCCCCCCCCCCCCCCTCCCAATCCTTCCCTATAGAATTTAGTCTAGTTTGAATAGTTTGTTTAGTAAGCTTTGTCCCTCAGCTTGCATGTGTAGCTCAATCATTGCCTGCCCATATGTTTTATGTGGGTGGGTTGGTTTAAATAGGGGAAATGTTCTCATTTATCTATTGATTATTAGTAGCTGTATATTCTGTTCTTGGTGAGCATGAAATAACTACTAACTAATCATCTACCTAATTAGGACCATGTAGCACTTATATGTCTTATACTTCCAGACATTGACCAATCCGAGTCTTTTTCACCTTATAGATTCAGTGGTAACATATACTCTGATTATTATCAGATTTTTGCTTTTTGATTTCAGAAAGTTTTAAATGATTACAAGTCTTTTGCTGGATATGGAATAAATATTAATTATTATTAATTAAATTTGAATATATAAGTATCTGTAACACAAACATAAGTCATTTTACATGCATGTATTTGTTTTCATTGGTACCCCACTATATAAAAAATCAAAGATTTGCATGTTGAACCATTTATTCTATAAGTATCCTCTTATAGAAACATTCAGGTACAATGGTTGTATGAAAATCTCATTTCATTGTAATGAATATATTGCATGTATTTGTTACATCTGCTCATATTTGCTAACGTGTATGTTAATGTTTACTTATTCAGAAAAAGGAACAAACAAAACAGGTATTGCATGGAATAATTTTGCCCTTATCAAATTTGTAATCATTTCAGCAACATTAAACCTAATTCATACAGGAGATCGTATCATATTCACACATGGACAGATTTCAATGCGTTTTGTGCAATTCATTGTCTATGTATTTAATTGGTGGTTGCATCTAACAGCCAAGCATTTTTCAAAGATGTTTGGCATTAAAAAGTAAATTTGAGATCTGGCAAATAGAATTTGTACATATTTGAAAAGAATTTATAATTATTGTTCTGAATTGATTCCACATAGAAGATAAGAATTAGTAACCCTCATTCCTTCATGGGTCAAAGGGTTAGGGTTAGGGTCAAACTATAAAAAATTGCAACAAAAAAAAGTTATTTCTTCGTCGTAGTTTGCTTACCACTAAGGTAAATTAATTTTTCTGTTCTGTCAGAGTCATGTAAAATGCATTTTTATATGTACATAGATTTTCAAACAATCACCCTGGATTTGTTGGGTTCTGTTGAAAAAACAGAAGAAGATAATCAATTAATACCAGAACCCAAGTTCAATATCAAAATGAGAATCTTCCTTCATCTATTATAATGATGTACATATTTCGTTACTAACTGACTTTTTGTTGTAATGCTTGTTAGAAAACCTAATTATCAATGGGTGATAAAAGTATATTGGTGATGGGAAATTAAACAAAATATGGTAACAACTTACTAATAGTATTGTTCTTGGGATGTGCTTTGGTAATACACGTAATTTCATTTCATAACTCAGTGTGAAGGAGAAATGCTGCTTTTCTCTAAACAAATGCTCTACCTTGAATTTCACCATTTCATCAATTTATCAATTGATGATATAATTCATATATTTATATAATTCATATATTTATATAATTTATATATTTATATAATTCATATATTTATATAATTCATATATTTATATAATTCATATATTTATATAATTCATATATTTATATAATTTATATATTTATACATGTATATTTATATATCAATTTATAATATAAGATTCACTAATGTGCCTTCTAGTAATAAGAAATAAAGTGTTTATACAAATGTATCTGTAAAGGCACATCGTTGGATCGGTGTATTGAGCGCTATATAAAAAAACAGATTATTATTATTATCTATAAATGAGAACAATGGGCTTAATGAGTCAACTGATATTGAGTAGGACAATTTTTTCTACTCATTGCTATATAGAAATTGTTGATTTTAGAAACTTTGGTTTAATAGGGAACAGTTGTGTTTAAAGCCACTTTAAGGAGTCCTTACTGACAAGTGTCCTGTCTAAAGAGATGGACACTGAACCAGGTTCTACATGCAGTCAAACCTGTCTATGAAGGCCATACAAGGGAAACAAGGAAACTGTCCACTGTAGACAGGTGTCATTTCTAGACAGGTTCTACAACACACATTTCTTCCTAGAGAGAAACAATATACATGACCATTATAGAAAGGTGGCCGCTAAGACAAGTTTGACCTGTACTCTAAGGGTGGTATTCTCAGAAGCGGACTAACTTTATTCCATGGTTCAATCCACCGACTAAGTATGGAATGCCAAGTGTCCAAATGAATATGTTTTTGAATAATTTAATCTGTCACTAAATTAAAATAAAATGTAATAACATAATTCATAAACAACAATATAACTATGATATAATTATGTTATCATGGTAATTTAGGGACATATCAAATTATTCAAAAATATATTCATATGGACATTGGCATTCCATACTTAGTCGTGGATTAAACCATGGACTAAAGTTAGTCCGCTTTCAAGAATACCACCCATTAACTTTAACTTTGTATGTTATTGCATGACTTACTAAGTATTATCTCATTTTGCATGGCCGCGTCCAGCTGGCAGAGACGAAACCCCTAACCTTGTATGGCACAGTAAGTAAATATGAAACTGCAGTTGCATGTTGTGCGGATCAAATAAATAATACACTAATATTCAACATTATTAACATTGAAGATTTCATTTCAAGCACTTGTTTCTTGTGAGTAATTATACTACCGAGTGATGCACAACGAATACACAATCTCTCTGAAGTATCTAGATATTTAATTTTACATTATATTCACCACAAATATAGTGATTCTTACATCATTTTCACCCAAAAATCTAGTAATTTTTACGTTATATTCAACTAAAGTGTATTAATTAATATGACTAATTGGTCATCTCATGATTGTTCAACTACCTTATAAGAAATACACTTTGAATATACACTGTCTTTCAAAATAAATGCTTAGAGGCAATTTGCAATTTGCGGTATACAAATATCTTATTATTATTATTATATTGTAACCTTTAAAGGCTTCCTTGGCGATGCCGGTGATACATTTTAAGGCTGTGCACAACAGTGTAATGAGGTACCCGAGTACACTCCCATGCTTACAAGCGAATACTCGAGTATTCGGACGCCATGTTTTTTTTTTTTTTTTTTATTTATTTTTTTTTTGCCACACCCATACATAGTACATACCACTGGAGCAGTATCCCAGTTCTGTCGCCGAAAACGCATGCAATTCTACTTTGAGTTGCAGTTGAAGGCGCCGATTTAATAATAATAATAACAGTGAACAATGCTGTTTTAAAAACCAAAGATGGCAGAATAATCCATTTTCCTCCAAGTCCAAGCAGAAATCCAGACATTTGGTCCCAGTTTCTGAGTGGTGAGTTTGACAGTGCTTGAGTTGGGAAACATTTTTACCGACGGCACCATGCCAGCGGCCGCCGCTCACCCAGGCACGGGTAAGCGTCGGCCTGGACATTTTTTTTTTTTTTTTTTGCGGCCGAATATTCGGGTACGAGAAATCGAACCCGAGTAGTTGTCAACCGTGCGGGTACTCGAGCATTTGACTACCCTTCACAGCCTTAATAGATTTGAGTGAGGTTTGCGGTTACACCACATATTCTTTTGAATGTTCTTAAACACCCTGTTACATATAGACTGACACAAGACAATTTTACTGAATAATGTGTGATAACATTGTCACTATAAACATCACTTTTCCTGTAGAATGGTAGAAATGATGAATTGCTCATTCTATTTCTTATATAAAACCTGCTAGTTCAATTCTTTTTTACTTCTTTCTTTTAACTGTTTGTAGACATTCTGCAGTGAAATATTGTTAGGTGATAGCTGATTGCAGAGTTGAAATGCTGTGAATCATATGATGATCATTAGGTTTGCTGGTGAAAGATATCGTTTGAACTGATGCAACAATCAAGGCAGTATTCTTGTTGTAAACAAACAATCACGACATCAAAAGAGAAGAGAAAAAGAGGTGTTGGTATTTTTTTTTACTGCAGCCCTTATCTCTCATCGTATGTTTTCATTTAATTATTCTCTTTTACTCATGGTATATTTCTCTATCTCTTTTCATATACAAGTACTGCACTTCATTCCTACTTTATAGATTTATAGATTAATTGAAAAAAGCCAAGGATGGGGAAAACGCTCAGACCTTCATTGATTTTAGTGATACATGAAGTGTTAAATAGAAAAGTTTACTGCCTTTGTGGGTACAATTGGTATCTAGTATATTGCTCTCTTCACATCGCACCTAGCAGTGTTTCTATACATAGTGTATTTCATATATTCCATTACAGATAAAATAACTCTGTAGTTATTGTGCCTTCTGTCATAAACTTTAGACAAGTCTACCATTTCATTGCAAATATCTTGACCATAAATATGATACAGTCAAACTTGCTTTAGCAGAACACCTGTATTGATAGACTACCTGTCTATAAAGGCCTCATTTTCATGTCCCTAGAAGATGGTTGCGCATTGAACCATGTAGTTAAGTAACCTGTACATAAAGATCACCTTTTTTTTGTCTCCCTTGAGAGGTCTTTATATGCAGGTTTCACTGTATAACCTCACATATTAACTTTCTCACTAGTTTCTAGCATAACACATTAATACTGGCAGTCATGGAAATTTCTAGATTTGTGTGTATTTTTGCACTGTTCTAAAATCAATTGGTTTGTTTGAAGTGTATATGGATTTATTATGAGCTGTGACTCAGTAGTAGGATTTATTTTAAAGATCTTATTTTCAAGTAATATGTGTATTTATCGATGAAGCCTAGAAGTATGATAAACATAATGCTGGTAAGTACCATCTGCATGCATAACTGAGTCAGAGGCAGTAATACCCTTTTGATTCCGCATAAATACCAGTAAAACAGAAATGGAGCATACCTTTCCTTGTATTTTGAAGTATCATGGCAGGTTTTAAAAAAAAATTGTAATTGTTTTTCCTTGCCCAAATAAACTGTATTAGGTCGCTTGTTTAAAAGTGAATACAGAAATAAATGTTTTGGATGCTGTGTCTTCTCATTTCAATTGCCAATTTCATTTTGTGGAGTTAATTTTCTTGAACAAGATGAAGTCCTTTGCTTTTCTTTCTTCCTCCAGTCAAAACTCAGAAGAGTATTTTGGAGGTTCAATTTCGACCAACCAAGTTTCAAGTTTTATTTTTGCAAATCAACGTTAATTGAAGCTTTAATGAATTTCCTATCATTGGTTATTGCAGAGGACTCCATGCCAGACTTGACCCTTGACCCTATCACTACAGCAGACGTGGAGGCAGCGCTGGCTCACACCAAACCATCCGCCAAGCTTCTCAAGGACAAATACTTAAAATGGCAGAAAGAATATGAGTCCGTCTAGAATAGACCAATGCAGCTCCGAATATGTACCGATAATGCAGTGGAGATGGAACTTCGTGAGAGATCTAGTCTAAATCAACATGGATGGACTAGTGATACAGAGGAGACTAGCCTTGGTCTAAACCAGAATGCTATTGCTTCGTGGATACAACCATGAGTGTTCCCACTGGTTTTGGTCACAGGGACCCAGGTCTGGTCTACATTGGTCTCATGGACTAGACCCTAATGTTATCTGCAGAGACCCAGCTCCATGTATGTACTTGTATTCGTGATGGAGTGGCGATAGGACTCTGTCTTATCCCAGAGACCTTGTACTAAATTGATGTGACTTGTCTCCATGTTGGGACCCCACATCAGGTCTTGAGGAATATAGAGCTAAGAAAAAGTATTTTACTAGGTCTAGGACCCATCTCCCAGTAGGTACTATTGATGCAGTGGAGACTGGCTTTGGTCTTAGCCCAGAGGTCAATTGCTTCATGGATGTAGCCTTAAGTAGTCTTACTGGTCTTGGTCTCAGTACCCCAGGTCTGGACAACGCAAGTCCAGACTAGACCCTAAAGTATGGTACTATACTGTGGCTCAGCTCCAGATGTGTACTAGTGACGAAGTGGAAACAAGATTCTTAACCCAGAGACCTTAGACCAAATGAATGCGACTGAAGAAGTCCTCTAGGTGCTCATTGCAGGACCCTAATCGTGGACTATGTGATTCTTTGGACTAGATCATGATACACCCCTGAGAGCCAGATACAGCTTCTTGAATGCTTGTGGGCACAACCTCTTGAATCTGAAGGAGCAATATTCCAGGACAAACAATTTTTCAACTACTAGTTCTTCAAAAGAGGTTTAGTGGTCAAGATGGAGCTCATCTCAGATGTGTGCTATCAATCAGACATTATATTTTGATTGAATCACTGCACGTATTCATTTTGAAAGTAATATTTTATTTAATTATATTCTGGTTTTTTAACCGTCTGTTATGAAGCCCTTGAAATTATGCTCTATATTTATATGAACTTATTTATCACTGTACTTTTTTTTCTTTCTCTTTATTATTCCAATTCAAAATTATCACTGTACATGAAGAGTCTCTTTAATTGCATTTTACAACATTTCTTTGCACAATTGAATTTTCAAAATGAAATGATTGTCTTTAATTAAATTGCAAAATTTAAGTGTATGATGACAAGCCAATAAGAAAAGCTTTATAAAATGCCATTATTCCGACTACCCACCCCCCTTCTGGTTTTGTTTTGTTTGTTTTTGCAATGATTAATTGTATAATGGTTGAGTAAAGTTTAAAATCCAAAACAAGGATATAATGTAAGGCACTTCTTATGCTCAATTTCGTACTATAATGATTATGATACTAATCTGAAATATTTGTTTTCCCCATAATGTGCACTATTTTGTAAATTTACTTATGGACATTTTTAGAGAGAAACTTTCAAATGTCAACAATGTTATGATTGATATGTTTTGTGTGTTACGCTTAAGTTGAATCGTGTTTTGGTGTGTGATTAAATGTTTAGAAGTAATTCAGTTTCAGGGGGAGAATAGTAACATACAGAAAGGAAGTAAGGGGAATCAACCAAGAAAAATTATGTCCCAATTAATTTAGGTTTCAGTTTTGTTGGTGTTTATCATTTGATTCAGAATAGTTGAGGGGTTTTTGTTATAATGGCCTTATTCCATTTTACACACGGTTAATACTTCCTTGGATTTCACCAGAGATTGCAAATTTACACCGTTCTCATACATGTATTTGGTGTAAATGTGCAATTTCTGGATTATTAATTAATTAGATGTGTATTGTTCCCATTTCATTCGTAAATTTCATACCTCAGTTAGTTGAAATGTAACATTTCTATTTGATAGTTTTGTAACCATAAGTTTGTATTCTAAACATGCATTTTTTTATCAAGGTTTTCCTTTTAGTTCTTAATTTTTTTTTTTACGTGTCCATTCATTATGTTGACAATCATGACATATATTCTCTGAGTTAGGTTATCATTCACAACTTTGTTGTCATTTTAGATACTTACACCTGCAGTAGCAGAAAAGTGATAGGGGAAAAAGGTCATATTTGATATGTGAAAATGCTAGTACAGTGAAACCTTTCTATAAAGGCTACCCAGATGAAACATGAATAAACTGGCCACTGTAGACAGATGGCCTTTCTAGACACGTTCTAGAACACACATTTCATCTTAGAGGGAGACGTTATAGGTGACCTACTTACAGTGGCCACCTATAACGTCTCCCTCGAGAAAGAAATGTGTGTTACAGAACCTGTCTAGAAAGGCCTGTTTAGAGAGGTGGCCTCTAAGATGGGTTTGACTGTAAACTATAAACTTCCTCATCAAATATTTTTTTTATTATTTTTAAAAATATATGATATGGTAGGAAAAGCAACTGTAAAGGCTCTGTTCTTAATGACCTTGGAGGTGAAAGGGTACTCTTAGAATGAAAGGTTTTAGAAACAAATTAGTAAATTACCTGTTAAAAGCAAGAGGGGTGTTAACTTGTGACTTTAAAACAGACTTAACGCCCTTGAAAGTGTCAATTTCACATGACCATGTTGAAAATTAAATTATGTAGAGAAATCTTCATTTTGTTTTCTTTTGACGACCCTAAATGAAATGAGAAACAATTTTCATATCTTTGGTAAAATTGTTGTTACATTCCATTTAAACATTTTATTAAATCAAATTTCATGAAATCCTGAAAATCACAATTTTTCCAAACTCTTTTCTGACAGTTTTGTTACTTTAGAAATGTTGATTTAGAAGGCCAAGTTTTTGCAAATACTTTCACATTATGGTAGACATTTAGACCTAGAAAATTGAGAAAAATAATTCCTTGTGTGCAAAATGCTATTGCTTATTTCCTTAAGCTTTCGTCTTTCAAAAATAATGATTTTGTTGTGTAAAGCTTGCATTGTACTTGACTGCAGTCTGCCAAATGCATATAATTCCTTCATGTATTTTAGTTACATCTCACTTGCACATATAGTAGTGTAGCTCTTGATGTAATTACAGTATCTATGTCATTCAATTTTGTAGTTCTGTAACCTCTGTTTTGGTACAAGTAAGCCGTCCATATTTATATTCTTTGTATCCTATTAAAGTGTGTATCGTATTCATAGAAGTACTTGCTATATCTAAAGAATGACTTTTAACAATTATTTTGTTTTTTACTTTGAACATTCTTATGTGCAATGTATTCTTGCATGATATTTCATGTAAGGTAAATAGATATAACGCCTTTGTAAATATGCATATGAATAAATGTATAGTAAATATAGTATATGCAGTAGGCCTATATTTCTCTCTTTTTATGAACCTGTATAATATGCAAACCAAAATCAGTCAATAAGATTGATTGCTGTGATGTGTCGAGATATTGATGACTAGCAAAGTCTGGGAATTTGCAAGAGAAAATAAAACAGAAAATGTGAAGCTCAAGATGTTGTTTTAAAATTATCCTGTCCGTGTTTTGTTGACATTTATGTACATAACATATTCTAGAACTCCTCTATATCAGACACCTCCTTTTCCGAGCACACCCCTTCAAAATGCTTTATAATGCAGATGGTTTCATTTATTTATTTACACGAATATGGTTACCATAACAAACTACATCTATTATTTTAGCTCATAGCTGTTTATCTTCAAGACGTCAATGTATCATTGAGACTATATTGATCAAGTTTCAAATCTAAGTGCTTGAGATAGCGCGAAGGATGTTCTCATTTATTTGTTTAGAAGAGTGAAATAGATTTATATCCGTTAGTTGGTTTTCCCCCACAGCGTTAGAAAGACTGACGCTAAACGATGATGATGGGGGTCCACGGAATGTGGGATTCGTTTTAAATGGTGATGTGTCAAAATATACCGACTTCAAAGGAAATAAAGATTTGTTTCTAAATGGCAATCAGGGGCCCGTTTCACAAAGCCTTTTTTCAATGACAAGTGACAAAAATCAGTGACAAATCTGCTGATAACCAATCAGAAGCAAGGATTTCAGTAGCTTATAACAAAAACTGTCATTTGTCACTGATGACAAGTTTTGTGAAACGCCCCACAGACAATGATTCATTGGAAGGGATATGTAAGGATTTATTCCGAGATAAAGGCATTATATGGGGGCGGCTCTGATGATCCAGAAGATAATGACACTTAGCGTCTCCTCTGAGAAACCAATAACAAGATAGCAACTACTTTTGAATAATCACCCTTTGGCAATTGATGCATGCGAACATGACAATAACACATTAATTCACCCGAACATGATTTCTATGGGCCTATGGTTTTGAACTTTTGCGATAGGGTTTTGACGAATCTAAAGACCTCGTTTTATGAATGTCATCAACTTTATTCTACCACGCATCTTATTGTTGTTAATATTCAATGAGCTGCAACAGCAAAGAAACACTCAAATTATGCGTTTTACATTCTCTCATGTAAGAATGAAGAAAGGTATCGCCCAATTCTTCCATACACCCCTTCTCATCATCAAGTTTCATTTTGTCCTCGATTGATAATGTAATTTAATTGAGCAACCCGTGTACATGTATATCACTTTGTACTTAATTTATGCTTGTATTCAGATTTGTGTATTTATAAAGCGTGTATAAATGGATATAATATGCTTTTGAGTCTAAATATTATTACGTTCAATCGAGAAAATAGATGAAGTTGAAAGTTAATATGATAAACAAAGATAACTAGTTCCTTACTGTATGGTTATAATAACGTTCATTTTATTCAATTTATCAGAAAATCACAATGGTATACACAGAAATAAAAGCACACAAAAAACGAGATACACACATTTCAATTGCCAAATTCAATCCTGTACCAGCAATTCGTCAGATAATTTAAAAATACATCCCAAGCGCATTAAGAATTTGATTTTCTTTAATTCCATATGTATATTTCATAGGCCAAGTTTGGAACGGAATCTTATAGTCGAACCCACAGGCGCGTACACAGGGGGGGGGGGGGGGGGTGTTTGGGGGGTTAAACCCCCCCCCTTTGGTAATTTTTTGTGTGTAAACCCCCCCCCCCCCTATATTTCTCTAAACCCCCCCCCCCCCCCTTTTGGATTTTTTTTTTATTTTTTTTTTATTAAAAAAAAAAAAAAAAATCCCATGGTTGACCTAAAAAAGCTGACCTTACCCTCCCCCGGAGCAAAATGTCAAATTTTCAAATTTCGAGACCAAAAAAAAAAAAATGTGTCCTCTTACCCCCCCCCCCCCCCCCCCCCCCCCCCCCCGCTTATTCAGCGGTCGGCTGAGTCGTTGCGATTTTTTTGGGACCAAAAAAAAAAAAAAAGTGACCTCTTACTCCCCCCCCCCCCCCCCCCCCCCCCCCCCCCCGCTTATTCAGCGGCTGGCTGAGTTGTTGCGAAATTTTCGGCCCGATTTATAAATGTTAAACCCCCCCCCCCCCCCCCTTGAAAAAATCCTGCGTACGCGCCTGCGAACCCAAGTTACCTCTATTTTTGGAGCTACAAACCAATGAAAATTACAGTGGCGGATATAAGATTCTCTGGCGGGTGTAATTAGGGGAGGGGCGAAAGTCCCCAAATTCTGTGACAAGCTCATAGAAAAGGCCAAAAGGGATCATCAAGCCCATGCGTGCTCCTTCTTCTTCCCCCTTTTCTTTTTTCCTCTTCCTCCTTTACATTCCTCTTTTTTTTTGGGGGGGGGAGTGGGAAGGTTGGGCATGGTGCCTCCTGGATTTGCCACTTTAAAATTATAATCCCTTTAAATCTCTAATGCATCAAAAATTCAGATTTATTACACATATCTTTGGCTTTGTTAAAACGACATTTTTCTTTTCTAAGATGTCATCAAAACGAACTCTTCTATTTACAAAATAAATAAATATTATAACATGCTGTAGTTTCTTTATGATCTAGTATTATTTCAAATGAAGTGACAATTATAAAGGAAATACGATTTCAGCTTAAAAGGAATCAGCACACAGAGACAAAAAATAATGAAGCAGCATTCGATTCAGAGTTGATGTACAAGTGATTATGCGTGTAGGCTTAATTTCTGAAGTGCTCTTCAATTATCTGTTTGATGGTTCGGTCGTCTTTCATCGCTGAAAAAAGGCTTTTTGCAGAAACCTCTGTCTCTCTTTTGAGATAACTCATAAAATGTGTATAAGACACAGTCATGTGCCATCCAGACATTTCGTTCATCGTATATCTCCACGAAGAATCTCAACATGTCGCGTTCACGAGTCAAAGATGTTGATAAGTGTGTGATCTAAAAATTTAAAACAATACAAAACATCATAGGTTGAATCGGTATCAAAACTTATGTAAATGTCACTTCATTATCAAACTTGTTGTGGCATAGTGATCGTTGGTACTGTTTTAGTCTCTGGATGAAATATATTTCTCTTAGATGAGACTAATATTAATGTCATTTTTCAAATGCTGTCACGTTTACGAGTCAAAGATGTTGAGAAGTGTGTGATCTGAGGATTTAAAACCATGCAGACAAAAATAACATGGATTGGATCAAACCGGGGATAAAACTAAGAAAAAAATTACTGTGAAACGACACATTCATGAGTTTCCGCTAATTCAAAAACATAATGGAATACGATCGCAAAGGCTTTCGAAAAATCAACACAAGGGCAATTTAAATACCCTTAATCTATATCCCAATGAGATTAAGTTCGGATTACGCTATTTAATATAAGTCATGCAATGTTCGCATGTTCCAAACTGTGGACGAGGATATTGGAATCGACTTTTCAGTAGCCTTTGCAATCACGTATGTTATGGGATATTTATGAAAGTCATAAATTCCAATCGTGAGTGATGACATTCGTGTTCCTCACGAAGAAAGACAAGAGTATTTATTAATGAAGGAGAGATCGACAAAGGAACTGAAGAGAAGAGGCTCGGAGAAAGAGAGAGAAGGGAATGGGGAAGACATGATATATAGAGTTGGAAATATAGGGGAGGGTGAATGGAATAGCCTAAGAGACCAACGAGAAATTTGAAACATTTTAAATACTAATGAGGGAGAGTACAATGTGCATGGAGAGTTAGGTCAAATGCAAATGGATGTTGGTTTTGACTGTACGCGTGAATCAATAATTATAAAGGGTGCTTTTATACAGTAAGTTAATTAAAGTAGAATGAGTAATTGAAGGGTTTCATGTGTTTTTTTTTCGTTTTCTGGTTGCGTTTCTCATATTGTTTTTCGAGCAAAATATTGCTCACAATTACTTTCTTAATGATTTCTTCGCCGGGTATGTTTCAATTTTTTATTTTTATTTGAAATTACATCTATTCTTTTTAATTTGTTTCCGTCATATACAAGTATATGTTTCTATTTCAAATCAACTTTAAGTCCTCCATCCTTTTGAAGGTATTTTTTGTACAGGGGAGGTGCATACCTCAATCACCCTGAAGAATCAGAAGAAGAATTTAAAAAAATAAAAGAACACCTAGATAACATCTCTTAGAGGTATAGTAGTGGATAAGTCACCCGACTGCAGATCATAAGGTATGGAGTTCGAGTCCCGCCGCGGCAAGACGTTAATCTACATTTGCCACTCTTCACCCATGTGTTAAATGTGTACCCGGTATGATGCGAAAGTTGATGTGATTAGATGAGCAAGTGTGTGACTGGAATGCTCCCCAGGGAGTGGAGAAATATAAGCCTGAATCCGATGACCGGGTAGTAGTGTATCTTTCTGTAAAGCGCTTATAGAGACATCACCGATCGATGTATTAAGCGCTATATAAAAACGGAATATTATTATTATACTCACAGGTCATATTCTGGAGATCTTGACGTTCCTGGAGGTTTTCCTGTAATGCCTCCATGAGCTGGAAGTACCTAAAGAGAGTGTCACGTGGCCAGATAGTCTCAGACGAGGAGTTCACCAGCAGCTGAAGGTTATCATGGACCGTCTTCTCCCAGTCTAACAAGGACCATTATAAAGCGAAGGAATAAAACAAGAAGAAGAAGGAGGAGGAGGAGAAAAAGAAGGAGGAGGAGGAGGAGAAGAAGAAGGAGGAGGAGGAGGAGAAGGAGGAGAAGAAGAAGAAGGAGAAGAAGAAGAAGAAGGAGAAGAAGAAGGAGAAGGAGAAGGAGAAGAAGAAGAAGAAGAAGGAGAAGAAGAAAAAGGAGAAGAAGAAGAAGAAGGAGAAGGAGAAGAAGAAGAAGAAGAAGAAGAAGAAGAAGAAGAAGAAGAAGAAGAAGAAGAAGAAGAAGAAAAAGATAATAGTAATTAAAGTAATTTACTTTAGGGTTGCTTGCATAAGATATAAAAATCAGTCGGGAAGAAGATCATCAATAACCACCTTCTCCAAATCTAACAAAGGAAGAAGAAAATAATAGTAATTCAGATGTGATCAAGAGCATTTTGCATGTAAATGGCAACTACCGGCCTGCCATAGGATTGCTCCCCAGGGTGTGGAGAATGTACATACATTTTATGCAGGCAAGCCTCAATCCAATGACCGTGATCATATTATATCACTCAGTAAATGTACCAAAGAGGTGTCTCGAGAAGTGTCGAAGTTGAGTGGCAAAATTAATCACTTGCCAGTCTTGCCCGAGAATGTAAAGATCTTACCTCCAGATTTCTTGGTGATTTCTCCCATCATTCGGCTTACTCGGCGGAAGAGTGCATCAGAACTAGCTACACTCTTGTGGCTTTTCCGATCTCTGCGGGCGAGAAAACCGCACCATCAACATGACAGGTGGATGAAAATATACACACATGAAACATTACATTGGATCATTATTGCAATTTCATTGGACATGACATATTTTCTCTGCAGGCGTACTACAGAGCCCCTCCCCCTTCTTCTTCTTCATTATAGATATAGGCTACAGATTTAGACTACATTCATTTTTTTTTTTTGGAGATTTTTATCACTTTAACGTATCCCTATACTGATCAATGACCTTTAAAAAGTCGATGGCCCGAATTCACAAAGGAGGTTTGTCGACAAACCTTGGTTTTCGTACGTCATATGACGCGTTTTACGCGTTTTTTACAAACCTGGTTTGTAAAGAACAAAAGGAGGTTTGGCGAAACAAAAGGAGGTTTGAGCTCAAACCTTGCTTTGTGAATTCGGGCCTAAGAGTTTAAAATCATGTTGGAATTCAACCATTATCACTGCATAATTAAAAAGGTATTTCAAACAAAATCGAGCATTATTTTTTAAATTTGATTGTAGAGTAAGTAGATGTGTCGGGAAGCATTTAGAAAAGCTTGCGCTGCAGTGTTGAAATTTAATGGAAGTTTAATAGTTAAAATCATGTAAGCATTATACTTTTGTTGATCGGCACGTGCGAAACTTTTAGGCTGCCCTATTCTGTCCTTGTTTTCTTTTTCTTCTTTTGTCTCTTCTGCTAATTTCTTGCCTCCTTGGTCGCTCGCCTTATCCTCGTCTTCACTGAAAAATACATGTCAAAGGAAATACTGAAGCTAGGTTAGTTTATTAAAATCAATTCAAAAGTGTAACTGCTTAAATGTACAAATGAAACAGAACGAGCTGAGCTTATATGAATCTCATATTTTGACCCTCCTTCATTATGTCATTATTCTCTTCGGCTCCCCCTCTCTCTCTCTCTCTCTCTTATTATTACCTCTCTTTCCCAACCCCACTCTATCTCCCTCTCTCCCTCTCTCTCTCTCTCTCTCTCTCTATGTTCCACTCTCTCCACTCCCGGCTCTCATTATCCCACATACTGTACCTCATTAATTATATACCCGACTATATATTTCGCTTCTCCCTCTCCCACGCACGTTTTGGCACTCTGTTTACCTTTCATAGCACATAAAACATATTTATCCAATTCATGACGAATTGTTGACGGAGAGAAAGCACAGCACGTGTGCAATTAAGACTCTTAAGAGCCCATGCAAGGAATGTCTAATTGGTCGTTAAATATGGACGGAAGATTGATATCATCTTCTTTGTGATTATCGTAATTATCATAATCAAGAGGACATATAATAATACTATTGAAAGAAAATTACCTCACGCTATGGGATGAAAATGGATGTAACAATTAAGGTTTATGATTAATACCCCAGTCACAATCAACAGAAACTACTCCGACACCAAACCGACAACATACCGAGCAACATAAATGGTAAATTACCCCAATCTTGCCGAAAGGCCAAGAATCGATCGATTTGTAGTCGGTGTGGAGTCAGTTTGGCGGTGTGACAGAGGCATATCAAATTAATTCAATACAGATATTTGTCAAATATCAATGACTTGAAGAAGCTGGTTTACACAGAATAAAAATAACCATTTTTATAGAGAAATTAAAGGAGGAGGTATATCAAAAATGGAAGGGGTGAGAGGAGTTTAGGCGAGGGAAACAGGGGAGAAAGAGAGATAGATAGATAGATATAAATAAATAGATTGATTGATTGGTTTAGAGAGAAAAAGGAAGAGATAAAGAGAGAGAGAGAGGGAGAGAGAGAAAGAGAAGGGGAAAAAAGAATAGATAGATAAATAAATATATATTACAGATTGATTGATTGGTTAAGAGGGAAAGAGAGAGAGAGATAAATAATACCAGTGACTATTAGAGAAGAGAGACTTAGAGAGAGAGGGAGAGAGAGAGAGAGAGAGAGAGAGAGTAAAGGAGAAAGATGAGTAGATTATCAAGTGGTAGCGGGTGAAACGAAATGTAACTAAGTCACTCTAGATGTAAAGTAATACTAATATCATAATACAGCAACACTAAGACGTGAATTAGAAAACGACCGAGAGCACTAATGCACCACGTACAGCTAGGTCTTAAAGCCCCTCTAAAGTGTTGGGAGCCCCAAATTTGCCCCAAATTTGATGGCAACATTTCAGTTAAATATTTTCATATAGGATGTCATTAAGACATACTTCTGCAAAGATTCCCCCCCCCCCCCCCCAAATGTGTTTGAAGACAAACATCGATAAAAGGATACGTAGTTTGGGTTTAATTTTGTACATAGAAAATCTAAATTGTGTATGCTTTCATCAATATTCGACTTCAAACACTTTTGTTTTGAAAATCCTTGCAGAAATGTATCCTAAATGCCATCTTTTTCACATTAAGATAACATTTAAGTGCAATTTTTCCTCCAAATTTTTCGGGCTCCCAACATTTTAGAGTGGCTTTAATATTATTCGTGTTTTTTTTTTCCACGATGTTGATACGATCTCTCATGAGCTCTGAACCACTTTATCGCCTGCTACCCTGGCAGCTCGAGTCTTTATATCCCTATTCCCGAAGACTCCTCGAGGCCCAAGGAGGTGGACTCGACCCACCATGACTAATCCGTCATGACACCGCCATGTCTTTCCATCAGGGGAGTCTTCACAAAAATATAACATCGACTTTAAGTTGGACTTATATGGCAGGCTGTTCATGCCACTGTTTGCTCTCACCATTATTTTACTGGCATTGGTCCCGCATTGGTCTCTCAAGGGACGTACAAATCGTGGTCACAAATCTACAGAATTTACATTTTGTGATAAATCATTATTGAAGAAAAAAATATTATCTAAAGATCATAATGGTGAGAGCAAGCAGTGACATGAACATCCTGCCATAGATAAGTCCAATTTAAAGTCAATCTTAGTCTTTGTGAAACACCCCCTGGTATACTTTCTCCAATCTGGGTACATTAATAATATTGACAGCATGCAGCGAAAACCAATGCGAGGGACAGGCAAGAGCTTTATTAAGTGCTGGTAATATCTTTACGCGCTCTGATAATGGTGAAGACAGTGTGCGAGTATCGTGCCAGCGAACTCTAATCATTGCATAAATGATTTATTACATTCTAAATGTCAAACAATATTTTATGTCATCCACGAAGCCCTATAAATAAAATAAAAAGGAAGCAAACTACACAAAAATACAGACTACATTGCAGTATTCTTCATGTGGGTTAATTACGTTAACATGAATATAATAATATATATAGAGTATTACTATTTGTAATGCACCAAATCCACATGACTAATGTGTTCGAGGCGCAATGGAGAAGAAAAACTACAAGTACACGAAAATACTTAACAAAAATGAACAACGACAATGTGAAAGGATATCTACTGCAAAGGGTAATAAAAGTGATGCGATTTGGCATGGTAAAGGTTCTTTAATTAACATTAGTAATAAATATAATGTAGTTGTATGTTTCTCCTCCAATTTAATGTCTCATTTTTCGTCAGAATGAAGATTTTTTAAGAAGAAGGAAAAAGAGAGAGCAAATCTAGAGATCATTGAGAAGAGAAAGGAAATGATAATTTGTTTCGATTTGAATAAAATAGGGGGCAGATCGCAGTGCGCAATATTAATGGCTTTTCACTAGTAGATAATTTGCAATGTGAAGAGAAGGGTCGTGTGATTTATTAAACTGTCTTTACCTTGATGGTTCTTCTTCTATAGTCTCCATGACTGAATCAACCTCTAGAAGCTTCATACTCGAAACACGCCTGGTCAAGAAACACATGAATGGAAAGGAAAAAAAGAGCTATTGAATTAACATGAAAAAACTCAATGGTAGAATGAAACTACCGTCGTCGAAAGCTACAAATAAATAAAATGTATCGAAAAGAAGAATATTTAAAAAAAGAGCCGGTAAGAAAATAGAGGGGGAGGGGGCGTGTCTCTTTAAACAAAGAACAGATAGATAGAGAGGAGGGGGAGGTAGGGAGAAAAGGAACGTTAAAGTAATATAATATACCTCTTTCAGTTATCAGTGAAGTGAATTAGAAATAAAAATAGAATAACTGCCATTCGATTTTATGCAGTTGTGATCAGGGGGGGGGGCACAAGTCCAAAAACAAACAATGCTATGACATTTTCACAGGTGATCATTTTGGGTCTAAAATTGCTTTTGGGGGCACAATAATTATGTACATTTTGGACTTAAAAAATGTATTTATAATGTGCCATGTGGGGTTTTCCATCAAAATATAGGGAGGGGGAGATGCCCCCATGACCCTGGATCCGCCACTACAATCATCAGCTATGCATGATGCTATAATTGTCACGTACGTACCTGCCCGTGTTGAGTTCTTGATCCTGTCTTTCAAGCTCCTCGTTGAACTTATCGGCATCCAGCTGCATCTGGACCATCACCTCCTGCTCTTTCACTTCCATGAACAACTCATTCCGAATGTTCTGAAAGTTGTTCACTGTATATGAAAAGTTTATGAAAAAAAGAAAAAAGAACAAGAAAAGAACAAGAACAAGAGGGGAACAAAACTGAAGACTGATGCATATATGGCCTGCAATCAATTCTTATAATTATCGTAAACTCCAATGAAAAAAACCGATAATCATTACACTTTACATAATTATAACAATAATCAACAGAGCCAATAATAACCAACTTTATAAGAAGAAGTATACTTTATTCAAAAGGTAGTTTTCAAAAGTTCCTCCTTTGCACTCGCATTATTTCATTATTATGACTTTATAATGACTTTACCTATGACTTTACATATATGACTTTACATATAAAAATAATCAACAAAGCCAATGATAAACCATATATAAGAAAATGTATACTTTATTGAAGAGGTAGTTTACAAGTTCCTCACTTGCACTTGCATTATTTCATTATTTATATGACTTTAATATAATGTGTAGAAGAAAGAAAGGAGAGATAATATCTCGAAAAGAAGGAGAGGAGAGGAAGGTAACGCAAAAAAAGGAAAGAACATGAGCTAAGGAAAAGGAGAGGGAAGAAATGACATAGAATGTGGGATAGAAAGAGAGAGAGAGAGAAAGAGAGAGAGAGAGCGTGACGAAATACCCATGATCCCAATAGATCCATAGCATGACATATATTATGAAGGAGGGGAGACAAGGATGGGAGACAAGGAGGGGACAGGGGAGAGAGAGAGAGAGAGAGAGAGAGAGAGAGAGAGAGAGAGAGGGAGATAGGGAGGGGGTAGATACGTACCCATAATCCCGACAAAGAGGTTCTTGAAGATGAACGATCCGATACAGATCCAAAGCATGATATAGAAAGTAGGTGCGACACTCCCCATCACCTTCCACATGTCTTTCAAGATCTTGTACCACTGGTCCAAAGTAAACAGCTGGAACAGGGTGATCATCGCGTTGCCTAAATTACTGATGGCATCAAAATAATTGGGGAAAATACTGAATAATAATAATCATAATGAGTAAAGATCCAGAAGAGGGATCTCGTAGTTTATGCTAAACTTTATTTCGAGTTTCATTTTTGACGGAAAAGAAACCTTCCACGTGTCTTTTCAGATCTTATGTCACTGCTCGAGTGTGACCATGCATGCAGCTGAAACAAGATGATCATTGCGTTAGCCTAAATTGCTGACGAAGACGAGTGAAATGAAGAATCGAATTTAGATACAGAATATGGGGATTTTGTGGTTTATGGTATAAGCCTTATCTGGCGTTTATGGTTTATTTATGACGGGAAAGAACCTTACACATGACTTTCAAGATCTTGTTCCACTGGTGAAAGAGGGTAATAAAACATAAATTTGCTGACTTTTTATATTTGTTAATGTCTACACACAATCGAGTTTGCCGATAACAGATTAAACGGAAAGAGAAATATTTTTGTTTAATGACTGAATTACTGACAATAACCGACAATTATAATATTCATTGTCGGCAGAAATGTTTTGGGTGGGTAACAAATCAATGGGGGGGGGGGAGGGGTACGGGGAAAGTGTGATTGTACCTATCATTTGCCAAACATCCCCACTCCCCAACAAAAAAAGGATAACATTGGTCTGGGCTTGTCGGAGAAAGGAATACATCCTCTTTTTATTCGCTTTATATTACTTTGGGGGCTGTATTACCTACAAGAAAAATGTCCTGGTGTTGCCAACCGCTTCATCACCCCCGTCTACATTAAAATGACTCGGTAACATTGTAGAAAGTTGATAAAAAAAAAAGGCATAATTTGGGTATGAAATGTTACTAATTATATTCCTTCTACTGTACTTACCCTCTAACATGCGAAAAAATCTTGGAAAAAAATTCTCAAACCACAAAGATATCTATGGTTTTCTTTGAAGGTGTCACTGTGCAACACCCTCTAACAGTGATTAACAGTAAATTATCCTAACCATTTTTGAACTTTCCCAACCCTTTTTCCATGAAAAAAGGCATAAGACAGGCTTTTAAAAATCTTTCAACACTCAAATGTCTGGAATGGTATGTAGAACCAATTCATAGCTTTGTGTCGATTAACATTCACCTAAAATGTTATTAAATTGTAATAATATAGTTGGGATAATTCAGGAATCGATCAGATCAGTTTTCCCAATTTATATCATTAATAATGGTCCGTTTTCACTCAAACTTTCAGATTATCTTTAATTGTACATCTAGCATTGAAGTCACTACCTTAGCACCACTTTCTCTCATCTGAACAATGTTACTAAGTCCCTTTAACGACACCCAAGTGCTACCATTACTGCGACCATGCACGAGCACTTACTTAAAGCTGTGCTGATGGGTGAGGTCGTCCCTCATCGATCTCGAGTAGCTGTCGAAGAAGATGATACCGGTGATTGCGAAGATGTAGAGAAAGAGCAGGAAGAGAACCAGGATGAACGACATCGCCTGAGTTTAGACAACAAAGTAATATCATCAATTATTTCTCATTCCAGGTAAAATTGAACATGAAAGGGTTAAAATAATGAACGCTCGGGTCAAATGATCGGTCTATAAACTGGAAAAAGGTTTATATAATGTAGAATGATTTAGAAATTATAAGACATATCGTAACCAAACGCTGTTTAGCTCAGGAATGCTCCTGTGAGAATTGTGTCGATTTAGATTGTTTATCCCATCCTGTTGAAAGTATAATATCTTTAAAGAACTACATGACTCCAGAGTTTTAATACTAGAAGATGAGAAAATATCTCCCTCCAATGGTATTGAAGGAGATCACAGTATTGTTATCAGATAATGTGATCGCTCAGGGGATGTCTCTGACACTGTATTTCCGGTGGAGTAATTCCATGAAAATATCCAATCACTGGCTAGATTCCCCGGTGCTGACACCCCCTCCATCCCCCTTCCAACCCTGGATAAAGATTACGTTGAAGGGTTTCATAATATCCGGAGCGATGAATAATTGCAAACGCCTACGAGGGGAATACCCATTTCCAGACCCTCACATAATCTCCTGAAAATCGCGAATCCCGTGGTGCTATAATCATCTCCAACGCAGCATGATGAAGCTTACATTGAAGGCTTTCGTGATAGCCAGAGCGATGTAGATGTTTAAGGATATAATCACAAACTTTATTATAGGGGAATACCCCTTTCTGCAGTTTCCGATGCCATCTAATCCCATGAAAATCCACGTCCCTGCAGATTTCCCAGGTGCTACCCCCCCCCCCTCCGCGCCCCCCTCCCCCTTCCCGCCCCACCCCTCCAAACCTGTATGAAGCTTACGTTAAAGGCTTTAGTGATAGCCAGTGCGATCATACGAGCCTGTCTGAACCTGGACACCATCTTGAGCGCTCTGAAGATACGGAAGACTCGGATGTTACCGACAATGACTTTGAGATCCTCGAGGTCCCCAGCGGCTGAGGCGATGATTTCCGGTATGAAAGACTGCATCAGATAGAAAATGAGACGATAATAGATTTTTATTTGGTTTTGCATGGATTTACTTTTTTTTCTTTTTCTCTCTCTTTTCTTTTGCATAATTCCGAATCGTTTAACGACAAAATATTTGTGATAATACATTACGGTCATTATTACAGTTTCATTCGAGAACATGGATTTAATGTACTGGTAAATACCCGGGGGGGGGGGGGGGTACTCAGATTTGGTTTGGACGGGGGTGTGCCGCCCAAGACTCGAACCCCTACCCATTATTAGGGGTCCTATTTGGGCATTTTTCTCGAAAAAGACCCATTTTTCACAATTTTCTGGTATCTTGCAAATTTCGAAAAAACGGACCCATTTTTAATGGTATTTTTGTTAAAGTCGGACCCATGTCTAGGGATTTTTGTGAGAAAAAGTGACCTATTAGAGCGGCATATCCCAGTATGTCCTAATATGTGAGTATCCCCCGCCCCCGGGGGTAAATATTTGACTCAAACACGATCGAAAATACTTCAGGAAAATCAATAGCAATTTTAAAAACCCTGGCCGTTATCTTTTGAAATGTACTATACATTTAAAGGAAGTATTACGTAACCCAAATATGGTTTCATTTGGATATATAATATGGATCTTGAGTTGATTTTTCGAAAGCCTTTGCGATCGTGTTCCTAATGCATTTGTTTCAAATAACTCCTTTATAAATAAGTGCATCTTCGTACATAATTATGCGAGAGAGGGTTCCCACAGGTTTATACGAATTCTAACTTGTAGGGTCATGCAATTCATAATGAAGTAGCTTCATCGAAGCATTCAGGTTCATGAGCCTCTTTAAGAAGCTACGATAAAACCATATAGAGCTTTTTCTATTATTTTAATATCTCGATGAACTGAACACTTTTCCTTATTAAGGTTACAGTGAAGTCTATAAATACGGGATTTTAGGGGAAAGTCAAGTAGCGCATGGTGCTCTTTGTCTCATTTGTTTCCTGTTAATTGCGAGTTTAGAAGACACAGAGCAACAAGAGGAAAAATCCCTTTCTCAAGCATAATGTTGTCATGGTGACATCCAGGTGACATGACCGTGACGGAAACTTACGGCAACTGTGACAACGAAATCGAAGATATTCCAGCCGTTCTTCCAGAATAATGGGAAGTTGTCCACCCATTTGAGGAGGATCTCAACCATGAAAAGAAAGAGAGCACAGTAATCAAAGATCTCAAGAAATCGACGGGTTCCGGCTAGGCTGGGGTCAGTTCTGTCTGCTACTTCTGTTATTTGGGGGGGGGGGGAGATAATAAAATAATAGTTACCAAGCGTCTGTATTGTACTTTCCTTTATACCATTAAACAGTGGTTATTTCCGTTTTGGGATAATAATAACTATTGTTTATCTGATTTACCTAGGTAAGGGTAGCAAACGAAGTATTATGCTCTCCCTGCGAGCCTAGAAACTATTATTACCCCCAGCCAGGTACCCATTTAATACATCAAGGTCGAGAGGGGGCACAGGATGTCTTCAGTCAAAAAGTCTTGTCCAAGGATGCCAGCATCGAACCTGGGACCTCTCGTTTGAAATCACAAATGTATATATTCTACAGTGCTCACTTTGTTTCAAATTATGATTTTAAATACTTATGTATTGTACGATGATTTGGTAATGTTTTGCGGCATTTCTTATGACAGCATGCAAACGACGAAAACCAATCGAATGTCAGGATCTTTAGTTGTTTTAAAGTACGGAGTTGTACCCACAAGGAAAAAACGTTCACTGGTTATAAGGTGTGACATTAATTTTAAGGTTTCCTTTTTTACCTTTTCTCGACATAAATGTATACCCCAAATCCTTATCCCTGTCTTTCTTCCTCACATCCCCCCTCTCTCTCTCTCCCTCCTTTCTCTCTCTCTCTCTCTCTCTCTCTATCTTTCTCACTCCATCCCTCCCCCTCCCCCTCTCTCTTTCTCTCTCTCTCTCTCTCTCTCTTTATCAAACGTTTCAATTTTATATTAAGCGCCTAATTTCGATTGCTTTATTTTATTATTTTTTTTGTGTTTTTGTTGCCTTTTTCAAAGAAAAAGGTAAGTAAGAAAGCCAAATATGTCTATCCATGACAAAAACGATTTTTTTTTTTTTTTTTTTTTTTTTTTTTTTTTTTTACTATTTATTCATCTGAGAAGGCAAATACCAAAATGACGTCAAGACTGTTCACGGTACACCAAAACTTACCTGACAGTAAGCCAAGGGAAAGTGAATTCGCTAGAATCAAAATCAACATGAAATTCTGAAAATAAGATGCTGTAGTCAAGTTAAAGTTAAGAATGTCAGTAAACAGAATAACTCATGTTTTATGGATCAAGAGTAGGTTTTGCTTTAAAAAAATAAAGCTGAGAATAATATAACTGCGAATACTTTCTTCTCGGATGAAGTCTTTTTTTTTAAATTGAGGATTTGTTTGGTCAAAACATGATTTCACTATACACCAATCAAATACCACAGCATGGAGGGTAGGGGTGAATAGTCCCTCTTTGTAGCACACGCACATGGATGTTGTTTGTTGAATAGCCTTTTGATTATTTTTTTATTCGGCATAATAATACCAATAATATGTATTTAATAACTATAGTAATAATATTGATGATAATGATAATGATAATTGTACTACTATGTCTTCTACTACTTCTACTACTACTACTACTAATTATTATTATTATTATTATTATTATTATTATTATTATGATAATAGTGGTATAACGTATGGTAATTTAACTCAGAATGGTTCTCAAAGCGCTTTTCAAAGAAAAATTAGTGTACATAATATTTAAACAGAGAAGAGATAATTAGGAATAAACTATCAAATTACAACTGTATTATATGAATAAAATATTGAATCCAATTGAAATTTACTTTATTTCCTTCTCGTTATTGGTGCCAAGGGGTGAACTAGAGATCAGTACTGTAATGTTTTTTTTGTTTTTTTTAAAGAATAGAAGGAGTCAAATTCTATAAAAAAAATTTACATGTAAAGTATGTAGGCCTATATGATTTGTCACATTCATAAGATTTTTGTTTTAATGGTGAATTTAAAAGGCGGACAATTAAACAAAAATGAAACGAGCGAATATTTGTTTTGAAAAGGATACTTTCGAGCAAGTAATGGGCCCACATGTCGATGGGTGGGTTCTTGGAGTTTTTGTTGCGGACACGGTTCTTCCTGCGGTCAATACTGCCGACGTTCTCAGTATTGTCTTTGCGAGTGTAGGCATGGAACTTGACCAGTCCATGCGGGTTGGTCAGCATCATCTTATCCAACGTTGCCTCATCTGCAAAAAAAAGAAAAAAAAGAAGCAAATTCACATAATGTATTGAAAATCAAATACTATACCATAATAAGGTTATCATCAAGAAAAACGGTCACACAACTATAATTGTAGAATATGATGGGGGATTGGTATCCGCAAAAAACCTTCTCTTTTGCCTCCCGATTTAGTGAAAAATGTTCATCAGATGGCACTAAACAGTAAACATGATTAATATTTGTCCTGTATAGAAGATTTATCAAATATTGCTTGTAAATTTCTTCAAATTGCTGTTTTGAGTACTTTTAAATCAACTGTCCGGATACACAACCCGTCCGGACACAAAACGTCTGGGTATTTTGATTGGCAGCAGGAGCGTCGATAGAACTTAGAAGGGGTTGGGTGCCTCATACCCCCCCCCTCCCCATTGTAAATGCCTGTTGCCTTTTTATCTTTCTCTAAGACCAAGATCAGTCAGGCCTATGCAACATCATACCTGCTAAATCTTTGGAGTAGAATTTGGGTACGTCCGAATGACCGTGGTCATCGAAGCTCTCGAGGAGATGGAAATCTTCAATGAGCTTCGACCTGAATATCTCTGCAAGTGGTGTGAGCTCATCGAAGATCCCAGACGAATGGATATTGGGCTCATCGGCGTCATTTCTTGCCATTTTCACTTGTTAGTGGCGATCAGTAAACCACGTCGGAAACGAAATAATTTGTTGGTCATGAGTGGTAAATGTTCAGATCTAGACGTAGTCAAATTCGACTTGCTAAAGCATGTCACAATAAAAGAACTTGTTAAATTGTTACACTTTCTGTATTGAAAATTCAACGCACTAATTTTGCACATAATTTTAATCAACCAGCTCCAGACGCGCACGTCCAAAACTAGTAAAAGCGTATACGCCTCATAATGCGCACAGCTATTGCGCACTTGGACTACTGTTTCTGTCGAGCATTGAGATTGGTTGAAAGTTGTTAATTGATTGATTGTTGAATTAACCAATGAGGAGGGGTTATTAAACAATGATTATCGTAATGGAGCAAGTCACATCCACAGGTGTTATAATATTGCTCCTCGCATGTATTATCTGTGTGGATTTTTATATTCAACAAGTTGAAATCAAATCACCCGAGTATATCGCCTTTATTTAGTGGTGTAGTATGGGCTAAGATATTGAAGGGGCGCCGTCCGCACCACTGTCAATGGGGAACAGAGTGGGGGGGGGGGGGGGGGGGGGCTCCTTAGGTCTACTAGGTGGATGAAATGTGAGAAAATTGTAGTCATCTTTTAATGTAATCTTCTCTCTTAAAAAAAAAAAACTTTGCCAGGCCCCTCCCTTTCTTTCGATATCTTTCTCCTCTTTTGGCCATTCAATGGAGGGGGGGGGGGGGATGTGTCCGCTACGCCTCCTCCACTGTTTTTATTTTAAATATATATATATAAATATAATGTTGTCACTTATCAACATACTTTGTAATCTAAAACAGTTTGTAATCACTAAGAACTGTCAGATTCATGATTTGTTTCTCCCATGTTTCCTTTGAATGGTTTAGAAGTTTTAACCAATACCACTGTAAAAAAAAAAGAAATTATGGTGATAATAACTTAGTCTTGATCCGTGAACTTCAAATAGTAAGAACAGCTGTTTACACTGAGTGTTATATCAAATAAGCTACTTCGAGATGAAATATCATGTCTCGATGGGTTTAAACTTTAAAGCATTGTACAATTGACCTTTATCTGCTTTTGCGCAGATAGCATCTCCGAAGTGACCTTTTAGCATCCATCATTGTGTTTCGAGAGGAAATTAAGTTGTTTCCATTATTCGTTTTATACAGGCCTATCTTTATAATGATTCCCTGTACGTTTATAACACGGAAGGCGGATGTCGGATTACTCTAAATTGAGAAACTGTTCACTTCTTTGCACCCCCCCCCCCCTGGTTGATGCTTGATGGCGGTTGGCTGGAGAGCGGGGGGGGGGTGGTATTCGTACCTCGTAGTAATGACATTTTCATTAGGCTTTATAGTAACATCCTGACATTTATTTCTTGTAAAGAACATGACTGTGAAGTTAGATCATTTTGGGTAAGGCGAGCCATATTTTTCCAAGGCGTGTAATTAATGCCTGCAACTATGCATCTGTAAAGTAATACTTAACGTAGGCCGTAAACTTTGGCCTGTTATAGAGCCGAGGTACTATTGGAGCGCCTTGATGAGCACATGTTGTGGTGGAAGAATGTCCGGAGAATATTATATACCCCCTGACAGGCAATATCTGTCTAAGATTTTGTTATTATTATTTTTATTATCATTATCATTATTATTCTCATTATCATATTATTACCATTATTATTTTTCATTATTTTTGTTAACATTATTATAATTATTTTTATTATTATCATTATTATAACTATCACTATTATTATAATTATAATCGTCATTATCATATCATGATAAGCTTATGAATCAGAGGCACAGGAACTGCCCGGGGATCCTCCTCCATTACTATTTTGTCCGGCCTCCTCGGATCATTGCAAACTTGAGGAACATTTAGGACACAATGCTTATATTTTTAGCCCCCTAACCCCCTTCCCCCGGAGAGAAATAAAGAAAATAAAGATGTAATTGACCCCGGTAGCCGAGACTGTGATTGCTTTCTCTTGTTTTAGTGAGCCAGTATAATAACACTTTTCCTCATATTCGATTATAGGCATACGTACACTGTTGGTCATAAAGGTGGAATAATTATTTTTAACCCAATTTATGAAATGATTTTGACAATGATATTCCTAATAGATCTAAATAATAGTATACATTCTCAGATTTTATTGAATAAGAATTTGCGAGTGTTTGTTTTGCGTGACTGCTAAAGCATGCGTGTACTACTATGCTAATCAACTAGGGGACCTACGTCCTCAAGTCATAACTGACAGTAATGAGGATTAATGCCTCACAAAAGGGCACTAATGATATAGCTGATCGACACGGTTTTTATTCTGATGCCTCACAGTAACGAGGCCATTGCTTAGTCACTGAATCATGACTGTACGCAGCGGGGGCTAGGGTACGTCACCGCCCCCACAAATACAAAAAACTAAGAAAATGCAATACATTAACAATAATTCATTGCATTTCTCCCCGGTCCCAAACAGTAAAAATTCCTCTGTAGGGCAATGCATTATAGTTCAAGGCATACCCACATAGAGGTTTTTTATGTTGGGGGTCGGGGCAAAATGCAGTGAATTTTTGTTAATTTACTGCATTTTATTTTTTATTTTTGTATTTGTGGGGGCGGCGACGTACCCCCGCTGCGTACAGTCATAATTCAGTGACTAAGCAATGGCCTCGTTACTGTGAGCCCTGGCTAGGATCAAAACTGTGTCGATGTGCTATATTAGTGCCCTTTTATGAGGCGTTAATCCTATACTGTCAGTTATGACTTAAGGACGTATAGTACCCTAGTTGATTAGCATAGTAGCATACACATGCTTTAGCAGTCACGCAAAACAAACACTCACACATTATTAGTTAATAAAGTCTGAGAATGAAACCTTTTATCTAGCTCTAGGCCTATGCATGAGGAATAAATCATTGTCAAAATCATTCCATAAATTAGGGTAAAAATAATTATTCCACCATTATGACCAACCCTGTCTCCAACAGTGTAGATCGGATCTGTCAGACCCGTGCTTGAAATCACATTTGCCTCAAATAGTGATTAGTTTCATGAGTATCATTCTGTGGATTTAGCTATGAACTTGTTCTTCTTTTAATTTTTAATTCATTCTGCAAACTATGTTTTAGGCACTGGTGTGTAATTAGCTCTTGGTTCCATATGTGGTGGTTTGATTTGATTTGATTTGATTTGATTTGATTTGATTTGATTTGATTTGACTTATTAATTCACCACTCATGGAATGGATGGCCTTTGTCAGCTAATAGCTGTAATGTTTTTCAAAAAAGTCCATGGTCTACAGATATACTGTGTGCAAGACAGGTCCCCCCCCCCCGCATTCCCGTTTGTATAATTATTGTTTATTACTTTTTTTTATGATTTGAATCACCGTATTCATTGAAAAGGGGGTTCAGAATAGCAGCTCCAATATATTAACAAATTAATTAGTTAACTAATTCACAAAAAATACAACTTTGAATGAGATGTTATATGGCTACCGAAATAAATGGGCGTGATGCAGGCATGCAGAAGGAAAATAATTGGAAAACAAAGTTGACAGTTTTTCTGAAACAATTTTGTAGGCTTACATAATTTTACCTCATATATATTTTCTTCGTAACTTTAAATTTTCTTTATGAAGCCATAATCATAATAAGTAATGTAGTTTTGAATTTAGCGCCAATAGATCCTTTGTAGATACGAACGGAGGCCTCGATATAATATGAGTGCTTGGCTAAGTATATACTGCTTGTATTGAGCGACTAACAGCGAATAGACGCCAAATTCTCGCTCGCCTACGCTATCTTCTTCGCATCTACTTTGTGCACTGCACTAATTCGCATACAGGAAACCCCATTCTTTCCATGACGTCAACAGGAGGTGGCGCTCGACCACAAGCTAAATTTCGACGGGAAAAAACTGCGAAAGAACGAAGGTCAGTGAGCGTAGAAAATGGCGACCAATCAGCATCAGAAAACCGATTCTTGGTACATCGCTTTATTGGGTCTTAGTGAAACCTTCAGGACTGCTAGCCCACCTAAAATAAAGCATTGCATTCACTGTTTACAGTCAATTCTTCAGTTTAAGCCACCTCCACATATCGAAGCTAGAACTCATCTACAGATGGGCAGTTTATTGTTCACGCATACGAAGAACATTGATTTAGCGCGGACTCATTTGGAGAAGGCGGTAAGTAGAATATTTTGACTAAATTTCATATTCTGTCTTAACTCTTCAGTTTAAACATTAGTTTTCATTACAGATTGCAATCTATGTATATATCTGATGTACTGGTAATATTTTTCCCCATTTTAAATGTTTTACTAGTTTAGTAGCTAATGTTGAAATTTGTTTGTTTTCCCATCTTTTCTGCAGTGGGCCATGGCACAAAGTGTATCCTTTCCATAGCAATATGTGTATGTATGGGACGCAGTCGTTTTACATGATTGTCTCAGTGTACTGTCTGTTCAGTGCGTTGTGCACAGACAAGATGTGCGTGAGTCAACGGAGCGCTAGTGCAATTGGGGTCAAGCTATTCCTTCGTGTGTGATGTGTGTGTCCGTAATGATATGCGTATGAACTCGAATAAATCTTTGGATTATTGATTCTAGGTCAAGCTTTCAAATGAAAGATAAGGCTAAGATTAAGACAAATGTCTAATGCTAGGCTTCATAGTATTTTCACATTTCATAGAATTCAGGGATTTTTACATCACCATTGATTTCAAAAAGAAAACTTTAAAATTGAGAGCTAGAAATATTGAGTCAAATTGGCAACTGGGCTCATGATCATGCATACATTTTGAAATTATGCATTTGTGTTTATGTTTAAGCAGAATCTATTTGCATGTGTATTACAGCCCTCCATTTGTTCATCTTAATAGCCAAATTGATTAAAGACAGATAAACACTCTCTTAATTGAAATATGATTATGATATATTGTTTGATTCTTTTAATCTATCAGTAAATTACAATTCTGAAGTAGATCTAGCATTCTAGGGTCACGTAACACAATATAGATCTAGACATTACTAGTAGATCTAGGTACCTTGTTTCCCTCCAAAATTATTCTTGCTGTAGATCTATATCTACGGTATGCAGTATTATTTTTGAAAAAGAACGCATTTCACAAATAAGGTTTATACATGAAACTGTAGTTACTGCACCCCAAGAAAATGAAGAAATACTTTACTTATTCTGAGAGATTTGATATTATATTCTTGCCCATTAATATACAAGATTCCCCACCAAAGTGTATAACAGAGGCATAAAGCAAGAATAATGTACAGTTTCTCAGCACGACATGGGCATCGCTATTTTCTTGATGAGTTTTATCAAGTAAATGTATTCAAAATTATGGATGCTACCTTCCCAGCCAGGTGTGTGTGGTGATGAAGCATTTTATTCACCTGCTACTATATTCTTCACCAAATATAATCTTCTCTGCTATGATTTTTCCTCACTAAAAAGTAAAGGTTTTGGTATTGATTTAAGAAGTCTTTCCAACAAGAATGTGGTGCATGATACATGTACAACTTTAGTTACTTCACCTGGTACGTCACATTTTTAAGAAAATGGCTGTGCCCATGTCACGCTAAAAGGCATCACATGCCCAGAATATCTTCATATATCTCTTGTACATTTTCATAAGGAGTATTGTACAATATCTTAGGGCAGGAATACATCTCATTTTTCAGAATACCTGCACTTATTTGTTGGGGTGTGGTTTCTGTTAACTTTCTAATCCTTTTTGTACATGTACCAGGTAATATGGAGGGAGTAGGGAGTATTTGAAGTAGCATAAATGTAGACCAATTGTCTGATTCTTGTAAAACAATTTGGTCACTAGACACTGCAGAGTAATTTGCTTTTCTGCACTTCCAGATTTTACTGCGAGAGGTATCATTTTTTATTTGTCATTTCACTTGTCACCATGTCTTTTCTTTTTGCTCCCATTCTAGAGCCTTTTAGAGGATAAAAATTGCAAAATTATTTTGTACCCAGTCTGCCGAGCCCTGTGATTTTAGAAATGTTGATTGTTGTGAAGTAGGTTAATGATATTGTGTAATACTTTTTTGATGTATGGTTGTATGGTGATATTTCATTGTTGTTGTAGACAAGAGGAATTCTTAAATTTGAAACCTTGCTGTCCATTAGCATTTTATGAATTGTCTTCATACCATCTTTATCAAATTAGCACATACATGTAGGTAGAAAATAAAATCATTAACATTAGAATTTTAGTCATCTGAATTGCCGTACATATTCATCTTACCATTATAAAAAAAAATAAAAATAGCAGTAAATTTGTCAGTTATTGTGGAATTTTGTTGGAGGAGATTTGGTAGAGATTTTTTACAGGTGTGCAAATTACGACCCATTGATCGAAAAAGAGTATCAGAGAATGATCCATCTCTTATATATTGGAAATATGTAATTATGAATTGTGCATGTCTATTCAAGTAAATTGTTCACAGTAAGCTGTTATTAAACCTATGTGTTGAGCTTCCTTGACTGTACCATGACAGATTCCAAACTTTGATGAAGTAAAGTTTGAAGCGGCCAGTCTCCTTGCAAGTATACATGAACAACAGGTAAGTCAGTAAAATTGGTTTGACATTGTATTACATGTAAGGTCTAACTTTAGAGTTTTCTGAAGACAGCATATTATTCCTCTACTCCACCAGGATGATTTACGGATGAATATGAAAACTAGGCATTGTAAACAATGCTGACAATTTATTACACATGGTGTTGAATTTAACCTTGGCCTTTGAATCAATGTTGTGACAACTTAAGATTATAATTTTTGTGAAAAAGATATGACAAAACAGTTTTATAAGTCTTTTGATGGAAATCATGGAATGAAATTATGTAAATGAAATCCTCTGCAGTGATTACACTAAGGTATTATAAATATATGTTGATGCTAATAGGCATTGCACAGGAACACATACGCCATATTCTTACATTACAAATTCTTACAAGAGTGTATCTCCGAGGCAAATTAGGCAAAACTTTTTTCTATATCTAGAATGGTAGAATCAGATTTAATCATTGAATTGATAACACCTTGGAATTCTTATGAACATTCTATCATAGAATATCTGATTAATTATTCTTTTCCTAGGCATTGTTTGGTATTCAATATTCAAATCATTGTTTTGTTTGTACAGACACAGCTACATCAGGCAAAGCAGATCTTACGCAAAGCAATCAGCATCTCACAACAAGCTGCATTCTGGCGGTGTAGATTACTCTTTCAATTAGCAGTAAGTCTGACAAGAATTTTCACCATGGATTACAGATATGTCCCCTATATTCAGAATCTCCTGTTTGAAAAGACTTTTTTTTCTATTTAGGTAAATGGAATGTAAAATTTTATGATCAGATAGATCAGATTAAAATTATTTACAAAAACAAAAATTGTAGGTGTTTATTTCTGAAGAAATTGCTATATAACCAGAAAGGCTGGCATGTAAGAAATTTTGGCAAATATCTTGCGTTTTTCAGATTTGTGATAACATCATGCTGTAAGATAAGTGAATCACAACAATAAAGTTTTGCAATTTGTGACATATTTGAGCTTCAAAACGCCATTGTTGACAATTTGAGAAATTTTCATTTTCTTTCTTCAAAGTTCTTAGTTTTAGGGATATAGCTATCTTTTCCATATTTAAATTTGATTTTTGCATTACAAAATTTTAAGTTTTAGTAATTCATATCAGAAAATTTTCTGCAATGGAAAAAAAAATGCCATTTGCATTTGATACCATGACTTATTCAAAGATCTCTGATATAAATTTTTCTTTATTACTAATTCCATTTGATTTGTCTTCATTTGATATTGTATTCATTTTTGTTCTTAGCAAATTCATGCACACGAGAAGGACTTTGAATCAGCATGTGATCTATTGAGAGTGGGAGCTGACTATGCTGTCGTAGTAGGCTCCGTCTATACACAAGCTCTCTTTCTGCTCAGTCAAGGAGTGGTAAGTACTTGATACATATATGAGGAATCTATGCTTATCTTGATGTCATTTGAAGGGGATATCATAAGGTAAACATAAGTGTTCGTTGCTTCCTTGCTTCCCCATCGTCATACACCCTACTTAATTGATAAATATCATATTTTGTGGAAATGAAATGAAACAAAATCTTCCTTTCCTTATTGCTGATGAGCAAGGGCATGTGTGAGGGCTCTTTCTATAGTTACATACTACTCGGGAAGGTTGTTATGCGTGATACATATATTTCTTTGGGGGAAAATGGAGAGCTGAAAAGTTAGGAATCATTTCAAGCAAAATAATGAAAGGTAAAGTGACACTGTGTTATGAAATGATTTTTGAAGCTCTGTGTGTTATTTCAAGTTGTAGAGGGGTTTGTTTCATTTGTATGTTTACTCTTGTTTGTAATTAATCGTTTTTAACATACATCTAATTTTTTCATTCTACAGTTATTGGTAGTAGACAAAAAGTGTGGAGAGGTAGATCCTGTATTGGCCAGTCATTCAATGTAACAGGATTTAAAAAATATGTTTTGTTACGGACGTTGATGAGAATTACATCTATGTAATGAAATTAAATTTTATTTCGAAATATCAGTCATGTTTTCTGGCACAACAATCTATATATTTTGTGTTGTTTGTTTTCATCTTCCAGTTATTATTAGTTGACAAGAAGTATGGAGAGATAGTTCCTGTATTGGCCTGTCATGGAATTTTACAGGGTTTTAAAAATATGTTTTCTGGACCCTGATGAGAATCACAGCTATGCAATGAATTTAATTCTTGATATGAAATACCGGTATTATAAATCTTTATTCTGTTTTGTTTGTTTTCATATTCCAGTTATTATTAGTTGACAAGAAGTATGGAGAGGTAGACCCTGTCTTGACGTCGTGTGGTACGGTGATAGGTTCATACCAGGGCACACCTACTAACAAGGAGTCTCTCAAGGTCTATTTCCTGGTACTACAAGTCTGTCATTATCTCATGGCAGGCCAGGTAAGCAAAAAATTTTGTAATAAACATGCGATACCTCAGATACACACCGCCCAAAAACATAATGATAACCCTTTCGCGACGATTATTCCACATTTTGTGGTTTGGCTCAATAATTTGTATTCACTCTTCAGGGCCCTGTTTCATAAAACTTTTTATCTATAACAACTGCTTAATTTCTATGACAAATGTGCTCTCAGCCAATCAGATGCCATGGTTCAGTAGCTTATAACAGTAGCTTGTAACGTGTTATTGATATCAAGTTTTATGAAACGGGGCCCTGAGCCCTTCATAATTTGTCATTTGCATCACTACAAAGAGCAAAAGTTCCTGTGCACACTTCATTCATGTTTGTTTCATGACTATATCGTGTTTGATGCTAGGAATTAAAAAAAGGTGAATTAGGTTTTAAATCCTTCAATTGGCATTATGTTTAAAGTTTCAAAATGATGGTTTAAAAGAAACAACTCAGGATTGACCATTTAAAACTTTTCATGAACATTCTCACCCATGTTGTTTTCAGCAACGAGTGATAAGTGACCAAATCTTGGTTATTTGTTGATTGTGGGTTGGGTGTTTTGTTGGACTGCTGTTGGTCTTGTCAGTGCGATTGAGGTATAACTCTGTGGTGCTAAGGGTGAAAGACAAAAAATTTCATCTTGCAAAAGAAAATTTGAACTGGAAATTGCTTTTCTGTATAAAGTTGAAATTAGAGTTCTCATAAACTATGTACTTAGATAATGAAGGATATACATGTAGCATCAGAAGTGCAAAACATTGTAGACTTTAGCAGTATGTAATGATGGAGGCCTATTTGTGACATTAATTTTTTCAGTCAATTCATTTCTCAGGGTGAATGTAACAACATTTAAATGGTGAAAAAATCATTTGGAAAACTTGTGGACAGGGTATTTCTTAGTGTTTACTGGTGTATTTTCATTCTTCACATATCTGATGTATGAAGTATTCTGAAGTATGAATCTGAAGTAATCCTCAATTTCTGTCATGTTTTTCTCTTATGACAGGTCAAGAGTGTAAAGCCAGCCCTGAAACAACTTCAACAAGCAATACAAAGCATCACTGTATTACATACTGAAGACGGTAGGTTATGAAGTGAATCTTAAACTGTTGTTGCGCTGTTTTTTTTCTTCTTCATTTTATGATTTCATAGGGATTTAGTTTGATGAACATTGCTTGAAATTAATCCTATCATCATCAAAAAGATGTTGCAACAATATGCTTCTATCATCATCATCATTTATTAAAGTCAGCATTTTCCTCTTACATGGGTTTACTTTGCGCCATGATGACTCTCCCTCCCACCACTTCTTCTTGTCTCAAGCATCCTTTTCTTTTAGACCAACCTTACTGCTTCCTTTTTTCCTGTGTATTTCTATGATAATTTCGGTCTTCCTTTCCCACTTAAACCATCCACTTCCAGTTTCCATGCTCTTTTCACAGGTCCATCATCTTCCCTTCTCAACAAATGACCCATCCCCCCATTTCCATCTCTCTTTACCACTTCCACCATAGTTTCTTCCAAACCCAACCTTTTCATGAGCTCCTTGTGGTCTTTCTATCAGACAGTTTTACACGACACATCTTCCGTATCATGGCCCTTTCTCTTCTCCTCAACATACCTTCTTCTACTGTCTTCTTATTCCAGGGGGGTGTTTCACAAAGATCCAAAGTCAAACTTAACTCTAAGTTGGACTTAAACATTATGGAGAGCCATTAGTAGCCTTAAAATAAAATATGTTAAACAGCAAAAATTCAAGTATTTTAGATTTTTTATAAATTCCACATCAAGAACATGAAATCTCCTTGATAATAGAAAATATGAATGATTTGAAACAACATTTTATGCCTTTTAAAAATAACGTTTACAAAATATTTTCATAGATGCTTACGGCTTTCCATAATTGTTAAGTCCAACTTAGAGATAAGTTTAACTTGGGATCTTTGTGAAACACCCCCAGGTGTCTGAACCATTTATGTACTATCGCTGTTCTACCACAAACTTTATAGATCTTGCCTTTTATTCTCATCATAAACCTTCTACCAGCTAGGAGAGATGTCGGCTCATTAAACTGCATCCACCCCATCAGGGTGGTCATCATTTGAAGTATCATTGCACATGCTTATAAAATAAAATATTCTCTGTTGAGATTTTTTTTTACTTGGTTGGACTTAAAATAGTTACAGTGAAACCCTTCACATGGATTGAATGCTCATATAGAAAGGAGTTGTAAGTTTAACACTGATGCAAAATGGCACAAATTTGTGGAGTTATTTTCTAGTAAACATTGGATTAGAATCTCATATTCATTTTTATCTTCATCTTTTTTTTCTTCCCCAGAGGAAGCAAGTAATCCTGCCGATCAGTTTCATTGGTTACCGAAGGAGCACATGTGTGTCTTAGTCTACCTGGTAAGTTTATCCTCATTCTCAACCTTTCCCTTCAGTCAGTGATGAATTTAAGGTTCTTAATGATACCAAAGAGAAGACATTCATATTCTTCAAATTTTAGGTTTTATCCTTACACATTGAAACATGGTAGATACCCTCCCCCTTCTTCTTTTTAGCATCAAGCAAATTTGTTTGTCATACAGTAAAGGCCTTAGACATACAGTTGATTACAAGATAGAAAGCAACATACTCAATCACTAGTAAATGCTGTCGGCTTATATATTACTCTAAAATTTCAATTTGATGGTGAGTATAAGGTTAGTCTTAAAGAGAAGGTTGAGTTCTGGGAAGAGGTAAAAAATAATTTGTGAGCGTTATCATTGTTATTATGCAAGGGTGGAAGAACATCAGATTAAACATGTTCCCTGAAAAGCATGGCTCTTCAAATGCCTATATATTCTAAATATGACATAAAACATCATAAAAATCGGGGGGTAGGTTTTTTTCGCCATGTGCTCGTGTAGTCCCATATACATCATTTTGTGTACAGTGCTTGTAACTTTGACAAGATTTGGCCAAATTTCTTATCATTTTGATGATTCCAGAACCTTGCAATACACACAAATACTTATATACTAGATGATCAAACTTTTCTGATAGATTCCACACCGTTTCTTTCACAATGCAATCACATGACCAGAACTCAACTTTATCTTTAAGTAAAGTTTAACAAAAGTAGTGATACTAAAATCTAAATTTTTCTTTCATTTAATATTACTCTAGTGCTCAAGGTTGGTTTAACTAAAGAGGTAAAATTTGGGCCTTTATATTTCTTCAGGTACTTACTATCGCTTTATACATTAGGTGTATACGGACCATAATTGCAAACTCAATTTAATGTTTCTTTCTGTATGTTCAAGAAAATGCTGTCACATGCTTTATTTCATGCTTTGTGGAGTTAAGTCTACCGTAAGAAGCACCTGATGAAATTAATTATTTTTAGAAAGGCTTATTTTATCCTCGAAAAACAATGTGAGAGATCTTTAAGTATTCTCAACAATCTGTTCTCATCACCTTTTTTTTCTTCATCTTAAGACTGATCTTGAGTTCTGGGAATCGTATGTCTAGAGAACATGGCTGTTAATATATTCTGGATTGTTTATCCTGTAGTAGATTGATTGTTTGAACCAGTAGAATAAAAACAAGCTCACAAAAACTTGCTGGAAATGATCTTTAATAAAAAACAACAACACACAACTCTCATTCGCACATGGTGACCTGTGTTAAGCACACAGTGTCGGGCCTACTTACCTTGACTTCCATAATATATCTTTCTATGCTCTTTATGCTCAGTCACAAAGGTTCGTATGAACGATAATTTCGTACTAATCTCCCTGTTTTTCTATTGTCTTCCCAAATTTCCATTGTCTGAAAATCGTTCGTACAGGGTTCGTAGCCGTTCATAATGGCATTTGTGACCGAGGCTTTACTCACCCCTTATACATTTTCGGCCAATATCTTTAGGCATGTGTCATTTATTTGAAATCTTGAACATTCAGTGTAAATGTTGCTGGATTCTGTGAGAATCTATTTTCTATCATTACCAGAACTCAAGCTACTGTAAGAAGCACCTGATGAAATTAATTATTTATAAAGGCTTATTTTGTCCTCAAAGAGCAATGTAAGAGATCTTTAAAGGTAAAGACCAGTATTGGAAATGCCCCAATTTCAAAAAATGAAATGGAAGCTCTCATTACCAATCATGTGAAAGAATATGTTTTGACTAATACATGATGATAACAAATTTGCCGGGAAACCGCTAATTCATATATTTGGTAAATTTGTTTCTCTCATGGTCTGTGAGAGATATAGGGTAGTCCCATATACATCTTTCTGTGTATAGTGCTTGTAACTTTACAAAGAAAGGGCCAAATTTCTTATCATTTTGATGATTCCAGAACCTTGCAGATGCTAGATGCTAGACGATCAACCTTTTCTGATCGATTCCACAACGTTTCTTTCACAATGCCATCGCATGACCATAACTGGTCTTTACCTTTAAGTATTGGCAACTACCTGTTATCATCTTTTTATTCCTTCGTCTTAACCGTATTCATCCCAATCTTTCTCTTCTGTGTCTGTGTAGGTAACGGTCATGCACTCCATGCAAGCTGGCTACATGGACAAGGCTCAGAAGTACACAGACAAAGCCCTCTTACAGATCAGTAAACTCAAGATCCTCGACTCCCATCCCATCCTCTCATCGTTTCAACTCATGCTGCTAGAGCATATCATCATGTGCAGACTAGTCATGGGCCAGAAGGCACTTGCAGTACAAGAGGTAGAGATTTGTCTTTTGTGATTTTTTTTTTTCTCTTCTTCAATTCTCATTTATTTCATTCTTAGTTAAAAATTACATTGATAAAAAAGATACAAAATAATTCATAAACATATATAGAAAATGAAATGTGGAACTACATAAATAAAGCCCTTAGGCCTTGCACAAGCGTAGTTCCCAAAGCATTCATAGCATAATGTAAAGCAAAGATAACAAAAAAACAGAGAAACACCTTAATATTAACAAAAAACAAACATATGACACATATATAAACAAAAAATAATAACTATACATATTTGAGATTAAAAAAACTGTTTCAACTTTTTTTGGAAAGAATTAACTGACTTGCATTCAGAGATATCTGGAATTCTGGGGGATGGAGTTCCAAATCACAGGGAAATTATGTCGTACTGATTTAATTATCTTTTTTTTTTTCTGGCCATAAGTGAAAAGAATCCTTATAATGGGTATTGTGATTATGTATCTGGTAAGTGAACATGTGAAAAATGTTAACAGGTAATTTATTTTGAAAGTAAAAGAAACCAAGGAGGGCAATGGAGTAATAGTACAAATAAAAAATATCAAGAGATTTTAATTTTCTAAACAGTGGGCCAGAATGAGCATCCCAAGCATATGTGAAGGGCTTTTTTGGGTGTAATTTAAATAATTTATCTAATTTAGTTCGACTAATATTACCCTAAACAGCGAAAGCAACACAATAATTTAAATATGAGAGCAAATCCAGGCTTTAATCAAGGTCACAGCATAACGTATTAGAGATAAAGAGGGGAGTTTCACAAAAATACTAGAGATTTGAGGAACACTTTTCATGGTGAATCAGAGAAAGTACATATGTATCAAATCAAAGAAGAAGGTCAAGATCTTCCTTACATCTTATAATCTTCTTCTGGTTTTTCGCTGAGCTTGATCGCGGAATAACAAAAATACGGCCATCGGAAGACCATGCTGCATCTACCTTCACATGATTTCTAGCGTCAGCCAGCAGTTTATTATTGAAATCAGTTAGGTCTTCCTGATTTTCGATTCCGTACGCTTGAGGGATTTTCTGTTGATGATTAGTAGCTGCCGGTATTTGAAGCTCATCAACTTAACTATGATTGGTCTCGGTGGTACAGGTCCAGCTGATTTTGCCGGTTCTCTTTGCCTGCCAACCCGATGACTCCGGTCAACGTGCTTCCATTCGAGATCAATGGAAAGTTTTTCCTTTGCAATTTGGCAGATGAGACCATCAGTATTCTCCTTTGTAGATTCCTTCACTCCATATGCTTGCACACCATTTCTCCGGGAGTATTGCTCCTGTTTATTTTGTTCAAAATTAAGTTTCTTGATCTTATTCAAAGAAGTCTCAAGTTGCTTAGTAGTACGAATGATGTCATTTCGTGCTCTATGCAAATCACATTGAATATCAAAAATAATAATATTTTAATGGGCCTGTTGCATGAATTTTTTTTGTCATGAATAACAAGTCACAATTAGACTATGAGCTTACTGAGAAATAATCAAATTTGACTGCCTATGGGTGAATTTGTCATCAATTTGTGGCAGTTGCTAATGATCATAATATTGGCTGAGCTAGAATGTTTAATGTTCATTTATGAAGCAGGACCCGAATCGTTTGTCATCAGTTTGCATTATTTATATATTCTGTCCATTTGATAAGGGTATCCTCTTTTGAACAGTGGGTAAGCAGTCATTAAGCATGTCATTAAAAAAGTAAACCTGTAGAAATCAATCTATTTGTTGGCTTTTGAATATGAAGGAGGGTATATAAATGTATTTGCTGAGCTAGAATGTTTCCACAAGCTGAGGAAGAGTTGCAGTTTAATTCTGCTAAGAGTGATTATCTCTGATATCTTCTAAAAAGAATGATCCAGCCAATATTTTCTGTCCTGGCACATAATTCCATGTTTGGAATCAGTACATCATAATGATAGATAACAATCTCTAAGATATTTATTATTTCACAGTCTTTTTGATTCAAATTATAATGATAATGCTTCAAACTTCTGAACTAATCACATTTTAACCCATTCTTTTTCTGTTTCTCTTATATCTTTCTCCAGATTTCACAAGCATGCCAAGTCTGTTCCCAGAACCCTAGATTATTCAACTTACACAGAGCGCAGCTGCATACGTTATTAGGTCTCTACTCAATGTCAATGAACTGTATGGAAAGCGCAGAGGCACAATTCAATACAGCATTAAAGGTAAGAAAGTCTGATCTTAAGATAGATTATCAAGAATAGGTCAGTCATAGATACAACTCCTATATGGGCTATGATATATATACAGTCAAACCTGCTTTAGTGACCACCTGTCTACAACAAGCATATTTTTGTTTCCCTTGAAAATGGTTTCTCATTGAAACATGTACTAAAGGAACCTGTCTACAAAGACCACCTGTCTACAACGAGCACATTTTTTTTTCCCTCGGGCGGTCGCTGTAGACAGGTTTGACTGTATTTGTAGGCTGGAGTAGTTTGTTCTTCCATGTAGTTAGTTAGACAGTCTGTTTTGCCGGAAGGCTCATCAGCAGCTGAACTAAATTGACAAAGTATAAAGAAAGTGTTTCAATGAATGTACAGTAGGGTTTACAGCAAAAGCTGTGATCTATTTAGCTCATACTTAAACCATAAACTGTTGCATTCATGAATCTTTTGTGAATGCAATGAGAGGCCGATAGGGGCAGCTGCATACACTATAAGATCTTTTCTCAAAGTCAATGAACTGTATGAAAAGTGCAGTGGCACAATTCAATACAGCATTAAAGGTGAGTTAAGAAGTGATTAGTTGTAGGAATAACTGTCATATGTGCCATGATATATTCAACTCAAACACTATGTTGTGGAACAAAAAACTTGTGCATGCATGACTTTGCAGAGGCCAGGTCAATAGAGCTTTACAGAATAGAAAACCATTCTTTAAATTGAACACTTGAACACTGAAGTGGAAGTGTTCAGGTGTTCGATCAACCATTACATGGTTACACTTTATTCAGTTCATCGTTTTGTTTAATGCTGGTATGCAGCATGTTTCATTTAAAAATGAAACCTGAATTTTACCATCAATCAATTATAAAAAAAATTATTATGTCCTGGTAAGTTCTCATTCATGCCAAGTCCAATTCATTGTTTTCATATGTTACCAAATATATTATCGCACTTATGATATTGTCATGCTAGAACTGTATGTTTTAGCATTTTTGATAATCCAATCCTCCTGATCCTTAGTGAAAAAGTTGGGGACAGGCTGATCCCATTCCTCCTTGAAATCTGGAAGTTGTTGCCAGTTGCACCTTTTCAACCTATATATGATGCACTTAAAACTAGAAATTTGTGTACATACTAACAACCATTGCAAAATTGATATTGTTTTTAAAAATTGTTATCCCCCACTATATTTTCCCTCCATTGCAGCAATTAACAACGCAAACAGAACTGTGGCAGTTCATCTCACTCAACCTGGCAATAGTCTACCTCCGGTCTGGCAACAGGCAACAAGAGGTAAAATCAAGTTCAGTCTGATTGAAGTTCAGCTTTTTTTTTTAGGTCTTGTACAAGTGCTACCATCATGAATCAATAATTTTTAAGGTGGAGGAAAATGTGCATGAAGTCAGTACCTAGCTATTAGCTTTGCTGTGAAAATTGATGCATAGAGGGAGCAAAATGAAAATTTTATGAAGGAAATTCTGCATTATGAGTAGAGTCATAAGTTAACTTTAATGGGTACATAGTACCCAATACCCAATAATACTATACCAACTATGTTGAAGACGTGGTTTAGTGGTGTTTATTTTACCTGACTGTTAAGAAAGCATAAATGCTTGTTAGTAAGCAACAAGAGGACCGATGGTTTTAGTCCTGTCTGTTGCTATCAGACTACAAAGTAAATGTGTTATTTCTTCTGTCACCAGACTTGATATGAATCAGTAGTTGTTTGAAATGATGCAGAACTTTACGAATGGGCATGACAATCGTGTTAATCTATCTCTTTCCCTTTTCTGTCTCTTTATGCAGTTAATATCACTATTAGAGAGAGTGAATCCAGAGACGACACACATTCATGCACACAGTCTCAAAGCTGCTGGTTTCTATGTCAAAGGTCTTCAAGCTTTCTTCCAAGCAAAATATAGTGACGCAAAGTAAGATATAATAATAATAATAGTAATATTAAGTTCTTGTATAGCGCATATCACATTTATAACGTCTCTATGCGCTTCCAAAGAGCTTTGGAAATGATTACCCCGGCATATGCAGATTAATGTCTTGCTAAAGGACAGTAGTGCCACGGCGGAACTCGAACCGCGGACCTTGTGGTCACATATTGTATTGGTGACATATCCGCTCGATCACGACACCTCCATAAAGGAGTATGCTCAGGCCATCGTTGTATTGGTTGTATCAATATATCTGTAACAGGTCTGATAAACACCCGATTTAAATCGGTTTCCCGATTTTTTTTATTTTTTCCCGATTTTTTCCCGATTTTTTTTATTTTTTCCCGATTTTTTCCCGATTTTTTTTTCTTCCCGATTTAAAAAAAAAAAAAAAAAAATCCAGAATTTTTTTTTTTTTTTTTTTTTTTTACCAAATTTTTTTTTCTTCCCTATTTTATCCTGATTTCCCCCTTATATTCTCTATTCTCTAGGTGGAAAAAGCGTTTGCCACGTGTGACGGACGTGTCTTTGGTTCTCTCTCGGAATATACCGAAATATTTGGAATTATCTTTGAAACGTACTTTGGAATTCAAATGGTAGCATTTGGAAATATTTATGAATTTGGATTATTTCTGTAGGTAAGCAATTATTTTGTGGGCTTCTAACACAATCCTGCACCTTCTAACAGTATAGCACGTGCGACGGCATTCAAATTTCCCGCCTTTTCTGGGAGGCCAATCATGGCGACGGCTTCGGCTCTCTCTGAGCCGGAACTGTCTGTGAGAAGTGAAAGTGATGACGTGTTCAGAGTTGTTACTCATAATCGACCTAGGAAAGGAGAACCTAATCAAAAAAGAAGACGAGAAGAAAGTGTAGCGGTAGAAAACTTAAACACTAAAACATCAGAATCAGACTCAAACACCACGGTTTATCAAACCCCTTCTCCTGGCAAAGATCCAAAGCAAACAGATTTCAAACTGTTCATTACCCCAATAGACAAACATAAATCTTTAAAAAATATGAGTCCCATAAAAATCGCACGAGCGATTAAAGATGTGTGTGTTAGTCCCGTGGAATTCATAAAACCTGTTAGCTCTGGATTACTAGTTAAGTGTAAGAACATAAAACAAGTTCGAGCAATCCTACAGTTGGATAATATAGGGAATATTCCCGTCAAAGTGACCGAGGGTGCAAGAGGCGCCAAAGGGGTAATTTACGCCATTCCAATAGAAATGACTGAGGAAGAAATTTTGTCTGAATTAAGAACGCAACAGGTAACAGCGGTTAAAAGAATGACAAAAAGGGTGAAGAATGGAGAAGATAAAGATCAAATGGAAACAAACGAATCAAAGCAGATTCCTCTAACAAGCGTCATCCTGACCTTTAGTACATCCACTCTACCAACATCGATAAGGATGTGCTACCAAATAAAGTTGGTAAAATTATACATTCCCAAAGTAGTCAGGTGCTTCAAGTGCCAAAGATTTGGGCATGGGGCAGCAGAGTGCCGGTCTAACATGAGATGCGTTAGATGTGGCGAAAGCCACAAGTTTGAGGAGTGCGCCAAAAAAGACACCCCGAAATGTGTAAACTGCGGAGGCGAGCATTCTGCTGCATATAATGGTTGCACACAAGCAAAAAAAGCTAAACAAGTACAACACATCAAAATCACAGAAAAAATCACATATGCACAAGCATCACAAATATGGACAAATAAACAAAATACCCCTCAAACTAACATTGTCACACAAACCTCCCAAATGAGGAAAGAGGAACAAGAAAACACACAAATTAAAACAAGAGATACGATACCTGGCTCATATGCCATCGCTGCAACCACACAAAACGTACCTCCCGTAACCACCAGCACCCAACAAACTCAAAATGTCTTACCACCTCGAACAACCTCAAAACATCCTTCGAAAATCCCTCGAAAAATCCCACAAAATCCTTCAACAACATCAACAAACTCCACAACAATCACTTCAAAAAAAGACAATGAAAAGAAAGAAAATCCTTCTGTAACCACGAACTTTATAGCTACAGCAAATGATGATCAGATAATTGACTTTATATGTCAATTGATCCTCTCACTCACAGAGGGCAAAACTCTTAAAGAAATAAATAATTTAGTTCTGGTCACAGCGAAAAGATCGCTGCAGCAAATAAGTAGTGCTAACAATGTTGATAACGATACTTAAAACATTGATGATACTGTTTTCCATACTACAATGGAATGCACAGGGATTACTAGGGCATGGAAAAGAACTTATAAAGTATTTGAACACACACAAACATTGCTATGATTTGATATGTATACAAGAAACATGGTTTCAGGAAAATAGAGTTCTTCAAATTCCTGAATACACATGTCTCCCAAGAAATAGGGAAAATCAGGCGAGGGGAGGATGTGCGATATACGTTCATAATAAAATCAAGTATGAAGGTCCAATGAATGATGTAAATTTAGAAATGCAGCAAGTAAACATACACGCAGGAAATGAAAAGTTATCAATTGTGAACTTTTATAATCCTTGTAAGAAATTAAATGAATATATTATGAATGTGCTATTAAAAGACGTTAATAAAAATGATAAAGTTATTATAGTAGGCGATTTTAACGCTCATGGTACCATGTGGGGAAGTGACAAAACAGACAAGAATGGACAAGTGATAGAACAATTCGTGAATCATCATAATCTAACTGTTTTGAATGATGGCGAAGGAACCAGACTGGATCCACGAACAGGAAAACTGTCATGCTTAGATTTATGTATAACCACTCCTTCACTGGCATGTAGAAGTACTTGGAGAGTCATGGAAAGCCTTTTTGGAAGTGATCACTTCCCAATAAATATCCAAACAACTTTAGACGGGAAAAGCTCTGAATATAAAGATGCTTCAATAAGAAGTGCAGATGATTTTATCTCCTTTAAACATATAAATTTGAAAAAATTTGCTAAGAAATGTGAAGAGATGATTACAAATGATCTCATACTTATAAATAATGATATACAGAAAATATATGATAATTTCATGAAATATTTAAAACTGTGTATAAAAGAAACTGTACCGAAAAGGAGAAATGTCTCTAAAAATCCGGTGCCTTGGTGGACCAAAGAATGTACAGAGAAAATCAAAGAGAGAAATAGAATGTGTAATAAGATGTCACGGAAAATAACTTTTGAAAAGGTAGATGAGTACTTAAAAAAGAAAGCAGAAGCACAGCGTGTGCTCCGCCAAGCAGAACGAAATTACTGGCGAGCATTTTGCACAAAGCTTGATCAGTATATGCCAGAATCTAAGATCTGGGCTTGTATAAAACGGCTGAATGGTGTACTAATAAAAAAAACAAAAAATATGTCAACATTGATTGTAAATAGTAAAGATATTGTCTCCGATCAGGAGAAAGCAAATGCCTTTGGAAATTACTTTCAAAAAATAGGAATAAAAGACAGGGATACTAATAAGGAATTACCGAAGGCACCAAATAATGACATTCATATTTTAAATGTAGATCATGTTATAAATGAACCCTTTTTTATAACAGAATTTGAAAAGGCAGTGCAATCGCGAAAAAAGACTGCCCCAGGAAAAGATAATATACCTTACGTTGTTTATGAAAATCTGCCAAAAGCAAACAAGGAAATCATGCTGAACATTATTAACTTAATATGGAAAACCGGGGAAATTCCAATTCAACTAAAGCATTCTATAATAATCCCTATTCTCAAACATGGAAAAGATCCCAGAAATACATCGTCATATAGACCAATCTCTTTAACATCATGTTTTGCCAAAATAATTGAACGAATGATAAAAGAAAGATTACAATGGTATGTTGAAAAGCATGAATTATTACCCAATTTTTTAAGTGGATTTAGGAAAGGTCGTAGTGTGACGGACAATATTGTACAATTAGAAAATGACATCCAAAAGAGTATAAATTGTAATGAACATGTAATAGCGGTTTTCTTGGATGTCGAAAAGGCTTTCGATACAGTTTGGATAAAGGGTCTGGTTTTTAAATTAGCAAAAAATGGAATAGAAGGGAACATGCTGAGATATATAGAAAATTATCTAACAGCACGAACTTTTCAAGTACGAATTGGAAATACAGAATCTAAAACTTATAAAACGCATAACGGGTTACCACAAGGGAGTGTTTTAAGTCCTCTTTTATATAATATAATGATGGGTGATATACCTACAGACCAAGATGTAAGCATATCTATGTATGCAGATGACTGCGCAATATGGATATCAGGCAGGAACATTGTACATATTACTGAAAAAATACAGAAATATTTGAATCTTTTAAATCGTTGGTTTGAAGAGTGGGGGTTTCGACTCTCACCTGTCAAAACAGTGCCCGTACTTTTTACGAAAAGCTGGAATGCCGTTCTACCGCCTGATATAGAACTGAATGGAAATGTGTTAATGTACGAAAAATCTCATCGCTTTTTAGGGGTTATATTTGATAAAAGGTTAACTTGGCAACCACATATCGAAAATGTAATCACGAGAAGTAAAAGAAAATTAAATATCTTAAGATGTCTAACTGGAACAAACTGGGGAAGTTCCTCGAAATCACTTATCATGGTGTACAGAGCAATTATAAGGTCTCTTTTTGATTACGGATGTGAGGCGTATGACAGTGCAGCTGCTACCACCAAAAAAGCCATTGACTCTGTCCAATACCAAGCACTGAGGATATGCGCAGGTGGGCTGCCATTAACCTCCTTAGAATCACTACAGGTGGAAATGGGGGAAATGCCTTTGGATATAAGAAGACAAATGCTTTCAAGTAAATATAGACAAAACATCGAAAGATGGGCGAATCATCCGTTGTTAAAAAACATTGAACCATGTTGGCATTTTGAATACTTGAAGGGGAAAAACGTAAACAAACCTTTTGGATATAGAATACAAAGCAAGCTGGGAAAACGTATAGAAACGATAACCTACTCCCCATTTCCACCATGGTTATTCTACCCTCCGGCAGTGTCAACGGAATTAAGTACTCGAATAAAGAAAACAGATCATCCTACACAACAAAAACAAAGCAGCCTGGAAATCATACATACTAAATGGGCGACTCAATTACATATATACACCGATGGATCAAAAGTACCTGAAAGAGGGACCTCTGCAGCTGCTTTTTACGTCCCTTACTATTCTGTACATCGGAGCAAAAGGTTAGCAAATTTCACCTCTTCGTACAGGGCTGAATTGGCTGCCATCATTCTTGCTCTCAGATGGGTAGATGAATTAGACATTTATGTGGGGGTTGTTATTTTTAGTGATTCACTGAGTGCACTTATTGCATTACAACAACAGAAGGACGAATCTTTTATTCTGGAAATTCTCACCATGACTACTCACTTAAAGAATAAAGGAGTTGATATATATGTAGAGTGGATACCTGGACATTGTGGAATAAAAGGGAACGAGATGGCGGATTTCCACGCAAAGGCCGCATTAGTAAAGAAAATAGAAGTCAATAATAACCTAAATATGTCAGAAATGAAAAGCTTAATTACTACAAGTTCCAAACTCCTTTGGCAAGAAAGGTGGAACAAAACCAACTCGTATTTGAAAACATATCAAAAAGATGTTAATAAACCATATATATGCTCATTAGAGAGACAACATTCAACAATAATACATCGACTCCGCTTTGGAGTCCTTGGACTTAACCAGGATCTCCTCAGATTGGGAATTCATGCTACTGGTTTCTGTAATAGATGCCCCAGTGAAATAGAGACTGTAAAACATTTTTTAGTACATTGCCCTAACTATATTATAGAAAGGGCTATGTTTCTAACAGAAATTAACGAATCCCAACCTGAAAAAATTATGGAATACTTAAAAAAGAGTGAGTCCAGTATACAAAAAGCTATTGTACGGTTCTTTCTCAGAACGAAACGGTTCCCTATCAGGAAGTAATACCTCCCTTGATGAACAGTAAAATATAATACAATATTATAAATATGCTAAATTACACTCAGTACATTAAAAATATAATAACATAATGTAATAAGAAAATAAAAAAAGAACAGTAAAACATAATACAATATTATAAATATGTTAAATTACACTCAGTACATTAAAAATATAATAACATAATGTAATAAGAAAATAAAATAAGAATATTAAAACATTATACAATATTATAATATGCTAAATTACACTCAGTACATTAAAAATATAATAACAATCATAATGTAATAAGAAAATAAAATAAGAACAGTAAAACATAATACGATATTATAAATATGTTAAATTACACTCAGTACATTAAAAATATAATAACATAATGTATTAAGAAAATAAAATAAGAAAAAGTAACAACAATGATAAAAGGTATGATAAGATTACTGAATATAGAAGCTTGTGTAGGTGCTATCTTATATACATTATTTGTGTGTATGTGATATAACAAATAATCTGCACGTACTGTTAAGAAACACTAACAAAGCCCATGAATGTTTTGCTTACGATATTATTTTACGATACTATCTTAAAAGATAGATAAATATAAAACGAAATAAATGTATTTTTAAAAAAATCCAAAATTGAGAGATATAACACGTGCCGTAAAGTAATTTGGCGACAATAGTCAAATCACTGACTAATCGCCAATAACTCAAAACACAACAACAACATATTCTTCCCTATTTTGCCCTATTTTTTTTCCAAATTTTCCAAAATTTTTCCCAATTTTCTTACTCGAAAGGGGGGAATGTTGTTAGATGCCATTTTTTCCTTGCGAGTCCTCTCCTTTTTTTTTTACTCAAGGGGGCGTGGTTGAGGGAAAAACAAAAAACCTATTTTCTTGTTAGTGCTCACTATCACCCCTGCTGTAAGTTGTTATAATATAGTGAAACCTGATTTAGCGACCACCTGTATAGAAAGACCACCTGTCTATAAAGGCCACATTTTCTGTTTCCCTTGAATAGTGTCTTTCATCGAAATGTGTACTGAAGAAACCTGTACTTAAAGACCACCTGTTTATAAAGACCACTTTTCTTGACTCCCTTGAGTGGTCTTTATATACAGGTTTCACTGTATCATGAAGTTATGCTGTGTTCCTGTCGAAGCAATACTTCATGGTCAATTTGTAACACCACTTGAATTCCTAATTTCAACCACGGACCAGACACTTATCATAACCCAAAACCCCGATTGCATCCCAAGTCTTAATTTTGCATGTCTGACAAGATACAGTCTGGAGCAAATGTCATATTCAATTGTGAAGTTTTGGCCTAAAGTGGATTGTCAAATGTTAATGAGTCAGTTAGAAGAGGAATTGGGATGTTTGTTTCCGGTTTATCATGAATGTTACTGAAGGTATAGTTGCTATCAGAAAAGCAGTAGTTCTGGGATAAAGAGATGTTAGTTGACTCTCTTCTATAATCATTTTCATACCAAGGTACATTGTACAAACTTCTTCTTTCGAAGTAATCTTTATTTTTCATTACCTTAGTTACATATCATGGTTTTCATATTAGAAGTATATAATTTAAAAAAAGTTGCCTTTTTCCTACAAGTTTTGATGACATGGTTTGATATGCATTTGAGTATTTTTGAGTTATCACTGAGCAGGACATGTTGGAAAGTCAAATAACTTGTTGTATCACTCACTAGTGATGATTACACACCAATATATGCATTGTCTTGTGCAGGAGATTTCTCAGAGAAACGTTGAAGATGGCGAATGAGGAGGACCTGAACAGACTGACGGCGTGCTCTCTGGTTCTGCTAGGCCACATATTCTTGTCATTAGGGAACAATAGGGTAAGCTTTGAATAACAAACACATCCAATCAAATACTTTTGTTTTGCTTAAAGGCCATAAAGGAGACGTGATGGCTCAATGGTAGAGTAGTGGTCTCGTAACCAGAAGTTTGGGTTAAAAACCAAGTTGATGCGCTAGTGCCCTTTGGTAAGGCATTAATCCTCATTAACAAGTCCTTTGGAGAGGACTTACAGCTGTCGGTCCTCTGGTTGCTTACTTACAAGCCTACACATGCATTCTTAGCAGTCAGATAAAAAAAACAACGTCAATACCATTTGCAAAATGAAACTGAATAAATTATACCACTTTGTACGAAGTTGTATTACACTCCTGATAGCTATGGTCATTTCATGTTTAACAAAATATCTGATTTGTTTTAGGGTCTACCTAGTCTAGTTTTGTGAAAGGTATTTAATTGTACATTTCTGTTCCCTAACATGCCCACATGTAATTGTAAACCCAGAATTTCCTCATCTTAGTTGTCTAGCTACTTTGCAGAACTGTTATTACTAAACAAGAAATTATGTACTTCTAAAGGATGTATCTCTACTCCAGGTTTTAAAGATAAATTCTCATAGAATCCAACAGAACTTACGCTGAGTGTTCAAGATTAAAAATAAATGACATGTGCCAAACAATTTCGCTAGAAAATGTATAGTGGCTGAGTAATGAGCATGGAAAGATAAGGAAATCTGGGTAAGTAGACCCGACACCATGCGCTTTGACACAGGTCACTATGTGCAAATGGGAGTTGTGGTTTTTATCGAAGATGATGCCCGGTAAGTTTTTTGTACGTTTGTTTTTATTTTACTGGTTCAAACAACTAATCTACTGCAGGATAAACAATCCAGAATAAATCATAGTAATTTTCTCTCAAAGTACAATTCCCATACCAGAGCTCAAGATTATATACACCTATGTCATGATTAAGTCAGTTCAATTTTACCTCTGATTTATAGGTCTCTCTGGTACATGAATACTTCTATTGCATATGATGAGTTCACGTAATTGTTCTTATTCGATTCTCATTTCACAGGAAAGTCAGAACATGGTGTTGCCAGCAATGCAGTTAGCAGGGAAGATTCCAGACATGCATATACAGCTCTGGGCATCAGCACTACTAAGAGGTAAGATAACTGATTGTGCTATGGTATATATTTAGAAGTATAGTGGCTCAAAAGTGGGGTATTGTGCACGTCACTGCGTTGTCTTGGGTTCAAAGCCAATTAGATACCCTAATGTCCTTTGGTAAGGTGATAATTCTCCATTAGCAATCTCTATGGATAGGCCTGTGCATGTCCACTTGTTTATCTACAAGCATGATTCATGAGATAAGGGTCACCTTACAATCAGTGCTCATTGATTATGACTCTCGCACGATTTTAGGATTATTACCAAAAAAAAATGGCATTTTCGAGTTCTTATTTCATCTCATTGGTGCCCTATTCTGGGAGAGATCTCAGTGGATCACAAATCATCCCAATTTTGAATCTCAACCAAGGCACTAATATCAGTTTGGAAGACATGTACATTTGTTGAGGAGATATTAGGAAACTGAATATTAATAATAATGATAATGATTACGATAATGAACCTTACTTGTATAGCGCATATCACTTTTCAGTCCTTATGCACTTTGGGGTAAGGAAAAGAGATAGAATTAGGCAATATTAAGAAAATACAATTCAAATCAGATACCAACTAAATGTTAAAACTGCTCATGAACAAAGGAGTTTTCAGGCTGATTTTTAATTGGTAAACTGTGACTGGCTCCTTAACAGCATCAAGTATTCCGTTCCATAATTGTAGAAAGTCAGTATGATTACCAATTTGCCTCGGGTTCCATGTGAGCCATGTACTTACCAGAGTTAATATGTTGCATACATCATATGTGGACTTGAGGTTCCTTTACCGGAAATAAAAGTGATGCAAACCCAGACGGAGTACTGTATTATTGTGATGATTATTTAAAATTCCTGTTTGCATTAATATAGATCTTTACCACATGTCAGGAGATCCAGTCAGGCAGAGTGAAGGTTACCAGATGCACAGTTCCTTCTCACAACAACTCCTCTCAGATCACTTCCAGTCCTCGCAACAACCCGAGCACAATCTCATACATGTGAGTATACCATACTCTCTTTATACACGATGTCCTCAGAATGTGAGCATAATCTCATAGTATACCACACTGTTTTAATACACCATGTCCTCACAACAACCTGAGCACAATCTCATGTATTGCAGTATACCACACTCTCTTAATACACGCTGTCCTCACAACAACCTGAGCACAGTCTCCTACATAAGGGTATTCCACACTGTTTTCAGTACATTGTCTTCACAGCAACCTGAGTACAACCTTATACATTTGAGTATACCATGCTCTCTCAGTATATAATGTCCGCACAGCAACAAGAGTATAGTTGGCACACATACATATTTTTCTCACAACCTAAGCATAATCTCATGCATGTTCGCATATAATTCTCTTTTAGTACATACTATCAACACCCAAACATGTTGAACAGTCACTAATAATGATACTTGGATGCAAATGCCAAAATGATATGCACAGAGATGCCAACCAGTAGGATTTAATTGTATTTAGTATGATAATAAGAGTGAAATACGATCTTAAAATCTTAAAATACGATTTTTCATCTCCCCCCCCCCCCCCCCCCCCCCAAAAAAAAAAAAAAAATTAAAAAAAAATGTTAAAACCCATAAAAACAGCGGAATCGCATAAAAACATGTACAAGTAAACCCCCGCAAACCCAACAAAAACTTTGCTTTACTATTTTCTCATTAAATTTTAATGAAAGAGCTAACATTTTTCTGAAATTTTACTGGCCCGGGGCCCACGGGCCAGTGGTAGAGTTGAGTTTTCGTGAAAATCTGATTTTTCTTTCCAAAATAAGATTTTTTAGGATACTCAGTCTGTTTTTTTGTGTCAAGAGGTTGGCATCTCTGTATTCATGATATGTGATATTTATATCATTTATTCCATTCTCTGAGTCTCTCTGTGGGTATTGAAATCAAGAATGAAATTAGCAGCCATTACAAAGCCGTATTTTTACATTAAATTTACCAATTTCTTTGCTTTCTTACAGTGGACGGATGGTCCTATTCCCCCTCACCTCCTGCAGTCAGAAGGGGCAAGCACCAGTATCTTGTAGCATTCCAACACTAGAGGGCAGTCTTCGACCCCTTTCCTTGTGACCGCGTGAATCATGTCTGCCTTTACCACAACAGATAGTAGACTGTTCAAATGAGACAATGGACTCATGGCAAAGCAGACATGTTCTTTCTCAAGACGTCTCAAGTCGCTGGACGATGTGCACCGTCGGATGAAGACTGTTGCTGAAGCCTAAGCCCTTTTTGTTTTGAAAGGGGAGTGCCTAGCCAGTCAAACCTGCCTGTACCAGTGATATGAGAAGGAACTTTCAGGAAGTTCTCCTATTACCACCTGTTGCTCGGCCAAGATCATGAGCTCATTCCAGTGTTATCAGGTGGAAGGTTGGATGGGAAAGATGGTTCGTACGGAAGACTCTGCATTTCAACAGTGCAGAGATAGATGATGATGTGACCGTCATCCCTGGGAGGAAGATGAAGAGAAGATCACTGTTATTTGTCAGCCAGCATCACATGACCACCAAGTCACTCCAACGGGGCCGGCATCGAACCGACAACAGACCGAACTACAGATTGCATCACCCCCAAATTGCCAAGTATTGGTCGGGTTTTGGAATTGGCTTGGAGTCACTGTGGTGATGTGCCTGAGGTACTAGGGAGGACTAGTGATCACTTCCTTTTCTGTAGTTGACAAGAGAGGGCAGCATAGCATTGTTCTCAGCAGATGACATGGAGAAAAGTTATTCAAGATAACACTCAATAGTTCATACTGTTTGTTATTGATGGCAATCCATGAAGATGCACACATTATAAACATTGCATAGTGATTTGTAAGGTTGCATCTCCTTAGCTTTGTTTGGTGTGATGAATATCTGAGGTAGAAGTATAGAAGACGGGCAAATTTGTGAATGAGGACATTTTTAAAATCAATGTACACCACTTTTACAAACTGTTTTAATAATTCCAATTTTCAACTTGTCTATGCTAGTAAATATTATCGCATTAGCATCGCTGCAATCTATGCAACACAAATCTCAGAATAGAATGACACCCCTTTCCTTCTTTTCTTTTAGTAACAACAATTATTTTTTGAAAATATAGAACAAGAATAAAAGCAAGAGTGACAGTAGATCAGCTTTGTACAGTTCACTATGAAACAATTAATTCAAGTGCAATCTATTGCAAAAGGAAGAACAAAGAAGTCCCCACTAAACATATGAAATTTTGTGAACATGAGGAATACAAATTTCCAGGCATATATAAAAAACTGACATTAATTAATTATTTAAACAAGACGTTTCCAAAAGTTCAGGTGAATATTTTGAAAAAATTACATTATTTAGCATTGATTCATTAAAAGAAAGATTTTAATGAAATACAATAACAATACATCCATTTTCAGGAAAATGATCCCTCGAAACAGTGAAAGAAGAAAATTTAGGATAAAAAAATACTTTGAAATATATTTAATCTTTATTTGTAATTCTGTAAAATGAAAACTAAAAAAATGTAATGCAGTGTAGCATAGTGGAGTTGTAGGACACAGAGACAAAATGAATGGAACAAGCAACTGTAACATCTCTTACCCTAGCTCAATTAATTTGTTATTTAATCAACCAAATTAATCTATTATTGTAATAGAGAGTAGTTGAGAAAGGAGTACATGTATTTCAAACTGCCAAATTGTAAAAAATACAGAATTTACTTCAAGTATAAGAGGTCTAACATCCTTTTCTCCAAGAGTACGTAATTGAATGTAAGAGAGAATATCACCTTCTGAATTGTGTAGGCATGCCCTGATCTTCTTCAAAGGCTAGGAATTTTACTGACGTTGCTACCACTGCTGTAATGTATTTTCAATTTCGCCATTTTTTGATGATGGCTTACCGTACGTAGAATGATTTTCTGTTCCTGTACTCAAGCATCATAACATGTGTGTCATCAGTTGGTGATGCATTGTAGGACATGGCTGTCAACACATTGTGAACATTAAGTATTGTCAGTAAATTACCCTGTTTAAAGGCACACTGTCCTACTTGTAGCTACTTGCTCCCTCTATAGTGAAAACTTCCCAAATCGGTGCCTGTTGGTCCCCCATGATCCTCTTTTTCTTTATATGTTAAATGAGAGCTGAGTTAATGAGATAGCCTCCTGTTACAGTGACCTCGATGGCTCACTGTGTGGTCTAATCCCTTCTGGTTGAAGTAGTAAAGCCTACCTTTAAAGTGTTTTGTTCTCGGGTTGTCCCTTATATTTCACTGTCTATCTCATTTCTTTTTCTTTAAATCCTATCTGCTCTAAATTGGCCCGAAGGGATAAGGCCTCCATGTATGGTCACTGACGGGTGTCTATCTCATCAAATAAGCTCTCAATTAACATACAAAAAAGGGGACAACGGGGGACCAAAGGTCACCGATTAGGCATTGTTTGCTATATAGAGGGCGCAAGTAGCTATAAGTAGTGCGATGGGGCTTTACTTCTTTATCAGACTAAAATAATTGCCATCAGATGGATAGAAATAACCTAACCCAAATTTGTGATTCTTTTTTTGTAACAACCTAGTGAAATACGGAAGGCAGCAACGATTTCACTTTTTTGTTGTAGAGTAAAAGCATGAAATGTACAAAACAAATAATTATTTTCTAAGCTTTTTAATTATGAATAGAAAGCATTGCTTTTGAAATATTTCAAATTTTTGTACCATTTTTGTATATCATTGGGTATGCAAATACCTCTAGAAAAATAAAAGTAAAAAAAAATGCCTCTTGGATTATGCATCTTTGCAATGAACCCTGAGATGGTGAGAAATAGTATTCTGTATATATTGTGTAAATACTTGTAAATTATGTAAATATTTCAAAGAACTGAATCTTGTTTTTGCTTCTTTTCTTTTTTTATATTTAAGAAAGGAGCAATTTGTCCTTTTTGTTATTGTAAACTGTATAGACTTCAATTAAGAGAGAGAAAAATAATCATTCCTTGTTGACGTTTTGTTTATATGTTGTCTGTTAGTCTATTCAGAGTATCACTTTTTGGCTTTGTTTTCAATTTGAGTGTCTTTACAATTTATTAGATCTGGTCAGAAAAGGATTTTAGACTGTCAAAAGTTTTTATTGTGAGTGTATGTATGTGTGTGTGTGTGTGTGTGCCAGCAAGCATGAAAACTTTTGTACTGTTAATTCTTTGACGTTGTGGGGAGTGTTATTTGAGGCTAAATACATGTATTGTTTGCAAGTTTGAACAAATTCATTTATTAAAATCCTGTTAAGATTTTAGAAATTAAAAATGAAAACAAAAGTTAACAAAATACCTGGTAACAGTAAAATCATATCTAGAGCATGAAAGCTCTGCTTTATCATCGACGGACAACACTCCATTTTAGATGTGTCAAAAAGGTGCTGCATACAATACATAACAAATGATTGTTTGTTGGAGAATATACAAAATGTGTTAATTGCTATTTGCTACAGGAATTCTGAACAGACTTGCCAAAGGAGACATCGTCTGCTGAGAGCCAGAAGGTCATTAGCTCATATAATTTACCACAGAGTTAATGCCCCTATGGCCATCAATGGATGATGTCTTGTTTGGCAAGTTTGTTCAGAATTCCTGTAGTGATTAATCCACATTGTATATTTATTGACTCAATTAGAAACACTTTGTACTTCTCAATCAAGCTATCATTAAAAAAGACAATTAGGAGTCTCTTTAGTATGTGTAATATTCTGAAGAAGCCATACATAATATATTGTAATGATATTTTGAAATGACTTCTTAGGGACGAATGTCGTCACATGCATCAGAAATCTTGGAGTGTTGTCATTCGTAATTGCCATCCTTGAATATAAAATGAAATAAATAACACACTAATAAATGACACGCTATTTGAAATTTATCAGGAGCACCGATAAATTTGATATTTTAATTTCTCAATATTTAAAGCTCAATTTTTTCAAAGTTGCTTATTCTAACACTAGGTTTCACAATGGTAATGCAAAGTTTAAATTTCATAATCCAATCCTGTTGAAATATTACCAAAACTGTGTAGTACCTTTAATGCCCTGCTGGCTCTGGGCAGACAACTTCAAGAAAACATAGAACACCAATGCACTTTAAAAACGTTACTTGTTTTAAAAATTGTATATCCCCTTGCTAAAACAAAATTTCGACTAAATTCTAAATTGAGTCTATTGTTTCAATGTCTCCAGAACTGTTTTCTTTATTTTCCTTATTGAAATCTTATTTGGGTAAAATTGCCCCATCCCTCATTTAATCTTTGGATAATAGCATATCTCTTTTTGCCAAATATATGTTTCTTTATTGTCTATTGTACATGGACAGTACACCACCTTGACAGTGTTTTGTTCTGACATAATTATTTCAGAAAGTTTGATGAAAAATAATGCATATGATTCTTAAATGAAATGTAGTTGATGAATTCTGATAAAAATCAAAGTATTGATGGCTTTTTGTATGTGATTAGCTAACGATAAACAAGACTTGTTATTTCCTAACAGCATCTACATGTAATTTTGGTTAAGCAGGTTCAGGCCTTAAATTTCAATATTTTCAGGGCAAGGCCATTTTTCTGTAGGACACATTCCTATATTACAGCACAAATAGGAAGAATTGGAAAGGCCACAAAAAATCTCCAAGGCCAATGAGAGGGGCATTGAGGCCAATCAAAAGGGCATCCACGACCATGGCCTTGGTGGCCTTGGATTAATTTAAGCCCTGCAGGTTACAAGTTAGTTTTAAAAAGTTTTTGATGCATTAATGATAGTAATCAATCAAGCCCTGGTACGGCGTTAGAATGGGTCTGATATCATCAAAGAAAAAAATAATTCTAGTCAAATACACCTGTTGCCTCTCTTAAAAACGATGCCACCTAATGTCAGCGAGAAAAGTATGCACTAATGAAAAGACTATGATTGGTATTTCCTTCATATTGAAGTATGAATATTAGTAATATTAGTTAAAGGAAATCTGGACTAAAAAGAAAGTGGGGGATAGAGCATTTGCATCAGCAGCTCCTTCTCTGCGGAATAGCTTACCCTTTTCTCTCCGAACAGCCAATACCTATCAAACTTTCAAGCCATACTTAAGACCCACCTTATTTTTCCTGGTTACAATAAGTTTCCCTTCTTAGAGTTCAACGTTTAGTAATCGACTTCATATATTTTTTGTTGATTTACTTTAGAGCTTTTGAATTGAAATTGTTATCTATTTTGTATTTTTTTAATAATTTTTCAGTAAAACAGATATTTCAAACTAATAACGTGATGGATAATTTGTATTAGTTATTAGGTAGTGAGATTGTTAATATTGAAATACAAATTGGTCAGCTGTTGATCCAGGTCGAAAAGTTTCTATTTCAGCTATTTATACTTCAACGATTGAACAAGGCATGTCAATGAAAAGCATCAATTTAAAAATGCTTTTCAGCTTTATATATTTTGTTTTTGTTTGCTTGTCATTCTGAATGTTCACCCCATTTTCTAGTGTTTGTACATCACGTTTGTTTATTTTGCCAGGGGTATAATAATATGTATATCAGAAATGAAAAATGAAATGGTTTGAGTAGCATCTGAATAAGATGTGACATCTTCATTCATATAATTATTTATTTACGTATCGTTAGTTTTTTGTGTACAGTACATGTATGTAAAATAAAAGGGATGAAAAGAAATATGAAATCACAGGAAAGTTGTTTGCCGTTTTGTATGTAAATAGAGGTATTGTATGACTGTTTTGCGCATATTTGTTGCATATCAGTCACACCAAGAAGACTGACATAAGCTGATCAGGGTCCCGTTTCACAAAGCATGGGGTCACACCTTTTTTCATTTTTTTTATAAACAAAGGTAAACTTGTCGATATCTTTTTATTTATTTTTTTGTCAGAGGTGGGGGCCCGGTCCCCTCATACCCCACCCTGGATACACCACTTAAATTTTACATTTTAATTTTTTCCAAAAATAACCTACATGATGAGAGAGAGAGAGAGAAAAAAAGAGAGAATGGTTATCATTGTCAATTACCCTCTTTTTCTGATTTTGCACCCGCCCCCCCCCCCCCCCCCCCCATGCCCCCACTCTGGATACGCCACTGGTATATTTTATGTCTTAATTAAAAAAAAAAAAAAAGTTACACGATAGAGCGAGAGAGAAAGAGAGAAGGGTTATCATGTAATTACCCTCCTTTTCTGATTTTGCCCTGGGGGGGGGGGGGGGGGGGGGGGGGGGGGGGGGGGGCTCAGGAACACAATTTAGTGCACATCTTTATTTTCCCCTCTGAATATACATTATTTGGATTTGGCGGGGTCATCCCCCCTTACCCCTCGCCCGACCCACGTTATAGTCTTTAACGCACTTGTTTTCCAGGTAGGCATATATATTACATTACACTTCATGACCTTTACAAATTTAAGTCCATTATATCCAGTATACTGGCGCAAAATATCATCACGTGACTACTTTGCATATTGCAGGGTGTGCCCTTATTAATGAACAAGCACAATTTGTAGGACGATTAATGCATTTGTGCATGCTTGCGTGTATTTGTAGCTTAACCATATCATCATCATCATCTGGACAAACCGTCATGCATAATTCATGAATGTTTGTTGTTTTCCTGCTGACTCAGGCTGCGTTCATGCTTAAATTTTGAAGGCAGAATGAGCGATCTGAAACGCTCATCGTAAACGCTCATCGTGATCGCAGTTCCACGATGTAGTGTTCATGCTTACTTCTCCAGGCAATTCTTCTTGGGTGGCCTTCAGCCGGATTCGCAAACCTGTGTGCGCATGCTACGTAGACCCACTAGAGGTCAGTGCGTTGACCCCATTTAAACGCGTTTACAAATTGTAAACGCATCTTTTTGTGAGTTTACGATCGGCGATCGTGATCGCCGTTTTTCGGTGATTCTACAAAAGTGAGCATGAACGCAAGCGTGTTTTAACTAAACGCGTAACAGATGCCTGATTCTGGCCGTCAAAATCAAGCATGAACGCGCCCTCAGCCAATTATGGAGTGTGTCTTCATAACCCCCGAGTGTGTGAAGAGGCACTTGGCACGCAGCCAAAACAATGTTACTCCGCAAGGGAACTATATGATTTCAAGTTCAGTTGGATCTTCTCATCACGACTAGCTCATCAGGGATGCTCCATTGACTAACCCGGATGATATATCAACCTATTATCCCATTTCTTAAAACTTTTCACCACCCACGATAATTTCTGACATGCTATGCCTAATGTGTGTAATAGATATGCATTGGGATAAGTTATGAAGATTATTATGAATGGTCATCAATACCCCTCCAAATGCTCCAGTGGTCTTTAATAAGTTGAAATTTATTGTTAGTCGTAGAAGTCACCCATTTTTCACGTTATTAAACCAATTTTAAGAAGACGGTGATATCTATGATGATGATTATGACTAAGAGGTCATTGACCCTTATCCTACGTATCAATGCCCTATAACAAAATCCATCTGTAAAGAAATACCTCGCTGAATTTAAGTTGAGTTTGCCACTTACTCCACTTCTATGTAGTCTTGTTTTGTCCAGTTAGGCGATCGAAAATTACATTTTTATATATTCTCTAGATGATTATGAAGATATATATGATTGATTTATCTGATTTTTGAGCAAACTTCCGATACACAATAATGGTCGAAAACTTCTGTTTGACGTCCATCTCAATGTAACCCCTGTATAGCTTCAGCATGTTTTATTTTCTGCGATGTTATTACCAAATTAACTTTATTTCAACCATCTTCTACCATTTTTTATTCACATTTAAGTCTCTGGACTCTTATTTCAAAGTGATTATAAGCCTGTATAGCATTCATTTACACGCATTTCGAATGATTCCTGTGGTGGTCGAGATAGAGCCCCCTATACCGAGTACCCGAGGTAATCGCTGCTTGGCAAAAACCAGGATCCACTGTAAACTTTTGTTTGAAAGATTATTTAAAAAAAGACCCTCTATATAGCTAGCTAGAACGTAGCAGAGTTATTTGCCGTCTATTCAAAATGCTTTTTCGAACTTCATGAATAATCATGCTTGCATCCATAGTTTGACAACTTGGCGGGAAAGGCAGGCCAAGATCCAGGCATGCGGTCAAGTGTTGTTCTCTTTTTTGACGGCTGCGCGCTATTTAAATCTAGAAACAAGACAATTCTCCATTATACAACTGTTTTTAAAATGAATAACTGCTTCTTTGACTACCTGAATGGGCTGCTCATTGCCTGTCATTGAAACGTAAGGGCCATGGATTCATCCATAGAGATGCTGTCTCACAACAGCTGATTGAGATGACAAATTCGTCACCATGGTTTCCGTGAAACATCCACGTAACTTGGTACCTTTGGTCAAAAGTGCAGTCAGTGATTCGACTGTATAAGCCTGATTTATTCAGTATTTTATGCACAATATACTTTTTTTTTTTAATGTTATAGCTTTTTAAAGGATCCGGAATACTTCCCCATGTATTGCCCGACATAGCAGTAAATAACCATGCCTTATTTCAGCTTGATTCTGATAGGTCTTGAATAAAAAAAAAAACTCGTCACCGTGGATCCTGGAATAAGTGACACAGAGTGCGTGCCATGCTGGGGACTGGCATCTAGGGGGTCGGGGGGGGGGGGGGCACTGGTCCTCCTAGGAATTAATGAAATGTGAATTATCATTGTCATCGAAGAGGTGGTGTGTGTGGGGTAGGGTAGGTAGGAGGAGTTCGGTCCTCTCCCAGGTGACTTACCCTACACTCTAAAAACTGAAATGTTAAATGTCAATTTAAAAGGGCCGAGGAGTGACCACTCTTTCAAAATGTCAGATTGTTTCTTTTAACCTGCTATAGATTCAACCTTTATAGTGTTGGATCCAGCACGTTCAAAGTCTACCATTTTGAAAGAGTGGTCACTCCTCGGCCCTTTTAAATGGTGATTTAACATTTCAGTTTTTAGAGTGGACTCTCTTCCATTCATTTCTACATTCTCCATGCATTAGTTATTGTTCCCCCTTTTCCGACATTCGATTGGTGTTGGGGCGGCATGTGCGCCCCCTTGCTTGGTGACATAAACTGGTTTATACAGTTTAATTCGAAAGAAGTTTAGACGACACTTAGTTTCCAGTTTAATATCTATGCCTCTGTAACTGTGTTATGGGCCCTATTCCATAAAACCTCTTATCAATAACAAATGCAGAAATTCTATGACAAATTTGCGCTCAGTGAATAAAATGCAATGAATTCAGTAGCTTAATATAACAATTCTTCAGCTTCAGCTTTTTATGAAACAGGACCCTGATGAGGATGATTCGACGTGGACCTTTAGGCCTAATGGTATACATATGCCGACATGTTTTTCAGTCACCTATGTTGACATAAAGCTATTCAAAAACTCACTTTATTTTCAAGATTTCATGCTTCCCTGCCGTGAACCATATTACGATGCAGCTCTTGGCACATAATATGAGCATAAAACTTTGCTGTTTGGTGTATAAGCTCTATACCTTTCCATTAACACAGTGTTATTACCCTGGCTTTAGGCTATAGCTGACATAGCTGCCCAAAGTATTCAAGGAATATATATTTACCACACCTGCAGGGGTATACAATTTACCACACCTGGGTGGAGAATGGCAAACGGATATATTAATGTATAATTGCCAAAGGACATTAGGACTAGTGTAAGCAATATAGCTCGCAATCGTGACAGGAGATATTTACCAGGCGCGTATCCAAGGGGGGGGGGGGGGGGGGGGCTATAGCGGTCCCCCAAAAAGTTGAAAAAAAGAAAATTGGTGACCAGATATTTACCTTTATTTTGTTACTCAAGGGGGGGGGGGGGGGGAGTTATCGGTCGGCTCGATTTCCAAATTTCCGAGGGGATAAAGGCCAGAAAAAAAATAGTGCTCACCCCCCCCCCCCCCCCCCCCCCCCCACCGAGCGAAATATCGGCCGGCACGATTTTCACATTTCAGCTCACTTTATTTCAAATTTATATTTAAAAGGCGTCCAAGCCTTAAAAAAAAAACTTCTTCCCAATTGTGGTGAACAAAAAAGACATTGATATCAAAAAAATAAGCTTGATTTTCCTCTGAAGTTACTCGTATACGCCTGTCACTGAATTAGACTGGCTTCTTCATATACATTATTCATATCCAAACCAACTTGAGGAACACTAATTCCTTAATCATTATTATCACGAATTGTTGTTTTCCAGTTGGTCATCATGTGAACATTGATATACATTACAGAACTGAACATAACTCCCACAAAAAGTATCCGCAGTATAGACATGCTAATAAAGGGGCTAATACTCAGAAATAAAGAGCATATAGAATGCTTTGCATATGACATTTAAAACAAAAAACTCCCCAAAGACACATTCATGCTAGTGGGGGTGATAATAATTAAATAGTCCTAGAACTCGGGTGACAATGGTGGTGGCTCTGTCACACTGACTACTGTAGAGAGCAAGACATGGTATATGTCACCCTTTATTCTTTGAGACATATTGATAAGAATAATGATTAAAAATATATAATTACCAGTCTAAGTTGCTTTAGGAACTGAATATTTGAATAATGTACGAATGAACGTTAAATACATAATACATAATCATATATTTATATATGTATTCATTTTAGTCTGGCTATAAATGGGTATGATATTTCTAAAGTACATAAGTAGGCATATACCTATAGCCTTGCACATTTTCTTTTCTAAAAAGTTCACTTGTCCAAACTTTGTGGCAATGGTAATTGGTAGTAGAGTATATAATAGGTCGATCATAATATCACCAGTGATAGTCTACCTCCGCAGACGCATATCAATGTTACAGTGAACTTGTCATCATTTTTCACTTATCACATCTAGGATTTTATGTCACCGCCATAAACAAATTTGTTTACTTAAAAAAATGTTCGAAGTTACAAGTTTTGGTCAAATTGGGTAAGCCGCCGCCCTATCATGAGTACTTCGACAAATGTTTATAGACAGTATAGTCTCTATTGGCCAGGTGGACAGTCACGTGACGAGTCGGGCGGATGTGTACTAGGAAGATTGTTTACTTGTAAACAATTTGTTTTGGTTAGCCCTGAGCACCAGTGCGGGCGACCCCTACGGTAAACAACAATCTGAACCTTCGCCATTTTTTACGGAAATTGAGGTCGATGCGGACAATGCGAGGAATGAGAAAGTTGCTCTCAGTAGTCCTGTGGTGTTTGGCTTCGCTGTTGCCCATTTATTAAAATATGATATCTGTGGAATTTAATACGGGATATGATTTTTCTTTCCTATCGTGTTGCACTTGAATCGTGATATTGTCAACTTTCCATTTTGACGACCCCTCGTTCACGGGATCCTCCACTATTGGCCGGAGATTTGAATATCACGGGAACTCCGAGGTCATTTATAACCCCTGCGCCATTTCATGTTTTGAACAGGTAACAATTACAATGTGATTTTTTTTTACTGCTGTATTTTTCATCAACATATTTAAACCTCATAAATACATTCATGATGGCAGGCTAACACCTAATTATTGTCCGAAACGATACAGATATCTCGAAATTCATGCCGTGTTTCCCCTCCAGCTCTCCATGGAAGTGGCGATGCGGTAACCCCCTTCGAAAATGAACATCGGAGTTTGAATGAAAGTACGGATAACTTCTGGAAAACGTTACATATTTTTGAAATATTAGATGTTACGATCAAAATGGTCGGACATATTAAATCCAATAACTAATGTTTACTTAGTTAATCCTTTAAATTTGTTGTATTTGTAACATGAAAAGAGAAATCATGTGTCTAACAGATAAATACTTCTACGTGAAGCGTCTTTTTGTGTATGTGTTTTGTGTGTAGCAATATCGCGCGCCACGTTTTACTCAAGAAGTCTATGGGAATAATGCCTGTGTGTGTATCTGGGGATTTTTTTTTTGGTGAAGCGTGTGAATTACTGTATACGAGCATGTGTGAGCAATACTATTCGCCGGGTCATGATGACAAACGACGCGACGAAGAATGAATCTTGATGGCCCAAAGTAATGTGTTATAACTTATGTCTAAACTCTTATTTCTATCAGTTTCAGATATTGTTCAAAGATGTCAGTAAAAGGTAGAATATTATCAGTATCTTATTTAATATACTGAGCAGTGGGCAGGATCATTTTTGATAAAATAACTTGCAACATTATGATTGAGAATTGGGACGTCAGATTTTTTCAGACAACATGCCAGATTCCATTTTGATTTACTCAGTTGCTGTGTAAACTTTAAACCCAGATCCAGATTAATTATATTATTTTTGGCTGAAAATTTGCTAACTTTCAAAATTTGTAAGCTTTTCTGGGTTTTCATCTGCATTATTTTTCAAGAAGGCCTCCTATACTCATCAAACTGATCATTCATATGGTTAAACATAAAAGTTTTAGACTCTAATGCTAATTAAGGGATTTGAAATGTGAAATTCCTCATAACTAAAAATTTGACATGAAATTAATCATGCACAGGTATGGCCAGAAAGCTTATTTTGAATCATGCATCGGTACATCGCGTCTGGTCAGGTAATCGCGTTACACGACCTTTCGTGAAACGAAAATGGAAAATCATGTGAAGATTCATGTTGCAGATGCAACCTGTAGGCCTAATAGATTTGCCATAGGGTTTTCACAAAGTGTGTGGTAAATTGGACCAGACCATACAAACGTTACCCCTGACATTTCAGGAATAAAGGGGCATTTTATCAGAAAAGGTCGGGTAATGCGACCACCCGACCTAACTCGATCAGCTCGATGACCTGATCATCACAGCAACCTCGTCTTCACACCTACACGCACACTCGAGTGAGTGATTCTAAAATGTAACAAACATGAAATCTTCATGTATACCGGTACTTCAGTTATACAGTGCGTCCCAGAAAAAACGAAACCGAGAATTATCTATGTTTTATCATAACTTATTCACATTTATAATTAATAAATGACCCATGTTTGGAAAGCTGAGATCCTCCTCTTTCATTTGATGCCATTTATATGATGCATATTTCACGCCTGAGTGATTAAAATGAACTTGAAGAGAGGAAACCAAAAAATCATTTGGCGAATGGTAGGCCTATATGAATTTCAAAGAGAAAATCCATTTCTAAAAAGTTGAGTTTCTGCCCTTTCATATGTATGACCCCCTGAGATCACTTGATTCCTGATCACATCCATGATCATAATGGCAGGTTAATCATCAGTAGGCACATGTACAAAATGTACATAATATCACTCACGGAATAGTGGCAATCCTGAATTCACAAAGTTAGGCTTACTTCTATGTGGCCTGTACATGTACATAAGGCCATGGCATGAGTGCAATATTTTCCATACCGGTAGATGTAAAAAAAAAAAATTAAAAAAAATGTACAAAATAGTGAAAATAGTACCGGTACTACAAATAAAGATCTGTGCTAATCTCACATCAAGAAGTTATGAGTGCAGAATCTAGTAAAAATACAATAAAAGTATGTTTCAGAGTACAGTAGCTTCATTAAAATGATTTGAAAGATGTGTACCCTGCCCATTTATGTTTTAGAAGGGAAAACAATTCAAAAAAACTTTAACGTTCATCTAGATTAAGCTTTGGCACAAAAAAAAGGGAAAAAATATTGAAATTAAATTTATTGTTTACATATGGAATCCAAAATGGTTAGTTTGAACTTCAAAATTGAAAATATTTTTCTGTGATCTATCAACTCATTTGACCTGTATGTACTGTATACATCTAAGAGTAAATTGTGTAAATTTTGGACATGTTTTCAGTTTTCCCTGATTATTGCATGTATACATGTAGTATGTCTACATTGTATCAAATTATATTATGATGTTATGTTATTATCAAGGGCATTCCTACCCTATTGCGAAGTTCATTTATACAAAAGCAGAGAGTCATGAATGTTTGAAATATGAAATCACTTTTGCTAGGCGAATCTCAAATTGGCAATTTGGTCAGTGGATCGTCGCGTACTCTGTAGTCAAATTTTCACCAGTCTGCTTCTCTGATATTTCTGCTTTCCTTTCAAGTTGTTTGCTCTTATTAACTTATGGTTGGATTTAACTTGGTTACCGTAGATTTCCCTAACTTTAGGGATCGACTGAATTTGACAAAAAAATAAATCATCTTCAAGTTAAGCAGGCAGCTTACAGAGATCTTTTACATGTACGTGTACATTGTATACTTCCATTTTTACCCAATTATGTACATGTAGTACATGCATAGGATAGGTCAAGTTATAATCAAAAGGACAACATGTAGTGTGTACACTATATAAAACATACATGTAACTCAGGAACATGAACATTGCATGTACATAACATGTAGTTAAATTAGGCCAGACATTAATTATCATATGACGTTCATGATGGCTGATTTAAAAATAACTCCAGGAAGTTGGATATTCAGATTTAGCAGATTAGATGCATGTCCTCGTATCATCCAGCAAGATACCGGCTTGTAAATCTTGTCAAAGTTGGTACGAGGACTGGAGAAAATGATTTCAAAATGTCTTTATAGGGACGATGTTATCTTGAATGATGTAAATACATGTAGATTAACATCTTGACATGAGTGAAGATACAAGTGTAATTATGGACCTCAACTTTCAAACTGTGCAAATGAGGGTATGAGACTATGAGTGAAGTATAATTTGCAATAATTTGAATGATGTATCTATTTCTTTGATTATGATATAAGACAGATAAGCATCTTAAAAAGATTGACAATGAGTTACATTTAATACAGATTATATTAAACTAGTTGTATCCTCGTGGGCATCTTTGTTTTTTAGCACAATTGTGGCATTGAATTAGACATCTCAGAGCCCAATGAACCATGACTGATCATGCTCTGTGTACGTGATCAATTATTGACCTAACTTGTGTTCCCAAGGTGACCTGGGTTGGATGACGTCATCTTAAAGTAGCATTCCTCACTTGCACAGGCATAAACATTGTCACATTAGTCTTGCATCTAGTTTAGGTAGGTAAATTGTGTGTGTGCTTAATGTCTGTACTATACATCCTACGTGCATGTGTGTCAGTGTGTGTGTGTGCTGAGGACGTGTGTGTATGTGTTGGGGACTCCAGTTGGACGTTCAGATGCACTATATACCTGCGTAAGGGACAAACATGCCAAGACTGTAATGGAACTTTAATAACTATTCCTGAAGGTGTGTGCAGTTTCTATTGCGCAGTGATACACTGTTTGTGCGACTGATACAAAATGTAGTTGCAACCTTTCCATGGAGGCCTGTATGTATGTATTCAATGTAACAAAACCTACAGCCTTTAATACATTGGCTTCTATAGCCTATTTGCGCTAAGAGCTTTTCTAGCTATTCTGCCTTCAGAAGAAAATTTCCTTTGTCCTGCTCTCTTTCTTTGTGTGTCCACGCAGTTAATGATTCAATACCCCCATAGTTGACCCTGGCCACTCTGTGTTCCGCCCATACAATAATGTGAATGTAGGTATAGTGCTACATGTACAAAACATGTCATTTTGTGAACTGTTTAAAAAAAACTCTCTATGCACTGGGCTGACAGTGTACACAGCACATTGTATGTTTGCTTGTACTTTTCTGTGTTTTACAGTTACATTAACTCAAGTATTTAAAATGTTGTGTAGTATGCGTTGAAGAAATTACAATCGAGATTCAATTTTTACAATGCCATTTTGTTATTGTATCAGTGTATGGCAATGCAGAATTTTCCATTTTGTTTGGCCTAATTTTCCATTTTGTTTGGCATAATTTTCAAGGATTAAAAAAAAAATCTCTAGGATGCTCATTTCCTGTGTAGAACAAGCAATTTGAAAAACTACCATTTAGTGATTTGCACTACTGGAAAAAACCCATAAAGATGGTTGGTGTTTGTTTATTCTGTGTTTGTGTGTGATTTGTAGGTATGCAACACTTTGTTGTGATTTGCATGCATATCATGGAAGCGAGGAAAGTCAAGTTAGTGACCCCAAACCCAAATATATGTAGTTTACCCGTTTTTTGAGTGCAAGCATTTACACTGCAACTCCAGAGGTACTTTTTTTAATGAGTTTTTTGTCATGTTTTGGGATAGTTGCCTAGTAACCTTGTACAAAACTCTGGAATTTGAGAAAAACTGTTGTATTTTGCTTGCAGTGTAAATGCAGCTAATTTTAGTAGCTGTTCAATACAAGTGAAGAGGACTAATATTACCTTGCCCCTTTTTCAATGTTACGTACACTGTACATGATCATGTACATGTATGTCAGGAATCTTGCCTCAGCGTAGGGGGTGTACTGTATGTAGCCTCAACTTAAAGTACATGTACTTGTCTTGTACCTATCATTTTTGTGTAAAAATCCAATAAAAAGGTACACAAGGGTAGTCTGACAATATGTGAGTATCACAAGTAAAAAAAAAAAAAAAAAAAAAAACCTATCCAGACATCTTAAAACACCTACCCCAACCCAACCCCCCCTCCCCCTCCACAAGAATCTTGATCTTCTACACATGAAAATAAAATATAATACAGTGATCAATATTTGAGGATGATGATGTCTTTAAGAAATAAGAATGTTAAATTATGCAGGGAATTCTCTTACAAAAGGAACAAAGATTTGGGGTGGTATTTTGAAAACGATGTTATTTGTCATAGCAACTTAATATCAAGACAGGCCATTGGTTAATGTCTGCACAACACCGTCTGCATTCGCGTAAAGTTATAAAGGGATATCTGTGTACCGGTAAGCACTAAGCACCAACAGTAAATGTGAGTTACATGTACAAGTACATCCAAGTTCAGTTAGTTATGACTATTAACATTGTGTCCCTAACATAAAAGATACTGTAACCTCGTTTTCAGAATACGGCCCAAGATCTAGAAATTTTCTCTGAAAGTTATGAATACAAGTACGGTACATGTTGCTTATGTGATGGGTTTTTGGAATTCTTAGCTTTATATTGGAATGGGATAGTGGTTGTGTGGGTGTCTTCAGATCGGTATTAATCATTCACTGTTTAAATGTCAGACATTCACAACAATGAAAATATGGGAACTCTGACTTTTTTTGTTTTGTTATTGTTTTTTTAATTGTCACCTTAGCCAAATATTTGCAATAAGATCAAATTCCGGTGCTTGTGACATTGCACGATATTGCATAATATACTTGATTCAGGGAAAAAATTAATATTAATTTTTCGGAGGCGACTTTTCAAGCTTGCCTGCATTAAAATAGCACTCTAAAATTTGTTTTGCATTGAACTTTATGCAAATTTACGGGGGCTATTTTGGGCATTTAGGGGGCAATTTCGCCCGAGCCCCATGTATTTTTTTCACTGACTTGATTATTTGATATTGTATGCATGCACAAGCAAGATATTATAACAGAATTGATTTTGATTGTATAATCTATATAGATCCAGACTGCACAATGTCCGAGGAGGCATCCGATGTTACAACAGGGTCTGCACCTGGTAAACGACCTCTGGAGTTATCTTCAGATATCAACGCTGATTCAGATGACTCATCAGTAGCCCCTAAAAGGTTAGATAGTTGTTACTTGTTAGACAAAGCCCTATAAATATACAACATGGACAAATATGGAGCTTGTGGTTATGATATAGATTATAAGCTTAAATGCTGTTTTAAAGTAAGATATCAACATGTTATGCAAAAAAAGAGGAGAAAAAAAAATAATTAGAAACTTGAGTGTATCTGTACAATGTTCCTGTAGTTGCATTAGTGTATATGGATGAAGATTTATATTTGATTTAGGAATTAGGACAAATTAAGTCCAACTAATTTTGTATTTAGAAATATGTCCTTTGTCATGTATTATGAGTCCTACTGTTGGTAAAATCGGGTCTGTTTTTCAATTTGAATTTCAGGATTAAAGTTGTTGATGAAAACAATAAAGTGGATTCACCGAAGTCACACAATGCAATTAGCAATGGAGGACTAGACTCCCCTACGAGCAACGGAGAGGACAAACATGAGCCGGAAGACAATGGCAATCGAGAGGACCAAGCTGATGCTGTGCCTAGTTCTGTAGCACAGGCAGAAAAAACACAAGCAGAGTCTCCACTGCAGCCAGAAGCAAACGGAAAGGATGAGGACACTGCCGGTACTCCCGCTTCTGAAACAAACTCTGAGGAACCCGCCCCTTGCAACTCGAACAGTGACAAGAGTGAGCAGGCAGAAACGAGTGATGAACAGACAGAAGTGGATCCTCCTAGTGAAAAGGATACAGATCAGTCTGATGAACACAAAGAAGAATCAAACAGTGTGAATGTGAGGGATGTAAAACCAGATAGAACAGATAACTCAGGGAGTTGCAATGGTGAGGGCAGCAAACAAAAAAACAATGCAAGCGACGCTGACGCTGTACAGAGTAGTGAGAAAGAGGAGTCGGAAGGTGACAAAGTCAATGGTGCAGAAAGCGACAGTGAAGCAATGGAGGTGGACGTTGAGAACGACACAGTCGATACGGCAGGGACAAGCTCAGGCAAAGCAGAGCCAAAGTCTGAGTCAAAGTCAGAGCTGGAGTCTGCGCCGAAGTCAGAGCCGAAGTCAGAGCCGGTCAGTACCTCCGAACCTCACAGTGTAAGTGACACCAGTGTGCCAAAGGACAGCTCAGGTGCTCAAACAGTAGACACTTCAAAAAGTGAACAACCTGTAGAAGAGGATATGGACTCGCAACACAGTGCTAAAGACAGCGATTCTAATGACAAAATGGAAATAACTCCAGACGATAAAGACAATGATAGTGAAAAGCTCAATAACATTCAACCAGAGGACAGGGAGAAAGAAGAAACGGAAACTTCAGAAAAGTGAGTATGGAACTTGGCTAATCCATTTTAGGCACAAGCGTGACGTGGGATGGAAATGCTCATTTGTGTTTTACAGATTTATAAAAACCAACATGCAAAAGTACGAATTTAAACCATGCATCAACATGTTAATTTTTTTTTAAAGTTACACAATATTGGTGCATAATACACGGTTTGTGAGGGCTAAATTACAAATTATTTGCACATATATTTGTCATGCAAACATTATGCATTGATCATGAAAATAAGGCCTTTGCACACCCTGAAGAAATTTTCTTGATTGAGTTCTCTGAATGCTATGCACTAAAGTTAACAAATTAAACTTGCAAGGTATTGCAAGCTTTCCAGTAAGTTAAAATTGTCAATTATCTACAAATCCTAGCACTGGCCTACAGTCACATGACTGCCAATCAACTTGAGCTAGTTTGGTGTTATCTTTGACTGGAAAGCTTTAAATACATGTACCCCTGCAATTTCATGATGGCTATTTTTAGACCACACTGCACCTTTATCAGGAAGAATTTATAACTTTTAATTTTCAAACCTACTTCTATTGCAACGTCTTTGAAAATCCAGTTGTCGGGCTGTAAAGTGTGCAGTGTGCGTGACTGTACTACTCAACATAAAAAGAACATACTTTCTGTTGTAAGCATGCCAAATTTTGGTTTGGAAGTTCTTTTATGTACATGTAGTATTTTAGGGAAGCTACACCTGTAGTTGTTCAAGTTAATTCAAAGTTAATTTTCTTTGACCTTATTATTTATTTTTTAGTAGACCATTACACTGTAATTATACTACGTAATGCCATTTCGGGATTACGTTAAATGAGACCCCGTCAGTGCGCATGCGCTAATCAGCAATTCGTCAGTCGCGTGTTATTTTGAGCGAAAGGACACCTTTCTGGCTCCAGAAATCAGACATTATTATCCGCGCAATCCCCAAAATTCAAATAATTATGCGGTTAAGATCTCAGTTTATTGAAACTATAAATTGAGATTGTCAGGCTTCAGCAAACATAACCTCAAAATTATATTTTAAAGATTTGTTAAATTTCTGTCCATGATGACAAAGATTTACAGCCTTACCCATGTCCATACAAGTATGTACAACTGTAACACCCTGAGGTGCTACTTATACATGTTGAAGTGATTACATGTACATGTACATGTGTACAATAAAATGTCTTGAACACGTACAGTACATGTACATCGGAGTGGTCCACAAGGAGATCTTGTGCATCTAAGAGCTTTATACATGTACAATCCGTATAGCCCAGCTACAAGGGAATTTGTACTTCGTATACATCAGTTCATACATGTACTCCTTCCAATTTGCAATTTTACATGTTTGGGTTTTGTTTGTAGACCACCCTGGTACGTGTACTGTTGTACTTGTAAGGCACATGTACGTACATGTACAGTGTATGTGCCATTTGACACCCTTTGGTACATGTATCTCTGGGCCCTGTCTTGTAAAGTGTTTGATTGATCCATATTGATTGCAGTTCATTTTTAGTTGAATATCAATAATAATTCCTAGCAAACAAACATGTATACATGTAAGATATCAAAATAAACTGTAGCTACAATTGTATATTTGAATAGATATCTCATTGGTTCTGAATAATTGAAACTCTTTAGCAGACAGGGCCCTGTTCCACCCTTTGTTTACAATACTATTTTTAAGGAAGTTTTTAGTCAACATTGTAAAGGCAACATACCTGCTTCATGATGAATTGAATATGTGTCCATAATTTAATTTGATAATCCCATTGAAAGCGATGAGGAAGTAGATTCCCAAAATATGGGAAATCCATGTACAATGGGGACAGACATTCCATGTTATGCAGCACAGTTGCCTTTTTGACATATTCATGAAAAGGTGGCTTAAGGAATAAATAACTTTTAAATCTCCTAAATTGCTGGACACCAAACTTCTTTGTGAAAACCGTCTGCATGCACACTTACACAGAGAATATGCATGTACACGTGTCCTTATTTAGTACTGTTTGTGGCAGTACTGAGGTAGCATGTACATGTATGAATCTTCAATCTTTCACCTTTGCTGATGATTCCTCTTAATCTTGATATGCCTCAAACTCTTTTGAATTTTGTTTATAACATTTTTCATGAAATTCATGCAAAATCTCATGTATTGAATAGTATTTCAATACATGTCCATGTATGTCTGTGGCAAAACTTATAGCACACGTTGATAGTACCCTGATCAGCTCATAATAACCATGCATATGCTTGATTTGGCCAACGCATTGATGATTTGGGTTAATCATGCTAATATGGTACCTGTACATTAGAAATTTATCACCTCCAGAAAGGTTTGAATTCCTTCTAAATAAAGCATTTGTTTTTTCACACAGGAAAACGATGGAAGATTCTACGAATGATGCTGTGGTAGTCAGTGAAGAGAATAAGGAGAACAAAGTAGAAATCCTTAAAGATTGTCTTCATTTGCTTTCTGAAGAACAACATGAAGCTCGGTCAATCATTATGAAAAAATTGCAAGAAGAATTGAGAAATGAGGAGACAAAATTGCTACTTCTGAAAAAACTAAGATTGAATCAGCAACAGCCTGTATCAGTACCTACTAAACCAGAGGGAGCAGCAGCAGCAGCAGTAGCTGGTGCCAATGGTACAGGACCTGCTGTTGGCCATAGAACTGGACTGCCACCAACCATGGCCCATTCCTCCATGACAGGAACAAAGCCCCATGCTAGTATTCAGCCACAATCCAATTCCTCCTCTCATCGACCTGACATGCCCCAGTTGATGCGTGGCTCCCATATACAGCGGCAGTTGCACAACTACCAGAAGGGCCACTCGGGACCCCCGCCCCTGATCATGGCCCAGCAGACGAGCAGATCCTCTTCATCGTCTTCTACATCTCAGTCGGGTCAGATGGTTCGTGCTCCCGTCGTGAGAATTTCTACATCGGCAGGGGCTTCGACCACTCCAACTCACAGTGTTTCACGCCAGATGCAACATCAGCAGCAGTCGAGCAGCAGGCAGAGCCAGATGGCCAACGATGGCCAGTCGGCAGCCAGTAGGCAAGCAGCTGCAAAGTTGGCTCTTCGGAAACAGCTCGAGAAAACCCTCCTCCAGATCCCCCCGCCAAAGCCTCCTCCACCAGAATTGCACTTTTTGCCCAGTGCTGCCAACAACGAGTTTATCATTCTCGTCGGGCTGGAAGAGGTGGTAAACACGATCCTTGATCTTGATAAAAAGGATAAAAACCAGTCAAAGGGATTTGTACAGCCATACAAGTGTGCACAGTGCAACACAGACTTCACTACTATATGGAAGCAGGTTAAGATGGTAATTATGAAAACAAATGTTAAACTTTTAGTTGTCATGTCTGTCTGTCTGTCTTGTCTGTGTGACAATGTACTTGTAGTGATGTGTAAGGGGGCATCAATTGTAGACATTCATTCACTGATCCTTAAATGATTTTGTCATTGAAGTGTTCCTGATTAATGTTTGAGAATTCACGAACTGTTCATAATTTTAAAAGAATTGTTTGCATGGTTAACACCAAAAACTCTAAAGGTGACCAGAGGACTGTCCAGTGTCCAGTGTGGCAGTTAAAACTCTACTGTGTTAATACATGGACACCCGTGTTAAAAAAGGCAAATCAACTAGGGGTACCAAAAATCATTCAGAAAGTGAATAGTACTTTGTATATTTATTCACCAGTTATTACTTCAGTGACAAATCAACAATGTCCAGGCACTGCTACCTGAAGTGTGCTGTCACGATTGAATATGTTTTTCATTATCGTATCTGATGGTTTTCATTTGTGTGTTCGTGTGTGTTCGTGTGTGTAGGATCCCAAGCAAGGCATCATGTGCGAGTCGTGCATCGTGTCCAACCAGAAGAAGGCCCTGAAGGCAGAGCACACCAACCGTCTCAAGACGGCGTTCGTCAAGGCGCTGCAGCAGGAGCAGGAGATTGAGCAGCGCATCCAGCAGAGTCAGAGCACAACTCAACAACCATCTACTAGCAGGGTTAGCAGCAGTTCACAAAGACACAGGGTGAGTATAGTAGGCCTCCATGGAAATACTGCAGTGTGCACATTTGCAAATTTGTTAGTAGTAGTGGTGGTTATTTTACCCGACTGCTAAGAAAGCATAAATGCTTGTTAGTAAGCAACCAGGGGACTGACGGCTTTAGGTCCTCTCTGAGGGACCTGGTAATGAGGATTAATGCCTTACCAAAGAGCACTAGCGCATCGACTTGGTTTCGAACCCGGGTCACCGGATTACGAGACCACTGCTCTACCGACTAAGCTATCGCGCCACCTCCAACATAAAAGTTGTTTTAACATATTTGTGGCTTTCACCCAGTAAATGATCGAATGAAACAAATATGTTTAAACAATTGAAATTTCTCCCAGGAAGCAATACATTTATAAAACATCAAAGTTGTTGAGGAAATTATTTCTTTGCTGATCCAAATAAATGTTAAAGAATGTTAACCATTGTAACAAAAATTGTTATTGATTTCAATTAGGTACTCCTTGCTGTGGGATTGTTAAAAACTCATTTTGAATGTTGGTCTGGGACAATACTTTATTGATTGTTGATCATGGCTGTGCAAGCTGCTGTGTTTCACCAATTAATACATTTTTAAAAACAGTTAATACATGTATGTCATTTCATTAAAGACACACAGGGATGCAATCGCGCGGAGTTATTTTTGCTTTTGCTCACTCAATGTTTATGACTTTGTTTGAAATGGTCCAATTCCAAGTTTTTCAGGCATTGTAAGATACACTGTAGATGTACCATCTGTTGTAGAGCCAGATAAGTGTTAAGTCATCATCTTATGCAGAAAGCAGCAGAATGAACACCCATGTGGCTCTCAACAGAAGATACGTAATTGGGTAGAATTCAACCTTTTGATTTCACTTCAGAGTTTAACTCAAGTGTTATAATATGCCCTGCGTTTTAGCTGATTTAAGTAAGCTGAAAGAGTCTTTAAGTACTCGCCTGTAAGTCACGCATCTCTTGCCCATTTCTTTCAGACTCAAAACATTGTCCATCGCAGTCAAGCTAGCTCCATGCACCATTCATCCTCGTCATCATCCAGCCAGGCACACAGGCAGAGGGTCATGAATCCAGCACCAAGCCAGAGGGTCGTACAACAACCTATCCATTATGCCTATATACCCAACTTTCCTGTATCTGCAGTGAGTTATTTGACCTTTATCTCTTCAAGAAAACTACAGTAAAAATTATCGTTGATACTGTTGATGTTTGTGATTGTCAGATGAAAATGCATGTTTAGATGATAGTGAGATTGAAGACATATATTCCTCCGACATTTATTCTGGTGGCAATATATATATATATATATATAAAAGGAAAGATATTCTCTTGAAAAACATGAATAGTTTGCTGAAAAATCATATAGATATCATGGAAAGGTCTAAAATGCTTTGTGGCTAGCTGTGTCTCGCATGTGACGGCACAAATCTTGACGCTCTACGGAGGACCCTTGAAGGCAGAAAATCTGGATCTCAAAATTTACATTTTTGAGAGATAATTACTACGTCACGAGCCCCAAACATATTTTGAAGAGGAAAGTTATATTTGATCAGTAAGGCTTTCCCTTTGCCATGATATGAATTTGACATCAATTCAAAACACTTTTGATTCTTTGGGTGACTACTTTAAAGCCTCATTCCGATGTTGCATTGGAAACCACATGTGACGTCCCCCCCCCCCCTTCACATGTCCGTATCTTGTAACACAGAGCTCAGTGAATACACATTGGACCTTCGTTCCGTGCAGGTGCCATTCCAGAAGACTTGCAACTAAAAAAGCTGAGGTTTACCTCTTCATATCCCTAACCCAAACCTTACATCTTGAAATGTAACCCAAAGAAATAGTTAGATGCTGCTTATAAGTATGGGCTTGCATGGTGATGTAGAATATACTCCTACCACCCACCCTCTCCAACCGGCGTTATAGTTCTCCTTAGAACTATAAGCTAAGAAAGATAACCAACAGTCTTTTTCAAGACTACACCAACAGTCCTTTTCAGGACTACACACACTCAAGAAAGAGAGATTACAGAGAGTCCCCAATCCTCCCCCTCTCTCACATGGTGTAAACGCAAGCCTACTGTATAAAGAAATAGTTGCCGGAGCATATGTTGATCACCAATTGTCATACATGAGGTGAATAGGAGTCGGGGACCAACAAGCCCAAATCCTTCATTAATCAAACGATGGAGCTGAATGTGCACAAGATGGATTGACATATTTATTGTGATCAAGAGAAATTACATTTCTTTCTTGTTTGTCTCTCTTTTTCCAGCCTCAGATCCAGCTCATCCCACACCAGTACATGGTAGCTACTCCATATGTCTGTTAATGCATGTCTGTATTTAGTATAGTTCATTCATAATCAAAGAAAACATCCTTGTTTAAGACAAAATTAAATTTCTTTCTTGTTTGTTTATCTTTCTCCAGCCTCAGATCCAGATCATCCCCAAGCAGCACATGGTAGCTACTCATCGCACTTCTGCTGATCGGCAACGGGAATACCTACTGGACATGATCCCGTCCAAGGGACTGGGCCATCCGCAGAACTCGGTCATATGGAAACGATGAGAAATTCCTGAGACTGCATCTCCTGTACGTTCCCGCTCCCAGTTTCACCCAACCCTGAACACTGAAGGAACAGTATATTAACATCAAAGGCTTTTCCTTCTGTATGTTCTCTCTCCCTGATTTGTCTATGATGAATGTAGTATGGTCTATAGAAGAAAAACAATGTATGGGTTCATTATAACCTTCAGTTTGAAAGTGTTTAGAACATGGCCTGGGCTATCTTGATACTTTATTTCACGTGTAAGCATTCTGCTGTAGGTTTCCCTGCCCATTTTACGTAGCTGTAGTCACAGATGTGGTTCCCTATGGTACAATATGACATCTTAGACTCTCCGGTCAGTTCACTCTCGCTGTTCTTCCTGTCACTGGTCCCTGATGTGGTACAATCCATAGCAAAATGTAGTATGGATTTAAAATAACTTTCAATTTCAAAATGGTTAGAACATGGCCTGGGCTGGGCTATCTCGATTCTCTATTTCACATGTGTGTGCATTCCCCTCTAGGTCCCCCCCCCCAACCTATGTCCACCCATTTCTGACCATCCATGGAGTTCTCTCTGGTACAATCTATCGAAAAACATATCGAGGGGTCAGTGACACAAAGACGTAACTCCATTTTGGCCATTTTGAGAAAAATTGGTTTATGTGTCATTAAGGAGTCGAGTCTTATGTTTCACTAGCCATTGACTTCAATGGGGTGTCGGGTGGAGCTACGTCTTTGTGTTTCCTGGAAAGCCCACATTTTTTCTGAACATATCAAATACTCATTTTGGCAAAATATGGAGTTACGTCTTAGTGTCACTGAACCCTCGATATGGACTTGATCATAACCTTCTGTTTAAAAACGGTTGGAACATGGCCCGGGCTCTCTCAAACCCATACTCTATTTGCATCATTTATCAATTACGAGTGGTTCCCAAACTAGCCAGTGCTAGCTTCCATGTGCTTATGAAGAAATGTACTTACTTTATATGTTGGAGGGAATGGCTCCCCCATAGACCAGTGCATATTAGCTTGCTATCATATACCTCTTCATAATATGAGGAAAAAATTATCCAAGGTACTTTGACAGTAATTGGTTCATACTTCTCCTTTTCTCCTCTTAATGTTTTATTATCTCTTAGAAAACAGAATGATGCAGATTCCAGAAATCATCATGGATATAGACTGAACCATATTGGTTCCAATAATCTATATCATGATGTAATCTGCCTTCAAATTTGAGATAGAAATAAATGTTTTTTGGACATAATTCTAACAAATAATGCAAGGACATACTCATGATCTTTTAGCAAATGTGATGAGAAAACAGATCCACATGTTATTTAAATTGTATTATTCCCAGCAAACGAGCACCTTCTGAAATTATAAAAGAATTAAGACCATCTGTCCAAGGCATTTTATAACACTTGTAAGAACAAGTGTGTAGGTTGCATTTCAAAATATATACGTAGACTGGTGCAAAAAGAACCAAAGTTGTGCAATTTTTAGCCTGCTCAATATGCCTACATTATTCACTAATATTTGTTTCCTTTTGATGAATCGGTGAGATAAATATATATATTCTCCCTATTCTCATCTTTGGTACTGTGGAATACTCTAGGAAAGTTCTATATATTCATTGCATAAATGACCCCCAATATTTCATACCTTGACATCCAATTCAGTGTAAGAATAAGTGTGTGAGCTCCCGTATGGTCATGGCACTGAAGTAGATACTGTGATGATCATATTTCTGAATGATTTAGCCACATCCATATAATCACTGTCAAAATTATGTGCTCTCCTTGATACCATCTTTTCAGCAAGGAATGTGTGAAGTATGATATATTGAGCAAGTAGAGATTTTGTGTTACGTTTGTATTCCCCTATCATTTGTAAGAAAGATGTAGCATCGTTTGCATGATTTGAAGGCAGCGCATGCTTGGAAAGTTTGTATAAGTGCTATTTTCTTAGTCCAAATATCCTCATGAAAAGTATAGCATTTCATGCTTGCAAGTAAGTAAAACAACATGGAAATTGGAAACATACCTCCAGTTTTGTGTGTATGATAACAGGGAATGGTGAAGGTCTTGATCAATGACATGCATTGATTGAGTGGGGTTCATGTCTCTCCCGGGGAAAAAAAAGTGACTATATTTCCATATTATGCAACATAGGTATTGAAAAGGCAGAGAGTTTCACAAACAGGAATCTAGGGACTTGTGCTAGTGGTTGAGATTGAAGACGACGGTTTCATGTCGCAAAATAATTGAATCACATAAGTTTCTGGTTTTGCTGTAAAAGGGACAACAACAAAAAAGGGATAAAAAAGGGTTTGATTTGTTAAAGCATGATGTTCAATACAGTCTCTTCACCAAGTAGCCTAGCATAAACATTTTATGCAAAAATCTGTTCCCCCAAACAGAAACGAAAAAATGACAATGAAATGACCTCAAAGAAGTTGTTCTCTAATGTATACTTAAAGAACAAGCATGGAATGAGTGTTTGATGTGTAAATCAGTTTGAAATTCCAAAGTAGACTTCCCCCTTGATGAAAGTGTGAATAATGTCATGATCTTTAAAGATAGTTTGTTTAGTTAGAAGACCACACCCATTTCCCTAGCATAGACATATATATATATAATATGAACTGCATGGTGGAATTGACCTAAAACCCTAGTGATTAGTCACCATGGCGAGGCTATTAAAGGAGTATGCAAACTAATGCCAAGTTATTATTTAGAAAAAATAATTTGAAAGAAGCTTATTTCGGTGAAAAAAATATGATTTCAGTTATGTTACGTTTTGGTTTCAGTGTTTCTGTTTTGTATATTTTTTTCGAGCCAAAGTTTAAGGAAATGGAATGTACTTCAGTATATGAATTAATTTATATAAACAATGCCAACTTTTTGTCGATGGAATAAGTTTGTATAATTGCACCAGTAAGAGTTAGACGAATGTCGCTTCGGGTGATAATGACTTTTGTATTTGAATCTATTAATCGGCAGTGTGAGGAACGGACTTGGATTTATAAATCAATGGTCCAAGACCCATAGTACGATTCACTATGAATGATGATGGAAAATATGTGGAATCTTCAAGATGTTTGTTTATAAGATGTATTATTTTTCTTCATTTTGTAATTATATAATGCTTGTCTATTGTGACTGTGGCTTCTTGTACATGTATAATATGGCCCACTCTCTCCAGTGGTTGGTTTAATTACTGTATTGTATATGATGATGATGATGATGATAATGAAGATGTTATGTCCACTAGGTGTTGGTATAATCATTGAGAAATTTATATTGGTGAAATCTTATGAAATTGATGGCACTGCCAAATGGCTGCCCTGTAGTCGTCACTTAACCATGACATTGTGCGATCTTATCGAGAATATTTTCTGAAAAATATACGTGATCTGTTTATCTGATCAATGAATTGATTTCATTTTTCGTGTAGATACTTAGCGTCGCTATGGACTTTGCTTAAATTATTTTTGGGAAGAAAAGGATTTCTGTAGCAAGGGGAGTTTTTGTTCATTGTATTTTGATTTTCTCTTTTCTTTTGTGTGTAGTAAGATTTTGGATGCCACTCACATGTTCTGAAAAGAAATTAATAAAAGAGAAATAAAAAGAAACGTTTTCACCAGTGTCCTTATTGATATAGTGTCTGATTTCCCTTTTCTCGGTGGGGGGGTATTTATATAATATTGGATGGCTTTGAGTGTGATACAAGAATATATTGCTCGAGCTATGACAATATTGGATGAGTCAAAGACCAGTCCAGGTATCACACAAAAACAAAGCCATACAATATCATTATTATTATTATCTATATCGGGCTGACTAGCGAAATAACAACATTTGACTTACCCGTTGTACAGTGACCGGGTACCAGCGAAAGTCTCGTTTATCGTGGTACTGTACTGTACATGAAATGTATTTGTAATTGTATTTGATGTAAATATTTAATGATATGGAAAAATAAAACGATTGAATTGAAAAAAAATGTTGATTTTCGATAATCGAGCAATAATGTATCAACATTTTAAGTTCCTGTATGACAGAGCAATACAAAAATAATATTGATCTGTTATCCAGGTACTGCTTTATTGTACCACTTGGAACCCTTATATAGATAAAAGATATAAATATCCCCTCCTATTTTTATCCTTGAGAATTCATGATATAAAAGTTACCTTTTATACTCTCATGAGAAGGGCCCTGGATGCAGTAGTATGTGAAATTATTGTGAAAGAACTGATGAACTCGTCCCACTGGAAACTGGAGCCCTGCACGGGATGAGCGCGTCTTTGCCTTTGTCTTGAGAATTTAAACGTGAAGATTATGTTACAAAATTTTAAGGGCTGCATGATAGTGCAAGATGATCTTGATAATTAAAAAAACAGAGTGAACCCCAATCATGAGATCTAGGAAGTTTTCTTATTTGGTATTTTCAATAGACTTGATGAGAGTCCAAGGGAGCAGACATTTCCATCTCTCATGAAGGCAATTTCATTTTGATATATCAGAATATGTCCACAAACTCACCACACACACCAACAAAATACGTAATGAGTATTATTTATAATCCATTTTGCAAAATGCTCCAGACCCTGCGAGTGTACGTGAAAAATATAAACTACAATATGATTTAAAATGCAATACAGAGTACTTGAACTACATAATTAAAAGTAAAACAAAGTGCTTGCACAAATTTACTTGCAATAAATATACACTACGGAAATATACATGAATAACGGATGAAATGTGGAACTACTGAATTAATCAAAAGCATTTTTAAAGAGACGAGTCTGAATAATTATTTGTTTGGATTGTTTCAATACGTATTTTACAACAGAGTAACCTATATTCATGCACAACACACTGGCAAGGAAAGAATCCCCTCTCTGCCATGACAAAGTACATTTCCATGCCCCCTAGTTTTGACGATGCGATTTCCCGCGTGTTGCCTTTGTGTATGGTTAATTGGCCTTTTTGGTTTCATTCTATAAGTGTAAACATATCTCGAAGCATGAAGTGGCCGTATATTTTGTCATGCAATGGTCGCTTTTTCATTGTTGTTTATATAATTATATATATATATAATATTTTTCATATACATGTATAAATGTTATATATAATGGCGAAATCCTTTAAAACACATTTTCTGGTAATTCCTCTGTTATGATGGTGGATTATTGTAACGTAAAACCTTGGGGGCGCGTGCACACAGTTTCACAAACAAAGCCATATACACCTGCCAATTTCTAAACTACAGAGGGAGACATTCTTTTAGCTGGTTGAGAATGTTTGAGCCAGGATACATGCTATTTTATAGGCACTCTGGGAGGATAGAATTCCATGAAGTCACCGATTTCTCTGTAGAGATTAATTACATCCATGGGCTGAGATGTGGATTGGGGGGGGGGGGGGGGGGGGTAATGTGTCCCCACCACATGCACAATCTGACATTGAAGAATGTGTACCTTGGCTAAAAATCCTTAAATGATCCCCCTTTCTTCTTTTATTGGTGGGGGAGGGGGGGGGGGGTCTTTTCTTTTCCTTAGCTCATTTATACTTTTCTGGTTAGTGCCCTAGCCCTCGTCCAGAGGATTCTGGATGTGGCAAAATGAATTTCAATTTCATAAGCAAATAAGCTTAATTTATTCAAAATTGTTTTCATACCATGATTATCACAGTGTAACATTTGCCTAATCTTTCATCAGGTTTATTTTCACCACTTAAATGTTCAGTATCATATTATATTTTTGAAGATAGGTTACTAAAATTACAACTTATAAAATAGAGGATGATGTTTTAATGCACCAAATGGAGCATTTGAGCAATATCATTTTTTTTAAAAATATGTTAAGATAATTTAAAAGACATCTTAAATAATTTGGTGTAATTGGGAAAGAGTGCAAATCAATGTTGCTCAATTGTTAAAAATCATTTTGGAAATATAAACAACTTCATAACTTTCTTAGTATTGGTCCGATTTATTTCAATTTTTCACCTTTCTGTTTACCTTATTTTTCTGCTTTTATAAAAAAATGAACTTATTACAAGGGCTGGATTGCCCTTTAAAAAAAATAGGAATATAATAGTGAAATAATTGTGCGACTTGTCACACACACACACACACACACGCACACACACACACACACAATAAAGAAAAATTATCTTTGCAAATGCCTCTTTATGAAATACAGTCATCTTGTTTTAATTTGCAGTAAAGTAAACAATATATATTGTTACACACATGATACATTAATGAATCTTAAGTTTTCTTTTTCTTAATAATCTCATATTCAATACATAATATATTAATTCAAATCAAATCGGATTCTTTTCCCAATACGGTGTATTCACTTGCAACCCAATACTTATTGATCATTGAACACAATTCACACTGGAAAATTGCTGTAATAAAAAAGTTACCATAGAAATATGATATTTACATATATGAAAGTGACAATACCATATACAATGTCAACTGTAGATTACTGGTGCTCTTAAAATTCACATGGCGCCTGTGTATATACATCAAACCTGCATTGTTCAAAATAGCAGTTGGACTATTAAATTTGGCAGAACTATGGCTACGAATGCCCACCTAAGTGTACTTGAAGCAACAATTAAAGAGAAAGATATTGATAAAGAGAGAGGGGTAGGGACGTTAAAACATATCACCACTAGTAATCTAGGCTATAAGCAAACCATTTTGCCAAAATGAAAAATTAAATGCAAGCAGCATCTAACGGGTATTGGGAGCATTATTAACTATCATTAAAAAAATAAATCATATCTTTAAACAATGAAAAGCTTAAGTAGAGAAATTCATGATAAATGATGAATAACATATAATTTTTTCTTTTCTTTTCATGTGCTTAATCAGAATACCTCATCTTATGATCTATTTTTGAAAGTACCACAAAAAATGGAAAATTTAGGAGCTGCACTTTCAGCTTGAGAAAGGATACATGTACTTTGTTTGATGAGTGTACAACATGTAACATGTGATCAGAAGACATGGGACAATGGATGACTCTACATGTGTAGTCCACAGTTACAAAGTAATAAATTTGTTTTCCATAACATAAAGGCCCAGTCAGACCCCATTGATAGCGATAATGACAAACTGTATGCAAATATAAAGTAGGGATAACTGCAACAATAAGAGTGGTGGGACCTCACCGATTTTTCCCAACAATAAAATCATTGTTTTTGCTGATCAAACAGTATTGAAACTGCATCCATCCTTTTTCTGCCGCTAATTTCAGACCCTAAGGCCATGTTCAGATATGATGCAGCGAAACCCTGGCAGTTTTTATATGATGACATTAAGTGTAATATGCTTCACAATTCTGTATCCCATAACACAGAGCTCAGTGAAGACATGCAGGGTCTTTGTTGCACGTAGTTGCCATTAATTTACATGTTTTAAATTAAAAAAAATAAATAAAAAAAAAAAAAAATGCCAACATTATCGTTAAGGCTTGTCCTTAGAAAATTGCGCGCTGAGCAATCCCAACAGATGATAAAATGAAGGAGAAAGACTCACTAGAATGAATCGTCGAGGTCTGACCGTCAACAATTTCTGATTTATTTTCCACATACAGGTAAGCAAGTGGGGAAGGATTTGAGAACAAAGTTATCGGTATAGTTATTGTCATGGTTATCATTGCCGGTGAGGCCTGACTGGGCCTTAAAAGGAACACATAATCTTGATAGCATACAGATTTAGATGTACATTCAATGTAACATGAAGGTAGAAAAAAAGTATAAAACAGATATAACTTTCATTTTTCTTTGAAAGTAATTGACATTGATACAAACAATGTCTAAGATATGTTGTAATGTTTGCATGCCCACTTTATATTTTTTTTAAATATAAATATACAAAAGAGAAGGATTTGACAACTTGTCATGCAATATTGATTATTAATTATCAATTGATTGCTGGTCGCTACTGAATAATAAACTGGTTTTCAACTGGTAAAAATTAGGCAATTCACCCCATGAAGCTAACGTCATTGTTATATTCTTCTTAATTTTTTTAATATTGACCCTATGATTTGTGTTACCTTGGAGCATACAATTCTTTTTAAATGTCAAAATATGTTTGAAAATATCATTAAGGCTAAAGAAAATTAAAAAAATTAATGAAAAATTATAATGGATGGTGGCATTATAGGGTGAATATTATAGCTATATAGGTAATTGTGCTTTTACAATTACAACAATAATAATTTTACATTATTATTATTTTGTTTTAGTATATAAATGCTGTCTTGCAAAATGCATGGTTATTGTACATGCTGTACAATGCACTTGTTAGTTCTATACATGATATTTATAAAAAGGACTACATCTTTAAATATCAAACACCTTAAGAAAATGAAAAGAAAAGATATCTACCATACACCATAGGCACTATATTAATGCAACATAAAGGTCACTCAATACATTTCTTGGATATATTACAAGCTATGTATAATTTTTCTACAGAATATGAGCAATTTTACAAGGTACACAGATACGAATGTACACCAGTATTTATCTCCATGAATATATACATTGCGTACATTTCAACCATTGCATATACAAATGAAATTGATCATTCTTAAATAATGAATAGTATTTCTTGGTTAAGTATCATATCATTCAAACGATTTCATAAATCATAAACATCTTCTCGTACAAAGACAGTCACAGAAGTAAGATGGCACTAAGAATGTTGTGCCCGACTTCATAATTGGTGCAGTTCATCCAAAACATTTTGATCGATGCACATTTCAAAAGAAATGTACGAGTGTTGGAAAATGAAGGCTATCTTCAAAGTGCGGTTGCAGTGTCCTGGGACCCGTTTCACAAAGCATTTTTTCAATGATAAATGACAAAAATCAGTGACAAATCTGCTGATAACCAATCAGAAGCAAGGATTTCACTAGCTTATAACAAGAACTGTTATTTGTCACTGACGACAAGTTTTGTGAAATGGGGCCCTGATGTTTGCTACTTGATTCGTTCATTAAGAACCTGTGCCCACACGAATAAACAATGCCCACAATAGTATATGGAGGGCAGTATTACGTACATACTTTCTATTGCAATCAAATAGAAAACAGCATGCCAAACTAATTGAAATGGTTATCTATATTCATTAGAATTTGAAAGAATGGCTACAATATATCTCGTGTATCTCTGTTCATCTGGACAAACCAAATTTTTCTTCTTCATCAGTTGTAAATTATCAAACCCCACAAGATTGCTGAAAATATATTACCACATTTTAGTATGCATGCAATACATCCTCACTGATCTGAGGTCATGTGAAAGACTCTGACATGTGTCCATGGGGTTAAATTCAGACTGTTGAGCATGTTCTGAATGAGTGTTCAGTAGCCCCCTTCTCCCCCACCCCCCTCCCCATGTCCCCTCACTGATATTGACAACCTACAACTGGTCTCATATTTAAACAATTGTCAGTTTTAAATAGCTATGCTTGCTATACAAATTAATAATACCTGCTCTAATGCATATGTACACATATAAGGCGTTGGACATTCCACCATCATAGCCTTAATTAAAGCGCTGTACCCTCATTTATCTCTATATTCTTATTTGACATTTGAACCCATGGAGGTATATTGTGACTTTTAGATCTAAACATTTGACCCCCCCCCCCCAAAAAAAAAGCCCCTGCCAAAAATTAAGTTGGTTTAAGTCAAAGGTGCACTCATTTTATGTAAAAGCAATATTATTTATCTTCTGAATTAAAATTACTACCCAAATTCAGCCTAAAAGCAACAACAACTGCACTATCTTTAACAAATTAAATGGCAATTAAAACTTTTTGTTATTGAATTTATAATATATTATTGTGAGAATATAACTCATTTGAGTAAAACCACTGATTATATTCTCTTGTGTCTCCAACAAACAACTACAACATGAAACAATGCCATTGCACATTATATACCAATATTTTAACCAATAATGGTAAATTCTGGTAAAAAATTTGGCCACTTTGAAGATTTATGAACACAGTCATATAGGTTGCATGGTGGGATATCATATGGGTGGGTATATACAGTGAAACGGTCTATAAAGGAAAATCAATGGACGCAGTCAAAGTGTACAGAGGTGTTGTGGTCTAGTGGATAAGTCCCCAGCCTGTGAACCACAAACTACAAGGTTCAAATCCCTGCCCCGGCACTAATGTCCTTCGACAAGACATCAATCTACATATGCTACACTCCGACACTCGACCTAGGTGAGGTAAATGGGGACCCGGCAGGAAGTAATTCTTCTAAAGACTCCAGTGCTGTAATGGTAGCCGTGCTAAATCTGGGGTAATGATAACGGAGTGCCAGAACAGGCAACGTGCAAGACATGAGCGCTACATTAAAACCCACTTTTACGATCATTGTAATCACTATGGACATATAGCCTTTCCAAACACAACTGGCATGAACTATGATGTATTTCTGAGTCAGGTTTAAAGCTCAGAGAATATTCCCTACTCTGTGTTTGTACTCAACAGGGATATAAATGACCGATTTGGTGTTGGATGATTAAAATGTCAATAATAATAATCCCTTAATCTTAGGATTAAGCAATCATTTGCTAGTGGAAAGAAACCAGAAATAATATAAAATCAAAGAAATCAATAAATGTCGATAGGAATGATCCCTTAACCTTGGGATTAAGCAATCATTTGCTAGCGGAAAGAAACCAGAAATAATATAAAATCAAAGAAATCATTTAGACGAGGTCTCACTCAGAGGCTGAACATTGCTTCATGAAAGACACAACGTAGCTAAAGAAATGTACATTTACAAAGAGAGCGCATTATAATCATGTCCCATGACTACAAGAAAGAGAAGCGATACTAAATGCAGGGAGTTGTATTAAACTCACAAACATATGATACAATACAATAGACACATATAGTCAATGACTTGAACGCCACTGCAAACGCAGAAAATGGGTAGTGTGGACCCATCCATGCAGCTATTAATCAACACCCTCAAAACCTTGCGTGTTTTCTACGGCAGTTCGGAGCTTGGAGCGAAGGACATGGTAGGATTCATATGTTGGCAGATCTAGACGGTTGAAACTGCACATGAGGAAAGGACAAAAAAAAAGAAGAGATGTTTAAGCTGACAGTATGTCTGTATCATGTACAGTATGATTTGTATCATGGTATTTTTACTGGTTTGTGGGGAATAAATGATATGATATAAAACAGGATACAAAAAGTTTTAAATAGAACTCTAATAAAAACTAGATGGAATTTTGACTGCGCGCAGTCGAAAATGATGCCTCCGCCATAGAGCAATTTCAACAAGTTTGGAGTTTAAATCTCCAGTGGTTCTTGAGATATCATGATAACAATCTCAATGTATGGAATTTCATAAGTTGACCTCTGTGACCCTTGACCTTTGACCTACGTGCTCCAAAATCTAATCAGATTGTCTTCCTATGGTGATACACACTATCATTAAGTTTGAAGTTTAAATCTCCAGTGGTTCTTGAGATATTATGATATGGTGATACATACTATCATTAAGTTTGAAGTGAAAATTCTCCAGTGGTTCTTGAGATATCGCGATAACGATCTCAATGTATGGAATTTCATAAGTTGACCTCTGTGACCCTTGACCTTTGACCTTCGTGCTCCAAAATCTAATCAGATTGTCTTCCTATGGTGATACACACTATCATTAAGTTTGAAGTTTAAATCTCCAGTGGTTCTTGAGATATTATGATATGGTGATACATACTATCATTAAGTTTGAAGTGAAAATTCTCCAGTGGTTCTTGAGATATCGCGATAACGATCTCAATGTATGGAATTTCATAAGTTGACCTCTGTGACCCTTGACCTTTGACCTTCGTGCTCCAAAATCTAATCAGATTGTCTTCCTATGGTGATACACACTATCATTAAGTTTGAAGTTTAAATCTCCAGTGGTTCTTGAGATATTATGATAACAATCTCAGTGTATGGAATTTCATAAGTTGACCTCTGTGACCCTTGACCTTTGACCTACGTGCTCCAAAATGTAATCAGATTGTTTTCCTATAGTGATACACACTATCACTAAGTTTGAAGTTTAAATCTCCAGTGGTTCTTGAGATATCATGATAACAATCTCAATGTATGGAATTTCATAAGTTGACCTCTATGACCCTTGACCTTTGACCTACGTGCTCCAAAATCTATTTAGATCGTCTTCCTATGGTGATACATACTATCCTTAAGTTTGAAGTTTTTACATCTCCAGTGGTTCTTGAGATATCATGATAACAATCTCAATGTATGGAATTTCATAAGTTGACCTCTATGACCCTTGACCTTTGACCTACGTGCTCCAAAATGTAATCAGATTGTTTTCCTATAGTGATACATACTATCCTTAAGTTTGAAGTTTAAATCTCAAATGGTTCTTGAGATATCGCGCTAACAAACTCAATACAAGGAATTTCATAAGTTGACCTCTGTGACCTGTGACCTTTGACCTACGTACTCCAAAATCTAATCAGATCGTCTTCCTATGGTGATAAATACTATTCCCGAGTCTTAAGTTTAAATCTTAAATGGTTCTTGAGATATTGTGATAACGGTCAAACGGGACGGACGTACGGACGGACGGACGGACAACCCGAAAACATGATGCCTCGGGCACCACCTTCGGTGGCGGAAGCATAAAAACACAGCAACAAACAGGTCAGTGGTATGAATGTAGCTACAGATTGCTTATTGCAATCTAAACCCTGATGGAACAGAATTCTACTCCTCCACTTTCTACACTGTGTACCGGTATATCTTCATGTCCAGAGTATCCATTACAATAGAGAAAATTAATTGAATGCTTGACTATGTTAAAAAAATGAACCAGGGCCCTGTTTCATAAATCTTGTTATCAATAACAAGTTACAATAGCGGTTATAAGCTACTGAAATCGTAGCATTTTATTGGCTAGGAGCGAATTTGTCATAGAAATTTAGCATTTGTTACAGATAACAAGTTTTAAGAAACAGGGCTCTGATATATCACAAAGGGTTATGATGAATATATTAATCCTGGACATACGTAAGGTGAAATATTTCTTAATTTAAAGGCTCTGGAAATTGCTTTGGCACTGCTCATTTTACCATATAAGGACACTGACATGAAAAAGAAGATGTACTGTTTAAAGAAATATGGAGAAAGTATACAACAATGAAAATATTAAGAAAAATTACCCAAGAAAAATAAATAAACAAACAGAACACCAAATAGTATATATATATATTGCGTTTTAATTTAAAAAAAATATATATCTACACTGTTTGACTGAAAAAGAAGAAGAACAAAAAAGAAAAAGAAAAAGAAAAAGAAAAAAAAGGAAGATATTAAAGTCAACGTTAAATTCTTACCATGTATGAGCCCTGGGTAGCGCATTAGCACTGCCCCATTTCTCGATGGTGAAGAGCTGTGGTCCGTTGCTACCGTAGAGGTGGGCAAAGCCGTTCATTGGGACACGGGATGTTCCGGTGACAAACTGAAGTAACCTGGCTCGCATCTCAGCACCCATCGCAAGGACAGCCTGGTGACAAGAGAAAAAAAGATGTACAGTCAAAACTGTATAGAAAGACCACCTGTCTACAAAGACCACATTTTTTGTTTCCCTTGAAATTTTTTTGTTTCCTTTGAAAATTGTTTTCCATTGAAACATGTACTATAGGCACCTGTCTAGAAAGTCCACCTGCCAGTAAAGACCACTTTTCTTGTCTCCCTTTGGTGGTCTTTATAGACAGGTTTCACTGTACAAGGTTTGGAATGTTAGGCTTCCTGGGAGAAGTTTTAATACACCAGTTTACAGATCCATCAGTGCGCATGCGCAGACATGGGCACCATTTTAATTGATGAGTAAACAAAGCCAATGACCTAGAGGTCAGTGGTATTTATGCGTAAATTAAGATTGCGCCCATGCAAATGATGATGTGCGCGCACAACACAGCGCGCAGGCAGTGATTTCATCATAATTTGCATGGTGTATTGTAGATACAGATTGTGTGGTCGCTCTTGTAATCGAAAGCAAGTCAGAAAAAATCTTGGAACCATCATGATTTGAACCTGCCATCTACTGCTTGCCGGGCAGTGACTCTACCACCAGGCCATCACTGGTACATGGCACAGCCATGATGAACTGGAAACAAATACCTCAGCTCTCCTGACTTATTCTGACTTATTAATATTCATCAGTTCGCCATTAGGACAATATCCTTGAATGTGAGCCTTCCTGGGAGAAGTTTTTAAGAGATCTTTGGCTTGCACCAAGTAGATAAGACAAGAAAAAAACTTCAAATAACCTTACTTACTTGATTTCCACTTCAAAACTATTTTACACGAGTATTAAGGGAAATGCGATTTATACGACTAAGAAGTAAACATAAATAAATTACAGTGTAACTATCGTTTTGCTTTGTATTCCACTAAAGAAGAAATAAAATACTTTGCAACTATGTAGGATAACAGTTGTTATAAAAAAGATTTAATACATTGATTTGTAAACCTGTAGATTACATGACATAATGCATTTTGTCAACTAATGGATAACAGAACAACTATTCAAGAATATCTTAAAAAGAACAATCTAATTCAATGGTCATTTACATACCTTCCAGAACCATTGGATGACGATGTGGTTGGCATGGTAACCTCCTCTGTAAGCTGTGTTAGTTCTCCAATCATTCACATTGATGTCACCAAGACCACTCAGTAGAAGCTGGATCGATTAAAAATATCAAGAATGGATGATGAGAAATCAATGACTTTTTATACCTGGGATACTAATAGAATGAAATACATGGTTGTCAATTGCATTTTGAACGAGCACCAATTTATGTGAACGAATTCATTACATACTCAATCTCAATTTAAAAAAAAAACTCAAAACAACAACAGCAATAACAAGAACGAACACACACAAAAAAGAAAAGAAAAAAGAAAGACTGCCACACAGAGCACACTTAAAAAGTGAAAAGGAAAGGAAAGTACCATCTTATGAAGTTTCAAAATCCATCACTGATAAGAGAGCTTTGAAATCATCATTTTAGAAAAATATATTAAAATTACATGTTGAGAAAATAAAAGCGGCTTGGCTTACCTCGATCTCATTTTCATCAAACATTGTGAGCAGTTCTCTTGGCACTAAACTTGTAAATCCCTGTAAGAAATGAATCAAAGTTTATGAGAATATTATTCATCAACATGCCCATGTAATGGCATTTACGTTTGTATACGTCAAAGGTATTTGGAGGGAAAGAACCTTTGCTCGTGCAGGGCCTTCGCTGTAGAATGCTCTCCCTCAAGAGATTTGAAATAGCAGATCATTTAAAGAGTTTAAAAATAATCTTATAACTTATCTGTTTAATTCTGCATATAATCAATAGTTTTGTCATTTTGTAATGTTCATCTTCCTTCTTGTTTCTTTGTTTATAATGCATATGCTTTTATGTGATCTCTTTATTGAGTTTTTGTTTCACAAGTGCGCCATGAGCATCAGATTCCAAATAGATTCAGCGCCTTACAAATCTCACATATTATCACTATCATTATTATTATTATTTTGGTTATATGAACAAAGATCCATCCCTCGGAAAGGACGTTAAATGGGGGCCCCCGTGTAGAGGAGAGTCACCACATTTGTAAGTTAAGAACCCACTGCACTATTTGTATAAGAGTAGGGGGAAAACCCCGGTGTAATGGACCACCTGTACACTACCAAATCAGATATACCAGGAGGACAGACTCAAGGGTTACAGTGATTCAGTTCGTTTTTCGCCTCCCAGGCACAGGTGATGCCAAATTCTTAATAATAGTAATGATTCTCATCAACTTACATCCATGAAGGCATCCATTTGCTTTCTGACCCTGTTGACAAATCTCCACTCAATGACAAGTCTAAAAAGTTTTTTTCAAAAGTAGTAGGAAGGAGAAAAGAACAAAAGGTTTAATTTAATTTCAAATAAAAAATGCTTGGATATGCATTATTTACAACTAGTCACAAGTGCTAAATAATAGCCTAGTGCAATCACTATCTGGAAGAAGAATAGTCACAGAAGATTTATTATTATTATTTTCACATTAAATCGCTGATATCCACAATAATAACAATATTCTGAGTTCATAAAGGGCATAACACATCAACAATTTCTCTAATCGCCCCACAGATATATTACTACCCCGGTAATCGACCGCACACAATGTATTCCTTGTGATCTACGGTCTGGTGACTTATCCACTAGACTGTGGGTCACAAGGTCCACGGTTCGAGTCCGCCGCGACTCCAACGTTTTTTGGCAAGACACTAATCTACATTTGGGTACCTGGAAGGTATTAATTCCTTGAAATGCTAGAGCGCCGTAATGGCAGCCATGCTAAAGCCAGGAGTGTCAAGTCTGACAGATATGAGCGCTATACAAAAGCCCACTATTATTAATTTATCAAACAATAACATGTAATGGACTTACTGGATGTACTCTGCCTTGTTCTCATTCGTCAGTGGGATATCAGCACCATGCGGCTTCAGCTCTGTTGTTTTAGTCTTTAAAAGAAAAAACAGGGACAAAAAAGGGTGAAGAAAGGTTCCTAGGATAAGAAGACTTACAGCCTGTCTGCACTACTTGTAGCTACTTGCGCCCTCTATATAGCCAACAATGCCTAAGCGGTACCCGTTGATCCCCCATGGTCCCCTTTTTCTTATGTTAATTCGTCGCTGTTTTCACGAAGTGACGGTAGTGAAAAAAATTGCATTCACTTTGCGTGACGATTTTCCTCACTACCGTCACTTCGTGAAAATAGGGACGAATTGAGAGCTGATTTGATGAGATAATCACCTGTCAGTGACCATGCAGGGAGGTCTAATCCCTCCTGGCTGAATTAGTGCAGACAGGCTTTATAACTTCTTGTATATTTTTTATTCCTTTAGAATCTCTCCTATGTAATCTACATATTGCAAAACACATATCACTACTAGATATCTATCGTGTTTAGACATGAACATGCAGTACCACTTAAATCTTTTCAGTAAAGATAAGGTAAAGTAAAGACTTGGAAATATATTAATATATATTTGTATTATCACACCGAAACCTTTCATTTACATGATTAATAAATATAGATAACCAGCATACTTTTAATCAATCTGAAGACGACAACTAGTGCTAAGGTCATTAGAAAACAAAAGAGAATGTATATTTAAGTTTGATCAAATCTAATTCCAAGTCAATTAGATTTTTTTAAATACTGCAGACTATATTGAATAGATTTGAATTTTTTTACCTGTCCTAAGCTTTCTTCATCCACTGCGAAGGTCAGATCAAGGTCGACTGGGTCGTTGTCTGTGATCCACTGCAGGGAGCTGTGATACTCAGAATCCTTACATACACAAACAAAACCAACCAAACATATTAAAGGCATTGTTTAACAATGTTTAACCTGAGATGCATGGCCCTGCTTGTTATAAGTGTCTGTGATATGGTGTAATATTGAAGCCCTAAATAAAATTGCGCTCCACAATGATCATGAAGTGCCTCAAAAAAGTAAAAATCTTTGAGTGACCGGTTTTTACCATACTCATTTCCCCCAATAGACTGTAGTGTTATAAAAACTGTTAGGAAAACAAATTTTTCAATTTCGATTTTCAATCATAAATATCTTGATAATCAGACAGGCGATCAGCTTGTTAAAGCTATGGGGTTCCTGACTGACCTAAAGGTTTATAAATATAATTGCAGCATGAACTAAATCCAGGATTTTGTTTCAGAATCTGAGACAAAGTTACCCAATCCCTTTAAGATTTTTGACTGACAATACACATTGTTAATCCATTCCAAACCTTGGGTACATATATGATGGTAGCAAAAGTTTTAACAAACAAGTCACAAGGTAAATTGAAAGATTATATAAAATGTCTTAATTTAGATTTTGCTTTAAGTTATTGAATAAACAATTGAACATCCATTATGCAAGAGGAAAAATAAAGTGAAAGAGTGCTGTGCTGTTAAAAAACAGAGGACTTAAGAGACCAACTGAGTCTTTTATCATTTTTTAATATTTCAAAAGTTAATTGAGTGCTAATATTTTAGAATACTAAATCTCTTTTATTTCCGCATTTAAATACTGCATGCATATCACATGCGTGCAACAAAGCATACACGTAACACACCTCCTGCCAACTGGAAAAAGGCACTTCAGTAATCTTCTAGAATACCGATTGGCTAATTGAGTGGCAACTAAAGCGATAAGACAGCTTTCAGAATACCACCCATCGTAAACAAATCATATTGCCATAAAGGCAATTCCTCTTACACTAAGCATCAATCAATTTGCTTTAAAATTCCAAAAACGTTTCTCACACATTTATTCCATTTCTTCCTTTTTAAGGTGCCTTACTCTTCTAATGAATACAGGACATTGTATAATGTATTACTCATTCTTACATCTACAAGGAAAAAAAGGAGAAATAAAGGATTGGGGGGGGGGGGGCATTACTTTGCAGAATCCATTGAATCACTATTAAAGTGGACTTTGACCTGAGTATACGGTACACTAAATTTTCATTCATCAATACAATGATAATACACTATCTGAAAACACACAAAAAGAGGGGAAAATCCTACAAAAGTAAAGCAGTAGATGTGTGCTACATACCACTGATTCCATGTCTCGTAATGTGATTGGTTTGCCAGCCATCATCTTGTAGAATGGTCTGATGAAGAATGCTGATGAGAAAATAAATCAGAAAAAAATACAATAAATTTCACATTCCATCAACTTGCTTCTAAATCATGATATCCATAGTGCTGTTGCCAGCTGCCAATTTTTGTGATGTTAGAAAGGACTAACTTTTTGCTGAGAGACAGAAGGGAATCAAAGTGCTTTACAGCGAGAATGCTCTTCTTACTGATAGCTGACATCCTCTGACTGAACGTATTCATGAGAAAATATATGATTATAGTAGAACAACTTTAACATTGTAAAACAAGTGCCTTATACATGTAAATACGTATACTAATCAAATATCATGTATTTCCTTTATGAATGCTTCAAGCATAAGTTTCAAGTATAAATGTAATTTGTTCAAAATCTAGGCTCCTTTTCGGTTTGACCAATCAACCGAGCTGCATTCAAAATGCTATTACTTCAAACAAAGTTTGTCAGCTATCAGAAATGGAAACAGTAGACATAGAAGGAGTTTGCCATGGAACATTGCCATCCCTGCTACTCTACCAATAAACTTTTTATGTTATCTACTGTGAGCTACCATAAATGAGTATTACCGGTAAGCAGAAATGACCACTGACCATCTAGGAGTTTGCCATGGAATGCTGCCATCTCTGCTACTCTACCAATAAACTTTTTATGTTATCTACTCTGAGCTACCATAAATGAGTATTACCGGTAAGCAGAAATGACCACTGACCATCTAGGAGTTTGCCATGGAATACTGCCATCTCTGCTACTCTACCAATAAACTTTTTCTGCTATCTACTCTGAGCTACCATAAATGGGTCTTAAGGAGAAATGACTTACCATCTAGAAGTTTGCCATGGAATACCGCCATCCCTGCTACTCTACCGATAAATTTGAAGTAGGATATGTGATCCTCATTGCAGATACCAGAATCAGGGTTGATTTGCAGCGTGTAGTTGTCCCTATGTCCATCAAATATGTAAATGACATAATGTGGAATAATCATTACATGCTGCAAATGAATTGTTGTACCATGACTAACTATGCATTCAAGTTAAATGACTCCATCTCATGAAGAGTTGATATTAATCGCAGCTTATTTGCGATTGATATCGCTCTATTTTGCAATGAGTGATGTGAACTCCATGTGCCATGTACGTGACATTTCATTTTTGTAACATCGAAAAACAGTTCTTCATATGAAGAATCTCAAATTTCTTGCTGCTCTTGCATGGATTCTAAGACTATGTAACGATGTAAAGAGACAGGAGACTGCAAACTTGCGATTGATTGGAGGACTTGCAATTGATTTGGATCCATCGCAACTCTTTACAAGAAGGGGCCCAGTTTACTTTAAAAGATTTATAGAAAAAAGCTGTACTGAGCAAGACAGGAAGTTTTGCCGGCAATTCGCTCTAAGATATTTATATGCATGTAAAGGCTTGATAGCATTATTAATCATAATCGACTTGTTATCATAATTATGAATATGCAAAATTTCTATTTTTCTTGTTTGTTGATCAATAGGTGTTGAAAATTAAATAGATCATCTCCATACAAAATGAATCACATTCTTCTCCACCTGCATAGAACTAATGCATGGCATACATGTCAATACATTTCACAATGTGCACTGTCTGCTCTATATATGTGAGTTTGAATGTAGTTATAATAAATCTTAAAGTTCACTTACATGGCAGAATATTCATAGAGACCATAATATGGGTTGAACATCTCTTTGGAGAGAAGAAAGAACCATTCCCTGTAAAAAAAAGAACAAAAAAAGAAGAAGATATAAATACAAATTACTGATATGTTAGACGTGTTGAGAATCTTTTATAAAAGTAAAAGTATAAATACAACAACATTGAATATTGAATATTTAGGGCTGCAAAAGCTAAAGCTTATAACTGGGACAAAGATGTGACACACAGGAAGATTAAAAAAACAGCCAAAGGTATATCTGCTGGCAGCTCTGAGAAAATCCCATTTTGTTTGGAAATTAATCACCAGATACATTTGCTGCAATGAACACTTTGCATTACAATGCCCAGGCGCATACAATATTCAGTTCACCAAGATGATATCAAATTTTGATGACGCATTTTATCATGTGCTTCTGATAAACTTGAACTTGAAGTATATCATTTTATGTGCAAAATGGGAATTTTTTTGCACTGAATCATATTTATAATCAATGCTTTTTTCAGACTACTAGTCAAGGGGAGTGTTTCACAAATACTAGGATCAACTTTAAGTTGTACTTAACTATGGCAGGCCATTCATGCCACTGGTTACTCTCATAAATTATGATCTTTAGATAACATTTTTCCTTCAATAATGAACTATCAAAAAAGTAAATTCTGTAGATTTGTGACCATGATTTGTACGTCCCTTGACAGACAAATGGTGAGAGCAAACAGTGGCATGAACGGCCTGACATAGTTAAGTCCAACTTAAAGTCAATCTTAGTCTTTGTGAAACACCCCTCAGGTCTTACATACCTAGCTACTCCACCATAGTCTAGACCAGTCTCTCCGGTGAATTCGATCCATAGTCTAGCCTTGAGTAGGTCTGCACTCCTAATACTACTGATTCCACGGTAGGAGTCCTCTAGTAGGTTGTTTCTGTGAACCTTAAGCTCGAACCGGTTGGGGATGTTGCTCTGCAAACAAAGAGTTTGGATTTGTAAATAAATTATTAACATCTAAACCTACATTAAGCAACAAACATATGACAAAATTGATACACAATGCCCCAGTGAAGGCTAGTCCACTGCTTTAAGAACACTACACAGCGAACCAAATGCTCAAAATGCAAATAAATAAAGAATAAAGAATAAAGAAAAAAAATGGCATGTTGATGCCGTTTTCAATATCATTATATGAATTATACATGTACACAACAAATGTACAAAACTCACGATTTTGAAGGCTACAAAACGGCAACTAAAAAGGATTTTTGGCAACAAAAATGGCAAGTCTATTGTTATCCTACAAAAGCATGGAATGCCATGATTGTAGTATTATTAATAGGGCAAAAAAATAGTGACAGACTAGAACAATAGAATCCTGATTTTAGCTCACTGTGTTATGAACATTAATATGATTTCAAAAAATTTAAGAAAATGTCACACAAGAGATACTTTATAAAAATAAATCACAAATAAGTTACAGGGGAGATAAAATAATAATTTAAAATTTTAAGTCCAAGAAATTGTAAATGGTGTTTAGAATGTAATGACGGGTATTTCTTTTTAATCAAAGTGTATTTTGAGAAAAAAAATTATGATATGTAATCCGAGAATGGAGTAAATGGAAATTTCACATTACAGCTTGATTCCATCATCATCAAAACTGTCATGTAATTATGACCTCTTCAGGTACGCTAAATGACACAAGCACAACAAATAATATTATTTGAAATATAGAAAGTAAAGAAATATTTTAGCTTACTGGTTTCTTGAGATGCATCTTCAAGAAGTCATACTTCCTCTTGTAGTCTCTGGAATATGGCACAGCCTGGTGGCAAAAGAAGAAAGAAGGAATGAAATATTGATCCTCCAATGTATGGATACACAACTTTCTCTGATAACAAAAGTAGATTGTATCAAACCCTTGGATGGATGCTAGAGAAACAAGCAGGAAAATTAGGGAACTATTTAAAGTAAGTTTCACTCTCTTGTGAAAAATAGTATGGATACACAACTTTTATGGAAAACAAAGTTAGATTGTATCAAACCCTTGGATGGATGCTAGAGAAACATGCAGGAAAATTAGGGAACTATTTAAAGTAAGTTTCACTCTCTAGTGAAATTTGTTTTTGATATATAATATTCAGTGTCTTAAAGGTAATGAGATCTATGGTGGAAAAAGTACGATAGAGAAATAGAGACCCCCAAATTCAAAATGAATTATTTTACAAATGAATAACATTAGATATTTGAGATGTAATGTATAAAAGTAAGAAGTAATGACATTCAAAATTGCCTCATGGGGAAAAAAAGAAAAAGAAATACCAAACTTAAAATATTTTTTTTTCTATTGAATTTAATAACCATTCCCCCTCTTTTTTTATTCTCCATTTCCAAATAATAGATTGGATATTATAATAACTATTAAAATGTTGTCTATAATTGTTTGAATCTGATTATCTCTTCTTGAAAATATCTTTGACCCTTTGCAGAGTTTAATAGTAGTCTCAAATACTCACTGGTCCTGCAATAGCTGGGTTCTGTAATCTAGGATCTTCCCATTGTGTTGAGTGGGTTGCTGAAACAAAGACACAATTGAAATAATAGATATACTATAATGAATGTTCTTACAACTACAAGCGATCATTTCACTTTACTTAAATACTCTGCTAATTTAATCACTTGACTGATATATCACTCTCAATAAGAAATAAAATAACTTCCATGTGAAAGGCTATTTCTCTTTCATACAGTCATTTATAGCACAATAATTCCATCCATCTACAAATGAAAAATCGTTAACAAATTATCTGCAGCAATTAGCAATATTGAAGTGAGCTGAATAATTAAGAATAAAGACAAGCATTAAGACAAGGCAACAACATGTAATACATGATGTAGGTAGATTCTACGACATATGCTTTGGTGACAATTGCTTCGTGGTCAATTTCCTACATTAATTGAATTCATAACACTGGACCAGACACTATACACAACTCTACTCATATCCTGAAACCCAGCTGCAACCCTAACCCTCTATCTTTGAAGAATTACAGCCCCCAACAAATATTGCAAATATTTCAGTTCACTTATCCATTTCATTTTCTTAAAAAACACAGAAAAAGCAGATACCGTAAACATACAACTATATATACGTACTAAGGCAGAGAATGTTACAATTTATACAATAACCTTAAATGAAATAGGAGAATAAAGGAAAAGCCAATGGTGGTCTCGTTTAAAAAAGTTCCCTTGATTAAAATTTACATTTATAGGAGAATGATCCTCCAGCAAATAATCTTTGTCACTTACTGTGATCAACGAAGAAGACTCGTCCATCTGTGTAAACACGCATCTCCCATCCAGACTGCAAATTAAAACATGGAAATTGAATTTATTTTAAAAGTATTAGCAATATTTGCTGCAAGAAAGAAAAAAAAGTTGCTCCATATAAAATCTAATTTTAATTTTTATCCAATTCTAAAGTCACCCATTCCACCTATACTGTGGTTCTCAAGAAACAGCATTTTTGTCATGTTTTCACTTCAATTCAAAAGACATTAATTTCCTTCTTCTTCTTCTTCTATTAATCTTCAAAGGGCTTTGCAGCCTATCACGAAGATCTGTAGAAAGATTATCAGTCTTGCATGCAGGCAAACTAAACACCAGGGACCCGTTTAAAAAAACTTTTCATCAGTGACGAACGACATTTTTTGTTATAAGCTAGTGAAATCCTTGCTTCTGATTGGTTATCTGCAGATTTGTCACTGATTTTTGTCATTAGTCAGTGATAAAAGGCTTTGTGAAATGGGTCCCAGGTTTACATACTCTTATAATCAAATGAATACAAAATGATATACGCATTAAGACATACATGGAGGAAAGAGGCAAAATCATATGGCAGTAATCCCCATAAGATTTTGCGAAGAGGTAACATCATTTAATAAAAGAATAACAATTTACAGGAAACTTCCTAAACTCTTAGCAGAAATAAGCACAATCTTAATTATCTTACTGGTAATGCGCCTAGTTCATCCTGTTGCCTTTGTCGTCTAGGATCCTCCTGTTAAGTTGAGAAGAAAAAAAAGAGGAAAATTATTTCAAAATATTATCTTCATACTCTTTTAAGGTAAAGACCAGTTATGGTCATGCGATTGCATTGTGAAAGAAACGTTGTGGAATCGATCAGAAAAGGTTGATCATCTAGCATCTAGCATCTGCAAGGTTCTGGAATCATCAAAATGATAAGAAATTTGGCCCATTCTTCGTAAAGTTACAAGCACTATACACAGAAAGATGTATATGGGACTACCCTATATCTCTCACAGACCATGAGAGAAACAAATTTACCAAATATATGAATTAGTAGGCGGTTTCCCGGCAAATTTGTTATCATCATGAATTAGTCAAAACATATTCTTTCACATGATTGGTAATGAGAGCTTCCATTTCATTTTTTGAAATTGGGGCGTTTCCAATACTGGTCTTTACCTTTAACTGTTTAACTTAAAGCAAGCATAGGTAAAGTGTTTTCAGGTGATGGGTACACTTGAACATTTACATAGTCAAATTCTTGCTATACATACACCATACCACTAGCTGTTATATGTCTTTACACATGCGTTATACAGTCAAACCTGTCTATAGTGACCGCCCAAGGAAAACACAAAAAGTGAATTTTGAAGATACACTGTAGGTGGTCTTTGCAGACAGGCTCCTTCAGTGCACGTTTCATTGAGAAACCATTTTCAAGGGAAACAAAAAATGTGGTCTTTGTAGACAGGTGGTCACTAACGTAGGTTTGACTGTACCTGTACATACACCATACCACTGTCTGTTAAATGTCTTTACACATGTGTTTTATTAGATAAATTTCGCAAAGTATGACTGACCCACGAAGTAGTTCTTGTGTTGTGGTCAATGAAGAACTTCTTTCCATTGGGAGCTTTCTGAATCTGCCATCCCTCAGGGAGCGGACCTAGAGGATCATCCTCTGCAATCTGGATTGCCTGAGGAGCACCGACCTATCAGCAAACAATTGAATAGAACAGATTACCAATCTCTAATCTGTAGTTGCCACATATGATGCGGACATACTCTACAGGGCTAAAAATAAAACTCTGATAAAATTCATGATGGTTTCACTTTTTAACCAATTAATTCATTATCTTCATCAGGAACTGAAATTAAATGTAATACATGCACCAACTACAGTGTGTCATTATGGGTCATATCAAAATATTATTAATTTTAGCCCTGTTTTACAATTTAAAAACAAAAACAAAAACAATAATAAAACCCTACTTAATCTTCTCAAATAAAGGCAAGTGAGCCCTTGGATCATTTCATTTTCTATCAAAACAAGATTTTGCGACTCTCCTCAATTGTCACAATATCCAACTCTGGGGAATTATATCGTTGAATCAATTGATTTCCAACCATAAATAATTAAAAACAAAGGGTGCAATTACATATAGTACATCCTCTTGATTGTCTGAGGGTGTACTGACCTATACATATCGTAAACAAATAATCATTATACTGGTTGACCAATCTCCAATACATATAACAATACAATTATAAGACCCAGTTGAACTGTCAATCATGTCAATCTACACATCCTATAATCAATTCCTTTCCTTTCCTATACTGTAAAAACTACCTTAGAATAGCTGAAGGAATTAGTTTGGTGATAACTATAAATCAGAGGTACATTGTAGGAAGCCAAGATTGCTACTATATATATCATAAGGCTGTGTGAGGAGCGTAAAATGAATATATATAAATAATAATAAAAACAATTGAAATAAAAATCCCCTCAGAGTTATCTTCTTCATTATGACTGGTTTCATATATTTACTTATTATTTGTACATCACACTTATGGGGGATTATCAACATTAAATTATTTGTTTTATTTATATATATATATATACATTAATAAAATACATATCACTTACAGGTTCTGCCTGTGGAGGTGGGGCCTGTGGAGGTGGAGCCTATAAAGAAATAAAAAAGAACAAAATGTGAAAATTACAATTTTGTTGTAGATGCTGGTTGTAAAATGTGTTAAATCACAAAAATGTTAACTTAGTTAAAAATATAAGAAGTTTTGAAAAAAGGTGCATATAACTGCTCATAATATTTATTTTACAAAAATGCATTGTTTAAAACGTAAGTGTCATTGAAAGTGGACATTCAGCGGAATGATCTCAAGAATTACCATTTAGAGATTTTTAAAATCATCTAAAAATTCTGAATGTAATTATAATTTTCCCTTCATTATTGTGCAGATTTCAATCACAAATTACCATTATCTCATTGACAGTCATTAATCAGTCTGCAAATCTGTACAATTCTCGCTACCTCAATTGGCAGCACCGGTCATGGGTATATTTGGCAAAAGCACATCCTGTTCCAATACAAATAGGTCAAAAGCTCTACAATAATCAAAATTTACATGATGCAACTTACTGCTCCAGTATCTTCGTCACTGGCGCCTTCCATGGTATCTTCAATGCTGATCACCCTCCTGGCGAGGAATTGAGCTCGAGCTTGATCATTCTGAGATCCACCTCTGGTTGGTGTGGTGGTGATACTCCTGTAGCAAGATTTAAACAAAAGATTTAGTACTGATAAGGGTTATAGACCGGCTTACTAACATATTCAAATGTATGGATGTTTCTTTCCTCTGGACCTAGTGACAAGTTATTCCATTAATCTGTTATTAATGAATGAACTACAATACGTGGAATCCAGTCTGCATACATTACTTGTTGCTTTGTCACGTTGACCTACAGCAGGCTTTCAGGTTGTCAAGTACAACTTTTTTTTTAGAAGTATGCATAAAATTTTAATATGTTAGTAAACGGGTCTATTTGGGAGCTTTTTTTTCCATTTCTGTGTGGAGGAATATCATGGATGCACTGTTTATTACATGAAAAGCTCTTGGGAAAAACACTCACATTCCAAATACAAGTATGACAAGAAATGTTTTCAAAAGTTTGATGCCAAATGTATGTGTACCGTAATTAACGTTGTATAAACCGCCCTTGAGTATTAACCGCACCCCTCTTTTACACCCTTAAAAAAAAAAAAAACTCATGCGGGAGGGCCTTTTATTTAACTGCGAGGTGCAGCTGAATGTGTAAGATCATTAATGTAAATTGAAAAACAGTAGAGGACCTAGGATAGAACCTTGTGGTACACCGTGTGTAGGAATTATTATTATAAACTACATATTGAGATCTATCAGAAAGATTGCTTTCAAACCAAGATGACAGACAAATTTGAGTGTTGTTCTAGTTTCCTAGTGGTGAGTCAACACACCGATTACTGAGCTGGGAGACATTGCCAGGCATAGTGCCAGGTGGAGGGGCATAGATCGAAACTTAATTTTTTTTTTTTTTTTTTTTTTTTGGTGTACCGTTTATAAACCGCACCCCCAACTTTGAATTTTTTTCGGCGGCAAAAAGGTGCGGTTTATACACCGTTAATTACGTTAGTCTCATACATCGTTTTGTGTGCATTGCCTTTTACAATGTGATTTACAATGCAATCCGGTTAAATTCTTAACTTTATTTGAATTCTGAATGGAAACCTAGAGGTAAAAAGCACCATGGATTAATTTTTCTTTAAAACCCATCTGCACTAGTTTGGCCAGGATGGATTAGACCTCCCTGCATGGTCACTGACAGGTGGTTTCTCATCAAATCAGCTCTCAATTAACATAAGAAAAAGGGGACAAAGGGGGACCAATGGTCACCGTTTAGGCATTTTTTGCATATAGAGGGCGCAAGTAGCTATAAGTAGTGCGCTTTAAAAAAAAGAGGAAATGGTGAATTCACAAGAACTGAAAAGGTTTTGACTTACGGTGTTGTAGGCATGACCCACTGTGTTCGTCTATTGATGTGATCCACATAGTAGACTCTCCCGTTAGCATCTACCCTCTCCTCCCAGCCCTGCGGGACGGTAGGCCCCTGGGATCTGCTCTGACCCTGTTCCCTTGACGACGCATCGTTGGCGGCATTGGCTTCCACCATCTCCCAATCTCTCTGTGAATAGTAGGGATGGAAGAGAAAAATAAGAATAATAAACACGTTACTTATAAAGTGCTTACCTCCATAATCTCAAAGCGCTTAATGGGAATGGGAAATGAGCTTCATGCAAAAAAATGGTTAACCATGAATCTTCTTTAATAAACCCCATAACGGCAAGAATATTGTTGAACAATCAGGATGTTTCAACGGGGACCTGCTGAGGCCATGTTCAATTAGATACGTGGATCAAGTCATTATTTTACTAGGCTAAGAAATATGTCTCAACTTGTATTAAGATCACATCTTTCAATTTTTTTTAGTAAGCCGACTTTAAAGGGAAAGTCCACCCCCAAAATAAGTTTGTTTCGATAGAGGCAGAATAATAAGAAAATCAGGTGAGTGAAAGTTTGAGCAAATTCTGAATGAAAATAAGAAAGTTATGAATTATTGAAGTTGTGATCAATCAAATACAAATTGGCAACTCTGTGACTTATTATACGAGCTCTCCTTCATTTGCTTTGTGCATAATATTCCATAAAATCATGTTTTCTTCGTTATTGATGACGGAATATATATTTGTTCCTTGCAGGGGGAGTATAGAAACATATTTGCAATTATTATATTTAGGGTGCATGTATGGTTGAAATTTTTCTTGAGGGAAAATGAAAATTTTAGATTTTTTTAGTACTGAACAAATGGAAGTTGAGCTCGCATGATACGTCATAGAGTTGCCAATTTGTGTTTGATTGATCACAACTTAAAAAATCCTAACTTCCTTATTTTTAATCGGAATTTGCTCAAACTTTCACTGACTTGTTTCTCTCATTTTTCTACTCCTATTAAAACTAACTTAATTTCAGGGTGGACTTTCCCTTTAAGGTAGAGTACTTACTGATAAATCATTGTGACATCACAATGTCATTCCAAAAGAAGATTAAATGTGTGCTAATATAACTGTATGCAGCTTATGACGACTGCGTATGAAAATCCTATGCCTACCAATCAAGGCCTCCAAGATAATTAGCTGCTAGGGAGCTGTCTTAAAGTTAGGGTAAAATACTTGGCCAAAAGCTCCAACTGAATATCAAAGTTGGCTAAATATTTTGATCTAAAACTTAGTAAAATTATCCAATTTCTGACATACCGGTAAGTTTTGAATTGAATAACGGCCCTAGAAATTGATGGTAACATATATCTGGAATAGACCCCTAAAGTCAACCCCTATAGGAATGTAATGAGTGTGTGTCAACAGGAGTGCAATAAAAATCATTTATTTGCACAGCTATTAACAGAATTTACTGGGTACCACTGGATGTCTGGCGAGTGGGTGCTCCGTGCAATAACGTTAACAGGAACGTTAACAGACAAACTTTACAGAACGGAGACGGCAATTGTAGCCGGAAAGCCCACCTCTGGAGATGAGATAGGTACGCTATTTGATTACCAGTAGCGTTATAATCAGTGTATGGTGTATTTCTACAGAAGCGAGTACCTGGAAATGATCTGTTAGACCCAGAAAGTAACCATATTTTTCAAATCCTGGAGAAACATGCCGGATGTGTTTGGACAAGGAACAGCTACATTTTTCTTCTTCAAACAAGTGCCCTCATTGTCAAGGTTTTCCCCATAGAAGATATTTTATGTTAGATTCATCAATGAAACAAACCGCTGCAAGGCAAATTTTGATTCTTGGATGATAACCTATAACTGTTCAAAAGCTTGGTTGCAAGGAAGTTAACAAAATGCTTTTGATATTGGTAACATCATTAAAAAAAAAGAAAAAAAAAAGACTTTAACAAAAGTGTTTGATGACTGAACTTTACTTGAAACAATAAGTTTCATGAATCTAAATTGTTTGATAACTGAAATTTATTTGGGACTATAGTTTACATTATTCATGCCTGAACTTCAAAAAGACACAGGTTTACTTTAATATCAAACTTTAAACAGGCAATGTTAATCATTACTGGAGTACAACGTAAACTTATTCACAGTTCAGTACTCTAAAACCACAATCTTTAGTAAACTGTGTGAGTGGGTAAGATTCATTAAATGCTTTATGCCATGATATTTTTGACTAAAATATTTTGCAGTTTGCAAACGTTTTGTGTCGAGAATTTTTCTGGTTGAAGGATGTTTTTCAGCAATTTCAACTTCATCAATGAGTAGGTATTAGTTTTATTAATGAATATTAGTATTTATGTGGCTAAATACATATCATCTGCTTGTAGTTCCATGCATGCTTTGTTATCCTGTAAAAATGAATAGTAGACCCGAATTAATTTGATTATATTCTTAAAGCGCCAATACATTAGAAACAGGCCAAATGCCAATTTGAGAATCATTCCAATTTTTTTTAGTAGACATGATGTTCCAGCCAAGTGAGAATGGGGCGAGAGAGAGAGAGAGAGAGAGAGAGAGAGAGAGAGAGAGAGAGAGAGAGGAGGAGGGTGCATCTCTTAATGACAGGAGTATTAAATGATGCTTTTACGAGCCATGAAGATGACCCAAGGGTTATGGAAATTGAAATGGGAATTAAAAGAAAAATTAATTGTAACAAATATGCAGATCCAACGTGCATGAAACAGAGTCTGAAATCGATCAAATATTCACGCTTGCATACAGAGTTTAAAACCCAAATTAAAATGTCCATTCCGAATAGAGTTTGAAATGACAGCAAGAAAATGCACGTCAAATGAAATGAAGTGTGAGAGCAGTAGGTAAATGAAAAGCAGGATAAACCGACCCGAGTAAGGTTGACGTTTCGAGGGGGTTCACGAGGTAACCTGATCTACAAACAAAAAATTGATAAGTTGTGAGATATTAATAAAGAAATTTCTTTGGCTGCTATTGCGCCCCTCCATACCAAACATTGATAGAAACCAACATAAGATTTGGTAAGTCACAACAACAATATTATTATCCAAGAAATGTAAGCTTGGACACAGCACATTCCAAAGAAGTGAAATTGCTTCCTGTTTCCTCATATTTTGCGAGATATGTAGTAAAATATTTGTTGAAAAGTGTCTTTGTGAAGTAAAGCGTTCTAAGTCTAAAAGCTTCCCAGACATTTTTTTACTTCAGAGATGTGATAAATCATAATAATTGTAAATAAATATTAAATTGAAAAAAAAAGACAACAAAAACTTGACAAAGTATTGGTGTGTTTTGCAGCACTGGCAAATATAATCTTAACAGAATAATCACAGAGATAGGTTATTAAATTTTTTCAGAACCAGATTGCTATATGAATTAAAAACATTAATGTATATAACTGATTCAAATCTCGATTATTCAAAACAAAAATTAAAAGAACCTGTCTTCTCAAGATGGCCTGATACTAAAAGCATGAAGTAACCTTGGCCCCAAAAAGAAGACCGCTCTCAAACATGTTATAAGCTGATGAATAACCATGGTAACGTAATTTAAAAAATGACAAGACCATACCTCTTCGTCTTCTGGTTGAACTTCCATATCTGGAAAGTCCTCCTCATGCACAAAGCCTATGGCCATCCGTAGACTACCACGGACCCTAGACCTGACACTGAAATGAAAGTAGAGCGAATTATAAAATAAACAATTTTAAAAATCAAATCAATCAAGCAAACAAACCCTTTCAGGACAGGATATATTTCACGGGCTATAAACTTGATCACATATTGTTCTTCAAATTGGCAACACAAATATTTTTTTGTCATTGCTACATTTAAAAAAGAAACGTCATGTCTCTGAAAACAAAACATGGGTAGAAAGTTAGAAACTTAATACTTGAAAAACCTCTCAACATGTTTAAGGATTCTAATTTTTATTTTCCATTTTTTTAATTCCTAGCATCAAATGCAATACAGTTATGGAACAAAAATGGATGCATTCTTTGCAGATTCCCCCCACTTCCTTTCTTCTCATGTATCTGGTATATTTTAGAACCCTGGATCAAAACTTAGACAGCCAAACCACAAAATATGAAATGGTTATCATGAAAGGGTCGCTTTAAAGCAGGACTGCACTACTTGTAGCTACTTGTGCCCTCTATACAGCCAACAATGCCTAAGCGGACTGGTTGATCCCCCATGGTCCCCTATTCTTATGTTAATTGTGAGCTGATTTAATGAGATAACCACCTGCCAGTGACCACACAGGAAGGTCTAATCCCTCCTAGCCAAACTAGTGCAGATAGGCTTTAAGAATTTGTATAAAAATAACGAACAGCTCTAAGGGCATTTGTTAAACTAACCGTAACGCCACCATGACAACAACAATATTAGATACTTCTATAGTGCTTATACCCGCCACTGGGATGCAACTTAGGAATTGTCCGAAACCTTTGATGCAAAATACAGCAGGATCAGGACCATCCTGTCACCGAATGTCATATTAAAATAACATTGCTCATGTAAGATTACTTCAAAATTATTTCCATTTCTTTTCAGATGTAATAGTTTTGCTCAATAAATGACACTTTTGTCACATCCACTGATTTTCTGATCACCACCAACCGAACAAGATAATCATTACTTGTTGACTTTCTTGTCATGGAATCCATCAGAAATATGCGTGGGAAGAAAATAAAGGCGTTTGCTGAACGGTTAAAGGGATCTGAACTCCCTGTAAATCGGGGAAACAAGAAAGAAATTCTACCTTCTTGGCCGCAAGAGGTAGCCTTTTTCCAACACTTCTTGACCTGGTACGATCGTCTGTGGAAAGGAAAATTAAAAAAATAAAGGTCAAAGAGCCTCTGCCTGATATAACATTTATAATCATTTACATATCCCAAAGTCAGTCAAAGGGCTTAAACTCAAGAAACTAAAATTAAAACACATTTTCTTATACTACACAGAAAAGTTTGATTTTTAATTTTGCAATTTTATACTTTAATAAGGTACAATATAGGAGAACATACTTGTGTACAAAATAGTTGGTCCCTCTCAACGATGATAATAAACTATATGAGCCTAATCTACCTATAGCCGTCCAACTAAATGATATTGGCAACTAAAAAATCGTAAGGATTCTGTCAATCTAAAATGATAGACACTGCCTTCATCTCAACTGACATCATAGTGAAGGAGTGAAATTAATTGGCTTATCTTTATTATCGTTGGGGTCTGTCCTAAGAAAATTGCTTGCGGGGCAATCTCCATGATACAATAAAATCATTGAAGGAAGCTCATTAACATAAAATGTTGAGGTAGGACCTACAATGATTTCCAATGCATTTTTTCGTATAACCAAAAGGTGAACGATTTTGGGAATGGTTTATCTTTATCGTGACTGTCATCGTTTAGGTCAGACAGGGGACCCCATCTTACAAAGAGTTGCAATTGATCCCAATCGTTCGCAAGTCCTCCAATCAATCGCAAGTTTGCAGTCTCCTATCTCTTATGTACATACATGTAGTTGCGATTGATATCAATTGCAAATAAGTTGCCATTGATATCAACTCTTTGTAAGACGGGGCCCAGCCCTTTACTGCCTCTTTACTTTATATCATGACAGTTTTTTAACTCTGATACTTACAGGCAGGCTTTGAAGCGGAATCTCAACCACACCCAGGAAGTCATCTCTTGTCTGTCACAAATCAAAATGAAAATACATTGACAATTTTAAAATATCTATTATCTATTAATGACAATTCCAACAATTTATCAATGACAATATAAAAGATTCTATATTTACAATTAAAGAAGATTTACAACAAAAATTGGAAATATGTTTTGACCTGAACCATTGCCTAACCAGGACCAAAGCATTATTTCACAAAACCATCATAAATTCAAGTTTGCCAACATCCTAGCGAACTGTGCATTAGTTTTAATTCACAGGTTTCAGTGGGATGTCGTTGAACTTGTACTTGCCAAAGGGGTTTCCCCGCGTTAAGCCAAGGGGATTGAGAAAATTCAGAAGGCAAGGGGATGAAGTTTTATTTCAATAAATGATGATGCAGATCCTTTTCATTGTTTTATTTATCATAAATAGAATAAATGAAAGAATTTGTCATCATTCCTCGGAAGAAATTTTTTAAATGTCAAACACCAACTTCTGTTTCTCATTCATCCTGTTAACCTAAACTTGGTAATAGTTCATTCTGAAAATTGACTTGTCTTCACATTTTTTTTATCAACCCCTTCACATTTTTTATCAACCCTCCCCCCCACCCCCGATGTGAAGACAACTGCCAAGTAATGTTTACCACAGATGGCCATGGTAACATCTATTCACAGTATGTTTCATACTGTGTGTGCTAGAGAAACTAGACAAGTCAAATATAAATGCATTCTGAAAAGGGTGAATACAGACTGTTACAATTAATGCCCTGGAGGGAAAATCATGCTCTGAATTTTAATCCAAAGTTCATCCACATCGGTGCACATGTTCTCTGTTGCCCTTTCTTTCAAAGTCAAGTAACTTGATTGAGTGAATAGCTTGTAAAATTCAAACCCCTGGACCCAATTTCTTTTCTCAACATTCACAGTCAAGGCAATCAATAGCTTTATAGCCTTTTAGACTAGAGAAAATATTAACAAAACCTGTACACAACATCGTATAAAGAATCATTGAATAGCAGAAGAGGCATACACATCGTGAAAAGGGTATCGTATAGAGAAACAAACAATGCGTATGGAAACTACTTTTGAAGAGGTTGTTTACATGACAGCTGGCCATTCATTCATCAGTGCACGCTCTCAATAAGCCTCACCCAGTATTAAAAACGTTTTTTTGTATGATGCAACTTTCAGATGATAACTAGACCCTGATTCTTTGAGTTTTCATTTGAAATAATGCTCAAATGCGTTTCGCCATGTAAGGTTTCATCTTTCAGACTAGGAAAAATTAATTGTTTTATGTACCAGTATACATGTAGCTATAGCATTTTCGTCTAGTCACGCAATGATTTTTGGTAGTCCGAACAGGGAGTTGGTGACTCCCTACATGCATGGACACTGAGTTTATACTATAGTGGCTTCACCGGTCATCTCAAGTCATGGGGAATTACTTACGAACACATGATAGCGTGTTTCCAGGAAAATCACCAAAGATAAGTGTGTGACGACCGTCTTTCAAATTAAAATGTCTTCCTTCTCATTATTAACGGATATCCATGCGTTTTCTGAGTATCTTCACAATGTGTCTCCCCTGCCAAACTATTATTTATAAAATGTTTGCATAATATGGACTGAATCTGTAATTTATACGCCATTGGGGAGAGCAGAGAAGATTGATTGAAAATGTATCATTAGTCTTTACTTACCAGCCTGTTTTCGTCAAATACTTCAAAAAGTAGTTTGTTGTCTCTTGGATTTACCTGTAGAGAGAGACAGAAAGAGGGAGAGAGAGAGAGAGGGAGAGAGGGGGAGAAAGAGAGAGAGAAAGAGAGAGAGGGAGAGAGAGAGAGAGAGGGAGAGGAAGAGAGAGAGAGAGAGAGGGAGAGAGAGAGAGAGAGGGGGAGAGAGAGAGAGACAGAGAGTCAGACAGACAGATAGGGAGAGAGAGGGGAGGGAGGAGGGGAGAGAGAGAGAGAGAGGAAGAATAAAATGGATGCAGAGCAAATTAGTCAAAATACAAATATTTACAACATTCAAATATTGTAAAACCAGAATCTTAAACATGCAAGAAATGTTTACAAATTATAAAACGGTTCAAATTTGCACAAATTTAATTGACTCCCAATTGGCGCAACACAAAATTTTTGAAATCTGCAAAAGTTCCTTGGTGTGAAATAGCCATTCCTAACATTAAAAAAAAATTCGACCTGCGTAAGTTTTTTTCTCTTTCTTTCCGCTTTTATTGATAGTTGCAAAAGTTTTTTCCCCAATAATGTTATGTAATATCTTTATCACAAAGGTATACATGGCATCACTATCAATTTTATCTTAGTCTAGACTGCAACCACGAAACAGGATATATCGTAGATCATACCACTAAACACCCCCCCCCTCATTCCTCTCATTGTTCTAGATTTTATATTTGGCAGTGATATCAGAGTAAATAGACTTTAATGGTGAGACAACAGTGAACAAACTATTAGGCCTGTCTTCATCAGCTCGAGTTTGCCAAAAGACCGCTATTTTAACTATCCCAATCGCAAATTATCCAGTTAATTTGCATCTTCATCAGCCCGCAGTTGCAATTAGCAGGATATTTGGTTGAGAAAATATCCTGAGAAATCTTGGTCTTGTTTCCAAAATATCCCGCTATTTGGGAAAAAGCAGGCAAATTTGCGCCCGTTTGAGCCAGTTTGTGATGAGCGTATTGGTCTGTTGAAGACGCAATTTTTAGCTTCTGGATAATATGCTGAGTCTGAAAATAGCAGGTAATTTGGCAAACTCGAGCTGATAAAGGCAGGCCTAATCTGTCTCGTCAGGATCCACGCCAAAACCAATTTTCACACTGCAATATTGATTTACTAGAACAGAAATATTTTTGTCTATAAGCAAACACGAATCAGCATAATATTGTTACAGAGTTCTCTATTTCTGACAGTGACATAATATTTTCACAAATTTAGTTAAGAATACATAAATTTCTTAATTTACAAAGCATACTCATAAATGTTAAAGCTTTCTCCAGATTTTCTAATAACTCCATTTCTGACAAATAATGACAGAATTATAGATTTCCATGAAGGTGAGAATAATGTACACGTGAACAGTCAAAAACCCATGATTATGATGATTTATACTTGAAAATTCAGTTCTCACATCCTAACTACAGTGTGATATTCAACATTTATTGAAGGTGAGAATACTGTACATGAATGATGTGAAGTATCTTGCGAGATCTTCTCCAACTTGCTCTGTACAGCAATTTCATAAACTTTCAGTTTCTTATACTGACGACGGGATACCAGGTAGATTTATTTCGTAGAGGGGGTGTATAGAAACATATTTGCAATAATTATATTTAGGGTGCCTGTATGATTGATCGGAAAAATTGAAATTATGTTTTTTCTTTAGTACAGAGCAAATGGGAGGGAACCTTGCACAATACAGTACTGCCTGTCCTTGTATGTGTGTATATATGTCTTAGTTAATGTAATGTCTATATTGTCAATATTTTGCTTTCAATTACTGAAGATTTTACTTTTGGGGTTGTAGAAAAAGGGGACCAGCCTAGATAGGTCAATGGCCTTTTCTGGTCCCTCACATCCCTACTCCACCCATTAATAATTTTTAGTGTTACTGTTGTTGTTTTATTTGTTCTTATTATATTTTATATATATTGCATTTTGTATAATGGTATTTTTTAATGTTACAATGCTGTAAGTTTTTTATTGGATGTGAAATAAACTGAACTTGAAGAACTTGAACAATCATCACACAGAGTTGCCAATTTAAGTTGGATCGATCACAACTTTAAAAATTAATTACTTTCTTATTAATTTTCAATCGTATTTTGCTGAAACATTCAATGACCTGTTCCTCTCATTATTCTGATTCTATATTAAAACCAATTTTATATCGGGGTATACTTCCCCTTTAATCTGTGTGCAGTGCATTAATCACTAATGCATTCGCAAACATGAAATATTTGTATACTGAAATGGTGATTTGCTCACATAATGTACATGAGGATGTCCCTGCATACTGTACAATATCTATTGTATCTGCCATACCCCATCTACATGTAAACTATCACACGATAATACCACCATCACGATACTGTTCCTACTTCATTTTTGGCAGCGATACAACACTATTGTACTCTCAAGTGCGAATAGCATGAATTGCATAAAGCCATAAACTATATACAGGGAATAATTTTCCTCAAAATTTTTGATTAGCAATTTCAGCGGATGGATGAATATTTAAAATGAAATTCTGTACATTTCTATGGAAGAAAACTGCTACACAAAAGATATTTTGTATAGCAGTCATGCAAAAATGCATAGCAAATTGCGATGCGATACCAGGAAAATTATTCCCTGATATAATATCAACACCCGCACACTTTACCACAGATAATCATACACTTTGCATGTACATGTATGTGTGAGTATTAACTGTGCTTTCATATTTAGAGAACTCTCTACTATGTGCCACATGTATATAATTTCTACACAATTTGGTAAATTTTATTTATTGATTTTTCATATTGCATTCATTTACTACTAAACACACAGACCATTGTGCTATTCTCCTTATGAATGGCAAGAGTTCTATTTGGAAGCTTGGATCTGCATGTACATGTATGTACATTCTTTTAAAATAAAATTTTAGAATTAAGATATCCTTTTGATATATACAGTGTACATGTGTACACGTAAAACGATGCTATCCAACTACATATATAGTTTACAACTCAAATATTCATACCCCTTGTAAATTTGATGTTTTGTGTTTTTTGTAACTCAAGAATGAAAGGGGTTGGACTGATAAGGGTCTTTGTTGAATACGTTAAAGGTAAAGACCAGTTATGGTCATGCGATTGCACTGTGAAAGAAACGTTGTGGAATCGATCAGAAAAGGTTGATCATCTAGCATCTAGCATCTGCAAGGTTCTGGAATCATCAAAATGATAAGAAATTTGGCCCATTCTTCGTAAAGTTACAAGCACTATACACAGAAAGATGTATATGGGACTACCCTATATCTCTCACAGACCATGAGAGAAACAAATTTACCAAATATATGAATTAGGAGCCGGTTTCCCAGCAAATTTTTTATCATCATGTATTAGTCAAAACATATTCTTTCACATGATTGGTAATGAGAGCTTCCATTCCATTTTTTGAAATAGGGGCGTTTCCAATACTGGTCTTTACCTTTAAGCTTTAATTATGTCATATTCTCAAAAATATAAATCAGGTCAAATCAATTTTTCACATACTTAGAAAATTGCAAAACTTGGTTAGGGTATAAATATTGTAATTGTTAACTGTATACATGTACACAACTGTACCTATGCTGCAATTTTTTTTTTACATGTGAAATTATACTATGACATTTGCACTCTAAAGAACCAATAATGTGCATTGCCATTAGGGCAAGCTTGAGTTAGTTTTCATAATATGCAACCAAATATCTAACACAATGGAGCTCTGCAGGGGTGGGAGAAGGGAGGGGCAAGAGGTTTAGTTTTTGAAGATTTTAAGAGGAGGAGAAAATTACAATGTTCACAAATGATTTTTTCATCAAGCTTTACTAAAAAAAGTCACGTCAGTTGTGATTCGATATTTGTATGTACATGAACGACGAAAGCCTGTAGCCCTGTAGGCTAATAATAATAAAATATGTCAAATAATAATTATAAAAAAAATAATATATTGATGATGATGATGATGATGATGATGATGATGATAATAATAACAAAGTCATTGATATTGTGCTCTGACATATATCAATCGCTTTCACAGCGCTTCACAGAGTTCAAACAAAATAATAGGCTCGGTTGTACATGTATGCATACATTTCATGTACTTCAACCGAGTACTACTGTAGCATTGCCAATCAAATGAAGGAACGACTTTCCACAGTTGATAATGACCTTAGCTCAGATCAATACCAATGTCATTGTTTTCTTTACATCTAATCCTTTCTGCATCTACATCTACAGGACGGGGAACACTAAACCCTTTCCAATCTGATTACATTCATAATTAACGATGAGAGCAACTTCAGTGACGTGCAATCGTAAGTGCACTTTAATAATGCATTTGGAACTGGATGGCAGATGAAATTCTACCGTAATTCAAATTTGAAATGTGATAGATGTCTAAAAAGAAAAAAAAATCATGTACAGTATAGTCTGCTCTCAGAGGCAGAAGGGTGTTTATTCATATCATTCTACAGTGTTAACGCCCTTCTCTCTCAACAGAAAATATATACTACTCACTTTGTAACATTATTTTCTTTGCATTGGTCATTCAAATAATATTCAAAATACAGAAACATTGTACACATACTGTACACACGACACTGACATACAGGCCTACCTGTATGTACTTTGTATACATTTATGAATGAACTTTACTGTGCACAAAAAGATACATGTGAGAACAATTAATGTCCTTGGAAAGTGTACTTAGTGGTAAACACTTGAGTATACTTGGAAAAGGTAATTTATTGATCAAAACTAGAAGGTTATATTATAAAGGGGAAGATCGAGCAAGAACACTTGTATATATATGGTTTGAAGGAACTTTCTCTTTTACTCTTTTCACACTGGTTTTGCTTAACCCCGTACTTTGCTTAGCCCTGTACTATCCTTAACCCCGGACTATTTTTTTGGCTTTTCACACACGCTGTTTTTAGTCCCGTACGAGCGCCTATTCCGGAATAAGAAAATTCCCGCTGTTCTCACTGC